TATACCGAAAAATCTGTCGTTTTCCTACTTCATCAAATCAAATTAGATATAAAATGGCAACTTCAGCAAGAAATTTTATGGTCCCAAGTTTTTTATTACATAAATATGTACTAATGAAAATTAGGCATTTTTTATTGTCAATCATTCAAAACAACTGAGAAGTGAAGAAAATAATTTAAAATAAAATAATATAGAGCATTAAATCTATATATATAAAAGAAAGTCGTGTTAGTTACTTCGCTTATAACTCAAGAACGGCTGAACCGATTTAGCTGAAAATTGGCAGGGAGGTAGTTTAGAGCCAGGAGAAGGACATAGGATACTTTTTATCCCGTTCGACCGCGTTCCAATTTTTATGATATTTTAATTTTTGGATTTCTCTTAGTCCGGAATAGGTAAGTATTAAAAGATATAATTAAAATGTGAGAAAGAAAGATTTTTTCTTTTTATATCTATTTAAAACGTACCTAGCGACGAACCCGAGCGAAGCGAGGGTGAGCCGCTAGTTTTAAATAAAAACTTTAAAATTCAACTATAGGTGAGCTTGAGTTTTTGATATAAGGATCGGTTTACATCCTGAAATCAATTGAAATGTAAAATAAGAACTATAAGATGTGTAAATTATATATAATGAAAAACATATTCATTATTTACCTGATTTGATTTCTGTTAAGTATACAAGATATTATGTTATATATATACCATTCACGCAACAAACAAAAAAATAATATATCCATCCATGGCTGACTTGCCCTTGACCATTGAGCTAACTTTGAAAAACAAACTTCTAATTATCTCTGGTGAATATTTAAAGAACTCTCAATATCTCCCCGAGAGAACTACGCGAAATAAAAGGGGAACTTCATTTTTATCACAAGACATAAAATGTTTTTATTAAATGAGGAATGAGACGATTTTTTTTCTCCACTCGAATAAGTACGTATTTTTTTTTAAGTAGGTAAAATATTATACGAAATATAAGATAAAAGAAAGTAGTTTAGCAACAAAGCAAAAAACAACTAAACTAACCTATAATAAATTAAAGACGATTGTGTCCACTGGTGATGAGTTCTTCCTTATAATGTGATTGTTAACCACATTATTATTACCCACCGCTACTCATAATTAAACTAGCATTGCCCGCGGCTCCGCCCGCGTTCAGAGGACCAAAAACCAAATTCTTAGGTTTTACATATTAGTATACTCTTACATTGCAGTTTTTGTATTTTTTCTTAGAAATTAGACATTTTACCGCGGTAATAAAAACTTTTTAACAAAAAAATAAAAACCGACTTCAAACAAACGCACTAAGAAATAAAAAATAACTGATTGGTAGTTTTCATTTATTATACATACCTAATCAAATATTTTCGAAGTCGGTGTCTTCCTCCTTTTTGAAGGCGGTTGAAAAGTATCCTATAATTAATGTTGACCCGGATAGCCAACTATTACCATACTAAATTTCATCAAAATCCCTCCATTGGTTTTTCTGTGTTCAAAAATTCTAAAAACTATATATTCGGCCTCTGTATCGATAATAATGATTATTTCAATAAGATTTTCCAAAAAATATTTAATGTACAGATTCGCCTTAGTTACAATTTAAATATAGGTTCCTATGTATAAATAAATAATTAACACAAATTATTAAAACGAAACAAACTTTAGCTACAAACTTACCAATTATGGACGGCAAAGTACTCCGTCGAAGATAGTTTACTCATTTAACGTTTAATCTCAAAACGCCGCGGGCTCTTTTAAGCTGCCTACAATCAAATTTACTTGCATCTTGCCGGGCTAATCGATTATTAAAATGTCGCGAGAGCTTACGATGAATAAGGAAAAACTCAATTTCACAATATAATAAATATCGTTTTTTTTAAATAATTACACAGTTAAAGAAAGGGCTTTGGTAAAGTTCTTTTGTTTGAATTAACACTTCTTTTCGGATTATTTCGCGGATTTATTTTGGTTTTTGGTTCCCGACGTTTCGAATGCTTTACAGCATCCATGGTCACGGGAGAGACTGAGGTGTTACATGTCTTGAAGATATAGTTGTTACAGACAGCCTACCCATAATTAACAAAATGAAAATTGCAAAAATTACCTTACAATATTTTTTAAATTTAAACATTTTTATAATTTTAATTAGTTTTATAATTGAATATGGAATATTATTTGTTTAATTTTTGCTGTTATCATTATAATTATTACAATTTTAAAAATATTAATTAGTAATCTATATTTAGTTTTGCCATTATTATATTTATAGCCATAAAGAAAAATTATAAAATATAATATTAATTATTTAAGCCACATAATTGTTCTATGTGTAATATAAAAAGTTAAAATTAGTTAAGAATAATAATTTTAATTTAGTTTGCTATTATTTAAAAGGACAATTTACTAAGCAACACTATTACTATATACTTACAAAGTAAAATAATTAATATTATATTTTATAACGGCCCCTTACATGGTTTTTATCACACAGCCATGCATTATTATGTATTGTAAAAAGTTACGCGATCTGACATAAAACAAATTTAACCAAATTATACTTTAATCGATTGGATAAAAAAATACAAATTGTCAATAGTCAGTTAAGATTCCTGTACCACGATCCAATATTTTTATGTAGGCCGTATTTCGTTGTTACATAATAAATTCAGCTTAATAAAAGTAAAATCGCGAGCTAGAGGCCTGTCTTTTTCATCAGACTCATGCCCGACTTCAGCAACATCACTTAAGCTACCACCTACGTATGAGATCCCTAGCTTAAAAGTTCCCCTAAACAAGCCCCTAAATTAAATTTAGTTTTATCATCGTCAGAGCCCGTATTTCTAGTACCTATATTTAGGTGGCATTTTAACATTTAGGTGACCCCTAACTGTCGGTAAAACAGAAACTGTCCCCTAACAGCCCCCTAACCATGCTTAGAAGATCCCTTAAACTTAGGTGACGTTGGTGAAATCGGGCATCAGACATGTGCCCAATTACATTACATATTATGTACATTTACATATTATGTAGTATGTGCCAACTAATGCACATACTACATAATATGTAAATTCTTTGATTAGGCACTAGTATATGTGAATGTGTTTAAATAAACCAGCGATTTAGCTAGAAATATAATTTTCTATGAAAATAACTAATTACAAAATTCCCTTTAACTTACAAAAGGCCATGTTTATTTACAGCCTAATCGGATCTACTCCAGAACTGTTTTATTATTGCCACCCTCATCTTTATGGTCTATAAACTTGACGTTCATTTGTTAGAAGTATCTAACACCATTATATATTGTCGACCAGGTGTCCTATGAAACGTCATATTTTATAGCTTCAGCCACGATAAACCTTTTTTATTATTGTTTCGGTTATTTCTTCTCTTTAGTTTGAATTGTGGCCGCTTAGTCTCGTTATTGCGTCTCAGAAAAAACCGGCTCCTAATAACATAATATGAACGAAACTAATAATATAAACAGTGCCGGATTAAGCAAGCGCGGGGCCCGTAGCTAGTAAGTTTAACTGTCAGTTAGCATGACTGTCAGTTTGTTTAACTATCAGTAAGTTTAACAGTCAGTATGGGTTACTGCCTGTAAGATTAACTGTCAGTAAGATTAACTGTCAGTAAGATTAACTGTCAGTAAGATTAACTGTCAGTCTTATGAACGGCTAGTAAATTTAACTATCAGTTAATTAAACTGCCAGCAAGTTAAACTGTCAGTTTGTTTAACTATCAGTAAGTTTAACTGCCAGTAAGGGTAACTATCTGTAAGATTAACTGTCAGTAAGATTAACTGTCAGTCTTATGAACGGCTAGTAAATTTAACTGTCAGTTAATTAAACTGCCAGCAAGTTAAACTGTCAGTTTGTTTAACTATCAGTAAGTTAAACTGTCAGTTTGTTTAACTATCTGTAAGTTTAACTGTCAGTAAGATTAACTGTCAGTTTTATGAACGGCTAGTAAGTTTATCTGTCAGTTAGTTTAACTACCAGTAAGATTAACTGTCAGTTGTTTAGCTGTCAGTTTTATGAACAGCTATTAAGTTTAACTGTCAGTTTCTTTATCTGTCAGTAAGGGTAACTCCTAGTAAGATTAAATGTCAGTTTTATGAACGGCTAGTAGTTCTGTATACCTTTTTAACCGACTTCCAAAAAGGAGGAGGTTTTCAATTCGTCGGAATCTTTTTTTTTATGTATGTTCTTATATAAAAATATTTTATACACAAAGATTGTATACCTACTAATCAGTATTATATATAACACCGTATGTGTGATCGTAAATACCGTTAAATTATTATCTATCTCGCGAGATTGTAAACTGTCGAATGATTGTGAATCGTAACATACTATTTACAATTTAACGCATTATTTTTGGGTTGATTATAATTTAATTATCTATCAAAGTGAAACCGTCAAAATGTGAAATGGAAAAACTTACCATAGAGTTACCAAATTATCATCCCCATTTTCACCCACTTAAGGGATGATTTCCAGATAAAAAGTATCCTATGTCCTTCCCAGGGTTGAGACCCTATCTTCTTACCAAATTTCATCTAAATCGGTTCAGTAAATCTCTGGGAGATTACCACCTACAGCTCCGCAAACTCACAAACTTTACCTCTTCACAGGTAATTTTAGTATAGATATAGCATAAAGCGATTAAATAAAATATCTACATAAGTGCTTATGTACTTAATAATTTTCAGTTACATTAAAATTCAAAACTTACACGAGCAAATAGTGTTTAATATTTTACCTTCAAGTTTTTTACAAGGTTACACTGAAGGTGAAGAACGCACTGAAAGTTTAACACAACCATTAAAGTGCTTACGTAAAACAATCATCTTGTCAAGCATGATATATTACCGTTAGATCTATCCAAGTGACGCCTATCATGACCATTCTTTCTTTTGAATTCAATTCACTCGTGCCGTTTCTAGTGCCTGTAATCAGCTTACAAAAAGAAACAAATTAGATAAATTCCTCCAAATGTCTTTATTCACGACCAACACTCTTTACCCGAAGACTAGCTCTATACCTAATGGATTTGCAACGCAAATGGCGGATAAATCGAAAAACAAGATAATTTACCTGGATGTCGCGCCGGCTCGCACACCATATATGAAGCCTCCGTCCAGCATTGCTATAGTGCCTTTACATGATAATCTCATTGCTCCTCAAATAAATAGAGATATTGTTTATGAGAATATTAAACCAGTTTTCACATTATTACGAGTTATGGGTGTTTTGCCTTTAACGCGACCTTCGCCAGGACTGAATCAGTTCCAAATCGCATCTCCTTCTATGCTATACTCTATTATTTGCTACGTTTGCCTTATTGGTTACATACTATACCTGTCTTTGAATAAAGTTCAGATATTACGCACTGCTGAGGGTAAATTCGAAGAGGCAGTCATTGAATATCTTTTTACGGTTTACCTATTTCCCATGATGGTGGTTCCAATATTATGGTACGAAACGCCTAAAATTGCTGGTATTCTAAACGGATGGGTCGACTTTGAAGTAAGTTTGTAATAATTCACTTATACTTCTTGTTTTCAAATAAACTAATATAAATATTGTTTGGTTTGTTAATGTTTTTTTTTTGCAGATATGCTATAAAAAATTATCTGGGAGAATTTTACCCATTAAATTGTACAAGAAAGCTCTAGCAATTGCTGTTATTATTCCAATACTCTCCACGAGTTCGGTAGTCATCACACATGTGACTATGGTCCATTTTAAGTTAATGCAGATTTTACCTTACATTTTCTTAGAAATCCTCACGTACATCTTAGGTGGATATTGGTATCTTCTATGTGAAACTTTAAGCGTATGTGCAAGTGTTCTTGCTGAAGATTTTCAACAGGTATGTGTAATCATTAATGTAAGGTGTTAATTAAGTAATAAATAAAACTGTATAGTTATTTAAATTAAAAAAGCCCGTCATGTAATAATTAATATTATAATAGAGTATCCTCAGTATTTTTAAACTTTGATATTTTTTAAACTAATTATAGGCAATTGTTTTAGGCTCTCCGACATGTGGGACCAGCAGGAAAAGTAGCTGAATATCGTGCTCTGTGGCTCCGATTAAGCAAACTGGCTCGAAACACTGGCGTCGCGAATTGTTATACCTTTACTTTCGTTAATTTATATCTATTTCTTATAATAACTTTATCTATATACGGTCTCCTTAGTCAAATCTCTGAAGGTTTTGGTATCAAGGATATTGGACTTGCGGTAACGGCTTGTTGCAGCATTTTCCTATTGTTTTTTATTTGCGACGAAGCACATTATGCATCTCATAATGTAAGTATAATATCATATATTTATTATTTTGTTTATCAGTTTTTTCATATAAAAATGAATTTATAAAAAAAATGGTGGTTTCATACTTGTGTAGGTATTATATTCCACGGAAAACACTTGATAGGTAAGAAAACTAGCCCATGTTACTACGAGCTCATAACTATTTTCGTGTAAAATATTCAATGAATGGATTTTCACATACACTCATCTATACATATAATAAAATTCTGAGCCGAACTGTACATTAAATATTTTTTGGAAAATCTTATTGAAATAATCATTATTATGGCTACAGAGGTTGAATCTATAGTTTTTAGAATTTTTATCTGTCTGTCTATTACCACATCTCGGAAAATCCACTGGAGGGATATTGTTGTATTTTTGGTATGATGATAGCTGGCTATCCGGGTCAACATATAGGATACTTTTTACTGCCGGAAAATATCTCATCTATGAGAAATCTATACTAAACGTTAAAACGTAAGTAGGGACGAATCCGAGCGGAGCGAGGGTGAGTCGCTAGTTTAATATATTATTTACACATAATTCATATTTAATTTTAAACTACGCAAATATATGTTTTTATCAATATTGCCGCAACTATGTTTTGTTTTCATAAAAAATATTTATTTTTTACAGGTGAGAACGAATTTCCAAAAGAAGTTACTTATGGTGGAACTATCGTGGATGAACACAGATGCTCAAACTGAAGTCAATATGTTTTTACGTGCTACTGAAATGAACCCATCTCAAATAAGCTTAGGGGGTTTCTTTGACGTGAACCGAAATCTATTTAAATCAGTAATATTTTAATATTTTTTTCTTTTATCAAAATCAAATTTTATATTAACCTTTCAATGTAAGCAGTTACCAAAATGTAAACCTATTTTTAAATTACTGTTTATATTTGAAAATTTAGCCCAATATTTATCAAAAAATTATGTTCCAGCTCCTCGCTACTATGGTCACGTACCTTGTCGTGTTGTTGCAATTCCAAATCAGCATTCCTGATGATAATCAAAGAAATGAAATGGACACTGAAGAAAATCAAGTGTTCATCAATGAAACAGTAGCTGAAACTACCAAAATGGCCACCACTATAGCGACTACAATCTTGACAACTCTAGCTAAAAGAAAAAAGAAAAATTAAATAGAACAAGCTTGAGATTTTTAATTTCAATTTTTTTTAAGTTAAATTAATAAAATCATTTTCTCATGATCAAAAATTGTAATTAAATGTTTTTTAACAAATTACTAAATGAAGATAACCATCAAAAACCATATAATAGGAGTTAGTATGAAAAAAAACTAAAAGATAGAAAGAAATACGTACGCACATAAAATTCTTGGATAGGTATTTTACAAAAATTACAGAATAATAGAGATTCCTAAATACTTTCTACGAAAATTGTTTGGGGGAAGATTGTTGAGTATTTTTTTAAGTTAATCTTAATATTTGGGATATTTTCGCTCCCAAGCTTTGTTAATTTGTTTAGCGACAGCAAAATTAATATTAAGTTATTTATGCTGTATTATTTGTTATGTACATGTTTGTATTTATTTTTTAATCTAATTAAAATACGACATAAATAAGACGCGATTATCCGCCCGATCTACGGATTTACGGGAAGCTTTCCCGTAGCTGACCCGTGAATCGATTGAATTTATTTCAAGCTTTCATATCCATGAGAAAATTTCTCGTACTTCTCAGAATTTTCCATCCATACTAATATTATAAATGTGAAAGTGTATTTGTTTGTTTGTCTGTCTTTCTTTCACGTCGAAACGGAGTGACTTATTGGCTCTATTTTTTGTGTGTAGATAGTTCGAGGGCGGGAGAGTGATATAGGCTACTTTTTACCGCGGGAGATTATCTAATTCCCACGGGAAAACACTTTATAATACAATCCAAAAAAATATTTATGATCAAAATTACTTGTAACTTGGTATATATACTCTTCAATAAAATTAAATAAATACTTGTTTTAGCATTTTTCGAAATTCATCCTATAAGGGGGTAAAACAGGGAGTGAGTTTGTATGAAACTACCCCTTTAGAGATTTTTTGTAGTTTTAGCGCGAGCGAAACCGCGGGTTCTGCTAGTTTACTATAAATAAGTTCTCAAAAACAAATGTTATGTTTGTTTTTAATTTATGCTATTTTTTTTTGGGTGTCAATGTTGTCGGTAATTTACCGACTTTGGTCAATTCCCTTTTATTTTGCGTTCATACGTGTACTGGATACGGATATATGTAGGTATTGATTCAATTGATGATTCATTTGATGATGATTTTTTTTTAATTTAACAATTTTGTTTGAGCTGTAAACCTTTATTACTAGAAGGAAAATAATAATCTTTATTTTTAATAATGATAATGTTCGTATACCCCGAACCCGTTAACTATAACAGCATAAGGAAACTACAGCACAACTTTTAACATTTGTAATTTAGTCAAAATTTAAAATATGTAGTTTCTATAGTTTTTATTAATTTCTTACACTTTTACTAAATACTACTACTTTTGCGGAAGTATTTCCGAAAAAGTGGTAATAGTGTATGATCCTGTTTAATAAATCTGCTTCCGCTTTTCCTTTTATTCGACACAAATGTTACAGTTGGTTCAATTTGTAAAATTTAATTCAATACAAAAAAATGTGTGTGTACATATGTTTGAACGTAAGAAGTTATACTTTTTTTTATACCATTTGAATAAAAACTTGTGTTTTAAATGCTTAAACTTTTTCATTGGATATCCATATCAGAGGGGTGCATAAAAAAACAGTGTGGCATCTTTGGGAGTCCGCCATATTAGATTTACAATGACGTCATTTTGCTTATTGTGTTTCGCTCATCAAGGCCTTTCAGTTGCTATACATAATATCATGTGGGTGCATAGAAAAACAGTCCGCCATCTTTGGGAGTCCGCCATATTAAATTTACAATGACGTCACTTTGCTTTCTGTGCTTCGCTCATCAAGCCCTTTCATTTGATATCCATATCATGGGGGTGTATAAAAAAATAGGTGTGCCGTGTGTGTAACCTTTATGCGCGGTTGAAGTAACACTTCTTTGTCAAATATCGCAATTAAATTAAAACAAATCAATAATTAAATAAGGCATAATATATTAAAATCATATATTTATAGAATATCATAAACAGAAAAAATATAAAGATATATTTGTCAAACAATAACAACTGTTACTATGGCAACATGGCAATGCATTCTATATCATTCTCTCGCCGGCTTAATCCTATATAATTGTGTTTGACTCTTTTTAGCGTCGCATTTTGTTTCATCGAGTTACAAATCACAACGATTCTAAAGAAGTTTCACTTTAAAAAACAGTCCGCCATCTTTGGGAGTCCGCCATATAGAATTTACAATGACGTCACTTTGCTTACTGTGATTCGCTCATCAAATTATGTATGTATAGAAACACCGAAATGAATATCTGGAATATAGACATCACAATTCACAACTATAAATTAAAATAAAACTAAACAGTAGTTCTTAAATTTAAAAAAGTATAAGTAAACTTAAAGCTGTTGCTGTGAAAAAAACTTTTCTGTTAAATGTTAATAATAATAATAATCTGTGCTCGATAATACAGAGTATACTTCATCTTCACAGATAGCTTACAATCATAATGAAGTTTAACGTTCCGTTACATGAATTGATTTGATACGTTGGCTCAGAACATTTGCTAACCACCGAATATTCCGGATTAGCAAATGTCAAACAATATCGCATTCTTGAGAGATCTAGAAAACGCCTAGAGGTACCGCTTTTACTTGTAATTTGTTGTAATTTAGTTAATCTAACTTATTATACTGAGGAATATTAAACATGGTGGACTACAGCAAATGGAAAGACATCGAGGTAAGTATTTATTTTTACCCTTGCGTTCGTAATAACATCAAATGAGTTCATCATATAGTTGAACAACATAATATAAACTCTTAGATAATGTATTTATTGTCAATTATGACCTGTTGAAAGCATTGTTTGTTAACAATTTTTTAGATCTCAGATGACGAAGATGAGACTCATCCAAACATCGACACACCATCGCTGTTTCGCTGGAGGCACCAAGCCCGTGTAGAACGCATGGAAGAACGGAAACGTGAAAAAGAAGATCACGAACAACGAAAAGCTGAAAATATCCGGAAACTTGCCGAAACCAAAAAGAAAATTGCCGAAGTAGGCCCAGACAGTGCTGACCTAGAATCATTAAAGAAAGCTCTTGCAGAACTTGAAAAAGAGGAAAGAGCAATAAAAACGAAGGAAGATGAATTGAAAAAGAAAGAAAAGAAAACACCATGGAATGTTGATACTATAAGTGAGCCAGGATTCACAAAAACTATAATTAACACAAAGCCTGTAAGGCCGAAAGATGAAAACTTAACAGAAGAAGAAAAGGAAGCAAGAATGAAGAAGTTTATAACAGAAAATGAAAAGTTGTTAAAACAATTTGGTATGCTTCGCCGTTATGATGATTCTAAGCAGTTTCTTCTGGAGCATAGTCAATTAGTTTGTGAGGAGACTGCCAATTACCTTGTTATTTGGTGTATAAACTTAGAAATGGAGGAGGTAATTTCAATAATCATAAATATAAATAATTGTAACAATAGTTTTGCTAAAATGTGTTATTCTCTATGCTCTTTAAATGGAATTTTAAGGTTTTTCGTTTATATAGAGCAACTTATTTACATATGGCAATCTGAAAATTAAATTATTTAATTCTTATTGGATATATAGAATAGCTTTAGTTATTTGCATATCTTTTTCAGAAACATGACTTAATGGCACATGTAGCACATCAGACAATTTGTATGCAGTATATGCTAGAGCTCTCTAAGCAGTTAGATGTGGATCCAAGAGCTTGTGTTGGTTCTTTCTTCTCCAGGTATTATATAGTATATATATGTAGCTATTATTAAAAATTAGGTAACTCGTTAAGTCAGCTATACTCAACCTGCGGCCCGTGGGCCCCAGTCGGCAGCATGAAAAATCGCATTATAACATATCTTTGTTAAAAAAGTAATTACATCATTAACTTGGAATTACGTTTTTATTAAGACCTAAATAATTTTTGCTTGCGGCCCTCGACACTATGACTGAAACGTGTTTGTGGCTCCTATAAAAAAAAAGCTTGAGTATGGCTGCATTAAGCTCACCTAAAGTTGTGAACCCATGTATTACATTTATTCTGATTTTGTAAAGTAAAATCCTCCAAAATAGCTTTGATCACTATGTGATAAAAAGTATATAATATAAAAAAAAAAAAATTCATAAATATATTTTCCTGTCATTACAATATCTATTTTATTATAAAAACAGAATTCAAGTGGCAGAAAAGACTTACAAGGATTCATTTGATGATGAATTAGAACAATTCAAAGCAAGGATTAAGAAGCGTGCAGCAGAAAAAATTCAAGAAGCTCTCCGTGAACAAGAAGAAGAAGAAAGGAAAGCCAGACTAGGACCAGGTGGCTTGGATCCTGTGGAAGTGTATGAAGAACTACCTGAAGTAAGTAGAAACAAAATTGATTGATATATTTTTCTCTAACTTCAACTCATTGTCCGATAGTCATATTTTCATTTGTATTATATGAGCATACCTACGTGATATCTCCCTATATTACTAAGATTTTGTATTGTGAGAACATTTAGTGGTATCAATACATAATATATTCATTACTATAATATACATGAATCATATGATAACTAATATGATGAATAATCGTTTTCTCATTTATCTTATTGGATTATTCTGTTTATATACTAATTTTAGTGTCTAGTAACCATGTAAGATAACACTTTAAATAACATGTAGACTATAGAAACACAAAATTTCTGTCTAAAGGAGTTTTTTTGTTAAAATTTCTGTATAAAAAAAATATTTATTCAACTTATATATACCAATATTCTAGACCCCATGCATCTATTTCACTGTACTTAGCTAAGGAATAAAAAAAGAGTAATATTCCAATTACCACTTGTCCAAAGTTGCTAAACTATCAGCCATGTAATGCAAACCCAATTCACAATATTATTATACAATATATCTGAAATAAATTTTAAACTTATGATTATTGCAGGAATTAAAGAAATGTTTTGACTCTCAAGATGTTCCCATGCTCCAAGCGACTATAGCCAAGATGCCTGATGAAGAAGCTGTATACTACATGAAGAGATGTGTTGATGCAGGACTTTGGGTTCCTGGGAAGAAAGATGAGGAACCTACAATGAAAGACAATTCTAATGATACTCCATCTGTTAGCACTGGAGAAGTAGACTGATTAAAATTTACTTTTTTTTATTCATTCTTATTATTTTGTATCTATAAGATACTTACTTTCTTCTTAAAAGATTTTTTTGTTTTATAATTCACCTTTCAATATGTAGAAAATCTGTATAATATGAATACAAGAAAATGTGTTTAGTTTACAAAAACTTGTGTTCTTGAACAAGTGAAGAAGTCCTAAAACTAAAATTATGTATTTTCAAAACTATATTTTGTATACATAATATTAATTTGATAAATTTTATCCATAGTTTTCTGATAAATTGTTAAAAAAAATTATTCAAACGTCACTGTTGGGGAAATATTATAATTAGAGATACATTATATTAGCATGATATAATGTATTGTCAAAGAATTAATAAAATAATATCAATTCTTTGAGATACCTTTAATAGTAAAAGTATCTGTAAAATACTTTTAGTATTCTTAATAATTAATATAGCTTTCTATGAAATGTAAGTTAAATGATGTAAATTATATATAAGGATTTCTAAAAAAATAAGGGTGAGCATAATTTGTCTTTAACAACTAGTTAAATGGAAATATTTTTAAAACAAAAAAAGTTATATTTAGAAAATTATGAATTAATAGCCATTAAACAATTAACTTAGAATAATTTAAAATTAAAATTTCATGTCGTGTTTATGTGTAAAGATTGCACTAACCATATATTTAAGTAATTAATAAATAATAGGATAATATTTATATCGCCGTCTTTGAAAAAAACTAGATATAACAATTCATATTTAGTTAGTAGTTTTACAAGCTAGCATTACTTTGAGATTTGATTGTGAATGAACACTGAACTCGTTTTATTTTTATGTATATATCAATGCTGTAAGTGAATTAATTATAAAGAATATATTATCCTGACATATTTTTTTCTCAAAATTCGATTATCTGTCCCAACAAAGCAGTGTTTTTTTAAAAACTTAACTTTTTAAATAAAAAAAAATAATTGCTTTTAAAATACTTGGAAATATTTACCAGATAATCCAAATTCATGCTAATACTTATATACTGTAGTTTAGTTTAAAATGAAATAAACTCTAAAATACAACTCTCCTGCACTCCTGTATGCTTATAGAGCTATTAATAGAATATATTGCAGAGAAGGTCGATGATTAAATTAAACCCGGCACCTGATCACTCTATATTACAAGATCTTTTCAAGTGGAGATGAATACACTTTTCCATTTTACCCTATTCTAGCTGGAGCAACACTAGTCGATCTAGGCCCAACCATCTATACATATAAATATCGACATATATATGTATGTACATTGTACATATGTTCCGTAAGGACTCTTTAAATAGATGGAGCAATTTTGATGAAATTTTCAAGCAATTTTCAGATTAGCCCCGCAGGCGATCCTGTGAAGTTTGGTAGCGATCTAAAGTCTGAACGCAGGTGAAGCCGCGCCACGAAGATTTACCTAGGAAAAGCAACAACAAAAAAGTAGTTTCATTAGACTTAAAATACAAAAGAGAAGTTATCAGCTATCATAAACAAAAGTGACATGGCTGGTAAATGCATGACGGAAAAATAAAAATGGATAAGATTATTTTAAAGATATTTTTATCCCTATAGTCTATACTAATTAATAAAATTGAACTGTCTGTTTGTTATGTCAAAATAACAGCTTTTTACTAAATGCATAATATGAAAGTATATATGACACTAATAAGAAAAAACAATTTAAAAAAAAATGTCAGTTTGTTCCAGCTAATCTCCGAAACGGCTGGATCGATTTTTGCGGGACTTTCACTGGCAGATAGCTGATGTTTTAAGGTATACATTACTTTTATTTTAGAAAAAGAATTAGGATTTCGCTAAAAAAAGAGAACGCGGGACGGACGGACGCACTAGTTAATACTAATAATTTCAAACAGATTTGAATGAAACCTCATTATTCATATAAATAAAAGGATAATAAATAAAAATACATGACATTAACTTGTACTTTTATATAACAAAACTACATTAGGTGAGAGTCGTGCGCGCTACGTGAGCACGTGCGGCGGCAGCTGCGGCCGGCCCTCGAGCTTGCTGTAGTCTAAGTGGAATTCTTTCGCCACCTGCAAAACCGAAACACGTTTCGTTCAATAATTATTAACCAGGTGCTTATTATCTCATAATATTAAACATATTATGTATGTATATAAATTTATTTTGTGTATCTCAATATCGACTCTAACGATTTGGATCATTTTGTATTTAGATAAGTTATTTTGTATTTAGATAAGTTATTTTGTATTTAGATAACTTTTTAAATTGTATCTATAGCTATATGCTTTACTAAAAAACGCAATTTTTATATTTTTTATGAAAAAAAAAAGCAAAAAAAAGGTAAGCCCAGATACTATTAATTTAAATTCAGGCAACGCCTCTGTGTTACTTCAGGCTACATGTTATTGTTGAGTGACAAACAAACACACTTTCGCACTTATAATAGTAGTGTGATTAATAAAGGAAAAGATTTATAAATATTACATTCTACATATTTGTAACAAAGACCTCTAATCAATCCTTCTAAGGGAACTATCATGGGAAAAAGACCTTATCGCCAAGGTCACGCTCCAATTTCAGAAAGATTAGATAAACATCCTTAACACGACGCTGTATCTCAGTTTGATAAAATATGAATTCAAACAAGCGACACCAGGCAGGTGTTTTATTTCAAACTTGTGTAAGTGTTCTATTCTAAAAATACTAATCCTAAATGAATAATAAAATAAAGTAGGTTAAATACAATATAAGTGTACAACTAATGTTTAGCAGCAAAAGGTGTAATGAAACACATCCATACTGTCTAATGTCCAAACTCTCGACTAACAATGCTTACATAAATGTCTAAAGAACCTACAGCGTTTTCAAGACAATATATGTATGTATGACGTATGTGGACTATAGACTGCCCCCTTATATTGAAAGGAGGCCCGTGCCCGACAGTGGAACGTTAAAAACGGATGCATATATACATACTAATAAACTACACTTATATATACACTACAATAAAATATAAAATAATAACCTTGCGCCAATTGTGCGCATCAAAGAAGTAGTAAGTGCCGCGCTCGTACGTGGAAGTCTTCTCCACCATAGGCATGCCGGGCGCTTGCGAGATCCACACTTTCTCTTCCATGTGATACCGCCATTCGCGGTTGTATCTAAATATAAAAAAAATCTATATTAGAATAAATGGGTTAACCCGTAATACGAAATTATTTATAAATAAATAAATATGTTGGGACATTAACACACAGCACCATCTAGTTCCATGGTTAGCTATGAGGTTTGTGTTATGGATACCAGATAGATGATACACTACACATATATAACTTTAAATACATACATATTATAAATATATTTTATAATTTAGTATATCATTTGGCAATAAAAATGTTTACTTCCACATTAAATATCAGAACTCCATTCGAAATTCTGAACACAGGATATTATATCCCAATGGCAACATTTCTCCAAATAAAACAACTATTCCATCTTTACGCTATTTTTGGAAAGATTTATTACCAACAGAATTGCTACTATATCAATATTCAATTGCAATTCAGTATTGTTGCTATCAGTATATTAATACATATAATCGTCAACGAAAGCTTCTAGACAGGACAATCGTATGAGACGTGCAGGTATAACTATTCACCATGAAAATTGGTATTTTGGCAACTCGATGGACTTACTACTGTTTGGATTTTTATACTATAGACAATTATGAAATACTAGCGACTCACCCTCGCTTCGCTCGGGTTCGTTCCTCGGTTAGTTCCTCATAAAAACTTTCATCCTCATTTTTACTCCCTTAAGGGGTGATTTCCGGGATAAAAACCATCCTAAGCCATTCCCTAGGTCTCAAACTATCTTCTAACCAAATTTCATCTAAATCGGTTCAGTAGTTTCGGACCCTATTCAGTTCAAACAAATAAACAAACAGACAGACAAACAAACAAATCTTTTCTCTTTATAATATTAATATAGAATATGAACACTAACAACTCCGCCGCCGCAGCAATCTGCAGTACATCGCCCACGAAGCAGTAGAACAGGTAGAACAGTAGATCCTCCTTGTACCGACTGAGTCGTAGTGGCGCTAGCTTCTCTCTTATGGAGCCGTTGATGAGATACTCGGGGGGAACGTGATAGTCCATGTCTTGTGGCCTGGAATTAAGTTTAATAAAATCATTTATTTGCTAGATATAAAATTCTCAGATACTTTATCTGTTACAAAGAGAAAAATGACGGCTCTGGCTAGGCTATTTCGTTTTACCTAAAAACAGTATATGTATAAAATGTAACAAAAGGCAAAAACAAAAATTGACTATGACCATCATATATATTTTTACATGTGTTTGCCATCTTTCTAAATACACAAAACAGTCTATTAATATACTGTAAAACCTTTTCACCTAATTCTATGATATATGATCTATTATATAAATTCAAGAATCTGTTTTTTCAGTTTCCTTTACCACCAAAGGGGCGTTTTTTAATTAAAATAGTTTTTTAGAACCTATTATTATTTTTATTTTTTTGACATAAATATCAATACTTAATTTAATAACAAATCCATAAAATCCACGCCATCTATTGACATTAATTTGAACTTTTCGTCTTTCTGATGATACCCTTATTCAATAATGTTTTACAATCAGCTAAACAATAAATAATTTTATTTCTTCACTTTTAATCTTTCTACAATATTAATCTCAATATTAATGCCACGTAGAAATATTAAAGTACAATCCCATGTAAGACTAATTTTTGGTAAATATATAACACAAATATGATAATATTTAATATTATAATGTAGTACAGAAGTATAAGAACATTCAGACCAACTCAAACGACACCTTTTTTTTCTAAATCGAGATTCAAGAAAAATTGTCAAAAAAAGAATTGTAATGTCAAAATAACAGCTTTTTACTAAACACATAGGAAATTACGTACAGTATTCATGAAAAAAATGTCTGTTCTGGTTAATCTCCGAATCGGCCCGATAGATTTTGACGGGACATTCACTAGCAGATAGCCCATGATATAAGGAGTAACTTGGGTTTTTTTATTTCAGAAAAAGAATTAGGGTTCCATTCAGAAAATTTAAAAAGTACCTAAGGACGCACCTGAGCGAAATGAGGGTAAATCGCTGTTAAGTATATAAAATGTTTCACCTGCAGGGCGTATCCGCCCAAGGGCCAGCGAAGGTGAGGTACAAATTGTCTGGTGAATTCAAATTGAGGCCTAAAGCCGTCAAATCTTGTCCTAAAGCCAACGACACCAGGCTCGGGTCAGATTCGGCCGCTCTGATGAAAGTTAACAGCCCCACTATTCCAAACTGGTTAGGTATCATTGTTTCTGGTATGTTTGTCACTTTGCCTGTTCAGAATGGAGAGAGAATCATTATTATGGTGAAAGATAGAAGATGTAAAGTTTCTATTATTTAAAATAAAAGAAATAATTTTTTAATTTAAATTGAATAAACATTGTTTTTTTTTAAGAAAAACTACTATCTAAAATCTATTTTGTTCTAAAACAAAGATAATCACAAAAAGTTTATTTTCTATCATATCCTCAATATTTATATATTTTAAGATATAGACTAAAATTAATTAGATAAGACAAGACAGATGATCACGAAAAATGAGCACTAATTTAACTGGCTTAACAAATAGCTAAAATAAAAATAGATTATTTTTACACACAACAAAAACATTAAAAGACAACCAACCGACCAGTATGAATATATGTATTTAAAATAAATAAAAATAATCTACATGTTTATATCAGGGTGCGACTATACGAATATCTATATTAATAGGTTAATATATACGTTAGTTAGTATATAATTTGTTACTGCATAAACAATTATACACACCGTAATATTCCGTATGTGCTCCTTGACTGACAACTTTGAGGACAAAAAGAAATAGGTTGTTATTATAAATGTTACTAATGTTAACTACATTACGCTTAGGACCTAGCATGCACTAGTGTTACTAGTTTGTAATAGACCAAAACCTTAACGTTCAAAGTTAGCATTTAATAAAAAAATATAGGGTATATTATAAGTGATAAGCAGAAAAGGATGAATATTACTACAAGAATAAGGATACATTTTTAATCAATTGTACAAAGGAAAAAAAAACGAATTTATCCTTTCACGTTGTAAACCTTAAACCTCCATAGGTAATTGATAGTCTTATTAGATTAATAAAATAATTAATATTTAAAGCAATTTAAAAAAGAAAAATTAAATAGTGTTCCTTATTACTTAAGAAAACATACTAAACTTATTTCCCAAAACCAAATTAAATAAAAAAAATTAATAAAACCGCATCCTTAAAACTCACAAAACCGCCGCCTTAGCGCAATAAATCGGATGAAATAAAAAAAACAACACATCCCAACCAACACGTATAAGCGCATATAAAGCAAACCACAGACGAAAAAAAAGCAGAACACTCACACTCACCGTCCGGCGAGGTCTGTATCCCCTTGCGAGGCTTGTCGGGCGCGTGCACGTAGTCGGGCGGCGCAGGCGCGTGCGCGCCGGCCGACGTGCCGGGCAGCGCGGGGAAGTCCTCTGATGACATCGTGAACTCTGATTGCTCGGATGTTGGCTGCTTCACCATACCCACTGGGACAGGTGATCGTTTATATAGACAGCTAACTCTTACCCGCGGCTTTGATCGATTCAAATGGGTATTTGGCCGCTATATAATATAGCCTATAATTTATATTTGTAGACAAATCCCACGTGTGTCATTTTTAGACCTATACGTTTTAAAGAATTTTACATAACCACCATCAGATAAATGCTCGAGATATGGGACATGGAGAAAGTACTTTTTAGATTAAACATTGATATTTAATATATTTGAAGATCTTTCTAGCGTCATGTTGGCGTAAATTAACAAAGATCACAGGTACACAAGTTGCGTGCCAAAGATATAATCAAAGTTTTTCACTTACTCGTATCGATGGACCCCACAACCATTCCATTGGTAAAAAAATGTAATTTCGAGTAAGGCATTTTACATAAATATTGAAATTCTGTTATGAATTTAATGAGATTTTATAGCACAACTAACGTCGTGTTTCGATAGCTGATTACGACCGTATTTAGGCAAAAGCACGTGCGTGCGTTTTATATCGTTACAAACATGTATTTTAAGCACACTCGTTAAAATATCTTTTATGTATAAATTAATATAATTATAGAAATACATTTAAAATCAATACTCATACGTGACATGCATATTGTATGGCATAAAATATTATTCAAGCGCCATTATACGTATTTTTAACATATTTCAAAGAGGATTTTATAGTACTCGTGTACGAATTTTAGTAGCAAATTAACATCTTGAAATGTTAGAAAAGATAGACGACTTAAAAAAGATGGCTTATATCCATAAGCGAGCGAGCGAATTTTCCAGGACCGAGATGGTTCCTCCAAATGTGCGTCCATTTTGTCGTGGTGAAAGGGCTTATTAGAGTCCGGCTGTCCAGCCGGGCGCCAAGCCAAGAAACGCACAGGGAGGCTGGTCCACCTCGGTAGGCAGTGTACCATGCGGGTTGTTCCCGATACTATAGCAGAGTCGACTGTGAAGCAACCCCATGGTTGTTGTGGTCTACTTCGGCGGACCTGCCGTCGGTGCGCCGTGGTTGAATGCGTAAGCGATCCTGCGACGCCCCATTAAAACGGAGGAGGTTCTGTTGGGTTTTAGTGGATAGTATTGACTTTGCCGGTGAGTCCCACACTTCGTGCCTAAATGCATTTCCCAAGGTAAAAAAAAGGCCTGCTGACGGGACTTCGTGGTTGAGTGAGGAAGCGATCCCGCGACGCCCTATTAAAACGGGGGAGATTCGGGTGGGGTTTTAGTGCCACATAACCGTAAGACATGGTTGGCATTTAATTGAGGATTTTCCTTCGAAGTTGGACAGCGATAGGTTGATATGTATTTATATAACATCCCACTCTACTACTTCATGCATGAAAAGTAAAATAAAAACAACATGAAGTAGCTACTCCCCGGCCCATAAACTATGTTCATGTGAAAAATCAAAACAAGACCTTTCGATGTATACAATCTATACTAATAATATAAAAAGGTAAAGTTTGTGAGTTTGTGAGTTTGTAGGGGGTAATCCCTGGATCTACTGAACCGATTTAGATGAAATTTGGTAAAAAGATAGTTTGAGACATAGGATACTTTTTATCCCAGAAAACATTCCTTAAGGAGGTGAAAATGGGGATGAAATTTTATATGGGGAATCAATCTAGGGACGAAACCGAACGAAGCGAGGGTGAGTCGCTAGAACTAAGAAGGTATATAATGCTTGCCGTATTTAATACAGCCTAGATTTAATTGTAAAATTTGTACAAATGCATCAACGAGAAAGAACAGACATAAAAATTATCGACCTTAACATTAGGCTTCAAGCTTATCAAATTTTAATAATAACTTTCACATAGCTCGTGCAAAAAGCATGTACGTATATAGAAATGTAGGTCGAGAAGAATTGAGAGTAAAGATTTTAATATTCTCTAAATATAAAACAAAGTTGCATTTTTGGTCTGATCGTGTGCTTATTTTTTGTTTTTGATGAGGCTTTCTTTTAAAATCATTATATGTAATAATATACGTATTAATTATATTAATACACAAAAATTTTGGAGTCTAAACAAAGTTAGAATCGCCAATTGTTTTAATAAGTATTTACAACAGTATGATATTATCTTTACACAATAGCATTGCTTTTATATGGTTTTACGTACTACACTGGGTCTCTCACCGCAAGTGTCGTAGGCTCACCCTACTATGAGAGTGAAAAGACGTACACTTGTATGTGTATGTATATATATATATATATATATATATATATATATATATATATATATATATATATATATATATATATCTTGCGCAGTAGACACAATTATATAGACCGCCATGATCGAAATCAATTAACTAATAAATAATAATATAAAAGCCAAATTTTGTGAATGACTTAATGTATTTGTTACACATCATGTCATAGGTTTTCAAGAAAATTCAGATTTTTTAATGGAAACAGATTACATTCTGATTACTACACACAGGCTACTTTGAATCGAACCGCGGGTTAAAAGTAGTCATCAATACATATAAATTAAGTCGCCGCGCTGAGAAACAATGTACTGAACGGATTTTTATATGGTTTCCACCAATAGAAAGGGGAATTAATATATAACCATTTTCCAAAAATATAATACCAGTATCATATTATCGCATATTATAAATACGACAGTTTGGATGAACTGATTACTCAATCACGCCAGAACGGCTAAACGGATCTGGATGAAATTTGGCACAGTGATAGATTAGTCTGGAATAGCTCATAGGTTACTTTTTATATCGGCGAAAATGTACAGTTCTCGTGGGATAGATTTGTTTTTGTTTTTTACCAGGGGCGAACCCGAGCGAAGCGACGATAAGTAACACAAAACACTATCGTTCAAATGAAGATTTTTCTTTAACTCACCGTAAGGTTTAGAGCCGGGGGGCGGAGGCGCGGCCGCGGGGGCCTGGTCGCCAGCGCCCCGCGCCGTCAGCGACGGGAACTCACTCAGGTCCAGCAGCGGCGGCGTCGACGTGTCCCCGCCCTCACCGAACACCGAGTGGTAGTTACCCGCGTTGAACCTCGACAGATTCGCCATACTCGACTATACATACCACACCAACCGTGTCACTATTGTAGTTTACTTATAGGTCAATTGGCGATTTGGGTTTTATTGTATACTATATGTATGTATCAGTGGCGAAGGGTCTATACAAGAGGTCTTACCTTAAAATTATTTTGCTATAATTTTACATACATTTAATTTTTTAAATGTATAAATTTTCTTTAATTATTTAATTTGCTTAATTTCTTTCTGCTTTAATATGTATATTAAAATTGTATATTTTTGGGATGGCTTTACCTCTGTTACCTCTGTTAAAATTTCACCCTTCGCCACTGTTATGTATTCATGCCTTAATATTGCCACATTATGTGATATACTGTCAAATCAGTGCAATAGTTTAAAACATCAATTTGTGTTCCACTGGCATGCTATGAAGCCATTAACAAGAGAATTGAATTGAATACATTATTACTCATAACTATCTCATAGTTGTCGCAATTTCACTGAATAGTTTAATATAGAAACATTATTACGCATCCGATTATTGATTGCAGAATTATCAGTATGATAATTAAACAAATATCCTACTAACATTATAAATGTGAAAGTTTATGAGTAAGGATGGATGGATGCTAATTACTCTTTCATGCCAGAATGGCTGAATGGATCTAGATGACATTTGCCACATGCAGAAAAGTTCCCAGGGTTAGATTTGTTTCGGTCTAGAGATAGAGATGGTAAGCCAAGTGGCTTGTGTTATGGATACCAGATAGTTGATACACTACTCATATATATTTTTAAATACATACATATTATAAATACAAACACCCATGACTGGAGTACAAACATTCGTGCTCATGACACAAATGAATACCCCCAGCGGGATCCGAACCCACAACAGCTGGCACAGCAAGTAGGGTTGCTACAAACTGAGCCAAACGTGTTGCAAAATTTAATATTTCAATATTTTTGTATCATATAATAGATATATTATACATCCTATACTTACATGAGAAAATATATACTTTGAAATTAGTATTGTTCAATACTCACCATTGAATTTGAGTTTGCTTGTGATAGTGGAGTGGCCATTGGAACTCTACGATCTGCAAATGTCCTTTGTCCGAATAGTGTTGATCTAGATGCCATGGAGGGTGGAGCCCCTCCTGGCATTACCGTGGAACCCCGTCCTGGCGACAGGGCACCACCAAATGTTGGTGTCACATGCCCTGAAACTCCTCCAACCAATCCTGACCCAACTCTACCGCCAACTCCACCACTTGCTAGGCTTCTAGGCGCTTGCTGGAAATTCAAGTTTGCCATACCCTGTAAAATAATGACAAAAAAAGTTATTATTAAAATAGATACTGCTTTTCTAGGATTACATAAAACTATATTCTATAACAGAACCAATTATTATTAATATGGTTTGATAATAAACAAAGGTTATTTGTCAGTTATCTCAATGCCAATAAATCAATGTTACAATAATACTTGAAAATAACTATACTAACATATCATTTGTATACTAACATTTCATACTGGTTCATCAGTTTGTTCCCAATATAACTAAATTTAAACTTCTTCTCATACAAATTTCATAGATTGTATTTATAATACTTTTGAAAAAGTGACTCAATTAAGTTGAACGTCTTTAATTTTCTTAATATTATTTACTAAAACCACAATCGTTATTTATTATGAGAGCATACATTTACATATTTTTTTAAAATTAGTGTCAATGTTCTTTGAGTAAATTAACTTGTAACGTAAAATGTTTATGTGGATGTATTCAATTTAGCAATCTTAGTTTGCATCTTGAGCAGCTGGATTCTATATAATGTTAGGGAAAAAAATTAGCAGGTATAATCAATAAAATATGAAATACGTACATATACATATTTATAAAGATAATTTTGATAAGGACAGTCAATAATAACACATTAGTAGGTATACATAGATCAAGATGGTTATTTATTCGACTGTCAAACAATGGCGACTGGAAGACGTTTCCATTTCAACTATACATAAAATAAATAATATTTACCTAATGTGTTAAGTCAGTCCTTGTTTCACTATTTTAATAACCTTATGGTTGTTTCATAATAGAGTTTTTCTAGCAGAATCAAAAATATCCTCTTGACGATACAAACAAAAGTTTGTTGACTGTTCAATTTTTAAGGCAATTTCTCTGCATTCAGAATTTTATTCACAAATTAAAAGTATTTTTATTACAGCCTTTCCATGAAACACTGCTATAAAAATCTTAAAACTTTATACATCTTTATGTAGCTAAAATAAATTAAAACAATTTCACTCAGATTTGTCGTACGCCACATTACCCTAAACAACTGGCGGCCATATTGTTAAAAGCGGAACCAGTTAGTGTAATCACTTGCACTACCCACTTATTAATTGCCGTCTCGTCTATTTCATGTACATGGAGTAAAACATTTTAATAAAAAATATTTTATAATGATAAAAATTATTGTATATGACTGTTTTGTTTTAAAATAAAAAAAATATACATAATATTGAGAAACTATGTTGACTTTGTAGTAATAATCATGACACCAGAGTTACCGCATTATGAAAATATTTTTAAACAAGGGAAAAAATCAAATTGCATTTATTGTTTTAAAATTTTTAAATAGGTGCATTTAAAATGTATAAATCAGTCAGTATAACAAAATATATTCTATGTAATAAAATATATTTATTACAAACCTTAGGAGGAGTGTCATCCTTGCTGTATCGTTTTTTCATACCGCTTTACTTGCTATAAACGTCGCATGTGTTGAAAATTAATTATCATAAGTCTATTATAATACATTAAATATTGTAATTTAACTTCTTCTACCGATTGTTTTGAAGTTTACTAAAATAATTAATCTCAGTTCTTTGATGTTTCACATTTTTTTCAAGTACCTGCATTTTTAAGATTAATTATAAAAAAGTAACCTATTCTATAATTTATAATAATAACATTTAAGTTTAATTTTTAATTCATAGTAATTCTTAAATAAATATATTGGTATTGAAATGTTCATATTTGTAATAATATTCAAACTTAGTTAAAATTTGAGTAATAACAACGGCAATATTTTTTGACAAACCTTGCAGACTGACCTTGCAGTTTTGTACTAAAACCTATAGTCTATTTTAAATGATATTTTTCACTTTATTAAAAATTTAAAATAAAAATTCACATAATATAGAAATGGAAATAATTCATTTTCTCTATGGATTTTAATGGTAAAAGTACGAGGGACATGGTAACATTAATGATCATATGATTGTTCAATGAAGAAGCACGTCTGATAGGCGTCGACTTACTTCTTGTAGCCAGTTTTTTGGTTTCTGGCTCAATATCGGCCGTTTTACGTGTTAGTGGTGTAAAAAAATAACTATCAGCCATGGCGCTCAGCGACGCAGATGTTCAAAAACAGGTAATCATTTGAATAATACGAATTATATTCAATAAATTTTACACGTCCTAATGGACATTACTTTTCTCAGAATGATTGATCCACGGGTTCCAATGTTTTATAGGCTTGTATTTTGTTGAGAATAACTTTAATTCTCCCTAGTAAATCAGCCAAAATGATTGTTTTTATGTAAATTATTTATTTTTCCTATAGATCAAGCACATGATGGCCTTCATCGAACAAGAAGCCAACGAAAAGGCTGAAGAAATCGATGCAAAGGCCGAGGAGGAATTCAATATTGAAAAGGGGCGCCTTGTTCAACAACAGCGCCTAAAGATCATGGAATACTATGAAAAGAAAGAAAAACAAGTAGAGCTCCAGAAAAAGATGTATGTTTAACTAAATACTTCTGAGGTGGTCTTACAATCACTATTTCCACAAATATAAACCAAATTAATTAACAACTTATCTTTATGATAGTTAATTCAGTCTACTCTCATAACATTATTTATTATTAGTCATAACATTTTATAACATTTACAAAAAACTAGGTGTAAAACTTCAGTAATTATTAAACTAAATAATTAGTCCTATTAGAACTTTTTACTGAAAAGTCATAATATTGTAGGATAAGTTAAGCCTTAAAATATCTGTGGTATGTGTATCCATAGTATACACAAAAAGAATCAAATGTTCCTTTTCAGTATTTAATAAAATATTTTGCACTTAAAAGTAAAATTCTTTACTCAATTAATGTCTTACTTATGAAATTGCTAAAATAGTCACTAATATAATTTGCCAGGATTTTAGAACAAGATTCGTTAAATTTTCTATGGAAAATTATACAATTAAATGATGTGCACCTGCTCAACAAATTTTGATGAAATATGGCAAGGACAGGTTGTATCATGAGGACAGACAAGTTACAAATTATTCCTAATTTTATTACAATGATATATTTAAATTCATGCAAAAATAAGACTGTTTATATAACAAGTATCTTGCAGGCGTGATCATAATGAAGTGTATAATATATTAAGACTAATTTCAATTTTTTTTGCTTCTAAAATGCTGAGAGTCAAATTTTAAAAGGATATTTTTGGTGGATTTCAAAAGTAAGAACAATATTATAATATTTTATAAATATTGAATTATCACTAATTTCATTTTTATTTAAATATGAAAAATAACCACAAATATTAATATACATTGTTCTAGTGCTTGTCTGTCTTCAATTTAAATGATGATGAGATGATGTTTTATAAATTAATTTCAACAAAAATCTATTTATTTATATAAATGGCACCTTTAGAACTAAATACCTAACTTAAACAAAGTGTTAATATTCCTAGAAAGTTCCTATTGTCCTGAGAGTAGCTTCTTTATTTGCATTATTATGTTAATAAAGCTTATTTATCTCATATATTATAGCAAATGGTTTGCACTACTCTAAGTAAAGACCTTTAATTCTACAAAATGAAAAATAACCAAAATTGGAAGTTTAATAAATTAACAGCATTATGATAAGAGATAAAATTATATTGACTAATATAGTTATAAGTTTTATAACAATACATTAACTACTTGTATTGAGCCCTTTTTATGTCCGACTGCTGGGCACTGACCCTCCTTCAATGTCAGGCCCTAGTCCACCGCGCTGGTCAAGTGTGAGTTGGCAGACTTCACATGTCTTTCGAAACTTGCTAGATTCTCTCAGATAAGCAGGTTTTCTCACAATAACAATATATACTTCTATAAAATATGAAATAGATGAATATTAATAATTTTTATCTCATTATAGCCAATCCTCGAACATGCTGAACCAAGCCCGTCTCAGGGTACTCAAAGTACGTGAAGACCATGTACGTAATGTACTTGACGAGGCCCGCAAGCGCCTGGCTGAAGTGCCTAGCGACACCAAGCTGTACTCTGACCTTCTTGTCACACTTATTGTACAGGCTCTCTTCCAGGTATTATTAGATTTGATACTCCTTATCATTTTTTGCATTGTGTTTTTTTAGGCATTTCACACTCACTTTTCCTCGGTTACAGGCTCAACTTCCTCGGTAACAACACCCATAAAATATAAAAAAGTAAAATAAGATACAAACTATGCACTTGGGCATTAATTAAATATAACAGTAATTGAAAATTGCTTCAATTATATAATTTTATCTAAAAATCTATACATATAATAAAATTCTAACTCAGTCGAATCTGTACATTAAATATTTTTTGGAAAATCTTATTGAAATAAACATTATTATTGATACAGAGGCCGAATCCATAGTTTTTAGATTTTTTGTCTGTCTGTTACCGCATCACAGAAAAACCACTTGGAGGGATTTTGATGAAATTTGGTATGGAGATAGCTGGTTATCTGGGTCAACATATAGGGTACTTTTTAAACTCGGGAAAACGACTCATTTCTAAGAAAAAATACAAAAACTGCAATATATAAGAGTACACTAATATGTATTTTTTACACTAATTTCGTTTTTGGTCATCTAAACGCGGGCGGAGCCGCTAGAAATGCTAGTCACCTATAAATCTGTCTAAAAATAAATAAATAAATATCTATCTTCCAGTTGATGGAGCCCGTAGTAACACTCCGTGTGCGACAGGTTGACAAGTCATTAGTAGAGTCTCTACTTGGCAAAGCCCAACAAGACTATAAGGCTAAGATTAAGAAGGATGTTCAGTTAAAGCTTGACTCTGAAAATTACCTGCCTGCTGAAACCTGTGGTGGAATTGAGCTAATTGCTGCTAAGGGACGCATTAAGGTAAATAAATTACTTATAAGTAACTCAAAATCAATATTTTTTTCATGGTAATTAATAATTTGTTATATTCAAATATTCTATTTAAATATTACTACATAAATCAAAAGTATCGGTAGAAAATAGCTAAGTTTATTGTATATTTGCAGATCTGCAACACCCTAGAGTCCCGCTTGGAGCTCATCGCTCAGCAGTTGCTGCCAGAGATTCGTACCGCTCTGTTTGGACGCAATCCTAACCGTAGATTCACCGATTAAACAACATCGGTCATTCAATTTGTTACTACTAACAATTTATTTAAATTTCCTTAGAACTATTATAATGTTACACTAAGTGTTTTCCTTTTGCCTAATTAATTATATATTATAATAATGCGTACAATTTTATCGCTGTTTAGAATATTTAATGGAAAAGTTAAGTCGACAGAACATTACATTTGTGGTCATGTCATTTTGCTAATATCTGGGTCTAAATAATTGTGACTGTACATTAGTTTCGCCAACTAAACTTATATATTTGATTAAAAAATATTTTATTGTTACAATTCATTCGTGTAATCCAATATCTGTGTATTTAGATGTAGTTTATAGGATTTCAAAATGTATTAAGAATTAACATTATATACCTACGTAATCTATATACTCAGCTAATTCTGTAAACCGAAGTCAGGTTCCATTCAGTATTATAACAGCACAACAAACATCAAGTTTATAGCATGATTCATTACTATTATATACATATTATTACATAATGAAATTTTAAGTTCAATGATTCATTATTTTTAAAATGGAGTTAGGAATTATTGATAGCTGTAAGATTTTGATTTGACAGCAGCATCCTATGCTGTGCTCACTTAAATCTATAAGATTTGACTGACTGCAGTGTAGTGTCACATTAAAATCTTGCAGTTGAACAACACATTCCTACGTTTTTACCGTTTTCGTCCTGGCAGTTGAGTTTGACTTGCTTTTGAATAGTGTATTTATCTAAAAATTTCGTATGTATGTTTCCCATTATGGCACTGTTAAAATTATTATGTAAATAATATATAGATGTGTTGAATTCGGTTTTATTTATTATACACCTCTAACCCTTGTATTTTTAAGCAAAATAACACAATAATTTACGACCATATAAAGTTTTTATTAGTCCTCTTAGTTAACTTAAGAAATGTTAAAAAGTTGCTGTATATTTTTTAACATTTCTTAAGTTAATAAATATTAACAGTACTTTTTTTTATTATTAACATGATTTTATTATAAACATTAAAATAACTCCAAATATTTAAATCTAGGCTTTCCTGCAGTCATTTTTGGTTAATTAAAAAACGAATTAATCTTTGAAATGATAAAATTGCCAAAAAATTTTTTTGTAATCAGATGAATAATTGTATTTTCCACCTCGCTATAATTGAAGGCCGATTTTAGCCACAGTAGCTTATTAAGTACTACTTTTTTTTAATGATTATGAAAGTTGAAAGTCTGGAAAACTTTTGAGACCTACTTAGGAACCATGAATTTACATGTTAAAATTTTTAATTTAAAGTTGAAAACAAGTCATAATTCACCGAACGTAAATTTTCCACTTCATACACCAACATTTTCATAATTTCCATCAAAGTTACGAAGCTGATAATGTATTTTAAGCATAAAAGTAAAACTCATGAAGATTCAGTTGCAAAAAAAAACTCGAAAAAGTCTTCTACTTTTTTTTAGATTTTTAAGTTTCAAACTGAACGTTTGAAAATTCTCAAAAGTTAAGAAAAAAAATCATATCTTAAAAACTATCAACAATCGTAACATACATGTGGTGATTCGGGTACCCCAACGGGTGCTCTATCTCTGGACTTCCCCTTGACACTACTTTCTGGGACATCTGTATATAGATTTGCTTTAATATCACCATATATATTGACTCAAGTCTCAACGGCACTCGTTATTCATGTGATAACTAAAACTAAACTCACGTGATAGAAATCTATTACATCCAATCTCTACATTTGTAAAATAAGACCTTTCGGTTATAGTCTTGTAAGTAACAAGAAAAATACATTGGGTCAAGGTTTCTATCTACTTTGTTTTAGTATCATGTGACAAACAACCGTTTAACTATCAAGAACTTACTTACCATTGAAAGATTGAGAACTATAATATAAAATTTAGGAAAAATAACTTACAAATAAAAACAAATTATATTGGCTATTTTTTTATTAAACATTGAGTTAAATCTTGCTTAAAACTATAATAGTCAACTAAGATAAAGTTTTAGGAGATATCAAATTCATAACATTCAATACAATTTCTATATTTCACTCACATTCACTTTTAGAACAAGCAATGACATATATCTCAGGTGCTACGTCCCTGTTGAAAAACTCCAATAGAATCCCATCAAAAGTGACAAAAGCCACATAGAAACCAACAAACATTTATACTTTGACGTCACGACAAGCGCGAGAAATGGCTAGCGTTTAAACATTAAAGTATAAGTATCGGTATGATAATAAAAAAAAAATATACTAAATTTTAGTTTTTTAGAGCTGGATATTTTTTTAGAATTATATAACGATGTAAGCCATTGTATAAAAAATGTAAAAAAAAACGAATATATTATATATCAATAAAATAAAAAATAAAGTTTGATGGAGTTGGATGGATTTCTGATGAAATTATAAAAATATTTATGATTTTCTGTTTGTCTCCCTGTTCAATGGAGAATAGATTTTAATAAAAAAGAAACAACATTATCTCAAGATGATGGAGTAGATCTAGTAAGGAGATGATATTTCTCACATTGTGGATGTTATGAAAACTTACAGGCAAAGACATCAAGTATGTCGCTCAATTGAATTTTAATAACAAACACTTATGTAGCCCAAATGAAATATCACACTTTAACTATCAAATGGAGGTAAACCAAATAGTTCAGGTCTGAAATCCTCTAAACTTTTCAGTACAATAGTTGCTTCGTCAGTTAAACTTTTATCAATTCGAGAATCAGGTACCATAACAACTTGCATACCAGCTGCCTTCGCTGCTCTTACACCATTCACAGCATCTTCAAAAACTAAGCACTAAAATAAAAAAAGAAGATAATTTACATAACATTTTTTTTTAATTCTATATTTATATTTAGAAAGTTCAAAGTATATATTACATGCATTAATAAGAGTATATAAAATTATACATTACCTGCCTAGGATTTGGTTGATCAGGAAATTTTGATGCAGCCACTAAAAATATGTCTGGGTATGGCTTTCCTCTTTTAACATTGGGGTCTGATGAACCAAATGTTTTATATTTAAACAAGGCAAATAACTCTTTATGATGCTTATCTGTTTTCAAATGGTAGCTTTCTTCACTAGAACTTGTAGCCAATCCTATAGGAATTCCCTTATTATGCAAATGTCTGATAAGCCTTTTAGCACCTGAAATGAAGCCAAAAAAAAGTGTAGTGTAGTCAGTACCTAAATTACTTACATTTTTTTGAAAAATATCTGGTAACTAGTATATATTTGGAAAGTCTTACCTGGCATAACTTCGGTATCTGGAAATAATACCTCAAATTGTTTTTTGCTTTCGGTTATGAATTCAGCTTGTGTCATTGGTAGTTCAAGCTCAGATACAATCCTTTCTGCAGTCTCATGAGTTTGTGTACCCATCAATTTTAACTTTAAATCAAATGTATAATTTTTGCCATACTGTGAAACTATATTTTGAAATGCTATAGTATACAAGTCCTCTGTGTCTGCAATAAAGATTAATATTGTTAATTGTTATATTTATAATGTGATAAAAAAAAATAAAAAAAAATATACCTAAAATAAATAAAAACAACTTACTTAAAATTAAGCCATCCATATCAAATAAAACATGACTTATTGGGTTAATCATATTTAAGAAATTTCGATTAATTATTAATTTTAAAGATTTAGATATTTTGTGTACAATGTATTTTGAAACATCAAACAGCTGTGATTTGTCACATAAAAGAAAATAGCAAAGACGTATTTTTATAGTATTAATAATATTAAAATTTGTTGCAATTGGCGTATCGTGTAATAGCGAATAGGTATTATAAAAAAACTAAGATTAGATGTTAGCACAAAATTGTTCCTAACCTAAATAGTCCAACTGTCCAACAAAAATCAAAATTCAAATCTAAAGAAAAATACTTTGGCAGCTGTCAGATTGACTTGTCTAAAGATGTAGCTAAAATAATCGGTAGCGAAAACATCCAATTCTGGAAGTGGGTCAAATTTAACTTGTAAGATTTGATTACAAACAGACACCGAGTCAGGTGAAACTAAATAAAAACTTGTATTAATTTTTATATTTATCGATGTACACATATTGTGTATATAGAAATACCGGAATATATTATCTTGAATATAGACGTCTCACTATATACATATGGGAGATTTAACAACATAGAGTATATTGCTACATATATAAACAACTAAGTGTAACTTCACACTGTAGTTAATAACCACTAACTTCATACTGTAGTCTAAATCTGTCGCATGGTATAAAAATCACTCTCATGATCCATTTTTCATTTTCCATAACGCGCCAAAAGAAGTATATCTTTAAAAATGCTATAAAATACTGTTCAGTTGATTTGCTTGAAACTTTGGTTAATTATATTATATGTAGTTTGTAAAACGATAATGATTAAAAGTTTATATGGACACAGCAAAGTCACATATTGATAATTTCAGAAAAGACGCTGCCAATGTAAGTGATTTCAAGTCAGACATCTATACGTTGAGCATATTATACAGCGTTTAGCATAAACTGGGCGCGCTTCCGTCTAACGCCGGCGCACCCTGATAACAGTTAAAACTCGGCTAATTTTTTTTCGGTTCGGTTTGGAAAAGTAGCCTATACGCTATTTCAGACTATAATCTATCTCTGTGCCGAATTTCATCCAGATCCATTCAGCCGTTTTGGCGTGATTGAGTAACAAACATCCAAACATCCATTTACCTTTCACATTTATAATTTGTTGGTTTCTTTGGTCTGTGTTTATAATATTAGTAAGACTAGCGACTAACCCTTAGGCCTTAACACATCTACACTAATATTATAAAGAGGTAAAGTTTGTGAGGTTGTGACGTTGTAGGGATTAATATCTGGATCTGCTGAACTGATTTAGATGAAATTTGGTAAGAAGATAGTTTAAGACCCTTGGAAGGACATAGGATACTTTTTATACCGGAAATCACCCTTTAAGGGGGTGAAAATTGGGATGAAAATTTGCATTGAAAGCAACTAGGGACGAACCCGAGCGAAGCGAGGGTAAGTCGCTAATATTATATAATACTATACTAGTACCCTTAGGTACCTAGCGGTAACATACATGTTAAGTCATACTTACATGAAAAGATACTTCCCAACTTCGTATTATTTATAATACGTATACTAATTTTAATAAATCCGTTTCTTTAATGTATTAAAGGTTCAAGTTTCACAGGGAATGAATATTGGGTTCATATTTTCAAGATAAATAAGCCCTAAAAGGTGAACCCCAGTTACCTACTATTAAGAACAATATTTTTATGTTGATGTAAATTTTCCGTCAAATAGTAATTATCATAATATATATTATCATCAGTAAGTAGGTAAGTACAATTATTAAGATTTTATTTATTTCTTATTTTTATATAAGTGTAATTTTCGTTTTATATACGTGAATATCATATGTACTTATAATTAGATAATTCCTACACACATACATTTACATTACTATAATCGTTGTTTATTTGGCGTTCCAACAGTGTAATAAAATAATATATCTGTATAAAAAGCGTTATTAAGACAAAGAAATACTATGTACTAAACAATATTCATATTTAATAATTTATTTAAGTAAGTACTTAAATGAATTAAAAAAAGTACTTAAAAAAATTTATAACATACGAATTCTTCATTAATTTCGATCAATCTCTGATATAACCGCAGCACTAGTTTTCTATATTTAGTACCTATCTAGTATTTTTTTAATGTACATTTATGTTTTTAAGAAATATATTACACAAAGGTACCACTCTTGTAACATGAAATATAAACAAGTTTTACAACATATTTATTTTAAATAATTATTAGATTAATCTTAAATTAGGACCTTCTTCATTATTGCTATATAACAAGTACATAACAGAAGTTTAAATGAGCATTATTAGTCAATTCCAATAACTTATATGAGCTGTCCTATTATTAATTTAATATTTATTTATCTTAACATAAAAGAGTCTATTAAGTAAAACTTTAGGTTAATACTTTAAATTCATAATGGCATAGATCATTTAATACTATACTAGTAATAATGGGCTAAAGTTATCGTCCAATATATTTTAATATTTAATTACGAAGAATTTTTAACATTTACCCACATTATATTCACAATCAAAATACGTGTTTTGAACAATGATGCTCTATAAAGAATGTTAATAATGATAGTTAAAATTAATGCCAAAAAACCTGATAAAGACTAATGACATTAAATAAGCAATTTGCGGGTAGTTAAACGTCTTGTAGTTCGTCAATTTGACTATAAATTAAAAATAACAATTAAAAATTACATAATCTTTATATAATATATAAAAGAAAGTCGTGTTAGTTACACTATTTATAACTCCAGAACGGCTGAACCGATTTGGCTGAAAATTGGCGGGGAGGTAGCTTAAAACCCAGAGACGGACATAGGATACTTTTTATTCCGTTCGACTGCGTTCCCGTGTGATATTGTTTGTCTGTTTGTCTGTTTGTACGGGCTAATCTCCGAATCTATTGGACCGATTTAAATGAAATTTTGCATGGTGGTACCTTATATCCCCGGACAACGTCTTAGATATTTTTTATCCCGGAAAATATAATGGTTCCCGTGGGATAGTTAAAAAACTATTATAACTTATACAGCTTATGCACCTAATTTAGTAAAATTTAACATTCTGATATCTTATATTGCCGGTCAAACAACCGGTTACTTTTCATCCGGGAAAAATGAACGGTTCCCGTGGGAACTAATAGATTTTTATTAGTGTTTTTCTAGTATTAAAATAAAACATTTCAAATGTCTATATATGTACCTACAAATTCCATTAAGTATTACTATTCAATTCATTTCAATTCGTTTAGGTATATATTTTATATTGGGGTCTCAGTCGTTAAAATTAGTTTTATTAATTTTAACTAGTCGCAACTCGCATATGTAAGTCATTTGATGAAAACAATGAATATCCTTACAATTGTCTTAGAATTGAGAATATTGCACTTCTTCTTCTTCTCACTGCCCATTTCCCAATCACTTGGGGTCAACGCAGTACATCTCAGAATTGAGAATATTGCACTGAGTGGCGATAATAATAATGAGATGTGAAGAATGTCTCAAAAAGAATATTAATCCTAAACTACAAGGTGGGAGACGTCAGGAGTATAAGCTGGCATGTAGCGCGGTATACGTGGTTCATCACGTCTTCTTACTCCTCTATCCACAGCCAAACTGATGCTTCCAGTTTCTTTCACGCCATTAGACTTCGCACGACGCTGTGACGGAAGAATAGAAGCTCGCATGGATTTCCGTTTCTGTAAAATTCGTTATTTTTAAAAACATACCAATCATTTAGTATTACAATAACACATGTTTACTTACAACCATGAAGACAATCCGGTGGGGGCTTACCAAATTAAGCATCTAAATGAACATGATATGGCATATTTATTTAAGCATTGATTATTAACAATATTCGTAAGTAAATCGTTATCAAGGGGGAAGACGCGAGTTGTTTACATTTTGGTTTCGATTTTTCGTTTGATGTCGATGTGGTCCATAGTCTTGGCTCGGTTTACCTCAACGGCGCCGCGCCACCTGTCGGCTGCGTGACGCGCCAGCTCCATCCTCTTCTGTTTGCGAATTTGATGTCGTTTGTACACCACCTCTATCACGATGAGAACTATGCCACCTATAATGCCTGCTAGGACCAGTATGAACACTCCCGCCATATTTTTCAAGCCTAAAGTGTTTGGAGTCTTCTCGTTCTCTTCACAGTTGAGCATATTGTTTCCTAAAATCCATTTATTGTCAAATGATTCCATAACGCCACCTGTGATAAAGTTTATATACATAGTTAGTAATTTACAATAATCACAATTTGCAAATATATTTTAGTTCAAATAATTTAATTTATTACTTACTTTCATGAAAGTCCAATATAGCTAGTGTAACTAAATCTGCCCATGGAGAGCCTTTTTGTAAACCGACGCCGTAACCAGATCGACCAAATAATTCTCCAGCAGTTACTAATTCACAATCTTGTGCTGCTTCAAACTCAAGCCTCGAGGAATCCCAGATGAAAGCCATCAATTTCCTTAAAAGTAACATCAATTTTATTACCTAAAATGCTAAAAACTATATCTTTATTCTCTCCTGTATATTTTTATTTGTTTCCTTTTCGACCAAAGAAGTAAAACTGTTATTAATCTAGCATTCGTGCCACAATTACGCCAATTATCTTGCTTATAAAAGGGAGTTCCGTTACCAACACATTTATAACTAAATTTTTCTTAAAAATACTTACCCATTTTTAACATCTTGAATCGCCTGTTCAGCATTATCATAATTATTGGCCTCCATCGTACGGTACATGTTTGATAACTCTACTTGTCTACGGAAGTACATGTCTACTGCAGACCCCTTTACCGTGGCACAAGTTAGATTTTCCATTGTATTACGAAGCTGAAAATTTAAAAACTCAGATCATAATATATAGTTTCCATTAAATACAAATAATATTTTTATTTGAACCTAAATAAATTACCCTTGCATCATTTATTCCAGTCAGTTTTGTTTTAGGTCTCTCGAGCACGAGGAAAGCAGCGAGGTTGGCAGTATAAGAAGCAACAATTATCATTGCAAAGCCAGCCCAAACCATGCCAAGAACACGCGCCGAAAAACTACGAGGAGTACCTAAATATTAAGAAATAATAAATTTAAATTATTCTTCAACAATTTATAATAGCAAACTAGCTAATTTCAATCATTCAATATGTAACAAAATTATAATAATATAAACCTTCTCCAATTCCACTATTCAACAATACTCCCCAAGCAAACCAAATCGCACTAGATAGATTCAGAGCATCCTCTTCAGTGCCATCAATATTAGCAAGCTTAAATCTTCCGAAAGGAGAGAATCTGTCTAGTAGGTATAGTACTAAAGCTACCACATGTACTGAAACCATGACTAATATCCACAGCGTGTTTGAAAATGGTTGCAAGAACGATACAAGAGTTGATGAACGTGATGGCTGTAAATAAAAAGAGTACAAATTAGAATTCATGAATTTTCTAATTCATAAGAAATTATTGTAATTTATAATAATAACCAACCTTTTTCTCCAAAATAGTAATGCCTTGATATTTAAAAGGTTTGCTAAATTCAATAAATTCAGCTCTCTCTGGGTTAATTGTTAAAGGAGCTACTATCATGTCTGCTCTTTCATACACTAATTCAGCTACAAAAAAAGGTACGTGTCAATATAATTCGTTGGCTTACTATTACAAGGTTCTATGTTAATTTTAATGAAGTTTAGTAATTTTTACATAGAACTTCGTTATTTTGTTATCGTAAAAAAACAACAACATAGAACTATGTAAAATTGAATATTTTGTAATTAAAGTGCCGCTATCTAGTGGTTTGTTTTTCCAAAACTGTAGCTAATGACACATAGAACCTTGTAGCATTAATAACTAAATAAGTACTAAAATTGTAACATAGAACCTTGTAATATTGAGCCAACGAATTATGTATACTGATTTATTTTGCTATTTTTTATATATGTACAGTTTTTTTTGTATTAATTTTTTTCAAACCCACCAATTAATCCCGTCCATTCTTTTTTGGCTCCAGGTTGTGAATAGTTGCGAATTATATAATCTCCAAACTGGCCGTCAGGTGAGAGGGCCAGTGAGAAGGTAAAATTGATCGATCTTGATAATTCTTGTAGAAGGTCCATACAAAAGCCTTTGCAGCAATACAGTCGATCTAGAATTATTGAAAGTATGTAATAACACCTAAAACAATCTTTATTTATCTTACATCATAGAAAGTGAACGTCTAACGTGAATTACGAGTAGTTTTAATTCGTTACATAGGATATATTCGTAAAAATATAGATTTCATGATTCTTCTTATGCAATTTTTTATAGCGGTACTTGTAAAAAATATTAATAATATTGAATATCAATGTTTAAAGTATAACTGACCTTGTAATTTCATTTTATTATTGTGTGGCTTTTTAGTTAAAAATATAAGTGATAATGTTTAATGATAATTTAATGATAATTCTTTTATGTCATAGAGAAAGGAACTGTCGTGTGTAATACAGGCTCGGCCTAGTACAGTCGGCATTGACAAACCGATGTAAGTAACATAAATTGTAATAAGCTTTATTTTGCGCTTAGTGTAAATTTAGTGTCAAAACCTATTGCTAATAAACTTTTATTTATTATTATTATTTTTAATTAATTGAAGTGAAAATTAAATTTAGTACAATTTAATCAAACAAGAATAACAATTTACCCGAATCATCACTGGAGTTGTAATGAGGGCAAAATATTTCCTCTGATGTACAATCAGTTTCATCATAAACCCGACGAGCGTAAACAAATGGTTTTTCTTCGATGGTTAGTACCTTAAAAATAGATTTATTTAATGTAGAGTTAGCAAATTAGTATTATATTACGTTATTATTATATTATATATTATATTACAATATTAGCCCTGCAGCACGATGGACAGATGACCTAAGAAAGGTGGCTGGCAGTGGATGGATGCAGGATGCCCAGGACCGGGATGGTTGGCGCTCATTGGGGGAGACCTTTGTTCAGCAGTGGACGGCGATAGGCTGATTGATTGATTGATAGCAAATTTATATTTAAGTAAGCCCCTACGTTACCTTTAAATGCGTAGGTATCATAAAACCTTCTGGTTTCGACGGACTACGACCCATCCATATAATTTCGTATTCCTTAAGCTCTAGACGCATTTTTTGAGTTTCCTACAAATTAAAAAAAAATTACTAAACATTCTTTTATTTTCAATCAAGTAATTTAATAATAAATAAACAACAAACAACCTATATCATTATTCTATTTATATCTTACTTTGGAGTAAAAATACTTCCCGACAGCCACGTGTTCACCTTGAGCTCTAACATTGACCATATCATATTCAGCATGAACTCTATCACCATGGTCATCAAATGCTACGTGCCCTGTTGCACCATTTTCCAACCTCTGTCTTCTTACATAGTCGAATAATAGGCGTCCTGTTGTCCATATAGACCGAGTGCTATCACAATCAGAGGGTGGTGTGCTGATTTCTTCTGATGTGTTCATATCACGAATGGCGGATGCAAGGACATATCTGTAAAAGCAAAACGATTACTTAATAAGTATATTGTTTTTTTTAGATTGTATTATTTTAAAAAATAATTGTTGTTGTAAACTATTGTTGCTAAATATCTTTTAAGCAATGTCATAACTGCTAGCAGCTAGGTTATGTGAATTTATTTGCTAAATAAATATCAGCATTAATTATCAGAAAGCTATCGTACATGGAGTCCTGAATGTGAGCATGCTCGTTAGTAGCATTCACCAGTCGTAGACCGAGGAGACCTTCGGGTGCGTTTGCTGCATCTAATGCTTGCTCTGTAACCATCCACACGTAGCCCGTTGTCGTCATATTTAGATATGTGGCGTCACGAAATATTATTTCAGCATCAGTTTTACTGAAATTATTTTTTAACAATATATAGACTATATTTTATTATTTATTTATTTAAACATGATTTTCATAATATGGACATTGGTATGTTATTATTAAATTATAATACAAATTGTAATATATTATACTGTATGCATAATATTATACATACCTAGCATACATAAGAAATACTCTTGCTTGTGCACTCTTTACTTCGATAAGTTTTTCACTAAAAGAATCTAATCCTGGTTCAAATTCAATCACCTGTTCCACCACAACTTTTCTATCTACATCTTCATCGATACTTTGAGACGTAGTTTGGAATCTGTTCGAAAAAAAATAATTAAAGAAAGCATTTGTATATAAAAACTTGAATTTTAAAGAAAATACTTACCTTCCTAAAATAGCTCTACCGTCCGTATCAGAGCTATGTATAACAATTACTTTCATGTAGTTGAAATGTTTTAAGACATCGACCCACACATCAGCCTGGTGTGAATATGGTGGTACTGTTCTTAGAAATGATACGTGAATGTTCTTATCGGAAAAAGCAGAATCTCTTGACGATATGCCTATAACTGGTATGAGATAGAAGCCACAAGTGTATGAGACGGCCGCAGGGGATAAATCTCCTGTTAAGGGATGGGAAACGATGACTGCATAGATCTAAAACATAATGTATATTTATAAATTGTTACATTTGTACATATTATATATATATATGTGTGTGTATATATATATATATATATATATATATATATATATATATATATATATATATAGTATCGTATATTAGTATATTTTTTCCATATCTAACTTACTCGGTGAGCAATGAGGTCTTTACAGACATTGAGTGCAGTCTTTATTGGGTTTGGGTCCATGAGGATCGAGTAATCATGGTAAGTGACTCCACGGGGCACGTATGTATCTTTGAAATTAAGTTTCTGTAATGTAAATTAAGCATTTAAGATATAAATGAAATTAACATTTTATAAGGAAAACTTATTGTGAAATGTCAAAAAATAATTTGGCACATATACCGAAATCGTATCTTTGAAGAACGCGATGGACTCATTACTGGAAAGAACTCCGCCAACATTATAATAGGTAGGATTAGCCACACGTCTTCGATCTGATTCAGCGGATATAACGGAACTGCAGCAAAGTGCTGCTAAGAATAGGCTTACAAAAACCATGGCACCTGAAATAATCTATCTTTTAATATTTTTGTGCTAGTTTAGAATTTTGCTACAATAATATTAGAATATAACACTCACTGGTCTTTGAGTAAGTAATACCTTAAATTAATTTTATTTATACATTATATATTTAATACACTTTTTATACTATATTAATGTATACTACTACACTGTTTATTAAGTTTTTGTTTTTTTATTAAAGTCACTCTTGTATGTATTATATGTAACATTTAACATAGAGTTTACTTACCGAATAATAATGACTTTTAGTCCTACAAAGTTTATCTTTATTCACATTTTTACAAAAATAACTTCTCTTCTAAGAACAAAAATGTGTTACGTAATAAAAATAGTCGGAGGCTGCAACTTCCGACAGGTGGAGTTTCATCTCGGGTTGCCTAGGAAACGGCGCAGTCGTATTGGGGACCGATCAATTGTCCATTTTATCAGAAGAAAAGTTTCGACGACATAATGTAGATCTATACATATAATAAAATTGTAACTAAGCCGAATCTGTACATTAGATATTTTTTGGAAAATCTTATTGAAATAGACATTATTATCGATACAGAGGCCGAATCTATAGTTTTTAGAATTTTTGTCTGTCTGTTTATTACCGCATTACAGAAAAACCACTGGAGGGATTTTAATGAAATTTGGTATGGTGATAGCTGGTTATCTGGGTCAACATATAGGATACTTTTTACTACGGGAAAATATCTCACCTTTTGAGAAATTTACAAAAACTGCAATGTATGAGTATACTAATATGTAAAACCTAAGAATTTGGTTTTTGGTCATCTGAACGCGGACGGAGCCGCGGGCAATGCTGGTATGCAATATGCGTATAGGCATCTATACATATAATAAAATTCTCAGTCGAATCTGTACATAAAATATTTTTTGAAAAATCTAATTAAATAGACGTTATTATCGATACAGAGGCCGAATCTATAGTTTTTAGAATTTTTGTCTGTCTGTCTGTAACCGCATCACGGAGAAACCACTGGAGGGATTTTGATGAAATTTGGTATGATGAATGATGATAGCTGGTTATCCGGGTCAACATATAGGATACTTTTTACTGCCGGAAAATATCTCATTCCTGATAAATCTATAGTAAACGTTAAAACGGAGCGAGGGTGAGTCGCTAGTTAAATATAAAAAAAAAAACCAATAGCGCTTTCATATAATCAAAATATTTATTTATTACAAATTAATTAATTATCAACAACATACAAAACATCATTCTAATCAAGCCATATTCGTTCGTAATTCACGACCAAGTCCATGCTTTCCATGTGGGCGTCCAGCCGGGGCGGAGGGCGGCTGCGGCGGCGGTGGCCGCGTGCTGCGCCGCGCCGGCCGCGCCAGCCGCGCCTGAACTCTGGATCACTGAGAGCTTTAGTGCTTCCAGATCTGTGAAAATTAAAGTTTTGAAACTTTTAATCGATGAAACAAATTCTGAATTTGATTTCTATTATTGTTACGCCAGTGGGACTAATTAAAATTATTTTTACCCGAATGATAAGAAAGAAAAAAGTAATTAAACAGCTACATAGATATTATGTTTTCATTCCATTATACCTAAATACTTATTACGTAACAATAAAATAAGTTTTGCTTAAAAACTTTCGAGATATTTAATATTTTGCCTATAAAGAAACAGAAATATTTTCTTATTATGTATTGAACCATAAATGATAAATTCTATCTTACCAGCATTCTGCAACTTAGCAGCTTGATTTTGCGCGGCACGTTGTATAGCCATGGCCGCGGCGGCTTCACGAGCTGCCGCTATCTTCTGTGCGGCGGCGGCACGCGCTTTAGCTGCTGCAAGCTGTGCTTGCGCGTGGACTGCGGCTTGTGCGGACTCTAAAGCTAAAGCTCGAGCTGCTCTAGCGGCTTCCTCGCTAGAAAAAAAAAATGAAATGAAATTTTATCTATTTGAACATGTACCACAAATATTTTACGATTTTGGTAGTATTTGCGTGTGCCCTTGCTTATGGGTCAATAAACTTAATATTACAATTTAGAGAAATAGTAAATCCATCCTTAGCTCAGGGCCATTATAAAAGTGAAGTAAGAACTGTATAATTAATAAGTATGATATACCTCTTATGAGCGGCTTGTGCAGCTTCCGCCTCCTTAGCACTTGCCGCACTCTGTTGTTCTAATGCTGCATGCTTAGCAGCAGCGACTTGTTTCTGTGCTGCCATCACTGCTGCAGAAGCTGCTTTTGCAGCCGCTATAGCACCAGCTACATCTGAACTAGAGTCCGACGACCAGCCTACGTTTATAAAGAAATAGAAAGAAATCGCCAATTAATTATTTTTAACCAATCAAGTTATCTATAAATTAGTTTTTTAACAAATCAAGGTGTGTTGATGAAAAACGAAACACTTTTGATCGGAATAAGTAAGGAATAAATATATTAAGAGATATGTAAAAAATATCATTATTAATTACGTACGTGTGGCATATATAAAATATATCAAACTACCGGGGTCATTTGGGCATATTTTTATCTTAGAGACTTGTGCAAATCACAATTTAGTGTTTGGATAATTTAAAAAAAATCAATTCCTTGTTTTGTCTACTTTAGATATCTATCTATACATATAATAAGAGTGTCACTGATCGCTGTCTGTACATGGAAGATAATTGAAAAAAAACTATTATTGGGGGTTTTCATTAACGCAATAGAACTCAAAACAATGATTTTTAGATTTATTGTATGTTTGTCTGTGCGTTTGTGCGCGCTAATCTCAGAAACGGTTTAACCGATTTGGGTGCGGTTTTCACTAATATATTGTGGTAAGCTTCATTTAATATTTAGTATTTGTTTTAATTCAATCGGTTAATAAATAAAAATATTGTTCATAAAATGTTAATAAAAATGTAGGTTAATTAGCTAATTTTGATTTTTATTACATTTTCTATGTACAAAACTCAAATAATTGAATAATAAAAATAAGTAAGTATTTAGGTTTTTTTTAAATACCAGTGTTCATCGATGGCACCCCGGAGACCTGAACTAGTCCCGGTATAAATCCATTCCATCCAGAAGCACTTCTCTTCTCATGCTGCGTATGCGCATTGCAAGCACTGAATATTGTTACGAATAATATCTGAAACATACATTTGGTTATAAAACAAAGAAATGTTAAGCGTTCGGTAAATGTTACCAAATTTATGATGTTTTAAACGAACCAAACTTTTTAGAGACATTTTTGCTACCGACAGTCGATTTTATGATACCACGAGCTTATGATATTAGTAGACTGGTAGACAAACATTTTATACTATTGTAGGCGGAAGCTATCTTGTTAAAGAAAGGGTCCACATAGGAGATGGATCATAATTGAGCTAAGGTATCGTAATGTCTATAAGCAATCATAAATCTGGATCTAAAAGTACTTTTACTTTCTTTTCTATGAAATTTACTATTATATATTTTTTAAATACGCCTTCTATATAAAATATTGTATCATATTAGGTAATCATAGTATTTTCTCATACTAATCAATATATTTCTAATAATTAGCATTTAGTACCTCAATGTAGGTCATCTGCAAAGGATGGGGTAGGTATTTACTAAATGCAAAAGAGAAAAGTTTAATTTATTTACAGTCTTAAATTTTTTTATTTACCTATATACAAATAAATAACTAAATACTTGGATATGGTTACCTACGTAAAAATACGTATATAGGTAAGTAAGTAATAAGTATGGGATTTTCTAGCTAGTAGGTAAATGAATAAAAACTGTGGTACAATGTCCAAAGAAAGAGTAATATCTCACTACCTACTTAGCGCATTTTAAAACATAAAAATTCAAATTTCAGGAATTTTATCCAGCAGGACGTAATACCGAGTAAAAATATTATATAAACTACATAGTACATACCTACCATTACATATTTTTCGTTTTATTTTTACAAAATATTTTTTTTCTCAATAGATTCTAATAACTTTAAGACAGAAAGATCTTCCAGACACGAATAGTTGGTGTTACGCGTTATAGATAAAATTCATACAAATTCTTAATTTAGCAATTTATTAAAAAAATAAGAAAATCACTTATAATTATTGGAAAAAATGATATTTTTATTCATTCACCGTCCATCCGTAATATTGTAAATTCGAAAATAACTCTGTCTGTCTGGGAGCCCATCACGAGAAAACCACTAGACCTCCTCTTGGACTATTCTTTGTCAACTTCTTTCCATCTTTTTAGTTCGGTTTTTAAGATAGACAAAAATTAAAAAAAAAACTATAGATGCGGCCTCTGTACTGATAATAATTACTATTTCAATAAGATTATCCAAAAAAAATTAATGAAAAATTCGACTCAGAATTTTATAATATGTATAGATTTCATATCCTAACTTACTTTCAGCATATAAGTTGCATATATATTGTGATAGCTATTTAAAAACCTTCATTTTGATGATCCACTTGATATATTTGGAAAAAAATTATTAAGAACCGCCATTTTCTTTTTATACTAAAAAAATAAAATAAATTCATTTATTCAAGAAAAAGTGACTCATTTTGTTAGTATGCATAAAAAAGAATTATTCTATGTTAGTAAATATTATAATTATAACTATAACTTCCCGTGGGAAATAGCGCAACAGTGGTTCATGAAGGTACATACAGTCAAATCTCTCCGCGATCATGGCTAGAATAAATTTGAACTATCCCGAATCCTGCGCATCAGGGACGCACACCGCTTGCACAATGCACATCTCTACTAATATTATAAAGAGGTAAAGTTTGTGATTTGTGAGTTTTTGACGTTGTAGGAGATAATCTCTTGATCTACTGAACCGATTTAGATGAAATTTGGTAAGAACATAGATTGAGACTCTGGGAAGGACATGAATACTTTTTATCTCGGAAATCATCCCTTAAGGGGGTGAAAATGGGGATGAAAACTTTGTATGGGGAGTCACTAGTCTATATATAAAACAAGTCGGGGTTGTTACAACACTATATAATACGAGAAGTACTCGACCGATTTTGATGATCCTTGATTTGTTGGATTTGTCTCTGCCCCGAATAGCAGAATAACTATTAAAACAGAAAATAAAAGATAATAACTACATATTTATATTTATTTAAAACGTACCTAGGGAAGAACCTGAGCGAAGCAAGGGTGAGCCGCTAGTTGTGGTATAAAAACAGTCCACTCTGGCCTCAGCGGACATACCTGATGCGCTACAAAAACGGAGCAGTCCCAACAACACTCTAAACACATGATACGAAGAGTGTTGTAAAATTTTTGAATACTCAAATACAAGACATACTAGCTAGCTAGCTAGCCCACAAGCTGCACGTATAGAGTGATTTTTGATAGTAAGAGTGATTTTAACTTCTCTCTTACAACGTGCAAACCTTTTTTTTTAACGTTGGGAAATGCATTTACGCACGAGGTGTGGGACTCACCGGCAAAGCCAGTACTACCTACTAAAACCCAACCAAACCTTCCCCCGTGTTAATGGGGCGTCGCAGGATCGCTTACGCATTCAACTACGACGCCCCGACGGCAGGTCTACTGAAGCAGACCACCACAACCACGGGGTTGCCCCAAGGTCCACTCTGCTATCAGAGAAGTACCAGGAGCAACCCGCATGGAACACCGCCCTCCGAAGAGGGCCGCCTTGCACCGCCCACCGAAGTGGGCCACCTCCCTGTGCGTTTCTTGGCTTCGCGCCCGGCTGAATTGCCGGGCACTACTGAGCCCCCCCCCCCCCTACAACAAGGTGAACGCACGTTGGGGGGGTATCTCTCACACATGGCCACAAGTTTACGCAGGCCACAAGGTGAGGCATTTAACAGTGCTATCTTGTTGTTGTTGGTCTATGCTGCTGAGCTCGACAATCAGTCAGTGTTTATGTATAGAAGTTTATGTAGGTTCTAGGTTAAAAATCGTAAGTAACGTCAAACCCCCCTGTCTCACCCCGCATTTAATCCATACAGACGTAATAGCGCCCCTGCCCATCTCACACTGTTGATCTGATTCTGATTCCCGTGCCAATATTTCAAAAGGTTAATAATTAATATTGGCAATTGAGTATCACACATATTTTGCCATGGAATATCGTTGGATAACCAGGTCAAAAGCTTTGGAAAGGTCAAAAAGCAGCAGTAGTAAGGTAGTAATTGACAGCATGCTTAAGACACATTAATGCACTTTCCATCGATAGTCCCGGACTGACCCAAATTGATTATCGTGATTCTTAATGCGCCCCTCTTCCCTATCTTCCCTAATTCCCTATCCTTGTTAATAAGAAACGCATCTCTAATAAACAAAGTTCTGCTTCAGCATATTTAAGCGCACTAATACCTACTTAAAATATGTTTCTTCAGCTAATATTTCCCACTATTATTAGAATTAAAATAATAATTAGTAAGTGTGTCAATAATAATACTATTACTTTGTCGTACGTGTACAATGTTGTGTTGCTTTGAAGTTCATATATCCGAAAATAAATTTCTATTAATATTTTGAAGTACATCTGTATATCTGTATAAATATTTATATAAATATTATAAATGTGAAAATGTGTGAGTATGGATGTTTGTTAATCTTCATGCCACAGATGAAATATGGCACAGAGATAGATTATAGTCTGGAATAACACATACGCTACTTTTTATCCCGGAAAAATGTACGATTCGCATGGGATAGATTAGTTTTTGTCAATAAAATATTTAGCAATTAGCACAATATTTGAAATAGCCAATTTCTAATCCATCGCAAACTCTTAAAAAAAGTTTTATAACGTTTTCAAAGCAAGTTATAAGTAATTTACAAAATATTACTTATTTTCATCAATGGAGGAGATTTCCTGAAAGGAGGGGGCCACACGTATCGCCTATTTACATACAGTCTAGAGAATATACTTAAAGCTATAGCTATCGCGACATCTTGCGGAAGAAAAAGGCAAAACTGAACGTAAACGGGAATACGAGTATAAACGAAAAATATAATTGCTTTTTCTCTTCTATAGAATATATTATGATTACTTGTTTTTACTCTTCCGTGCGGATTCCTATAATTAAATTAATTATTTTTTTCAAACAAAATACGTTCAATACCTACGAAATTGTATATGAATATTTTAGATAAACTATAGTATTTTATATTATTTGGTCAGTAAAAATATTACACTGGCAATACTTATTCTACGATGACATTCACTTGTCAATTGGAATTATAGCAAAACCTCTTCCGGTTGCCGTGCGATCGATTGAGGTTGTTCAATATTTAGAATTTTAAGTCAAAATTTGCCATGCTAATTTTGTAAAATAAAAAAATTAATGTTAGTGAAATTGTGTGTAAAATAAAAGAAAACAGGTAAGTGCACTTATATACGCTGTTTTGGTTACGTAAAATTGATAAAAGAATTGTTTTAAATTTTTCTTTTAATCTTTCTTCAGTTTTATTATTTTATAGATACATATATTCAGTAGTATAAAAGTAATACTAACTTTAGATTACTTACGAAGAGTATCATATTAAGTGATCAAATTTCCGGCAAATTAAAGAAAAAACTTGTTAAAATTATAAATCTGTTTTTTTTTTATTAAGAGTCAAATTTTATTATATTTATTAAAAGAATCATAAGTTAAATAAAAAAATAAAAATAAATAGCTTTAATAAAAATAAATTATTACGAAAAATACCATCAAAGTATACTATTGCTAATGTCAAGTGCAATGTAAAATGTAAATAGTAGTAGGTATTAGGCTATTTGTTTTTCTTCTTAATTATTTTTTTATATATTCAGGTTAAACACTCAAAATGAGTGGATCTAAAGGAAACCCACCACCACCCCCTCAACAATTTAAGTAAGTATTTTCTTAATCATGTAGAGCTCTTAAAATTTCTGTTCCTTATGTTCCTTATAAATTTTCTTTCTGAAATTCCCATCATTTAGGAGAGAAATATATCCTTGATTTACTTGAACTAAATTTATCCTTCCTTAGTAACAATTGCCTATTAATAATCAAAAAATAATTAGTTCAAAATATATACAAAAAGCTTATATAATATATATGGAATATGTATTAAACATATTTAAAATCTTAATATCTTTATGCTTTGACGTAAGATATAAAATAAAAGCAAGTACTACAAAATAATGTTACAATTTATTAGTTTTGTTAAGAACATGCTAACGGTTGAGGATATTGTCTACTTTGTTTTATTACATGAATTATTCTCAAATAAAAGATTCAGTAATGTTTCTTGTTCTTTAAAACATAGTACTTATGTTTTTTTACTTATGCATACATACTGTGTATTTTTCATAATTATAATGCAACAATCATACATGGACTATAAAACAAAACTAAATTACAGCAATTATGAATCTGATAAATATGAAAAAATGGTTTTTGATATTAGATTATCTCAATACTGATAGAAAGTGCGTGTTCTAATGTACTATATTTATTTTTAGTATGTTATTTATTTCTATTATAGTTGATGTAACAAAATTGAAATAAGTAAGACTAAAAATTTTATGTGGTTATAAAATTCAATTGTTTATTTCCATTGACTATTCAATAGACATGAAGCCTGTAGTTAATTATTGTAAGGTCATTCTAAATTAACATAATTGCAACCTATTTATGAAGGATATAAAGTCTATTTTAGTCTAAAGTATATTTTTCTGTATGTAAATATTTTTGTTTTGTTGACACCATTAAAATATAATAAATAATGTGCATTCAAACTATAAGTATTAATACATATCAGTTACTACCTATATTAAATAAATTTGTTGGGACATTAACACAGCACCATCTAGTTCCATGGTAAGCTACGAGGCTTGTGTTATGGATACCAGATAGTTGATACACTACACATATATAACTTTAAATACATACATATTATAAGTATATACTCCCATGACTGGAATACAAACATGCTCATCACACAAATGAATGCCCCTAGCGGGACTTGAACCCGCAAGCACTGGCACAGGAAGTAGGGTCACTACAAACCGAGTCAAACGTGTCGTCAAATATTTAATTGAAGAGTAAGCTGAGCTATTCAAGAGGGTCTTATAAACCAACACGAAACCAGTCTTGACGGTATTATGTCGCTATTATCAAAGACTAGCATAATATCGATTGTATTTAACATAACAATACTTATTTTCAGTCTTTTGCCAAAAATTATAAACGGCGGCATTGCCGGAATTATTGGCGTGTCTGTAGTATTCCCATTGGACTTGGTCAAAACAAGGCTGCAGAACCAGACCGTCGGGCCCAAAGGAGAACGACAGTACAAGAACATGTTAGTAATAACTAATATTAATATTCATAATTGTGAAATGAACTTACCTTACCAACTGATTTGGAAAGAATACAATTAGACACTTAGGGACGCACACGAGCGAAGTGAGGGTAAATTGCTAGTGTAAATTAATAAAAATCTATTACAGGATTCACGGGATCACATGGGGTAAATTAGGTAGGTATAGATGTTTTTAGTAAGGATTTCTATTATACAGTAACTAGGTCTTACACTTGTAAGACCTCTATAATTGTATCGTTCAGTTAGATATTGATCAAAGATTGGCACACATATAGGTGTGCAAATGTAAATTTCCCAGGACCGGTCGATTACCTGATTGCTTCAGAATGCAGGTAATGTGTTTTCATACATGAAATTTTATATTTATATAAGTTATTATAAATTATTAAAAAAATATAAAATCACAATAATATTGTAAATATGAAAGTCTGAGTGAAGTAAGTGCATTTCTTCGTTGTGATAGCTCGTGGTGTCGGGGGTTAAAAACTAGCTATTAATATTATTAAGTCTCACCAAAATGTTAACAAGATTACATCATAGATAAGGTTTTTCAATTATGATGAAATAATAGAGCAAATTCGCAAATAAAGCAAATATAAATTATTACTATATACAAATTGTGTTCATCGTACAAATTTTCTAGGTTGGACTGTTTCAAACAGACATACAGAGCGGAGGGCTACTTCGGTATGTACCGAGGGTCCGCGGTGAACATTATATTGATTACGCCGGAGAAGGCAATCAAGCTTGCCGCCAATGATCTGTTTCGTTATCATCTTACTCTACCAGACGGGTATGTTGCTTAGATATATTTTAAAAATTAATATATATATATATATATATATATATATATATATATATATACGTAATTCTTAGTTTTAATATTAAGGAAATACTTCTTAATTATAAGGATAATTTTATCTAAGACAAATTAATTTTATATTTGTCTATATTTGCAATTTTGGTACGCAATTATTATTATTGATTGATTAAAAATAAATATAGAAAAAGGCAACGAAAAATAATATTTTACCTATCAGGTCTTGTTGAGAGTATTATCATATAGTCACACCCATCAACTTATATAAATGATAACTGCAAGTGTCGCGACGTTCTAGCAATCCATAGTACTGCCGCTCTGTCTATATTTAGAAAATAAATAATCAGTTTTAAACATCTATGTTATGTAACTGTAATTGGGTCTTCAATCAAAGATAAAATTTACGCAAGCAAAAACCGCTTTACCCACACACCGTGTTGCTATGAAAGTTGATAGAAAGACGTTGATTCATCATTAAAAAAATCTATTTAGCATTAACCATAAGTTATATGAAATTTTGGCAAAAAGCCTCAGTCTGACGAGAAGTGATAAAAACCTAATGGCTTCTATTGATCTTTTAACAAACTTTGATTGCTTCTATGTAGCTTCACTTGCAACTATCAAACTATGTAATCGAATCGAGAAATACGATTTTAAACTACTTCTCATTGTCGTATATATTTATTTGAAATTTTGTTAGTAACTTTTTGACGAGTTATTTTACAATATAGGTGGTCAAGTGTTTTACATTTTATTTTTTAAATCATAAATATTGATGATGTTCTCCTGACCGAATCCGGCCACGGCGGCCAATCTCATTGAGACTAGCCAACTGCGCAGGAGATATTATAGTGCACAAGTGTACGCGCAGACACAACGTGCACTCTCTATTCCTGTCACTCTCATACTCCGGTGGGACGACTGCTCGACACGACCAGTGAGAGTTAAGGCGCAGGACCGACGGCTTTACGTGCTCTCCGAGGCACGGGGGTGAAACACCGCCAACTTACCAACTCTTTGCTGTTACTGAGGCTTACTATACAAAAGACTCAATACTTGGCCCGACCCGGGACTCGAACCCAGGACCTTCGGTATACAACCGTACATGCTAGCCACTACACCACCGAGGCAGTTATTATAAATATTATTATTTATATAATAGTTTGACCCTTTGGTAACATTACATTTTTTATTAAAATGTCGAACAGCTTAGATGCAATTACATAATTCACAAGGTATGATATGTTAGTATGTATAGTTAATCTTTTAAAGTTTTTGTCTTTTTTTTGTGTGTGCAATAAAGAGTTATTATTATTATTAATATTAATAATAATATTTAAAATCTCAATTTATTGTAAAGCATAAAAAATAATCTAATTCAATATCTTAGGTCTTTACCAATAGTGCGACAAATGTGCGCGGGCGCGATGGCCGGCGCTTGTCAAATAGTAATAACCACTCCTATGGAGTTATTGAAGATCCAAATGCAGGACGCGGGCAGAATAGCGGCACAAGCGAAAGCTGGTGAGAATAATCAACTTGTATCTGGCAACACTAACAAAGTAGGTATGCAGTGCTTTATGTATGTATTTGTATAGCTGTACTGTGATATGGTAACATTCAATTTTTATTTTCATGATTTAATTTAAGTGAAATTTTTGGGCTTTTTTGATTAATAAATTATTGTGTTTTAATGTATGTAATATTAATGTATCATAATATTTAATTGTATATAGACTATATATTATGTATTATGTCAAATATTGTGGTATTTCAGTGACGGTGTTAGTTATAAATAACGTGTATAGATGTTCTTTTAGCTTAAATATGTGTATGTTGTAAGTGTTGTAAGCAAATTAATAATAATTGAATTAATATTACTGTTAATATATTGCAATTGGCTTTATAAAGCAAAATCTTTGCCATGTACATTATATCTATGTATATCGCTTAAGGTATATGGGGCATGACACTAAGTTCTAGCTATATTTGTTACTAATACATGAGGCGAGGGGTTCCGGTTATCTTGATAGGTATTCGTGATTGAAGAATGATTTTTTTATAATCACAATCGAAATACGCCGATGTACTGAAAAATCTATTTTTGAAGTTATACTTCTTCTGGCACGTTTGGAAAAAATATAAATATGAAAGTAAAAATTTTACGATGCGCCACCGACAACCAAAAAGCGACATGATGAAGTTAGCTGCATTCCTTTTACAAACAGAGAGGATTTTACATACGGGATGAAATCTTTAGCAATTTTTATTCTGTTACGCCAAAAAAGTATAACTTCTTACGTGCGTTCATAAGCTCACACACACGTTTTTTTATATATACTATTTAATCGTTATGACCGTTCTATAGAATATTATTACTTAGATTTTTCGCACTCTGTGAAAAAAAACTCTGGAAACTTTCGCCTCAACATTCCTAAACTTTTCAGAACACGCTGCCAAATATATTAAAATTATTTTTAAATAATGATTACAGAGGGCAGAAAGTTCGAGCGTATCACAGCGATGCAATTAACACGTAAACTTTTAAGTGAACGCGGTATATTTGGTTTATACAAGGGCATAACGGCGACCGCGGCAAGAGACGTTTCCTTCAGTATCGTGTATTTCCCGTTATTTGCCACCCTTAATGATCTCGGGCCGAGGGAAAATCCCAATGATGCACCACCATTCTGGTAATTATTTATTGTTAGTTTATATAAAACCTCGGACACTTTTGATATTTTTGGAAATGTTGATATTTTTTTTCGTTTTTTTCATCTAAGAGCAGTAATGATAAAATTATCAGAGAACTATTTTTCATACTCTCAAATGATTCAATATATAACTAAATAATAATATGTATTGTTATATTTTATTTAGTTGTTTGCGTTAAAATGGGAGTCAAATCGACAGTTTGTACATTTTGTTTCCGCGCGATTTTGAAGAAAGCGCTCGGGATTTATGTTTTCCTTAAAAACTGAAGGTCTTTTTCTCTAATAAACTTAAGGTCATATATTGGTTTCTGACAAAATACGCCTCTATTCTGTAATCTGTTGTAATTAATTAATTAATTATTTACTTATCTTTTTGGATTTTGTCGCAGTTTTTTGTGTTGTTGCTTTGTAAACATCGTCACGGGAGAGACTATTCTTGCTTTATGTCGGACCTAAAATCTGAATAAAAAAGTGTATATCTACTTAAGTATCTTTTTGGGGAAATATTATCAATAGTGCCTATGTATACAGTTTTTTTAACGTCCCACTGCTGGGCACGGGTCTTCCTACTATGCGAGGGAGGATCAGGCCATAGTCCACCACGCTAATACCAATAGTACCTATGTTTATCACAATATGAACAATATGATAGGTGGTCGTTCCTGTCGGGGTGCGCGGCGGGCTCCACGGCGGCGCTGGCCGTCAACCCCATGGACGTGGTGAAGACGCGCATGCAGACCATCACCAAGGGCACCAACGAGAGGCAGTACTCGTCCATCTTTGATTGTATCACGTGAGTGTCGACTACATTTACAAATATGTGTGTAGGTTCATTTGTAACTTCATTAATAATATTGGAGGGTATGTGTACTATGGGTGGTGATACAATTCGGTAGTTGACATAATACTTTCTTAGATTTACGCGAATATTTGACATTTTAAATAAACCTATATTTTCGGATTTTTCCCGAATTTATTTTGATTTTTGGTTCCCGACGTTTCGAATGCTTCACAGGAATCATGGCCACAGCAAGATGTCTCAATAACATTATATAGTTGTTACAGACAGCCTACCCACAAATTAACAAAAAAAAAAATTTAAGGCATTCGAAACGTCGGAAACCAAAAATCAAAATAAATTCGCGAAAAAATCCGAAAAGATAGTTTTATTTAGTAGTTGACAGATGATACCAGCAGATTTCAGAGATAAAATAAAGTACATACTTATTTCTTTAGACAAATCGTGTCTCAAAAAATATTTTTCAATGGTGTCATCTACCCAATTAGTTAACTGTCTCGTAGGACTTTTTACTTATAATTTTATAGATGTTGGACTTATCGATTTTTCCATAAAGTAATAAAATACTATTGTCTGTGCAACACCATACCAAACTATTTTGTTTTAGGTGACACTGCCTAAAATTGTCCTTATTCCCAACTGGAATACGTGGTTATATAGATAATGTGGTGGTTTGGCCGGTTTGATGTATAACTTTTATTTAATAAGCCTGTTGCTTTAATTATTAATGTATTATTTCTTGATTTTAAAATAACTTACTTTTTTCATTGTAGTCATATGCTGTATACTAAAAAAAAATCACCAGATTTAACTGTAAATTAATCATGTGATTTTAACATTTTTTTAGAAAAACGTTGACCCAAGAAGGTCCCACGGCGTTCTTCAAGGGTGGCGCCTGCCGAATGATTGTCATCGCGCCACTGTTCGGCATTGCTCAAAGTATTTATTATATAGGTCTTGCAGAAAACTATCTAGGAATAAAATAAACAACCTACACAGTACCGACATAATTTGCCGTCTCCATAATAGTAGCTTAAATTTATTTACCTATAATTTATTTATTTTTAATTTTTCTACACTAAACAATAAAAAGACGCACATATACCTCATTGTGGCGTTACGCATTTATAAAAGACAACTGGCGATGGTAGAATAGAATGTTCTCTTAAAAATATTGTATTAAAAAGACTATGTGTATTCAAGTATCACGTAACAAAAGACGTATTTCCATAATTAATACCATCGAATGGCATTAGAACTGTTTGTATATAAAAAAAACTATGTCAAATTAGACAAGGTTCTATCTCGATATTGGCTCAAATATTGTATATATATTTGTTTCTCTATTGTTGCAACTTTGCCATAGTCTGGAAATATCAGTGAAAAATGTTGATGTGTTACACTCTACAATATCTAAGTGTTATTATAATTATTTTACAGTTACTTAATGTGTGGTATATCAATTTTTTTTATGCTTAAATTTATGAAATATATTTATATACATAATGTGTATGATACTACATATTGATTTATCACTTTTATTTATTTTAATTAACTTATTAGTAATCACTATTTATTTTATTTGTTTATGTAAAATAATTTGTTATGTTATATTTATTAATAATTTATATAAAAAAGACATCAAAATGCTTTCTAAAATTCTGAATATATTTTCGTAAATGTTAAACCAAAAATTAAAGAATTTCTTTTAATATTTTTTTTTATCAATTAATTATTCATATTGTGGTGAAATAATTGTAAGAATAGAAAATTTTGTTGGTGTCCATCGATGGACATATTGTGTGAAGGCTTGTTATATACATATTTTAGCTTAATTTATTTTTATATGCATTAATAGAATATTAGGAAGAATTGAAAGTGATATTAAATTTTATTTTAAATGAGATTACATTAATGTATTGATATATTCAAGTAAAAGTATAGAAATAATTTGTAATAGTTTTTTCTATAAGTTTCTTGATCCATATCATGATAAAAATGACAATATGTTAATGTTGACAATATATGATCCATTATTGTAATCTGAAATGTTACCAAGTTTCCTAGCTGGTCTTTGTTGATATTATTGGGTATATACTTAATATAGCTTTTTATTATGTACTCTAAATATCTCCAGTTTAGTTTCCAGCTAGCTTTTTCAGGGTGCATTTAATTTTAAATTCGTACTTTAGATAGAATTGCCTTGGGCATAATTAAATTATGCTGCCATTTGAAAAATATCTTAAAGACATATAAATATGTTTAAAATCTATAGTGAATTGCTATAATTAACTTAAAAGTGTTATGAAATCATAAATACCTACTCAATATATGTTGAAATGAGCTTACCCACAGGGCAACATGTATAAAAAGTGGAAGAAAAAATTTAAAATTCAGTATGGTGCTTCCGGATTAGTATTGCGATCCACACTATCGCATCTGTTATCTTTATGTAAGTAACATTGTATCTGCTAAATAAACAGTGGCGTAACTATTTATTTTTACAAATAAACGCTGTTTCTCAATAAATGTATTTGTTGTTGTCAATTTTATTCACATAAATCATTAAATATATGTGAAAGCTGGGTATGTATATCTGTAATATTTTTTCCAAATCTTTGAAATATACATATTTATATATATAATTATCATTCTAATTGTTACGTCACTAAACATATATATATTAACCATTTAAACGTAATATCGATGTATTAAACTCGAATAAAACGTTCAATTATCGATTTGACAATAATATTATGAAGTGTAATCGTTGTAAGTATTGTAAGTGTTATTTGTAGCCCAGTTTTAGTTCTCCTAGAGTAACCACTAACCAGTGTCAATTGAATTGTCTAAGGTGAAAGTCGATTAGTATGTGTCCATCCAATGTTGTCAATAGATAAGTGTATGTTACAAACAATTCTATAATTTTACAATTTGAACAGTAATACAACAGCTAAAATTATTATAGTGTAAAAGCCATTATGACAATGTTTGGAAATAATGTTGTGTTCAGTAACTATACAGTAGTTATATATGTATATCATTGTGTGTCTAAATATCTCAGTCATTTTTAGTTACAAATTACTAGTTTCAGATCGATTATTTTAAGTTCATTACATTGATATCTAATATTGATGAAAAGTTTTACAATTAGAATGTGTTGAATTTAGTAGTGCTATAAAATAAAATCACCAGTTCAAAAAAGAAGACCTAGTCACCACATAAGCAAACTTCATATATTTATTTTATTCATAATGTTAGAATAAAATAGTGTTTTGTAATTTTCTAATTTCGGAATGTTCTCTTTAATGTAAAACATTACATTGTATATTAATATTTGAGGTTTGGTATTGGCTTTTTTTCATTGCTTCATAATTACCGCTTATAGTTATCAATAAATAAAATAAATTTAATTGAATTCTTAATAAGTTTAAAAATTATTGAAAAAAAATATATACTTAAAATCTTATGTTTTCAGCTTATGTAGATGTAAACAAATCATGATATTATTATTATAGCTTCTTCAAAGCTTCTATTATCGAAATTACGAATGTTTTAGGTATGTAGATGTTCAATAAATTATTACAAAGTTTACAATGTTTTATTTTTTCCAATTTACATATAATATGCAAAGGCTATTCGGTAAAGGAATGTGTGAGCTTTAACATTACACGCAAACTGCACTAAAACAGCTCTTGGGATAGTATTGTTAAATATTATTAGAAATAGGTATATCTTGATAATGATGTTCTCCTGACCGATTCCGGCCACGGCGGCCAATCTCATTGAAACTAGCCAACTGCGCAGGAGGTATTATAGTGCACAAGTGTACGCGCACACACAGGTGCACTCTCTGTTCCTGTCACTCATACTCTGGTGGGACGACTGCTCGACACGACCAGTGAGAGTTAAGGCGCAGGACCGACGGCTTTACGTGTTCTCCGAGGCACGGGGGTGAAAGACTCAATAACTAAACTTGGCCCGACCCGGGACTCGAACCCAGGACCTCCGTGTGTGCAGCCGTACATGCTAGCCACCGAGGCAGTTAGTTCTTGATAATATTAATGAAGTAACATATTAAATTATTTTGCAGTACCTATGAGGATCAAAACAGAATAAGTATTTAAAATGAAAAATATTATTTTAATACAGAATTTATTAAATGTGTCTGTTGATAATATACGTAATAAATTAAAAAAAAATGAGATATCTCTTCTTTATGTTAAAATACCAATTTCAAAAAGTCCTTAGCTTTATTATTTATTGAGATACGTATTTTTTCAAAACATGACATCAGAAAAACCTAATATATTTTTCCTGTATGTTTTAATATTAATGTAATATCCAATATAAATTTTTGCGTTTACTGTTGTAGTAAAATAAATATTTTATAATTTACGTAAATTATTATTTTATTTATTGTGTACATATAACATTATAATGTACAGTACATAACGTGTTTGTTTTGTAAGTTGACAACACTGGTCACTGACTGTAATCAGTAATGTCAAAAACAAAGTCGATGTGTTGAAGCGACGCTTCGTGGGATAAGTATTTTGTTTTGGCCTTTGAGTTACATTTCAACTTTTAAGTGAATTGTATATATTCTATTTATATTTTGTGATTAATTTATTGTGAATCTCTTACGCTACAAAAATGACTACTCTCGGTCCTAAGAAGGACGGGGGCCCAAACATTGAGTTCTTCCAGTCGCCGGAATCTTTGGCACAATTCGATCAAATTCGCGTTTGGCTACAGAAAAACTGTAAAAAGGTATAAACAATCTTGATAATTATTGAAATGCCATATGTATTTTTGTGTTAGAGAGGTTACAATCCAATAAGGACTTTAACACTCCCCTTGATTAGAGCAATATAGGAATCACGGATGTATTAATTTTATTTCCTTGGGTAGCAATATTATGGTTTGAATTAATTGTTTTAGCATGTTCAAACTGATCCACCAACTAAAGAAGGATTGGCTCAACTTGTCGTTCAACTTATTCAGTATCAAGAAAACAAACTGGGGAAAAATGCAACAGATCCCCCATTCATGAGGCTTCCAGTGAGTATATAAATTATAAATTTAATCTAAGACATAAAGTGTTATAGAGTTGATGTTTGTTAAAAGATATCTTTTATCTTTTTTTTGTATTATGGTATTTAATTTAACATTTAATAATTATTCTTTTTTTTTAATATTCTGGTATCTTTTTACTCATTTTAGGTCCTAGTGTTTTATTTGATTCTTCATTTAAAAAAAATGTTTAGTATTTAGGTAAATATATATAATTTTTATTCATACACTTTAAAACAACTATTTTCCTGCGACTTCTCCAGTTTTAAATACATAAATCAATGTGCCAGTGGCAAATAAGCTTTATTAATATCAAAATCTCAATATTTTATCCATCCCCTAAATTTCATCACAAGATGATGTGTTGCCTTAAACTTTGAACTAGAATAGTAATCATTTTTAACCAGGTAGAGTACCTAATTGCAAATATGATCTAACTTCAAAAATGACAGATTTCAGGGGGATCTTTGACATTAACCTCTTTTTTATCTCTTTATTGTTTGAATTGCCAAAAATTCTCACTTAAGATACATGCTGCTTATAAGGAAAAATAATTTAAATAGTAAAATATATTTTAGGTTAAAAGAAAACACTGAGGCATAGCAAGTAATTTATTAAACAGCCACTATTTTACAGAAAAGTTCATACTTAACTAAGATTTTGACAATCATCTTGTTGATTGTATTTTAATTTAAACTAGCATTGCCCGCGGCTCCGCCTACGTTCAGATGACCAAAAACCTAATTCTTAGGTTTTACATATTAGTATACTCTTACAATGCAGTTTTTGTGTTTTAGTATTTTTTCTCAGAAATGAGATATTTTTCTGCGGTAAAAAGTATCCTATATGTTGACCCGAATAATCAGCTATGACCATACCAAATTTTATCAAAATCTGTTTACTAGTTTTTCTGTGATGCGGTAACAGACAGACAGACAAAAATTCAAAAAACTATAGATTCGGCCTCTGTATCGATAATAATGTCTATTTCAATAAGATTTTCCAAAAAATATTTAATATACAGATTTGACTCAGTTTGAATTTTATTACTCAGTTTGAATTTTATTATATGTATAGATTACATTAATACATGTCCGCATTAGCAAATATGAACTGATTTTCAGGGTATCCTGAAGAACCTGTGTAATCTATAGCAAATAATGAACCAGCTTCTGGCTCTTTGGCTTTTTGTGCTTCATTAAGCCCACGGTTGCTAGTTGTAACATAGAGTGTTGAGTAGTCATATCCACCCCACATTACAGAAGTAACCTGACTTGCTGGAATTTTGTGTTGTTCCATCAACTTGCCAGCTCTTGAATCAATTTTTATAACCTGTTAAGTGATATTTAATTTAATTATCAACTTCTTTGCTTTTTCAATTTTTAATGACTCATTGGATTTGAATGAAATTGAGATTGATAATGAGAATTGAGCTTATGTCCTAGATTAACATAGGCTGCAATACTTTATAGATGTGCCTAATATAAGAGCAGAGCTAATGGAAAAGTTAAGTTATATTTATAATTTACATCTTAAGTTAAATCCTCATTATCTCGATATTCCTGGAATCTCTATTTTTGATTCACTAAAGTGCTTATAATGAAATGTCTTTAATTAAGTTAGCAAATAAAAATCTATTAAAATATTTATCTATATTTTACTACTGTGGCTTTGTTTGGTACTTCGTCTGAAGCCTCTTACAGACCTCAATTTAAAAAAATATATATATGGAAGTAAGATTAAATCTAAACCTTAAGTTTATATATATGCAGATAGATATATTTACCTTTCCACCTCCGAAACATGCAACCCATAGATTACCATCTCTATCTATTGTCATACCATCAGGATATCCAGTTACATTATTTGCTTGAAAACTAAATAATGTCCGTCTGTTTTCTAAAAATTTTAATTAGTTGTAATAAGTGCATAATAATAATAGAATTAAAGAAAAAAAATAATTTATACATTGAATAATATTACATCACATACATATTACACTGAATAATATTACGTTACAAGGATAATAATTAATAATTATTACTTATAACCTATTCTTAAAAAATGAATTATGAAATTGATAACATGCATAATGCACATATATTTTTTTTATTAACAGCTTCTTAATTTTGGTGTGTTACACATTTAAAGTTTTGATTTAGCTATTTCTTAGCCCAAATCACTTTTAAATACAGTAAAACCCGTTTAAAACGTTTTCACAGGGACCCAACGAAAAACGCGTCTTAAGCGAGAAAGCGTATTATGCGGGATAGGGAAAATAAAACGTACTGCATATTATTGTATATTATATTCTAATTTGTATATGTAATTATGTATTTATTAAATTATACATTTCTAAATTATATTAAAAACATAGTCTAATAATAATTACGTTATTTAAAGTAATCACTTATTTTAGTTTGATTGAAAGATGCATTAGCTATCACAAGATTTTCAATATAATTTAGCTTTTGCAGTGCGTCTTCGCTTTGATTTAAAGAAGCTACATAGCGTCTTAAATCATTAACAGCTGATAATGCCTGGGTGGTTGACAAAATCGGAGTTGACTCATCTTCGTCTTCATCATTATCACTTAGGGCCTCTTTTTGTGTGTTATTCACATTCTCAATAAGATCTTCAATTGATTGGATTTCGTACGGTGCCACATTGTCGTCAATGGAAGAATATCCAGGAAAACCTTGCAGTATCAAGGGTTCTCCTTCTTCTTCCAACACGACGTCAACCACGTTATTTCTGAAACCTGCTTTCTTGAAACAATTTTGAATGGTTTCAGGCTTAATTGCTTCCCATGCCGCTGCAATGTTCAAAATCGCATCATGCACAGTTAAGGGTCGTTTGCTATCAGGGTCTTCCATTTCTCGAAGATAGCGATGTATTAGTCTTGTCCTGTAACCTTGCTTAAGGACCTTTATAATTCCCTGATCCATTGGTTGTAATTTGCTTGTCGCATTTGGAGGTAAGTAAACAAGCTTGATATTCTTTAATTCAACACCTTTAGGGTGAGCGGGGCAGTTGTCAATGAATAGAATTATGCGTCTACATTTAATCTGGAAGTGATTGTCTACAGCTTTTAACCAGTCGATGAAACGAATGCCGGTCATCCAAGCTCGAGATTGTGCATCATATGTTACAGGGAGCGATCTTACGTTTTTGAAACAACGTGGATTTTTCGCCTTACCAATCACTAGCAAACGTAACTTTTCTGACCCATCAGAATTGGCACAGGCCAGAACAGTCAGTCTCTCTTTATTTGCTTTACCACCATGACAAGTTTCTCCCTTAAAAACATAAGATTTATTTGGCATCAATTTAAAAAATAAACCGAATTCATCTGCGTTAAAAATGTCTCGCGGTTCGTAATTTTGCAACAATTCGGGAAGTGTTGCCATCCATGTATCAACATCTTGTTGTGCCACTGTCTCCGATTCCCCACTAATTTGACGGTACACAATGCCGTTGCGATTTTTAAAACGATCTATCCAGCCATTTGAAGCGTTAAAATCAGTAATGTGCAAGCTTTCAGCAATTTTACGCGCTTTCTCACATATTATGGGGCCACTTATGGGCAGTTTTAAAGCTCGTGCTTGATGAAGCCATTCCACTAAAACTTTTTCTAATTTATCAAACTTTCCGATCTTTTGCTTTTTTCTCTGCACACCACCCAATCTGTATTTTTCTTTGATTTCTACTCTATTTTTTAAAATGGTACGTAACGTAGAAACTGGTAACTGAAGCTCAGCAGCTAACTGAGTTTGATTTGTTGTTTGTGATTTTTCATCAAAAACTTTCAATATCTCAATTTTTTCTTGAAGTGACAATGCCTTTCGCTTAATTGTAGTCATTTTGTAACAAACAAATGATGCACTATTACAAAAGAGTCAGAACGCGCACGTGACAACATGTAAGTCAACAAATGACGACTGTACAGTGGACTGGTTAAACGGCGCACGGGCGGTGCGGGCGAGCCGGCAGGAGGGCTTGCGTTCGGCATTCGAGCTCGGCTCGGTCAGAGACCGTTACCCGATGCCATATGCCACAAGGAACAATAGATAAAAGGTATTAGGTTGTTGGCATATTAGGCGTATTAAACGGGATGACGAATCGTATTAAGCGTTATGAAATGTATGAAAACATGTCTCAAGTTGCAGGGACTAGCTAAAATGGCGTATTATGCGAAAAATCGTATTAAGCGTGATCGTATTAAGCGAGTTCTACTGTATATAAGTTATGTATATATACATTTTTGTGATCGTCCCTTAAAAACCTTTATTAGGATATCCCACTTGATAGGCTTAAAATATTTCAAAAAAAATTACAAATTGGCACCTGAAATCAACTATTTTGATTTTTAACTACATATTATTTCTATATAGCCTATGACACTCGCGTAATCAAGACAAATCTAACGACGTAGTATCATTAAAATCGGTTAAGACCTTTAGTAAATACGAGGCAATATAGATTGGACATACATACAATATACATATAACATACGTCAAACACAACCCTCCTTTGGGCTTCGCCGCAGTCAGATAAAAATATAAACTAATTGGTATTTTTTCTGTTTTTAACTGAAAATTTTGCTTATGATATATTATTGTAATGTATTAATACAACGTATACTCACTTATACTACCATTTTCCAAGTCAAAGTCGAATACGTCGATATTTCGGGTAGGGGTGTCGATGTAAAACATGAACTTGTTGTCGGATGTCCACGCGATGCCATTGGAAATGGAGACGGGACGGACTTTTACTTCAGGGTTTTTATGGTTCGTCTCAGTTACCATGTAAAGCGTAGCTTGATCTTTATCTACTCCAGCTTCAGTCTCATAACCCATTGTTCCTTTAATTATTTTAAAAGAAAAGGCAATTTAAGTTAAAATTTGCTACAATATCTTAACATTTATTTTATCATCTTTCAAATTCTGCATAAAGAAAAATTTTACCTTACATAATACACATTCATTTTTAGTTTATGGAATGGGTAGAATTTATCACAAAATGTAAGACAGCACGTACAGTAATGCTTAGTATGCTGCAATCTGTTTTTCTGTATGATATTATCACAGTACCCAGTAATTTAATGGATAGTAGCGTAAAGGCAAAGGAAGAAATAACTCTTTTGTCGTCTTTCGATGACTTCTAATCGAACCCCCGGCTCTATTTTTAAGTCTTAAGTAGATTTAAAGGCGATCTGAATAAATTTCTGACATCAAAGAATTTTGGGCATTTAAAATTTTATTGTGTGTATTTTGCTTACCAAACCACAGTCTTCCTTTAGCATCAACTTTGCCATCGTTACACCTATTATCGGGTAGACCGATGTCTACTGAACTTAACAACCTCAGTGCGCTGTCGTCTTCCTGTGCGTCCCAAGACAAAAGATACAGTGCCGATCTAACGCTTACTAACACTAACTTGGGATAGTCTTTTACTCTTACAACTAGACTGGTCGGGCCGTACCCTGAAACAATATATTTGCAAAATTATAAAAGAAGTAAGTAGGTACACCATTATATCGAAATCGCTCCCAAAAGGAGAATAAAATTGTTCGAGGATATGTATGTATGTCATTTTTTGACATACTAATTTGTTATGCTAAAAGTAAAATAAAATATTTATTCATCAAAAAGTCACTTTAAAATGTCTCTCTGAATTTTAGACTTAAAATCGAAAATGTAACTTAGCATCTATTGAATTAAATAATAAAAATAAAAGAGTATTGTACTCCCTCTGTTACTTGATAGGTGTATTTTTTTATAGTATGACTTTACGACGAAGTAGAGTTTTTTATTTTATTTGGTATAGAATACCTGTTCTTCGCATTACCTATGTATCTGCTGGTAACATTGCCCGTGTCAATGTCGAGCCTCAAAATTTTCTGTTGTACAATATCAACCCAGTACAATGCACTTTCGTCTTTTGCGAAGTGTGGTCCTTCATAGTGTACTCCACTGCGATATACCTAAAAATAAATAATAAATAAATACGTTGGGACATTAACATTCAGCCCCATCTAGTTCCCTGGTAAGCTACGAGGCCTGTGTTATGGATACCAGATAGTTGATACACGACACATATATAACTTTAAATACGTACACATTATAAATATAAAGACCCATGACTGGAGTACAAACCTTCGTCATCATACAAATTAATGCCCCCAGCGGGACTCGAACCCGCGACCGCTGGCACAGAAAGTAGGGTCACAACAACAGTTTGCCAAATGCATATATTTTACCGCTTTTTTAATATTTGTAGTAGAATGCCGGTATTATAAGTAAATAAAATACTTTGGGAATTACATGTATCATGTATGACAACAGCCGTATAAAAAAATATGAAACACTAGCGACTCGCTTCGCTTCGGGTTCGTCCTTAACCTTTCAAAGCACGCGGAGCTACAGGTGGCTCCGTTAACAACTAATTTCTTAGAATTTAACCGCAAGGTGCTAGACAAAAACAAATCTATCTCACGGGAACCGTACATTTTGTCCGGAATGAGATATAGCCTATAGCCTTCCTTAATAAACGGACTATCTAATGCAAAAAGTATTTTTTAAATCGGATTAATAGTTCCTGAGACTAGCGCGCTCAAACAAACACAACCAAACAAACTACTAGTACTACAAACTATAGTTTGGAATAACACATAGGCTACTTTTTATCCCGAAAAATATACGGTTCCCGAGGGATAGATTTGTTTTTGTTTTTCTAGAGGCTAACCCGAGCGAAGCGAGGGTGAGCCGCTAGTTATAAATAAAGGTTACTTAAAACATATTTTATACTATTCTTGTTGGTAAAGATGCTATGTATATTGAACTCTATTGAAGATTCCCGACAGACTAATCGCAGATAAAGTAATAAACGATTGAATCGTTACTTTCAAAGTCACTAAGAAGATCTTATCTTCTCTAAATGATCTCTACTCAACTTATTAGCCCGATGAAATATAAATAGATAATTTGTTTATATTAATTATATATTTTTTTTTAGTTTTCTAATGCACATAATTTTACATCATCGATTGCTGCGGTTTGCGACAATTTCAATGGTCTAGTTAAGATAGCCTTAACATAGATTTATAAAGAAATAAACCCAATTAAATGTTGTTGCAAAACTTGATATTGATGAACTTGTCTAAATATATTAACAATCTTTGTTATATCAACAAAGTTAACAAAGTATCACATTAAATGAAATGTGTAAGTATATTTTTAATCCTGATGAAAATTAATTTTTATTAAAAAAATATATAATGAAATATAAATCCTACTTACATTTTTTATGAGTGGAGTTTTTGAATTGAATGCATTAATGCCTATCACATATAATAAGAAAGTTAAACACAAAAAAGTATTTAGTTTCATGTTAGATCAAAGGCACTATTTAACTCCACAATAAATAAACAAACGTCTATCTGGATCCAATACCACTCGGTTAATGAAATTGTTACTTCTGAGTTCTGAGTTCTATACGTTAGCTGCCATGCAAGTGAGAGAATCGACCTTACGTTTCGCCGTTCGTGACATAAATATGAGCTTATTTAGACTCAATAATATACGATTTTCATTGCAATATTATACAAATATAAAAAAAATTACGTGTACAAGAAATTATTTTTTATTAAAAATGTTCTCATCTCATGTTCTGTTGATAAAAATATTATATTAGTTCAAAGCTTTTATTTAAAAAAAAACTTCAGCTTACAAGTTTTACATTTTCGGCAACAGAACACTTCATGTACAAATATAGAGATTTTATCTATATGAATAAAACTTTATTACCGAAATGACTTCAGAGTGCACCAAATTGGAAAATGATTTTTTTGTATTTGTTATTTGTCTGGACAAGCTTTTTATAGAAAAAAAATTAAAAGATTTTTTTTTACTAAAATAAGTTTATTTTAAATCTCATGATATGAAAAGTGAGTGAGTGAAATAGTTTTTATCCCGGATATCATCCCTTAAGGGGGTGAGAATGGGTCCGAAAGTTTGTATGGGAAAGCAAGTTAGGGACGAACCCGAGCGAAGCGGGGGTGTATCGCTAGTCCATACTAATATTATAAATATGAAAGTGTGTTTGTTTGTCTTTCTTTTACGTCGAAAGAAACATTAGAGAAAGTTTTAGTTGAATAATAAAAACCTCGTAGATAATATAACTGTAGTTGCTCTAAGGAAATAATGATCTTCGCTTCCGTAACCTTTAGGTCTATGTACATTGTACACGACCTTCTTATCTCAGGAAATAAATACTTAATTAACAAAAAGAAGTCGATAATCTAAGCTAGTGGCTTGTTTTTGTAACTGAACTGTACTTTCTTGTAAAAAGTAAAAATGGTAGGGGAGCCCAAGAGGAGATTTTGGCATTTACTCAAGCGACTCAAACGCGTCAGATTAACATAATATACTCTGTTCAGTACCTCCACCATAATATAAGTCCTCTACATAAGGGCTATATCTAGGATAGCCGATAAAAATATTTAAAAAATATTTTGATAAGTTAGAAATACTTGAAACTTGATTTTTGCCTCTTCGGCTTGTGCATGCGTGCGTGCGTGGGCTCCCCTACTATTTTTTTTATGGTACTCAGTGATAAACAAGCAGACAGTCCACCTGATGGAAAGCGGTACCTGCCGCCCATAACATCTACGGTTCATGCACTTAGGTTTTACGTAATAAAACTGCAGAGCCGCAGGCGCGTTATCACTGTGAGGACTAAGATGATATTGCCTGTAACTGCGCTGGCTACCTTATCCTTCAAACCGGAACACAACAATGCAATCATTGTTGCTTGGCGGGAGAAATAGATAAGGGGGTGGTACCCATCCTGTCGGACTCCTCAGGCTTGACAGAGTCCTACCTCTCCTAAGTAAGTCCTAATAAATAATAATAAGTCCCAACCCTCGGTTCGCTCGGGTACGTCCCTTGATACGTTTTAAATAGGTATGAATAGTTATTGCGAATGTACCTTAGGAGATAAACATATGATATTGTAGACTTTTCTGTAGGGATTTTGAAGACCTACAGTTTTCCAGTACATTGTTTTGATGTAGGTTTGTACATTGTACATACCTCTTATTTTGCTAGCTTTAAAATTAACTAAGATATATCGCTTTGAAAAAAAGTCGTACCCGGACACTTTTTTTCAAATAACTTCTCAATTAACTAAGATATACATCTAATATTTACTGGATCAATTACTATCTATTAGTGTCCTCTACAATATAACATTGGTTACGATATAGGTTCCTATCGGGGGCACTTTCGCCATAGAAGTACGGCTAAACCCTTTTATTACTAACTGTAGCCTATGTGTTACTCCAGGGCATAGTCTATTTGTGCAGTCACTGTAAGTACTACATTTGCGTCTGAATGCTCACGAAATATTTCAGATGGAGCTTTTACACACTCTTTTTTACACATTCATTTATGGTATAAGTACATACGATTTTATATACGATTATATTTATATACGGTATAGTTATTAGATAATTTGCATTTAAATTTTAAACCCATTTGTTGTATTAAATTATTGAACTATATTTTAATTGGTATGGTAAATAGTAATATTAAAAATAGGCGAGTAAATAATATGTAGATAATATTAATGTTAATATTATCTACTTATTATTTACTCACCTATTTTTCAATTATCTATTAATTATACGAATACATAAAATTCGTTAAGTAATTTTGTAATTACTTTATGTCGATAAGTCTTTTGACTTTGACTTTAAATAAAAAAAAAACATAAACGCGATGGATAAAAATATTTTTGTAAACCAAGAATTTAGTCTATGTACCTAATATTTAAAAACTTTATAGCATAACAGTCAGTCAAATACACTAGCGTTATGTTTAGGTTTTAACTTAGTGTTATATTATTCTTTCTATCACAAATATAGCGTCTATTATTTTATGATCACATCGATGCCCATAAGCTCTATGTTTTAATGTTTATCGAAATCGTTCGCCATTTTTATCCTTGAAAACTGTCTTGACAATGTGCTATCAATGTTCGCAATGCTCATAGTAATTGTACATTGTAAAGCCTATATAGATATACGATTTCAATTACAAAACCATTTATATTTTTATATACGTGACAAATAATTAAGTATGTTATTATTATAAATATTGTTTATAAATAGACTTAGATCTTGATTGAGTTGACTAATACCTAATTATTGACTTGCGTTCAAAAGGAATAGTCGATAATTAAGAAAAATAAGGCATTGTTAAGTGCACGCTTGAGATAAAACAACCTTCTCTTTTGTATCTTGCTGAATTTAATTATTGTTCAGATCAAATGAGAATCTTTACAAGAATGTTACTCATTTTTATCATTATTAATGAAACATTTTTCTTATAAGTGGGTACTGTTTATATTATAAAATACTTTTTAGTTTTTGCACATTTTATTATTGCCAGTTTTATTTCTCGCTCTATATTGGTAACCAGGCTGCTCATTTATTTGCTTCACGAAGATGATTCGTGAAGTACAACTTAAAAAAAATACAAGACATGCCTATTTGATAATGTTTTAATTTAATATTATTGTTAGTACCTGGGCTACCGAGCTTTGCTCGGAGTTTTTGGCCTAAAGTACAATTTTCTTTTTTTTTAAACTAAAAATTTGAATAAATATAAAAAAAAACAAAAGTAGGTAATAACTTTGTACGCGACCGATATTCGAACCTGGACACCTGTGATTGTTGATCTTGCACCTTAGCCACTTGACCACGATGCTTACACCAGAGCGTACAAATTACCGACCATATTTCGCATGGAATAATGCAAAAGAAAACTGCATGAAAACTCGAAAACACGCATTTTCTCAGACATAAGTCTAATCTAGATCGATTTATCGCCCCGGAAACCTCCTGTATACTAAATTTCATGAAAATCGTTGGAGCCGTTTCCGAGATTCAGATTGCTCGGTAAAATATATAGGATTATTACGTTACACATTTATATTATACAGGTACCAGTCTATTAAAAACGTACTTTACCTAGATATCATTACCAAACAATTTATATCTAGGTTTAATTAATATTTATTTGAACAACGACAACATTTAATTTGGTGTTAAAAAAATATAGGCAAAAAAAGTACAACTACTTAATTGGTTTTACCTGATAAACATTTTAAATAAATATATTGCATTATATTACGGTCAGAGTATATGAATAATCTTACCGTATTATTCAAATGCGGTAAAATTATTCATATTAAAATCAGTTATTACTCACTAATTTTCCAATGGGTTTGGTTAAAAGAATAATGTTTATAGGTAGTATGGGTTTTAGAATTTACTACGTATTATATCCACAACGTGTTACTTGTCGGTGTAACATGTCTCACTTAATACTCTAATAAAATTAATAATTGAGACATTTAAGAATAGTTTAATAGATATTCTATTGTTAAGAACTTAAAAAAAAATATTATACAACGAAAACAAAAACAAATCTATCCCTCGGGAACCGTATATTTTTCCGGGATAAAAAGTAACCCATGTGTATGTACAGGATGAAAAATTCCCACGGGTGCATTCCACGTGAAGCGGACAGTCAAAAAGTGTCGGGGTTTCCGATTTTAATAATATTTGACTACCTATGTTATAGCTATATTTTTTCGCGACCCAACCACAAAATATTTTTATAATATAAAGCCTAATATTATGGAGTTAATGGGCTTTTAGGTTTTGACTAAATGTTTGGCATGCACTACTTGTACATGTCCATTACCTAGTATTAAAATTTAAAAAGTTATAATAATTTAAATAAAGCAGTTGAATAAAATGAAGAGTTTATATATCGTTAAATGGCATATTTATTTGCATTTTTCGACATTACTTTTTTTCGTTTTGATAAAAAAATGTCTAAATTTTCGAAACTTGAATTTCACAAATTTAGACCATTTTTTTTCTAAATATAGCTAAATATCTGTGCATCTCTCATTTCATGTATATATCTTAGTTCATTTACAGTGTATTTCATGTGTGGTTAACATCAAAGTGTATATCTATCTAAATGCTAAATACAAATTATTTAATCCATAGATGAAAGTGTTTATGGACATGAAGCCGGGCGGGTCCCTGTGCACGGTGCTCGCTACCATGTTCCGTTTCAAGTCGGAGCAGCGGTGGCGCAAGTTCGACTTCCAGGTCGGTAAGGTATGCACCCGCACTGCCTCGCTCACCGCCCCCGCAGACCGCCGCCCCGCAGTACCCCGCAGTACCCCGCATGCCGTGAGGCATAACAAACTATGACAAGCGTTTCGCGATACACGATATATTGTTGATACTTAGGTATTTAGATTTGTTTTTCTTTAATATAATAATTATTTAACAATTGATGCTGCTACTTTTTGAATTTTCAAAACCGTGAATTAATTTACGTTATTAGTCAATTTTAAGTTAATTTAATTCATGTAATAATGAGTAATGAAGTATTTGATGTTATCAAGTTCATATTAATTTACTTAATGAAACAATAATGATAAGCTTTTTGCCTATTTCTATAATCAAGACATTTGTATGCGCGGAGTGATCGTGAAGCGCTTGTTGTTGCTATTCCAATCGCACGATATGGGTATGATATTTTATTAACAATTGGTGAAAATATACTATATACCACGTTTTTCTTTTCAAAAAATACACAATGGAATATTGGAAGGTTATTATTTAAGTTTCCTTACATAATAAATACTAAAATAATATTTTTATTTACAAACAGATTTTATATACATACCTACATACTATATTTACACGAGTAATTTAAATATTAATCTTAAATGTTTGGGAATCAAAGTATCACATAATAATAATATAACTGAATTGAATTTTAATATACCATCGAGAATTGTGAGTAAAGAATGAATTACTAAGAATTTTATAGCATTGTAGACCCAACTATGTTACTGTTTTTATCTTCACAACACAACTTTTTAATGGCACGAAACACAAATTTTAGAAAAACCTTCCTATTAAAGTTTTATTTATTTTAATTTACTAGAATATGACCTTTTTAACATACATTTGTAAGTAATAGATGAAATGGTTTAGAATTAGAGACTGTAAATAAGAATTATCCTTTCATGTCACGTCATTTCATGCAATGACCCATTTTGTGCTGAGATCTTTGTTTGGAGGGCTACTTCTTGAGGTTTTTTTTGTAAGAGTTTTAAAATGTCTTTCACTTGTGTGTTCTAAATAACAGTTTGTTTTGTTTCTGTCACTAATATTGTCGATTGGGTTTGTACTTACACACTGTTGCATGCCAATCCAAGTACCTATGTCTTTAGTAATATAAAATTGTAAAAGACCAAATAATTTTAGAATACAATTTATATTCTTATTACAAATATATACTATATTTAATTTATAAATAATTTAAAAATTACTGTAAAATGTTATTAATACTTAGGCTATTGAATTTCATTCCCTGTTTTTCATCTATCAGAGGTGGAATTTTTTTTGTTCAAATTAAAAAACGAATCATTGAAATCGTTTCAACGCAGTCAAAATTTACGTGTTATCATACACATCTAAAATGATTATTTATATTTCCAATTCAATTTTATTAACGATGCTTTATTTTTTTAACTCTTTGAAATAAATGTCGATTAAAAGTATTTATTTATAAGCTTGCCATACAAGACAAGTTTTGTAAACTTTTAACGAAATTCAGTACTAATGAGTGAGATAATTCACGACACGTTTGGCTCAGTTTGTAGTGACCTTACTTGCTCTGCCAGCGGTCGCGGGTTCGAGTCCCGCTGGGGGCATTCATTTGCGTGTTGAACATGAATGTTTGTACTCCAGTCATGGGTGTTTATATTTATAATATTATATATGTATTTAAAAGTTATATATGTGTAGTGTATCAACTATCTGGTATCCATAACACAAGCCTTGTAAGCTTACCATGGAACTAGATGGTACTGTAAGTTAATGTCAAAAAAAATGTACATTAATTATCATATACTAATGCAACAAAATGTTTTTTCCTTCCCTTTCCTCCTCACGTCCTTTGCAGAACCCGTCACGTAAAGATTTAAACGTGCAAATGATGATGGAAATCGAGTCATCGTTATTGGGAGCTGAGCTTTTGCGCTCTCCTTGCATCTTCATTCGTCCTGAAGTGGACAAGACCACCGCGAACAAAGTAAAGGACATCATCGTTAATCATCAAGGCGAGATATGTGGTAAGATAATTATTTTATTGTTATTGAAGTACTAGCATTGCCCGCGGCTCCGCCCGCGTTTAGATGACCAAAAACCAAATTCTTAGGTTTTACATATTAGTATACTCTTACATTGTAGTTTATATATATTTTATCAGAAATGAGACATTTTCTCGCGGTAAAAAGTATATGTTGACCCGGATAACCAGCTACCATCATACCAAATTTCATCAAAATCCCTCCAGTGGTTTTCCCGTCATGCGGTAACAGACAGACAGACAAAAATTCTAAAAACCATGGATTCGGCCTCTGTATCGATAATAATGTTTATTTCAATAAGATTTTCCAAAAAAATATCTAATGTACAGATTCGGCTTAGTTACAATTTTATTATATGTATAGATAGATTATTCAACTTTTATAACCTTTTTGTTATGCATATGTAATACTTTCTACTGCGTATTTTCTATAGCGCACGGGATAATTAAAGCAAAAAAAAACACTTAGGTAATTTAAATAAAAAGAACTTTAAGGTAATCACTATAATAAAGCTAATGTAGTGCAAAGGACCTGGCAATTTATTTTTTCGCATTACATGTAGATAAGAATTCTGTCGGAAATTTAAAAATAACAATGCATTTTCAAAACAAAAGTGACACATAAGATGTTTTAAATTTTATGCACCTAATAACTTTGCGGAATCTAAATAAATTAGAATTAACCTTTGTAAACACAAAAAGATAGTTATTTAATTTAATTATTTATGTCAACTATACTAATATTATAAAGAGGCAGAGTTTGTTTGTATGATTGTTGGTTTGTTCATTCGTTTGTTTGAACGCGTTAATCTCTACTACTATTTACTAATCCGATTTAAAACAATCTTGAGCACAGCGCGAGGGTCGACAATCAAACCAAGCGACTTTGGGTTTGCTTTGTCAGTGAGTCAGTGATTGAATTTAAAATTTTTATAAAGAAATTTTATTTTCTTTTCGTACCTTTTCACGTCTCTAATGTCTTAAAATTGAAATAATTCAGATGGCAGAATATGTCATTCTTGCAAAAAAAATTTATACTTATCGAAAACGTCAATATATTTGAAAGGGCTTATTTTAAATATTCTAAATAGTACTATTTTAAATGTTTTTATCTCAGAGGACGAAGAAGACGCAACTCACATAATTTACCCGGCGGTGGATCCGTTAGAGGAGGAGTATGCTCGTCCAGTGTTCAGGCGCGGCAACAGTGTGCTCGTGCACTGGTACTACTTCCCAGACAGTCACGATACTTGGGCACAGGCAGATTTGCCGGTTAGTATTGTTTATAATTTATATGCTATATTTTGTACTAGCGACTGAGTACGTTTTTTTTGAGCGGAACCCCAATTCTTTTTCTAAAAGAAAAGTAAAGCCTAAATTACTCCTTATAACATTAGCTATCTGCCAGTGAGAGTCCCGTCAGAAGCAGTCCAGCCGTTTCGGAGATTAGCCGAAGCAAACAGACAGGCAGACGAAAATTTTAAAATTGTGTTTTTATTATAAGTACCTACCGTATATAATTTCATATTCATTTAGTAAAAGTTGTTATTTTGACTTTACATACAGACATGCAGGCTTGGCCATCGGACGGAAATATAATCACATAAGAATAATATACTATTAATTCAATAGCACAAAGATATACAGACAAAGAGACATACAGCGAAAATTTCAATAACTATTGTTTCGGGGTCTATATACTGTACACAATATGTTATAGCCGTCGTTTTTAAAAAACATTTCATGTACAGATTTCGCTTTGCTACTACTTTATTATGTGTATAGTTATTACGAAATGAGGGTAACTCTCTAGTAAACAATATATTTTTTTATAATTTTAGGTGGATATCCCAGAAACAGCCAACTGGGAGTGTAACCGCGTGGAGCCCTGGCGCGTGGCGGCCACGTGGGCGCTCGACCTGCCGCAGTACAACGAGTGGATGAACGAAGAGGACTACGAGGTCGATGTCAATGGAAAGAAAAAGGTAAAAGGTGTTAACTGATTTCATTTAACCTTACAGTGGTCGCACCCTTCTGCTAAACATTCGCGCTCGGGCTGTGGTTCCGCAACTTTATATGTGGTTTGAGAGGATGAATCAATATTTATTTCATGGCATTACACACAATATATGTTACGTTATCTACGCATGTGATAAGAAAAAGTCTTTTATATGTATAAATAATAATAATAATAAACATGTATTCCACATATTTTTAATAGTTAATAGGTCTATAACTATAAGAACTCATAGCAATCACATTCATATGATCCAAAAACAGAGTTATAAATCAACATATCACCGAAATATAATGATTTTTTCCATCTTAGTCTTAATCATTAATAAGCATACTATAATTATATATCATATATCAAATAATTAATAAATTGTTCTAGGTGCATAAATTGCGTTTGTCTGTGGACGACCTTATTCCCGGCGGAGAACCCTCCGGTAAAGGCAAGAAGGGCAAAAGGAAGCGATCCCCTTCGCCGCCGCCGCAGAAACATGGCAAGAGAAAGGGGTGGGTAACGATTTACACATATTATATCATAAATACATGATCTATCTATATTTTTGTTGCTTTTATTAAACTTCATACAGATTAGTAAACGTAAAATTAAATAGGCCGAGCTGGCAGTTAACCCATGGAGATTGACAGAGATACGTAACACTATCAATTTATACATAAAAATTATGTATAATAATAATTATTATATACTGAAAAATTGTTTGTATTCCCGTTTGTTTGAACGAGCTAATCTTTGAAATAAGCTAATTACTTTGGAAAGATATCTTACGTCAACAGTCGGAGAGTGAATTACTCTCCATATGAATTATACATAAAATACACAAGTGGACTCACGGGCATATGTAAAATATATATACATGTCAAGACCCATAACATCTATCCATAATATATGCATATAGTTATATTGATAAGCGTAGATACGTACATATATATTATGCATAGAAATTTAAAAATATGCACATATACATACATATTTAAGTAGAACTTCATAAAAACATTTGACAGTATAGCGAGTTACTCTCGCTCCGCTCGGGTTCGTCCCTGGGACATTTTAACGTTTAGTATAGATTCCTCTGAGATGAGATATTTTCCCGTAGTAAAATGTATCCTAAATGTTCACCCGAATAATTAGATATGATCCAGCGTTTTTCTCGTGAAACGTTTCCAGACAGACAGATAAAAATTCTAAAAACTATAGATTCGGCCTCTGTATCGATAATATTGACTATTTCAATAAGATTTTCCAATTGATTTATATTTAATGTATGAACATTTAATGTACAGATTCGACTCAGAATTTTATTATATGTATAGATGTTACTCTGTTACTAAACGTAAACGGCAAAGGCATGTACGATATCTTTAACAAGTTATCTTGTTATGTTACCTTGTTTTTTGTGTTGGGTAATTGGCGAATTTAATTTTTTAAACGACTTGTATTTTTTTAACTACATGATTAAAAAAAGGTGTCAATTACTGTATTTTTTTATATATTTTAACAGTAGTAAGTTTAGTGTTGATAAATTTAAATTTTATCACTCAATTTATTACAATTGAATTAAAAATTTAGAAATATTTTAAAACATGTATAAGTGTTTACCATATCATTCTGCATGTATTTTGTTCGAACCACAGGTTGGATGATTGAGTTCTTTTTATACAGTGTAGCATAGTCATAGCACATAGTCTATTAATATACACATGACTGCACTATAATATCTCTCTAAAAGTAAAAATCGTGTGTCTATTATTATTTTTGCAAGTAAATTTTTCCACGGAAATAACACTAGTAGCTTTGCTTCACTCGGGTGTTTCCCTAGGACATAGTCTATCTGTCTACAAAGTTTCATCTAAATCTGCCGTTTCAGCGTCGGGAGTAACAAACATACATACACATAGAAATTTTCGTATTTCCTATAGTTTTACGATGGTTTCAGACGCGTGGCCAAGCGCCGCGACAACGACGGCGACGACGAGGACGACAACGCGTCGCGCGACAACACCGACGTGGCGCCCACGCCCGACAGCGAGCGCTCCACGGACGGTCGGTATACTTCATTTCATACTATACTGTATTCGCCGAATGAACCAAGCACTGAGATTTTGCGATGCGATGATTAATTGAATTCAATTATTTACTATTAAATGATTTAAAGATTTATTGAAATTTTAGTACATAAATAGCTAAAATAGATAAAACTTTAATAATTGCAGTAGATAGAGTGATTTTCGAGGAAGGTTTTAGTATATAATTTGTTAAGTTTTTGTATACATTAGCCAAAATATAACGATATTTGTTGGAGGTGTATCTTATATAGTTCTAACTGCCTCGGTGGTGTAGTGGCTAGCATGTACGGCTGCACACCCGGAGGTCCTGGGTTCGAGTCCCGGGTCGGGCCAAGTTTAGTTATTGAGTCTTTCTGTCTAATAAGTCTCAGTAACAGCCCGGAGTTGGGAAGTTGGCGGTGTTTCACCCCCGTGCCTCGGAGAGCACGTAAAGCCGTCGGTCCTGCGCCTTAACTCTCACCGGTCGTGTCGAGTGGTCGTCCCACCGGAGTATGAGAGTGATAGGAATAGAGAGTGCACTTGATAGTTCTACAGAAAAGTCCGCGATGGCATATGTCTATCGCTTAAGGATAACATACTTTATCCATTTTTATTTAAAACGTATATATTACAATAATAAAATGATGTATTATGTATATAATTCCCCCAGCGCCGGCGGCGGCCCCCGCGAGCGCATCGCAGCCGGCCAGCGAGGCGGCGGCGGACGCGCCCGCCACGCCCGCGCCCGCCATGGACGCGCACGACGACTCGCAGGGCAAGCACAGCGACTCCAACACACAGGTACACACTCTACGCTAAACGTAAAACGTAAACATCACGTTTCATTTCGACATCATTCACCCTCGCTCCGCTCGTGTTCGTCCATAGTGCTACGTTTTAACGTTTAGTATAGATTTCTCAGAGATGAGATATTTTCCCGCAGTAAAAAGTATCCTATATGTTGACCCGTATAACAAACTATCATCATACCAAATTTCATCAAAATCTGTCTAGTGCCGTTTATCGCCAACACACGCCAAAACACGCCACACACAATAATATAATAGGGATTCATAGTTTTCGTGTTCGATATGGTTATGCAAATATTCAATATGAATTTCGATTTTGCAAAAACATTTAAAATCCTTAAATACAATTTTCATAACCTATTCTTAGGGTTTTTTAATATTGAACACCTAAATATGTGAATTTCACACCTCAAGGGGTGGGAAAATTTGTATGAAAATCCATATTTTCTGGGGTTAAATTAAAAACAGACATGGGAATCTACTAGTAATATTACATAAACTACTTATATTTAAATAATAATTAATTATTCTAAGAAATAAAACAGCAATAGCTCTGATGGATACTAACGAATACTGACTTAAATATTATACTTATTTCAGTAATAATTATAAATAAAATTATTTGTTCTTAAATGAATATAACTTTATTGTATAAAATATACGCTTTTATACTATATGCTTAGTTATTTTTATTATTTTTGTATAAATTTTACATTTAAATTACATTACTATTAAACATAATATTTTAAAGATTCATCATTATTAAAATGTCTCAACAGGAAATGCTAATAAAAGAAGAATTAGAAGACAATGTGACAGATCAGACGCATCACATCGTGGTGCCGTCGTATTCCGCCTGGTTTGACTACAACTCTATACACACAATAGAAAAGCGCGCCCTACCAGAGTTCTTTAACAACAAGAATAAATCTAAGACACCTGAAATATATTTGGCATACAGGTATTTATATGTGCTCACCTAGTGGTTGAAATTTATCATTCACTAGCATTGCCCGCGGCTCCGCCCGCGTTTAGATGACCAAAAACCAAATTCTTAGGTTTTATATATTAGTATACTCTTACATTGCAGTTTTTGTATTTATTTTCAGAAATGAGATATTTTCCCGCGATAAAAAGTATCATATATGTTGACCCGGATAACCAGCTATCACCATACCAAATTTCATCAAAATCCCTCCAGTGGTTTTTCTGTGATGCGGTAACAGACAGACAAAAAATCTAATAACTATAGATTCGGCCTCTGTATCGATAATAATGTTTAATTCAATAAGATTTTCCAAAAAATATTTAATGTACAGATTCGGCTTAGTTACAATTTTATTATATGTATGGATTATTAAATTTTCAGGAAAACATGTATGAATAGAATCATTACCTATGTATATAAAAAAAACTGTTTCCATTTTTACGTGTGTTCAAACTGACTAGTGACATTTTATTCGTGTTCTTCTTACTTAGACTATCGAACTTATATACTGGACGGTAGTTAGTACGTTTGGACCTCACTACCTAAGTGTGTACAGGAACTTCATGCTGGACACGTACCGGCTGAACCCGACGGAGTACCTGACGAGCACGGCGTGCCGCCGCAACCTCGCCGGCGACGTGTGCGCCATCATGCGCGTGCACGGCTTCCTCGAGCAGTGGGGGCTCGTCAACTATCAGGTGTGGTGTTCATGTTTACTTTTGTGCTGATAATATATGATTATGATTGATATATAAATAAAGTTCACCTGTCTCGCTGAGTTTGTTTGTTTGGGTTAATCTCAGAAACTACTATGCAAATTCATACACATTTCACCACCGCACATAGAAAGAGGGATTAGCTAGCAAGAGGTATATGTTGAACTTCCGTAATATTATAAATATGAAAAAAATATATATGATTCATTAGTATAATTAATTATTTCCTTAACGTTCTAGTATACCTAGTACAGTATCCGTATTATAATTGAGCGATTCAAAATGAGGCTTGTCAAAAATTTGCAAATCTATTAGATATGTCCTAATTATATAAGAAAAAAAAATAAGCAAAAATTTTTGAATGATGTTTAGTTAATTATTAATAATATTTGATTCAGGTGGAGGCCGAGTCCCGTCCGACGGCGATGGGCCCGCCGCCCACGTCGCACTTCCACGTGCTGTCCGACACGCCGTCCGGCCTGCAGCCGCTGCAGGCGCGGCCCACGCAGCCGAGACCAGGTAAAAAATATATATTTATCTACAGCACATTATTGCACAAAAATACTGTAATTAAAAAATACATATTATACATAACATTTTATTTTTTCAATAGTCCAACCAAAAAACTGGAAAATTTTAGCCTTTATCGTCTTTAGGTGAAGCTGAAATTTTGATATTATTCCTACGTTGATATATATTTTTAATTCGGCTCCCACGTGATTTGTAAAGGGTTATAAAAAAAATTTATATGAATATTTTTATTAGTGTCATAGGCGTCCTGGTTTTTTTTATTGTGCAAAGACATATTTTGATTATTAAATAAAAACTAAAAAAAAAACAATTTCCAGGACCTTTAATGTAAAAAATAACTAAACGGGGTTTTCATTTAGAATAGATACCTAATCGGATATTTTCGAAGTCGTGAATGAATACTTAAAACTTGTACTAATGATGTTAAAATTTGTCCTATAGCGGAAAACGCAGCGGTTCCCAAAGTGGAGGCCGGTCTCCCGAACGGCACGGAGGCGGGCCCGCCCGTGAAGCCCGAGCCCACCGTCAAGTCAGAGCCCTTGCTTGAGCTCGGCACTGCTTCCGGACTTAAGATGGATCAAGTTAGTATTTTAAGCTGAATTAAACTTAAATTTTAAATATATTTAATTGAAAATATTTGGTAATATGTTCAAGAGTACAATTAATGTGTCTTATAGGTAAAAGTAAAGTTTATTAATGTGCTGTGTTGGTATACGCATGCAGCACCTCTTATAGGCTTATGTTTATACATATATGTATAATAGCATAATGTGTTAACGTATCGTGTACTGTATCATTTGGATGTAATCATAGGCATATATGTATATGTATTGGCATAGTTTATTAACGCGGTATGTACCATGCACTCAGCGCTGGATTTATACTAGGGGCATTCGGGGCTAGTGCCCAGGGCAGCAAATTTCAAAGGGCGGCAAAATTCAAATATATATTTTTTTTTTCAAAAAAATAATTACTAACACATTTTTCGAAAATTTGAAAACATTTACAAATTATTTTTTTCTATTTTTCAAGAATTAATAATTAAAAAAAATAACTTTATCAAAACTTTATCCATTATTAAATAAAACTATCTTTTCGGATTATTTCGCGGATTTATTTTGATTTTTGGTTCCCGACGTTTCGAATGCTTTACAGCATCCATGGTCACGGGAGAGACTGAGGTGTTAAACGTCTTAAAGATATAGTTGTTACAGACAGCCTACCCACAATCAACAAAATGAAAATTGCACCAATTACATTACATTACTAAGAAAGTATTATGTGAACTTTATCCACTTTATGCAAAACTTTGATAATGGGGCGGCGTTTCTTACAGTGCCTAGGGGCGACGCTAAGGTTGAATCCGGCACTGAATACCGTATCATTTAGCTTTATATATGGGTATAATATATTATAGCTCGATATAAACCTAATGGCGCTTCGGTTATTACCTGCGAGTGCAGGTACGCGCAGCGTTTCGTTTCTTTGCGCCACCGTAATATCTAATATTGTGTTTTACACCGGAACGTTCGATTTTCAAAGCCGCCACTAAGTTTTAATCGTACTGTAAAATATATTTTAGCAGTGTATTAAAGTGGTACGTACTATGCAGTACCGTGTCCTTTGGCTTTATGTATGTGTGTTAACTTGTTGCGTGCGTTGCATTTGGTGGACTCTTAAAGTCCACCCTACCCCATAGTTTTGTTCAGTTTCTCTTATTTGTTCGCAACATCATTTGAATCTAAAATTGTACACGCACGAATCCATCTCAAATAAAATAAAATAAAAATAACAACAAAACATAAAAATGCTCAAAAAAAGGCACGGACGTATTATGTCTGTGGGTCAGTTAGTAGAGTAACTGACTTATTCAAATAAAAATAAAAAGAGTTGTTGTGTGTGTCAGTACCGCGGCGGCGTGCGCGGGCGCGAGTGGACGGAGCAGGAGACGCTGCTGCTGCTGGAGGCGCTGGAGCTGCACCGCGACGACTGGAACCGCGTGGCGGCGCACGTCGGCACGCGCACGCACGACGAGTGCATCCTGCACTTCCTGCGCCTGCCCATCGAGGATCCCTACCTCAATGATAACTCTGCCAGTCAGTATTACGTTGGAACTATTCATTGTTGTACCAATATGTGGATTTATTGTTTAAAATATGTAATAGAGTTCACGTTTAGTTAAGGAACATTTTATTTAACAAAATATTGTAGGACACGCCATCTATGCCACTACCGATATTCTTCTTTATATAGTACAGATTAAATACTTTATTATTTTTATATAACTTATGGTGATCTTAGTTACTACATATATGCCATAAATAGATAAGTGCTCGATATTTATCACACACTATAGGGAATGATTTGTGTATATAAAAAGTGACAATTTACACAATTGAGCTATTACCAATCCATTAAAATAGTTACTAGTTAAAATTTAAACAATATTTCTAATTTTTTTTTTAACTGGCGACTCACCTTCGCTTCGCTTGGGTTCGTCCCTACATTTTAATTTTTTTGAGCGGAACGCTAATTCTTTTACGAAAATAAAAGTAGCCTAAGTTACTTCGTATAACATCAACTACCTGCCAGTAAAAGTCCTGTTAAAATCGGCCCAGCCTTTTCGGAGGTTAGACAGATATCGGAACAAACAAACAGACAAAAATTTTAAAAATTGTATTTTTCTTATAAATACCGTATATAATTCGATATGCATTTAGTAAAAAGCTGTTATTTTGACATTACAAACAGACACTTCAATTTATTAGTTAATTATCTGTATAGATTTACTCAGTATAATTAGTTCAATTCTTTAACAACCATATAAAAAAACCAAGTATATTTCTGACACAATACTGCGGTGTACAGGCGGCGTCCTGGGCCCGCTGGCGTACCAGCCGATCCCGTTCAGCAAGGCCGGCAACCCCGTGATGAGCACCGTCGCCTTCCTCGCCTCCGTCGTGGACCCGCGCATCGCGTCCAAGGCCACGCGCGCCGCCATGGACGAGTTCGCGGCTATCAAGGTAAGGCTAATAAGGTGCACATACATTTTGCTTTTCATATTGTTGCTCCTCTTACCTTTAAGCAGATCCTGTTCAGAAGGACTAGGGTTAGAAGTAGTAGGATAACTGACGATCATTGCCTATCTCTGCGTAGCTCTAGCACGGTATGATGCTCATACATGGATTTTTATATTTTTTTTATACACTTCCTGGTTTTTTTTACCTATAAAGGAGTTCGAGCGTCGATTTCGGCGATTCTGCACCGTGCTACCTCGCCTTGTCCCGACGCAAACTTAAGGTCATAAAAGCGAGTTGACCATATATCTGTACTTTAATATTATAAAGACCCGCTGAATCGATTTAGACGAAATTTGGTATGAAAATAGTTTGAGACCCTGGGAAGAATATAGAATAGTTTCTATAGCGAAAATCAGCCCTTAAAGGGGTGAAAATGGGGTTGAAAGTTTGTATGGGGAATCAATCATTCCCCAAGTAAGGGATATAAAACTCATCATACCTATGCAAATATAAAATATATATATAAAATATATAGTCTATTCCATAGTAACCGTTAAAATAATAACATAGGACTTGTTTATAAGATTACTAATTTTGTAATTATGGAGGTACGACGACATAGACCTTTTCGTTACGTGCCACTTTTCTGACCAAGTTCTCGAATGTTTCGATGTGACTTCAAGTCCTTACGTTGCGTCGTAACGTCAAAAATGAATGAATAAATATAATTTTACGATACAGGACGAGGTGCCGGCGGCCATGATGGAGGCGCACGTGAAGGCGGCGGGCACGCACGGGCCGTCCGCCGCGCTGGCCGCCACTGGCATCGCCGGCACCGCGCCGCCCGCGCCCGCGCCGCCCGCGGGTGACCTATACTATATTATATATAACTGCCTCGATGCTCTAGTGGCTGGCATGTACGTCCGCAGATCCGGAGGTCCTGGGTTCGAGTCCCAGGTCGGGCCAAGTTTAGTTATTGAGTATTTCTGTCAAGAAATTCTCAGTAACAGCCCGGAGTTGGGAAGTTATCTGTGTAATAAATCTCATTCAATTCCCTTCCGCCGTTTGAGAAGAGATAACACATCTTCCGCATTTGTAATAGAAGTCCGACTTAATATTTATAACTTTTAATGACGTCATTTTTACTATTTGTTTTGATATTCATAGTTTTTTTTATTAATAAATAAATTAAAATTCAAAATAGAAATTCTTCCTTTCTTAAAGTAGGATAATTTCTTTTTAAGTAATTTTTAAGTTAATGTACCTTTTTGCCGGGCCTCACCTTAATGCAAATGGAATTAGACCTTAGTCCTTCACGCTGGCTAAATGCTGTCTGCTGCTCACTTTGCAAGAGCACTTTTAGAGTTCAATTTTATTGATTAAAATAAATGCTAATCTATATTTATTGACTAAAACATTGCCTGATTGAAATCTGCGTTGATTTTTGAGTATCTTTATGTTTAAATACTTACTATTTTCAAGGTAAATTATTACCATATAAAACAATTCAATACAGGCGAAAAGAAAGAAGGCGCGTCCGAAGTGAAAACAGAAGCAATGGAGGTAGACGGCGAGGGTGAGGCCAAAGTGAAAGAAGAACCAACAGAAGCTCCTCCCGCAGAGGACGTGAAGGAGCCAAAGGACGATGCGACTCCGCCACCAGGTATATTGCTATTTTTATATACGTATAAGTATACGTATTCAGCCCTTTTTTTAACGTCCCACTGCTGGGCACCGGCCTCCCTTCAATACGAGGGGGATCAGGCCATAGTCCCTCATGCTGGCCAAGTGCGAGTTGGCTTCACATGTCTTTCGAAAACTTGCGCAGGTACTCTCAGACATGCAGGTTTCCCCACGATGTTTTTCTTTACCGTAAGCAAGTGGTAATCATGTTGGAAATGATTCGCACGTGAAAATATCAGACGTGGTCTCGCCAAGGGTTTGAACCCGTTTCACTCGGTTCCCCAAGCGAGCGGATTACCACTGGGCTACCACTGCCTATATGTATATTGTATATACATACGTATATGTCATACTGAAATAGACCCTGTACAAATATATTATGATCACTTGATATAATAGATTAATATCGCACTGGAACTTGTGTACTGCTTATCGGCATCTCTTAGAGATTTGCTTCCCTAATATTGGCTACTTTATGCTATCTTGTTTTGCCTCAGTAAACATCAGATAGGGTTATAAATAAAATGTAAACTGAAATATATTATTTTAAAAATGTAGCATTATTTTATATTGTTTTAAATATTATAAATGAATGACCTAATAAATAAATGTGTATCATTTAAGTATTCTTCGCTTTAATATTGTACATATTATGGCAAATATTTTACATTACTTTAAAATATGAGAAGGACAGTTCACTAAAAAAAAATTTTTTACAGTAAAACCACAACGACCCCATTTAACAAGCATAATATATGAAATGTTTACTTATTAATTGTTGCTCATAAAATGATAAGTAGCATGTGAATAAAATCAATGCCATAAAACATTATACGTTAATACGTTTTGCTATGATTTTTTGTCATAATTTCTTTAATTTTAAACTGCCGTTTCTGGGTTCGATTCCCAACATAGTTTAAATTTGTATCTGCTATAAAAGCAATTGTTATTGTCATATAACGCTGCGAAAATCTGACTAGCATATATTATTAGAGAAAGGCAGTGGTAGCCCAGTGGTAATGGGCTCGCTTGGGAAACCGTGTGAAGCGGGTTCAAATCCCGGGTCTCACTCCTCTGATATTTTCATGTGCGAATCATTTCCAACATTATTACCACTTGTCTTAAGGGTGAAGGAAAACATCGTGAGGAAACCTGCATGTCTGAGAGAACCTAGCAAGTTTTCAAAAGACATGTGAAGTCCGCCAACCCGCACTTGGCCAGCGTGGTTTACTGTGGCCTGATCTCCCTCGTATTGAAGGGAGCCCGTGCCCATCAGTAGGACGTTAAAAAGGGCTGCATACATACATACATAACAAATCAATGTTTGTCGACAGAGGCTCCAGACGCGGTGGACGCCAAGCTGCAGTCGGCGGCGGCGGCCGCGCTCGCCGCCGCCGCCGTCAAGGCCAAGCACCTCGCCGGCGTGGAGGAAAGGAAGATCAAGTCCCTGGTCGCGCTGCTGGTGGAGACGCAGATGAAGAAGCTGGAGATCAAGCTGCGGCACTTTGAAGAGCTGGAGGCCACCATGGAGAGGGAGAGGGAAGGTAGGGTTGAGTGATGTTTTACATAGTTTTAATATGGGTGTGTTTTTCTTCTGTGTGGTGTGTTTTTTTTCTGGAATCGGCCGATCTTACTAAGACTGGTCATCTAAGTGATGTTACAATGTAGGCGTAATTCCTTTCACTCTCGCGTCCAGTATCTGTCCTTTTTTTCATTTTTGAAGAGATATATCATACAATTTATGTACACCTTATTTATATATTTTAGTTTGTGTAGGATTATATATAATTATATTTGTAAAGGTTTGGAGTATCAGCGACAACAGTTGATCCAGGAGCGTCAGCAGTTCCACTTAGAGCAGCTGAAGGCGGCCGAGTTCCGCGCGAGGAACCACGCTATACAAAGGTAAGTTATATTTTATATGTATGTAGTGAGTGACAACAACTATATTATATCATGACATGGATGATGAGAATATTATGAGTCAAATATTTTAATTACACGTACGAGCATTGAATATTTATAAATTTGGTTACTATTATTGTGTAAATATAGTTGTTGTAAATATAGTTTTAATTGTTTGGATCGAGGATAAAAATTTGGCTTAATAGAAGAAGTCTATTGATGTTTTTTTATAACAAAAAATCGAAAATAAATTCGCGAATCTAAAATCCCAATATACATTTTTATTTAAATTTTAATTTAAAAAAGATTATGATACAAAAATTGAAGTTATTATTATCATTGCCCGTCAGGTTGCAAGCGGAGTCGGGTGCGGCGGCGGCGGCGGCGGGCGCGCCGGCGCCGCCCGAGCCGCCGGCCGAGGCGCCCGCGCACCACGCGTAGACCACTTAGATAATAATTATATATTAGAACTTTATTTCTAATTATTTTTAATCACTACGTAGTATAAAACAGTCCTTTCCCGCTGTCTGTCTGTCCCTATCTATGCTTAGATCTTTAAAACTACGCAACGGATTTTGATGCGGTTTTTTTAATAGATAGAGTGATTCAAGAGGAAGGTTTATATGTATAATACATGCATATTATTGCACAGATAAGCCGAGAAATTCAAAGATTTGTACTTCATACTAACTGTTACAAGTACCTAGGGACGAACCCGAGCGAGACGAGGGTGAGTCGCTAGTTAATTATATATAATAATCAATACCCTTTTGTGTTTTTATTTCCTGTAATAATTTTATGTGAGCAAGTTATTTATAATAACAGTTCTACCGAAAACAATATGACGGATGAATTTTCTATTTTCTCCTGTATAATAAAGGGCTGCACAGTAATAATAATTATTATTATATACTTTAATAATATTTTGAGTTTTTTTACTGTAATAATGTTATGTGAACAAGTTATTATAAAAAATTGTTTCACCACGGAAAACGATTTTTTTTATTTTTATTTTCTGCTGTATAAAAAGAAACGATTGCACAGTGATTAGAATGTCAATCGTCGCTTCGATGTTAATGAGGTTTCTAATGTGATTGCAATGAACTAATCAAGCTCTTTTTATGGAGTGGAACTCATTGTCATTAATTAATAAAATCACTCACTATGTATGTTTGTGTCAGTGAAAAAAATCTAGCTCTAAAATCTCATTAATTTAAGATAAATTTTAAGTCTAACTGGTATGAAAACGATTAAAAATGTAATTATTTACATATAACAATGAGTACTACTCGTCTTTTCTGTGTAATATTAACAAAAAAAGATTAATTTTCTTGTTCCTAGAAGCAGCAAAACTCCCCGACAACAACGTGTTACGTCATTAGTAGACCTATTATAATATCATCTTCTATTGAATTGTAATAATTATACGTGCATTCACTCAGCTTTATCATCTAATCGAGTATTTCATTAAAATATGCTGTGACATTACTTTTTTTAAATAATTATTTTTATAAATAATACACAAATTTTAGATCGATTTTTGTATTTATAGTATAAGCACATGGTTTAGTTTTATTAAGTATGATATAAGTGTATTGATAGTTAAAGTAAATTAACTATAACTTATGGTATTTACCCATAACATCATGCTATGAAATAAAATCATAAACGAATAAATGCATTTTATTTTTCGTACGGTTTTAGTGCGCATTGTGGCATTGCTGTGGTCATTCTTTTGTAAACTAACATTTTTTGATTGTATTTATAGTTGAAACAAAGCTTGTGCTACTGTAACTTATAGCTGAATGAAGAACGAAGGACATTGAATTTTTTAAAGTGAATTTTATTTATTATTACAATTATTAAAAAAAGTATAAAAATCGAAATGATCTGGACTCATTTCCTATTAGTTTTATTTTTTTTATGTGTTGAACGGTGTATGAGCAGTACGCAACGTTATAAAATATCCATGGTAAGCTTATATTATTTACTAGCATTGCCCGCGGCTCCGCCCGCGTTCAGATGACCAAAACTAAATTCTTAGGTTTTATATATTAGTATACTCTTACACTACAGTTTTTGTATTTTTTCTCAGAAATGAGATATTTTCCCGCTGTAAAAAGTATCCTATATGTTTACCCGGATAACCAGCTACCATCATACTAAATTTTATTAAAATCTGTCCAGTGGTTTTCTCGTGATGCGGTAACAGACAGACAGACAAAAAATCGAAAAAGTATAGATTCGGCCTCTGTATCGATAATAATGTCTATTTCAATTAGATTTTCCAAAAAATATTAGCTTATTAACTTAGTTACAATTTTATTATATGTATAGATTATTGATAAGCGTTTCGTATATATATATCGACGACGGATTGGTAATATATGTAAAAGAAAAACATTTGTTCACAACTGAGGAGCCTCATTTTCTAGAAGGAAATTGCATGATAACAACACTGAATGATATAGTTATAATCTCAATATATAGGTCACCGTCATATAAAAACTTGGAAAACTTTTTTGTCTTCTTGGATAGTGTTCTGCAGAAATATTCGAAACATAAAAACATAATTATTATAGGAGATATAAATATTAACATTAACAGTGATAAAATAGACATTAATTCTGATAAGTATTTACAACTGACAGCATTCCATGGGTTATTACCTACTCATACTATAGTAACACGTGACGCAAGCGGCGCGTGTATTGACCATGTTCTGCTAAAATCGAATAATCCTTCTCTTACTATAGTTCCTCAAACTTCAATTACTGATCACAACCTGTAATTTTATGTATCAAAAATAAACAACGTCAACAGTTCTTTACAACTACTATCAGAAAAATTGATTACGAGAAACTTAGATCAAATATGCAAAACATTGATATTTCACCCATATATGATGCTAAAGATCCTAATACTTCTCTTGAATACTTAGTTGATAAAATAAAAATAGTGATTGAAGTTAATACTAAATTAATAAAGTTGCCAAGACAAAAAAAGATCATCAAACCCTGGACTACGACTGGTCTTCTTAGATGTATTTGTCACCGTGATAAGCTACACAAGAGGGCCAGACGTTTTCCAGACAATGAAAGTGATCAAATTATATACCGGCGATATCGTAATCACTGCAACGCACTGTAAAAAGAAATTATGAAAAAGAGCGAGTTAATATGGCTAAAAATAATAATAAAAAGCTATGGGACGTACTTACTGATATCATAGGTAACATTAAAAACAAAGGGTATAACAAAGAACTTTTGAATATATCCAACACGCCACAATTATCTGTTAACCTAATTAATGATTATTTTGTAAATGTAGGTAAAAGCTTTGCAGAGAGTTTCAATGTAGGAAATAATAACAGTGATAGTTTTAATATTAACATCGGTGAAGAATCAAATTGTTATTTAAACTCATTTGCATTATTGGACACAGATGAAAGTGAAATAGCACAATTAATTGACAATTTGAAAACAGACTGTTCAGTTGGTTGGGATGGAATCTCAAATAAATTTATTAAAGATTTTAAATATTTGTTAATACCACCTTTAACCTATATATTTAATCAATGTCTAAATTATGGTGTATTCCCTAGATATCTTAAAAAGTCCGTAATTCGGCCTATTTTTAAAGAGGGTGATAAGGCTTGTATAAGCAATTATAGACCTATCTCTATTCTACCAGCTTTGTCAAAAATATTGGAGAAAATTATCAATAATAGACTTACAAATTATTTGGAGCGAAATAATTTATTGTCGAATACACAGTTTGGTTTTAGGCATAGGAAATCAACAGAGCACGCCGTTCATACTTTGACAAGTTTTATATCATCTTATTTAGACAGTGGAAAAAAATGTATATCAGTTTTCTTAGATTTGGCTAAAGCATTCGATACCGTGTCAATAAAAATACTATTAAAACGACTAGAAAACATCGGTATTAGAGGCACTCAACTCAAATTATTCAAAATCTATCTCTCTGAGAGATATCAATGCGTTGGTGTCAATAATATTAATAGCAACGACTTATTAGTAACACATGGCGTGCCCCAAGGGAGTATACTCGGACCAACTTTATTTCTTATTTATATTGATCATCTAACAAAATTTGATCTCTCTCAGGGACATATAATATCATATGCAGATGATACTGCTTTGATATTTGCTGCGGATACGTGGGCAGATTTTTTCTCATCTGCACAGATAGGTATAAATGCAATTACTAATTGGCTATACAGTAATAAACTTTCACTCAATATTAGGAAAACAAAATAAATAGCTTTTTCATTAAGAAAACCTATTTGAAATCATGAAAATTTTAACTTAATAATTCATTCATATAATTGTTTAACTAAGGACAATAGCTGTTCCTGTCTATCACTTGAATCTGTTGATTATATTAAATATTTAGGGGTCATAATAGATAAGAATTTAAATTTTAAACAACATATTGACACACTTAGCAGAAGAACTCATAAATTAATATATATTTTTAAAACCATTAGACACGTATTGGATCCGGATATATTAAAACGAGTTTACTTAGCTTTATGTCAGTCTATTATAACGTACTGCATATCAACGGTGCTTCTAAAACCGTATTACTAAAGATCGAAATCGCTCAACGTGCAATTCTTAAAGTAGCAACATTTAAACCTTTTCTATATCCTACATCACAACTCTATAATAACTGTAAGGTCCTTACGGTAAGACAACTGTTTATATTAAAGATCATTCAGAAACAACATAGTTTACTGCTATATGACCCAACGAACTTAAATAAACGCAGAAAATTTTCTGTAGATACAACTAATTTTAAAACAACTTTTATAAGAAGATTCTTTGCATTTTTAGGACCACACTTATATAATAAACTAAATAAAACATTAGACATTTACTACTGTAAAAAAACTGTATTTGATTACCTGCAAAAATTAACTTATATTGAAACTGAAAACCTTCTTAGTATTCATATCTGATCATAATATTTATTATATAACTTGATCCTGCAATATTGCCTATGTAAAATAATAATACCCAGGCACACACACGCGCATACACACACACACACACATACACAGACACACATTACACACTCCTCTCCTTTAATTGCTCACACACATTACACTCATTACACAAATACTTCTTACAGTCATGCATTACACATCTTAAGAGAGAGGAATGACATATTTAGTAATATTAATTAATATCTTTAGTTGATATGTAATTCTTTATTTTTTTGGTAATATTTATGTCACCTAACCGTGGGGATATGGCGCTGACAGCTGATGCACAGGTCTCCTAGTTCGGCTGCAGATGCTATGTTTTAAATATTTGTATGTACCAAATTAGATTTAGTAAGTGTTAAGCAAATATCTGGATGTACTTACTACCTTTGGGAAATAAAGAACTTATTATTATTATTATTATATGTATGTTAAATACGCAAAAATAAGTGCGAAGCGAAATTAATCTTAAGTTTTATTAATAAACTTCTACAATTGAAAGATTATCATTTTTCTATTTCTAATTCTTCCTCTCGCTTGAGTATTTTTTTTTTAAAGAATCTTAAATCTTTTAGCCGGAAATTGAACCTACTGTTTGTGGCAAAGCACATCCTGTATCATGTATATTTTTAAATAATTTAAATGGAAAATAAAAAAATATTATGAGATGAGTTATTGATTTGTAACACCAAAAATACATCTCTTTTATTTACTATGTATGTATGTACTATTACATAAATCACTTCAAAATTTGCATATATAAGACTACTGAATATATGCGTATTAGGAATTATTTTTATTATACTAGCATTGCGCGCGGCTTCGGCTGCTAGTTGATTTATATTGTTACCAGAATATTTTATCTATGCGTGTCTCATGTCAGCAAAAAATAAGACAAATATAATCATACGAAAGCCTATAATACCTCCCTTAATACGATTCTCTCGCAAAATAAAAGACATGAACACAACAACTAAGTAGAAATTTTGCGTATATTAGGTAGGTAGGTACCTTATAAACTGCCAAATCTTAGCTTCATAGATGAAGTGTTCCAGATTTCGTGATTAATAAGTTTGATACACCTTTACGAAATCATGTTAATGATTTGACTCATAAAGTAACAGATACGGTTGGTTAAAATATTATTCAATCTACACTAATATTATAAAGAGGAAAGATTTGTATTTTTGTATGTTTGTAAGGAATAAACTCAAAAACTGAAGCACCGATTTAGATAAAATTTGGTAAGAAGATAGTTTAAGACCCTCTGAAGGACATAGAATATATTTTTATTCCGGAAAAATCCCTTAAGGCGGTGAAACTGGGGATTAAAATTTTTATGGGTAAAGTTTTTATGGGGAATCAACCCACGGACGAACCCGAGGGAAGTGGGGGTGAGTGCTAGTCTATTATAAATTAAAAATACACACTTGATTTATACTTGCTGTGCATTTTGCTGTGTATGTTTTTAGTTTCGGTCAGTCAGACATTGGGAGGTTTATTTAACAATTTCATATCCCAAATTTCTTTTAAACATAATATACGTAAGTTGTACTTATTTATTTTTGTAATCGCCGACCTCAAAACCCTTGATGCAATTCATGCGCACAGCGCAACGTAGTGGGTTCAAAAGTATTCGCATTTCGAAGCACTAAGTAGGTATATTAATATAGCATGTTTTACATTTTAAGTCAAATATTTTTGAATTAATCAGTCGTTTATCTTTTTTCTTTATATTTTTTTGGAAATTAGGTAACAACAGGCGATTTGAACAAGCCAGCACAGTTTGTACACGCAGAAAGTCCGGTGTGGGATCCAGATTCACAGTCGCTTTATTTCGTCGACGCCTTGCAACAAAACATTCATCGACTAGATTATGCATCTGGAGAGATATATACTAAGCATATTGGTTAGTACAGAGGAAGCTGCTTCATAAAAAATGAATTGCTCCTTTATTAAAGGTTTTTTTTTCATATAATCTAAGACTTGTGTTATCAAGAAGAATCAACCGACACGTATAATTCATCAAAATCAGTTAAGACGTTTAGTAATAACGAGAACATAGTATCGGCTATATCTACATACATAACTCTCGTTTGTGCTTTGCTAAAAATTCAGTCGGCTAAAAATTAAAACGATACATTACTATAAAATCACTGATTACTAGGTATATATATAATCATCAAAATGTGTTAAAGATATCTAATTTATCAAAATATCCTATTAATATTTGGCTAATTAGTTATAGTTGAATTTATCATAACATAAAATGGCTTATATTTATACGAAGGTTACGGTCAAGTCAATGTAGTGTGCCTCGTGACGGGGTCCAGCCGGCTGCTGGTGGCTGTGCGCTCCTCACTTTATCTGTTGGATTGGAATGTACCTGGTGATGATGCCCTCCGCCTGCTCACTACAGTTGATGTGGGTTTGCCCGATAATCTTATCAATGAAGGGAAGGCTGATGCCGAAGGAAGGTTCTGGTTAGGTATAAGCTTGCAAATTATAATCTGATATCATGATTTGAAATCAATCTGCTATCGTATATTATTTATATTAAAATTAATACTTAAACGTAATTTAGCTATAATAGCTATAGCTAAGAGCAATTTATAAGAATATTTTTTATAGCTAGGCTGCCGTTACATATAGGTAAGACATATTGTCACATAATGAACGATTTTTCTTTAAGGTACAAAAGGCCCGCAGACAGGTGACGACGTGCTCCCAGATAAAGCTACTTTTTACAGTGTGGACCATCTAACATTTCAATATCCACGTGTTCAGTTACGACCCGTTTCTATCTCCAATGGATTCACTTGGTCTTTAAATAATACTGTTATGTATTACATAGATTCACCGACACAGAAAATTGAAGCGTTTGATTTCAATGTGTATACTGGGGAATTAAGTAAGTAAATCGAAAAAGGCATAACAAATGCCGTCTACGATATTTTTTAAGTAAAAAATAATTGACAAACATTTATGAGTATGTTCTCACACCCACTCCTCGCTATGATAAATCACAATGCAATGCATTTTAAGAAATTATACTGATACGGATTTCCTATATGTATAGTGAGTACCTACATAAGTATTTTAAATTAATAGACCAAAAAAGTTATCTATCCATACATATAATAAAATTGTAACTAAGCCGAATCTGTACATTAAATAGTTTTTGGAAAATCTTATTGAAATAAACATTATCGATACAGAGGCCTAATCTATAGTTTTTTGAATTTTTGTCCGTCTGTCTGTTACCGCATCACAGAAAAACCACTGGAGGGATTTTGATGAAATTTGGTATGGTGATAGTTGGCTATCCGGATCAACATATAGGATACTTTTTACCGCGAGAAAATGTCTCATTTCGGAGAAAAAATACAAAAACTGCAATGTACGAGTATACTAATTTGTAAAACCTAAGAATTAGGTTTTTGGTCACCTGAACGCGGGCAGAGCCGCGGGCAATGCTAATATACTATAGTATTCGATTCTAATGCATTTTTTATACTAGCTGGAAGAAGGACCATCTTAGATATATCAAGCTATGGTTACGAGGACGCCATACCAGATGGAATGACAATAGATAGTCAAGGCTACCTTTGGGTAGCTGTAATGTTTGGTGGAACGGTAAGCAATCTCTCAATTAATTATTATACTTTAAGTTGTGCAAAAGTTAAGAAACATCTAGATGTAATAATTATAAAATAATTAACAATTACAAAGATAGTACTGTAGCTTCGTTTAAGCTTTATTTGGTTTCTTTTAAGAATTTTTCAATTATAAATTACAATATAATGCAAATTAATATTTCAATTTTTTTTATTAGGTTTTACACATCGATCCCGACAATAGGCAAATAGTGTACGGTTATAAGTTACCAGTGTCTCGTATCACTTCGCTATGCTGGGGAGGGCCTAACTTAGACGAGTTATTTGTAACCTCTTCGAAGGATCCATTAAACAAAGACGACCCTGTAGGAGGAGGGATATTCTCTATAAGAGGGACGGGAAGTGAAGGAGTGCCTCTGTACACGTTCCGATTTTATAATGCTGATAACTATTAATATAACGACTTATTTTTAACTTTAATTTCATATTTATCGATCTTGGTAATTATTGAGCAAGATTCAAGAGCTTAATATGATGACAATAATTAAAATATTGACATGAATTTTGTGCTTTTCATTTAAAACACTTATGTACGCGATTAGATATACAGCTTCTTCCTACCGCTACTTTGGAGCGTAAAAAAACGGGAATATTAATAATAAACTTAATTATTTCTAAATCTATTTTACTGATTAAAATAAATATTGATCTTTTTACTATATATCGATAGTCAATTGACATTAATTAGTGATGTATTTTGAAATTCAAATTCAAAGAAAAAACTTTTTTTTACATCTAAGAAAAAATAAAGGTAGTTATGTTTTTAATTAAAACAACAGATAATCGATCAGAAATAAATTTTATTATAGAACATGCGCTTACAAGAGAACTTTAACAAGTAATACAACTTTTTAGACTCCATCAAGTTTTTAACAAAAACACATCACAACAGCAAAGATGACTAGGAAATGTGAAAAGTCACGATAACATTTGAAAAAGATCGAATTTACATTATGAACGTCGTAAATTTCATTTAATATATTAAAAAATGATTTCCCTCTCGATAATACAAAACACTTATCTCATTGCAAACGGACGTTTTATAAAAAAAACTACTATTTTTTTCTAGCGTTTATATCTATTAAATGATATCAATTCTAAGACTTGTCATGAATTTCATAATGAAAATTCGAAGTAAATAATATTTTAGAACAATTTATAGAGAGAACATTGCTCTTAAAAAGTTCAATAAGATTAACAATTCCTTTAAAAGTTAAAATTTCAACCACACCGAAATATTAAAATTGCACATCCCCATTACTATTTATTAGTGTATATTCACAACCACACGACGTGGCAGATCATTTATTGCTAGGCACATTTTACCCTTAAACAAATTAAAACTAAACTATATCCATAAGGTTTAAAACATTTTATATATATTTCTATTGAAATTTATAATTTCAAAGAAATACCTATTAGATTATAGGTTATAATATTTTATTTTTGCTGTATACATCAAGCATTATTTAGATCGCATTTTATCTATCAATTTGTTCCAATTTTTATTTTGCGAATATTATATTATTACAATATTAACTATACCGAGAATATATATAATAGAAATGAGATCTCAAAATTTTAACAATTATCACAAACTATACCTATAAAGAAATGCTATGCATTAAATTATTAATAATTAATTTTGACATCGAATCAATCAAAAAAGTGTGCGAAGTTTTATTATAATTGAGATGAAACTAATATTTAAGAATAAATATATAAATGTAATCTTTCTTTCGATATTTTATAAATTCTCAATTTTGTTCGTACCATATTACATAGGTATTTAACAAAAAAAATAACTTATTATAGATATAGTGTAAATAGAGTTTATAAACTTATAAAAATGCAAACATTTTTTTGGAATGGCTTATAATATGATTAACTGTCAAAGTTTACGAACTTGACTACTAACGAAATCAAAAACGTATTTATGTGTGAGGTTCCTTACTAGAGATAGGCATCCATATACATGCTAAATTATAAATGTGAAAGTTTGTGAGGATGGATGGATGTATGTTTGTTACTCTTTAACGCCAGAACCGTTGAACGGATCTGATTGAAATTTAGCACAGAGATAGATTATAGAGTAGAGTTTTTATCCCGAAAAAATGTACGGTTCCCGTGGGATAGATTTGTTTATATTTTTCCCTGGGGACTAACCGGAAGCGAAGCGAGGGAGAGTCGCTAGTTTGACATAAACGCAACACAAATTATGTCAATTTTCTACCTCTTGTAGGGAGAGCCGCAAATAGATAATTTGGTAAATAATATAACCAAATTTAAGTGCATTATGTATAAAAAATCTAGCATATTGTTACTATCACATACTTATATTATACTAAGTAAACTAAATAATAAATTAAATTTATTACTTTTATAAATTGTACTATAATGTGAAAAAAATAATTAAGTAAATGTACAAAATATTATATTTCATAAAACGACAAGAAATCATCAAACCATTAAAGTAATTAATAGAAAAAAAAATATACTTAAGTTAATAATCTAGCGAACTTGTAATATCGTATAAATTACTATCATTTATTGAATACAGAAATTCTATTTCATTATTTAACATTATATTTGGGCTATTTTAATTAAAAAATGTATCAGTACACTATAAAATAAACTAAGTTTTACTTTAACAATCCTGCGGCAGAAGAAACTCGTTGATTTTATAGATTATATTCATTCAAAAAACTTAAACATTTGAGAACTGCTATATATATGCTTCTATATATATATACATATATAATAAATATCTAATATTACAATAAATTATCATATAATATGTCGTTTTAACTATTGGACGATACAAAGCTAATGTTATCGAGGTACAACACCTTAGATCTTTAAAAAATCCACTGCACTTTAGACGTAGTTTATAACAATAATACTTTCTTAGATTTACGTGAATATTTCACATTTTAAAGAAAACTATCTATTCAGATTTTTTCGCTGACTTATTTTGAAGAGACTCCCCATTATTGCTGTAAAACATTCGAAACGACGGGAACCAAAAGTCAAAATAAATCTGCGAAAGATTCCGAAAAGATAGTTTTATTTAAAGTTCAGAACAATATTAAAATTATTTCTATTATTATACAACATGTCATACATTCTAGGTCTACTTTCTACTACATTATATGAACGTGGGTATTCGTCTTATATTCAACATCAACTGGGATACAACATGGAAGCTAAACTGAGGTAGAGTTATAGTAATGGCAACAATAAATAAAGCAAAACCTCTATTATAATCAAAATTAGAACTTTCTCGAAGTATATGTCATTTTTTATCTAAATAGAAGCCGTAATAGATGCAAGGTAAAATGTAAATTTAACTAACTACCTATACATGGCATACAACTGCGCACTACACTGTACGCACAACATTCTCAATATTTTGTTAATTGACAATTTTAGTCATATTTAATTGCCTTTTCGCATATCTTACATAAAGTTTAGGTTTAATGAAAATATTTATTTAGGTTTACTTATAAGTACTAGATAATCTGCTCAAAATATTATAATAATGCTGCGTTCACACCAAGTTTTAATATGAGGCTATTTTTACTTTTGCACTAGTTAAATCGGTTATACAATGGTGTAGACCCAATATAAAAAATAAATTAATTCTATTATTAGAAACTTTAACAGACATTTTTTTTGGAGTAGTTATTTTTCTATCTTTTTTTCATTGTATTATGACAACGTTAAGTAAAATATGCGAAAAAGATTGGATACTACTTATGTACATACATACATACATATAAACATCACATACATACAAATTAGCGGTACATTTATAGTCGACAGAGCGCTGGCAGTGTTTTGCTGACTCACACTAAGTGATATGACGTCTACACTACAATAACGACCTTAATACCAACGTGATACGATACAATTTACTTTGATAATAACCATTATAGCTATTAGGCCTAAAATTTTACAATAGAATAATATCAGGTTTAAACATCAGATAAACATCAGAAAATCCAATGTAGGGTTATAAATAACATTTAAAATATTCATATTTCATTCGTTAATCACTTGAATAATACCGATAAAATGTTCATATTTCAAAGTTTTTCCAACCGCTAGTTCAAACCATCCATAGAATTGTATTTTTTTTGAAATTATAACTTTCTTAACAACCGATAATAACGAATCGAACGTGATACTAAGGTTACTGCATCACTCGCGCTAACTTCTGACCTCACAAAAAGATTTGCGCATTTATTTGGGTACAATAAGGCCTTCATGATGTCGAAAGTACTAAAGTAACATGAAGCGCTAGACGCAGCTCACACGATATTAACTAAAGGAACGGGGAACTAATATAATTAAAACTTTGTAAATTTCCGCGTTCCATAATTGTTTAAGAATGATAATATAGATGGTTTGTAAGCGGGTAATGACTCGTGTATATGTAAGCGGCAAAATACCTTACGGGCAACCTCTACCCGTACTACCGTGACCATGGCTGGTGCACTCCAGTCGGGAATAAGGTATTGCCAGTTACAAATTAGCATTGTAGTGTCACTCTTATATATGTAATGAAAACTTGGGTGCAACAAGGTCCCAACACAGTAATTAAATAAATTAAACAAATTAAATCAGTACTTGGGCGCAATGAGTCCGGCCATGAGGTCGAAGGTGTTCCCGTCGGGCGCGAGGCGCAGCGCGCCGGCGGCGGCGCGCACGCGCAGCCAGCCCGCCGCGTCCACGCCGCAGATGGTTCCCGCGGTGGCGGACCCGTCCGCGTTCTGTACTTGGATCTCTTCGTCACTGTTATATCATCTATATATTAACACGTGAAGCAAAAAAACTTCCACACTTATAGTTTATATAGAGATGGAGTGCAGAATGCCATTTTTTTTAAAGTTATTCATAAAAAATACATTAAATCAATAAAAAAAACATTACACACACTACGATGTATTTGACATACACACGCATATATACTCTTCTATTTATTGTTAAAGTCTCTGGTCAAATTGAGAATAGAACCTCAATAGCGATCAAACTTAAAAAATGATGGTTGATTTTCAACCTATATACTATAACTAAATTAAAATAAAAATTAAAAAAAAACCCGACCACCTTGGACCGATTTTCATCAAACATAGCTAAGAACACTCCCGAATAATTCACCTTTCAAACAAAAAAAAAACAAAATCAGTTCAATTGTTCGGAAGCTATGATGCCACATACAGACACGTCAAACGTTTTAAGTTATAACACCCCGTCGTTTTTGCGTCGGGGGTTAAAAATTCAAAATTAAGATAGCAATAAAGAACTCACCGCGAATATTAACAAATAGTACAAAACACTCACTCATGTAACCAGTATTGGTAATACATTTCCAAGAAAGCTTGAACACCGTCTTCACCGTTCATATCGTCCAATATCCTTTCCAGCTGGGAGCAATACTTAGCTAGGAACATCTCTATAGATATTGGCGCTAGTGCAGTGCCGTGCTTTTTGTTATATTCTGTTATAATATCATTCACACACGTAGTGGGCACACTGTTGGATATGTTCACACCTGTACCTAGAAATTAAAATAGTTTTTTGAAGTTATACAATCTTTTGGCGCGTTATGAAAAATGAAAAATTAATGTTGAGAGTGTTTTTTTTAGATTTAGACTACAGTGTGGTATTTGCATTAAATACAAGTTAACACTGTTTGACTCTCTTAAGTTTTACGCGAATATTTGCATTTTAAATAAAACTATCTTTTCGAATTTTTTCGCCGATTTATTTGGATTTTTGGTTCCCGACGTTTCGAATGCTTAACAGCATTCATGTTCATGGGAGAAACTGAGATGTTAATTGTGGGTAGGCTGTCTGTTACAACTATACTTTCAAGACATCTAATACCTGTCTCTCCCGTGACTATGAATGCTGTAAAGCATTCGAAACGTCGGGAGCTAAAACTCCAAATAAATCCGCAAAAAAATCCGAAAAGATAGTTTTATTTAAAACTGTTTAACTCGTTTGGTCACCAGTATACGGACGTGTTAAGTCCGTTCGCACCGCCTCGGCTCTCATGTAACTATCAAGTGTCAATGTCCTACCCATTACAGATTAAATACACAAACGCTACATACATTATGAAGTTAGTCGTTAAATCTCCCTTTACTATAGTGTGATTCTATATTCAAGATGTTTATTTTAATAAAATATTACTTTACAGCGATTTACTCTTAGTTCGCTCAGGTGCGTCCCTAAGTGTCTTTGTGCCATACATTTTATTGCTTGATTTTAATCAGTGTAGGCAGCGCGCCTGTTTATACCCACTTCAATTAAAGTTATTATACTTTCTGACACATTTTATCGGAATAAAAAATTGCCTATAGATAGCACTCGGTGGTAATACAGCTTCTAAGTAGTGAAAGAATTCAGAGATTACCATCAAAGTACATCCAAACTTACTAACTAACAACACATATTCACACAGTTCAACAATATGATTAAATAAAATGTAGTTTTATTCTATACATCCTTATACACCCACATTATCTGCTACATATTCAAAAAATATTTTTCTACTCCTAGGAGCCATTGAACAAAAAAATTAAATTGAAAAAGAAAATGTACTAAAATATAGTTTAACATACCAATATCTATGATGACATCGTCGCCCGTGCAGTTGGCAGCAGTTATAACTCCACCGATCTTGACCTCACGTCCATAGTATATGTCGTTAGGCCATTTAATTCTGAAATAAATATTTTACGACACGTTTGGCTCAGTTTGTTTAGGGTCACCCTACTTGCTGTGCCAGCGATCGCAGGTTCGAGTCCCGCTGACAGCATTCATTTGTGTAATGGGCACGAATGTTTGTACTCCAGTCATGGGTTTTTATATTTATAACATGTATGTATTTAAAGTTATATATGTGTAACGTATAAATATCTGGTATCCATAACACAAGCCTCGTAGCTTACCATGGAACTAGATTGTGTTATGGATACCAGATAGTTGATACACTACACATATATAACTTTAAATACATACATATTATAAATATAAACACCCATGATTGGAATACAAACATTCGTGCTCATCGCACAAATGAATGCCCCCAGCGGGACTCGAACCCGCGACGGTTGGCACAGCAAGTAGGGTCACTACAAATTGAGCCAAACGTGTCGTTTAATATTGAACCTATGTATTACTCCAGGTTATAGTCTGTACTAAATTCCATCCAAATCCGTCCAGCCGTTTCAGTGTAACACATACACATGCACAGGCACACACACATAGAAACTTTTGCAATAATAATAATAATCGGATATCAATGATACCTGATGTCAAGATGTTCGTACGAAGGCTGGTCCCGCACCGCGCGCACGGCCGCCAGCGCCGCCGCGTGCTGCACCAGCGGCAGCGACGGCGACACCTTCTGCCACACCTGCAGGTATTTGTTCGTTAGCTTAGATTATATACAAATAGCCCATAAACGAAATGCGACGTTCAAAGAACAAAACCAGAAAATAGGTACAATACTATTTTTATATTGTAATATACTCGTATTCTTCCTATCTATACAGATAAATAAAATTGAAGTGTCTGTTTGTAATGTCAAAATAACAGCGTTTTACTAAATGCATATGAAATTACATACGGTACTAATAAAAAACACTTTTTTTTTATCTGTCTGTTTGTTTGTTCCAGATAATCTCTGAAACGGTTGTACTGATTTTGACGGGACTTTCACTGAAAGGTAGCTGATGTTATAGGGAGTAACATAGGCTACTTTTATTTTATAAAAAGAATTAGGCTTAGTACGAACGGTAGTTAGGATGAACCCGAGCGAAGCGAGTGTGAGTTGCTAGTAGTCAATAAAATAGTGACATCTGTTTGGCTGATCCGAATTATACTGCTCCCTTCTTTGCCATACGAGAAAGGAAAACATACACGTACCTACAGTGAGAGCGCAGCGTGGTCGGGAGGGCGTGACAACGCGTTATCTTATCTACTATATTCTGTGTCCGTTTCTCGTCAAACGTATGAGCGAGACGTATATACGTACAAAAAGTGACATAAAAGCCTAGCCGGGCATTTAGTACACGCGTTTTTTGATCAGCTATTACCTCTCTCCCTTCCTCGCCGTATGTGTGAGCAAGAAATACATTCAAGCGGTATAATTTGAACGCGTTTAGTGAGCAAGATACACACGCATCTGCAGCGACATAACAGGCTATCCGGGCGACATGATCTCTTATCACCTTTATAGCCGTGCGAGTGAGTGAGACGCACTCACCTGCAGCGACATAGCAGTCTGTCCGGGCGACGATCCATTACTTCTCTTCTTCGCCATACGAACGAGCGAGACAAACTCACCTGCAGCGATATAGCAGTCTGTTCGAGCGGCGTAATCTTTTATCTCCCTTCTTCGCCGTGCGAGTGAGCGAGACGCACTCACCTGCAGCGACATGGCGGCCTGGCCGGGCGGCGTGATCCACTTGTTGCCGGCGCGGCCGCGCGCGGAGCACTGCCGGCGCGCCACGGCGCCCGCGCCGTGCGCCAGCGTGCCGCGCGCCACCAGCGTGGTGGAGGCCAGCACGTCCGCGTACAGCAGGGCGCGACCCAGGTGCTCTGACGTTAGGTTCTGATGCGGGATATATATACATACGTCATACATACAGTAATATCACAGTGACTGTTGAAAGTATGGACGCCTTCACTATACTTCAATATTATGTTACTAATATGTCAGTTTTACATTTTTGTCACTTATCATTAGCCTTTTGCATACATCACGTTGTCAATTTATTCTTGTCTTTGTAATAAATTTGTTTTCTAAAATGATTTGCCTTTAATATCATTTCATCAAAAACAGTAGATCTTTGATTTATTATTATATATGTATTTCTGTATCAATTTTTATCTCGTACCGAGTTACGGTTACACCCTTCTAAAGGCATTTTCCCGACTGTGATATAAAAAAAGTATGACAGTCTGATGCGTCTCACCCTTGTACATACACGCCCCGCACTATTGTCCGGTCTAGACGCCTTCGATAGACGAATATATGGATTAGTAGACTGTGGTAATATCGTGCGTCATCAATGTGAGGCCCCATTGTAGTGTCATTAAAACTCTTACTAGACGGAATGTTTATATCTTAATAATTTTAGGTTTTACCCAATAAGGGGACATTGGGTTATTATTGGGTAAGATGAATACTAAAATACATCCAAATACAAACTGATTCAATAGAACTAATTTATGATAATTGAAAATTTGTAGTCGATAAATTCATTCACTCTTCTTGTACTGTTAAGTTTCTTATAAGTAAAGAATTATTAATTAAAATAACAAAATAATCAGCGTAAACTTACATCAAAATATTCAACAGTTGAGAAATGTTCAGGACACTCATACAAATACACAGGCAGGAAGGTCTCTGAGGGGGGTTCTATGGGAGTCTCGTCTCTCATACACCACTGTATCGTGACGTCACCGAGTTTCTGCAACCGCTTGCCCTCCACAACCGGACACCAACTCTCCACCAGCGACATTTTATGCTAAAACATAACCAAATAATGAAATGTCAACTAATTTACATTATGGAGTCTTTTATCAATTTTGATAAGATTTAATTTTTTGTGATATTTTTATGTTTTTAAATGATATTTTTAACAATACTATAATTATATAAAAGTAAACCAATAAATGTGAATAAAAGACTCCAGTGTCACATAAACATGCAACAATGTCATGTAAAAATATTAAAAGGTAAATTTAGCTCTTCTATTGTTCCAATATATCTAGCAGTTTAAGCGACATTTAAAGCATCTCCAAAATATTTATACAAGATTTTTCTGTACCTTATTGCCTTATTAGAAATTATAGCTTATAATTATGAGCTTGGTGCATATTTAAGTAAATGCTGTTTTATGTTAAGCTATAGAAATTATACCAAATATTATATATGTAGATATAAAGAGAAAGATAGCATGCGTGGCACTTAAAGCTTATAATCCACAAAAGGCAAATCATCTATTAACTTAGAGATTTTAGGAATATGCCAGTAAGCTAAATTCATTTTAAAAAAATGTTAAAATAGTGAAAAAATATCCATAAAATCTCATAAAAGCAAGCAAAACCGTGGAACAAAGCGAGCTATCGCTCACCGGGCATCAAACCGTCACGTGGCCCGGCCCGCCCGCGCCACGCCAGCCCTTAACAAACACCATTATGTACTCGTATCGTGTGCTATCTGTGCGGGTGTGGTCTATGGCTGACATGGGTATGATTGTCTATGGATTTGTTTTTTATTTTAGGATTTTTATTGGAAGTTCTAACCGATTTTAAAAAAGGGATGTAATCAATTCAGTTGTATGTTTTTTGTATGTAGGTGTATCATGCAATATCATCACCAAATGTGAGCCAATTTTTATATCTATTTATTAGTTAAACATTTACGCTAAGGCTCGTTTCACATAAATTTGTTTTTTTTATCAATTCTACATTAATTTCTAGATTTAGATTTAATCTAAGATTTATAAAAGACTTTTCACATGTAAATGTTATTATTTTTAGATTATTCATTCTTTATTTGATAATAGAAACGCGATCACCATGTTATTGTTATTAAATAATTATTATGACAAGAATATGTAGTAATTTGATTATATTACGAAATATTACTGTACGTTAAAGGTGAAACAGAATACAATAACGCACTGATGACATCATATTTCTTATTAAATTTTGTATTCATACGAAATTTCTGTATGACGTACATTTACATACAACGCAACAAATGACAATGAAGAGATGTAAATGAGATATAAATGCGCATTCATTCGTATGATGATGAGAGAATGTTAGTGTTAGTTCTGAAACTATCAAACCACCGGTAATATGAAAAAAAAATATAATTTAGAATGTATCCAGGACGATATAAAGACCAATGATGAACATATAATTATATTTGTATCAAACGTACATCCCAAATGGCGGTGTTTCTATAAGCTCCTGTATCATATATTTAGACTTTTACTTGTATATTACTCTAGATAATGCATAACAACTATCAATTCGTATTTATATGACGTTCATATTTTAATAAAACTAACTATACATAGTAAAAAACGTTAAAAAATTCATTAAATATATTATATATCATGCAATCACTATATAATATGAATAAATGATGATATTATAGTATATTAAAATACAAACGCCAAAATCCAGCAAATGCTACCATGACAAAACAAATATGGCGATGCGATATGATGACAGATATATTTGAAATTCTCTTACCACATGGTTTCCAAGGAAATAACCCTTAGTGTACTCTAGCTGGGTCACATCTCGACAGTCTTTGACGTGAAGGCCTAAGATATCGCCCAGGATTTTGTGTAGTATCTCCAACCTGGCTTCATTACTTCTGATGCCTTCTTCACCTAGGTAGTCGTTTGGATCAGCTTCTAGGTGAATCTGTGAAAAAAATATATAACATTAAACATAACGTCGGTATTACACGTATTTTTAGTTACAATATGTACTAAATGGCGTTAGAATATAAATAGAAAATCGCTTTAAAAGTACAACAACAAACAAATTTTATTTCTTTATACTTTATTTCTACTATCACAAAATGAAAAAAAAAATTGAATAAAAGAAAAGCGAAGAAAGCATTTCTAATACATTTTTTTGTATTCACACAGCCGTTTTAATATCCCACTGCCTTCTTTAATATGAAAGGGATCAAGTCATAATCTCAGACGGGCCGGTTTCCTCACGGAATTTTATGCACCATATGGCAAAGCAGTAATCATGTTGACAATGATTCGCTGAAAATATCCGAGGTTTGAACACACTACGTTTGGTTTTCTTCTTGGCTTTAATTGTAAGTTTAGATTGTAAGCTTTGATTGTAAGTTTATTAAATGTAACTTATATTTAAATTTAAAACGTACAAGTAGCGTTTACAAACCTGAGAAAATATGGCAACGCCATTATTAGTAAGATCTGTTGCTTGGAGTAAAGACGGGGTCCGCCAAGTCTCTTCAGACGCTAACACCTGGATGTCTAACTCGTGACCGGGATGTCCAGTGTATTTTGATGGCCTAGAAATTATATTTGGGTAAATTTATATATGAATATTAAAATACTTATAATATCTAAAATAAAAGTAAAATGGGACTAAAAACGTTATAGATAAAATATCATACATTTAAATACGCGCATTTTGATAAATAATTTAAACATTCCATTTTGTAATCAAAACAAAATTCATAAAATAAAATGTTATTTTAATATTTAATTAAACTCATAAACCAATATTATGTTCAAGTCATTCTAAACATGCTCTAAAAGTTTGGATATAGAACAAAGTGCTTATTTATTATCTGTATTAGTTATTGTTAAGGGTACATAAAATAATTAGGAATACAATGTGGCACAAGGCAAAATTAAAAAAAAAAACAGAATTTTCGCTAAGCACATGGCCTTATTTATTGCTATTTACAATGTGTGAAAAATCTAACTTATCATTATTTATTATTATTTACCTGAAGATCCAGCTGCTATTTTTTGCGGTAAAAATATTTTTGTACATTTAGTAGATTTTTCACAAAATTGCTCAAATATGCGCAAATGCTAAATTCTGGCAACACCATTTCACTACACATCAATAGCAAAGAGAAAGTTTTTTAAAGAAATTTTTGAATGGCCAACAACAAGAGCATATACAATATAATTGTTAAGCATTTTCATTATAATTATAAGGCAGTGAGCGACTAAATACTCTTAATATGAGGTAATTGCGTACCAACACATATTAGCGTCCTGACTCGCTCTGTAAAATTAGATTCAACGTCAATCTAAGTCTAAAAGGTACGCTTAAAACTTTGTAATACTATATCATATCCAGATACTATAAATAAGTTCAACTTATTTATACAAGAGAAAAAGGAAAATCTTTTTTTTTTAAATAGCAAGTTGAAATAGACTCCAAAATTATTTAATACGACGCATTTTTGAAATTCACGTAATATGATGAAATTGTATCGGGAGTAATCTAAAAGTTATACAGTAAAAATAAAAATATTTTTTTATGTCTAGACCACCTAGCCTGAGAGAAAAAGGTCTGAAACAAGACCGCACACATAATATATAAATCCTTATAAACATCAACTTGCCATTTAAATAATATTACACATATTAGTAGTAGCAATTAACACTTGTGCACCGCTAACATCGCGTAAATTTACACAAACAGGTGTTAAGTACTGAAATTTTGAGCACACTCTCAAATAAGATTATTACTCTAGCTTAACTCTGTTCATATAGTAACAAGTAAAAAATTTTTTTTTTAATTTTGCATTAAGCTAAAGCAATAATCATATTCTAATAATTTTGAAAGAACATTAGAGATTAAAAGCGACTTTGCCAATAGGAAAAACACAAAAATAATCAAAATGTCTTGTGTAATATTCAATGTTTCTACTTACTGTCTATCGCTTTCTGTGGAAAATTGTTTCTTTGCAGGCGACGCTTGGTAGCAGAAGATATGGTGCTTCATCTTTACCGACTTCCACTTGTCGTATGAGAATTGTACTACCTCATTTTCTCTTATCTGTTAAGTGTATAATATATTATAGTACATAATCAGGTTTTTTTATTGAAATGTGAAAAGATTAAAAAAAACTGTAAATTTGCATTAATTAAAATAATTACGCATAATAATAATAAAAGAATTTATTGCCGAAACGTCGGGAACCAAAAGTCAAAATAGATCCGCGAAATAATCCGAAAAGATAGGTTTATTTAAAATGTCAAATATTCGAAGTAAATCTAAGAAATTACTAAAAGAATTTATGTTTGATTTGTGTATGAAGTGAGCCGAAAAATAAAAATATTTTTTCCTATCTGTGAAAACTTTTTTTAAAACAAACTTTTACAGAGATCGATTCAGGGGCTTAATTCACGAGTATGGATTTATCGTTCCACTTTGAGACAACATAGGAATAGAAGAGTATACTTGTGTTTGTGTGTGCATGTATACTCGTACTTATGGAGATTGAAGTGTTATTGAAATTGGCCGATGTGGCCGAAATTTGTTAGAAAGACTTTATTATTATAATATTAATGTAAGATGGACATTAGCAACCTCAGCAGTCTTATAATGCGGCAGCACAGTGTGCAGCAGGTCGGAGCACAGCGCGAGCAGGCGGCCGCCGTCCAGCAGGTGCGCCAGCAGCAGCGGCGCGGCGCGGCCGGCGCAGCCCGCCACCGCCACCAGCGCCGCGCGCCCTCGCCACGCGCCCGCCGAGAGCGCCTCGCGGGTTATGCTGTATACTGTGTACCTGTTCAGTGTTATATTATATATTGTAACTGTCTCGGTAGTCTAGTGGCTAACATTCTGCCGCAGATCCGGAGATACTGGGTTCGAGTCCCGGGTCGGACCAAGTTTAGTTATTGAGTATTTCTTTCAAGAAATTGGCGATGGTTATCCCCGTGCCTCGGAGAGCACGTAAAACCATTGGTTCTGCTCCTTAACTCTAGAGTGGTCGTGTCTAATAGTCACTTGTGTTTGTGTGTTTGCGCGCATACTTGTGCACTATGATATCTCCTGCACAGATATGCAGAGATGCGCGCTAGTCTCAATGAGATTGGCTGCCGGCCGGGAGAACATTATACATATGTTGTCAAAATCTCATTGATCAATAATATCATTGAATGCACACAGGAGCGCACAAATTATAATTTAACTCCCAAGGTAAAATAATGATATTGTAATGCTGGATCCACACGCTTGCAAAGCCTCGACAAGTCATCAAAAAATTGAAGAGTTTGTTTGGCTCGACCTGTGTATATTTGCAGCACTTGTGGCCGTCCCCATCGAGTTTTGTTGCACAAGTTAAAGAAAGTTTGCGGGAAGCACTTGTTATGCATCCACACACTGTGTTTTTGTGAATAAATTTATTTCTTTGATAAATTCCAAAAAATACTACCACAAGAATACGGTTTTTATGTTTTTTTACATCCACCACCTCCTTTGTTTAGCTTTTCATTTCCTTTCATTTTTTTATTTTCTCTCGTTAAATTAAGCAAAGTAATCAAACCAACAGGTTTGAAATTGTGGCAAGTTGCAAGCGTGTGTATCCAGCAAAAAAATAAATAAAAAGATTGATAAAAGTTAAAGATATACATATAGAGTTTGTCAGATTATTGGGCACTAATGAATATTATTGCTACTTATTTTACGTCTCAACATTAGGTTCTATTAAACATGCTGTTCAAAGATTATGTAGATATACATATTAATAGATTTATAATACTACTTTAACCTTTGCTATTCTAGATCTTAGTATTCGTCATAGAAAATTTTGACTTACCTATCGCAATCTAGAACTCTCTTCAGAGACGCTTCTAAGTTGTCTCTAGCTACTACACTATCAGAATAGATAATAACATTTGGCGATTTAGTATTCACTAATGGACGGGAACTTTTTGTGGACTTTGGCGTCATTTGAGACGGCGAACTCTTAGGAGATTCTTCTCTTATATATGTTGTTGTTTCTGTTTGACTTTGAGGCCTTTTGGGTGCAGTTGTACTGACCACCCTTTTATGAGTCGTAATAGATTTTATCTGACTAGAAATATTGAGTAAAGAAGACGAGAGCTGACTTGTGCCTTTCTTTAAGTCTAATTTGAGGCTAGATTTCTTAGGTGTTATATTATGTTGTATTTCAACAGTCACGTTTTCTAAAACTAGTTCTCTATCTTCAGGTACAACTATATTTTTTTCTGGGGATTTTCCTAATTTCTTTTCAGGAGATTTCCCGAGGTTTTTTTCAGGAGATTTCCCTAGTTTCTTTTCTGGTGATATCCCCATTTTCTTTTCCGGTGATTTCTGTATGACTTTTTCTTTAGTTTTCTCGGGAGTTTTTTCTGGAGGCTTTAATTGAGTTTCAGAAGCTTTTTTTGGTACCTCTGGCTCATTCACATCTTCCGCAGAGAGTGATTTCGTTGTAATTGTGCTAACATCAGTTAATGTAACATTTCTTCTGGGCACATGAGTATCTAAAACTGAATCGCTACCACCATTCATCTCTACAATACTTCGTCTATCGGACTTAATATCAACAACTTTGGATAACTTTCGCAAGAGAGCAGCGTGGATCGGCCACTGAAACTCCTCGCGAGGCTGTCGTAAACTATGTTGAATTTCGCTTCTTAAACCTCGCATCGACAGATCAGTAGCTTTATTTGGCTCCCCTGATATCTGAACGGCTATAAATAAAAAAAATCAATTTATAAATACATGGGCAAAATTAATGGTTTTACTAAATATTATAATAATTATATACATCTAAAATAATATAATTAATCAAGTTAATTTGCATGGAAAATAGTTCTGGAAATGTATGTAAAGGAAATTTAAATGCTCAGAAATTTCCTTCTATTTTATGTTTACATTTCCTATAAAATTGTAACACTAACTCAGAAGAAACTTTTAATTATTTAATCCCTTCACGACCACGGACACGCCGGTGTAACAGTTAACAATAGATTTCTTAAAAATTTAATTAATTTCTTAGAAATTTACCTGGAGGTGTTTAGAGCCATTTTATAGTTATAATAATAAAATGACTCAGATTCATTTGGGTCAGATTTTCTTCAAATATAGCTAAGAATCTGATTAGACTAGAAATTTTAACAAAAAACATGCATTAATTTCAGACAAATCATCAAACTTATAAAACATGGACAGATCATATTGTGTTATTTACACAGGATATAGAAAAAAATAGGGCAAGGCAGAAAGATATAAATGTAATGTGGGAAACTAAATTTTCTGAGTTTTGCTTCTTTATATTAGCTCTATGTTACTTACTTTGTATCCTGACCACAGGAAGTTTGTGATTTACTATAAATTCCCCACCAACAAAATGGAACCCAACAATGCTGAGATTCTCAATATTTGTTTTTAAAACTAATGCTAAATGGGAGCTTGCTTTCCAAGCTAAGGGTTGACCCAATGATTCCAGCTGTAAAAGTTATTCAAAATTTAGTTTTATAATATTTTATTATATGAAATATATAGTATACTTTTATTCATACTGCTGCTGCTTTATTATTATTTAACATTAATAGCATTAAAAGGCTATTATTTAGAATATGTGACGCAGCACCTAGAGCAAAGACTATTTTTTTAAATAGAAGAATACTGAGGAAATATTTATTTTTTAAACCAACAATGTGTAATATAAGTCCAATAAGATAAAAATAAAATAAGGCCAATATAATTCACCTATTACTTAATATTGTCAGCCTAAGTAATATAAAATCTTACACTGATGATGTCATGATAAGAGCTGTCTTCATGGGGGTCCATTTCACATTCAAATAGAAGCTCAAGATCAAAATCAGATGTTAGTAAGGTGTCTTCAGATCCAAGGGGTAAGCCACCAGCACATGATACCCAATCACTGATTTCTATACATTGGGTCGGTTTCATACTACATATTCTTGATGCATTTGTATAATCAAGAAGGTCACATAAGTAAGCATTTTTGGGATTTGTACATAATTTTGAACTCAAAGTTGGTGTTTCTAAAAAAATATTAAGTTTATTAATATTTTTTATTAAATTGCATAGATAATTGAAATTATTATAAAATGGAACTTGCCTGCAGCATTTTCTGGCACTTTACAAAATGCAACACTTGTGTTACCATTTAAAAACTCTAGAAGACGCGCTCTAAAAGAGCGAATCCGCCAAGTTTTAATGAAAGTCATTGCAATATAGATTGGAGTAAACAGCATACTTATCGATTTTCACCAGACAAGTGTTCACCAAACCAATCACCTTTTCATTTTTAAACTTTATTAGATAAGATGATTAATTAACTTAGACTAAAAAAATATGAAGTATTTAATTATTGATTCTAAGCCCTATACAATATATCATTTATAATCTAATAATGATTACATAAATACAAAATAAAGTATGCACTGGATTACTGAAGATTGCTTCTAATATTATAAAACAAAAGAGAACAAAACCTTCCTTTTCATGAATTAATAAAAATAAAATACGATGTGATATTTTAAAAATCCATTAACTCGCACTAAACTTCCATATCATGGATGACAAATAAAATAGATGAATTAGTTCCATACGAGCTCTTGGTGCATCTATCTATCCCTTTCATTTGCTTGGTAACTAGCATGCTATCTCTACATTTGGCGACAACGAGTGGGACAACAACTTATTTCTGTCGCAGTTACATACGTCACTACTGTGACGTCACTGCAATATTTTGTCATTTTTGAAATATTCAAGTTTTAACCGTCGTTATTACTCGCCCCTGGGGACTAGGGTGTGAGGGCTTGCCGTTTTTTATATTATTTTACACTTAAAATTTACATTTTATCAATTTGTAGATTAGTATTCATTAATGTGGATAAGTGCTGATTAATGTAGATCAGTGATATAGTTAAGATTTGTGCTTGGATACAAAATTTGTTATTTCTTCATTAGTGTTTCTCTTCCTTTTTTTGGTTTTTTATTAATGTTGTGTAATCATGGGAAAGCATTGTAATTCCAAATTGTCAGGAAGGAACAGAAGGTTTTTCATGCCATAGAATGCCTTATAAAGGTGCACTTCAATTTTATAACGTATACTTATAGAAATTCTTATAAACGGTTTATTTCTAGAGTAACTCTATCTGACCAGGTTTCTGCCAATGTAGCTGCAATAAATTCATTAATTTCTGATACTAAGGTAAATATACTTTGTAGTGCCAATGATGCATCAAGTGCTATCCATTATGAAGTTAATGGGAAGTGGGAACAAAACCTATCATAAGTATGATGTACCTCATTTACTGAAATGTTTCAGTAATAATTTTCAGGAAAAGAATTTGCTCCTTGGCAGTCAGCATGCTCAATGGGATTATGTTTATATGTTGTATAAAGTAGATGACCATAAAGGTGCTGCAAGGCTAACAAACTTACTGACAGGCATATTTATTCAAACTCTTTTGTTAAGATGAAAGTAACTATATTGTTAAGTTTAGTAAATTAAGATATTATTATATTACTTTAGATCTTGGATATTATCTTTAATATGAAATTGTTTTTAAGAAGGAGACTTCTTGAAGCTATTGATATTATTATACTATTTATTATTATACTATTCTATTCTAATATGTAAAATTGAATAGTTTGTTTATTGTTTGAATGCACTTATCCATGTAATGCTCAGTCCATTAAAAACAATTTATCAACTCTATAGCCTATCTATTGTATAATGTTAACAGCTATTTAAGGGCCTAATTGGCTTATCTACCTAGACCCTAATAATACTAAACTATTACTATATTTAAATAAGCTACTATTCATCTACAGTAGTTACTAGTTCATATACTATATAGTTATGGTGACTATTTGTTGTATTACATTAATTTATTATAATAATATATTTACAGGTGAAGTATATGCTGCGCAGGTGTTTCAGCAGTTGAAGTGTTTCAACACCTATAAGTCTCCTGATAAAGGCTTTTAGTTTCCAGGAAGAACACAATTATTGTAATACATTAAATGTAAATATTGAGAATGGCTTATTCACAGCTGAGATTATTTTATTCATTAATAATAAAATACATGATCCTTCTAAGAATCTGTCATCTCTAGTATGGTATGCAATTTACATAATTAAAAGACAATTACCAAAGATTTGTAAAGTTTACATATTTCCCGATTTAATAAAAGCATTTGAAAATCTTGATACCTCTTGGTACACTTGTGTAGATCATAGAGAAATATTTTTAAGAGCATTCTCATTATTTATGATATGTATAAAAGTTAGACACAGGTGTATAAATTTTAATTGAAGAATGCATAAAGTGGATTCGAGAAAAAAGGGTCTGGAAATAGAAAATTTGCTTAATATGAAAGTTTCAGAAGGGCCTAGCTATGGTTGAACTCATCTAGTCTTCAGAGTAGTGAATGATTTTCCAATATTTTTTCATTAATTTTTAATATTTATTACTCTTGTTTGTTTCATTTCTTGGTTATTTAAAAGATAATCACTTGGAATTTTCCATTTTCATTATGTTTCTATTAAGTATAAAAATAATGTATGAATATTTCAATTGATTTCTGTGAAATAATATTATAATTTCTTAAAATATACTACTATAGCAGTATATAATTTTAATATATTAATTATAATTGTTACATTTGATAGAACTATGCATTTAGAAATTTTATTTTAAAGTATGTTTAGCTGTTATTTCTTTTTACACCAAATTTTTACTATTACTATGTACATATTGATTTTAAATTTCTTAAGCTTTTAAGAAAATTAATTTTATTATTCATTTTTTACTGAAATTTGCATTTTTTTTTTATTTATATAAGATTAAAATGTTTGTTTTTTCAAATGCGCTAATCTCGAATCTTTGCATTTTATAAACTGAAGATGAAGGTGGTTCTAGAGCTAAAACTTCATACAAAAGCTAGATTTTAATTTATACCTACAATTAAACCTACTACTCGCTTAATATGATATTGTTATTAACAAAAACTATTGTTCTATGTTACTTCTAATTTTATTGCATTGTAATATTTTATACCAAATCGTTGTATTAGTCTTTGTCTCATTGTTATTATCTTTTGTATTTTGTATTCAATTGATAAAATACTTTAAAAATGTCCTTTTATTGTAATAACAATGTATTATAAATGTTAAGAAAAAAAAGGTTATCCCGTCAAGGACCTCAGTCCTTGCTAATTCTTCTCAGGTCTGAGGCATTTTTTCGAACTAGTGGTAGCATTAAAATAGTAAAATAAAAAAACTAGAAACCTATCTTTGTATTTTATTTCTAATTATAATTAATATCATAAAAATGAAAACCTTACTATAAAACCGATAACAGTTGTTGAATACCGATAACATTACGATAAAATACATCCCTACTTAATCGTAATCGTAATGAATATCGATTTTTACATCACTACGAACTAAATTCTCCCAGATTCGCATATGACGTCATTCCCTTAGAAAGAGATGCGTGGCGACTCAAAAGAAATACAATAGCCGTGAAAGTGACAGCATATTTTGACTTGCCATTTATGCCATAACTGTCCCCATATTAAGGCAAATTCATGACACAGCTCTAAAATATAAATCAATTTTTATAACATAAAAACCTATGTTAATAGATATTTTATGTTTGATATGAAATATAATTAAAATATAAGATATTCGATAATAGTTAAAATCATTTAGAATATAATTATATAAATCAATATATAGCACATATGATTTATAAAAAAAAACATTTTAAGCATATTTAACTTAAGTATATTTTATAATATAATAAGATATTAATTAACATATCCCATGTAGCTATTTTTAATTTATAATGGTTAAATCGGGAAAAATCTTTCTTTGACTATCTTGACCCCCCCGGCCCCCGCTTCGTCTTATTCGCCTTCAGTTTTATGAATATGCGCTTGTATGGAGCTCGGCCGGGGCTGTTCCATATGTAGAGGGGATTCTGCAAGTGCAAAGTCAAACTCAACTCAAACTTCAAAGTCATACTGACATTCACCTGTCACAGACTATAAAGCCTAGAGATGACACTGTCAAAAAAATAAACTACGTTCCGTTTTACTATCCCACCGTATAATACGTAGCTAAATAACTGCTAAAATATGAAAATTTAGATTAATATTTAATACTAGCGGCTCACCCTCGCTTCCATACCTTAATCTGACGGTTTTAAGTATTTCTTATGACAATATTTTTTTAAAACTTTTGATGGGCTGCCCTAGACGCACACCCTTATATAGAGGACTTATATTTTGGAGGAAGTATCACCCCATAGGTTAATCTGCCACCTACCCTACCCCAGCCTGCAAATTTATGATATTTGCAATGAAAAAAATACTAATCGATAGATTTTCAATAGCTCAATTTAACTACGTAGCCCTTTCAAATTGCTCACCTTTAATTATTTAATTAAAAATCAATAAAGTCTTTGAAAAAAAATTAATTTATCTGTATATTCAAACTCCTATATCTTTTGATGTATACAATATTTCAAATTGCTCAAAGTTCTAAAACACTGCTCAAGTTGCATTTGTAATTGCTCAAGTAGAGTTTTTACCAGCTCCACTTTCGCTGATTATTAAATAATTAAAAGTATAGTTGTAATAAATGTAACGTAGGTTAAGTGAGCGTGCGCATGCGCACCGCGCATTGTCGGTCGGCCTCGGCGGGCTTGGACAATCGTTCCAATTCAACGTCTTAATTCTGTTACTAGACTAGCAGATTTATGTATATTTTAGCTATATTTATTCTAGCATTTTTTAGTTTTAGTCAAAAAGTGAAAAATATCCAGCAAACATAATGAGCATGTATACTACTACTTATTTTGTTTTGGAGCAAAGAAGAATATATAGAAAATACTTTGTAAACAGACATAAAGTTACTAAATAAAGTTACCTTTTAGTCATGATTTGATTTTTGTATAAATTGAACATAATGAATAAGTCAATAAATAATAAAAATACCTGATAATAGATGATGTTGTGCTTGGAGTATTACAGTTTCATTTCACTATGATGAGGTTATGAAACACTTGATTTTTTTGCCTTGCGACTCGCGTTACTGTTTGCGCGCAAGCGCAGCACTCACCTATCTATACGTTAAATTTATTCAAACTATTTATATTTATTTAATAATTAAGGAAAGTGGAGCTGGTGAGAACTCTACTTGAGCAATTACAAATGCAACTTGAGCAGTATTTTAGAACTTTGAGCAATTTAAAATATTGTATATATCAAAAGATATAGAAATTTGAATATACGGATAAATGAATTTTTTTTTCAAGGACTTTATTGATTTTTAATTTTATAATTAATGGTGAGCAATTTGGAAGGGCTACGTAGTTGAATTGAGCTATTAAAAATCTATCGATTAGTATTTTTTTCATTGCGAATATCATAAATTTGCAGGCTGGGGTAGGGTAGGTTAATCTGCCGCGCTTGAGCAACTCCACAAATCCCATCTTGGGCTCCCATACTATAAGCTATTTCTATTTCGTGTTACGCTCAAACCTATTAGAGCCATTTACAAACCTTCACATTTAAATTAATATTAGTGAGACGAATAATTACAAATTCACTTATAAAATTCTTATAGTAATATCACTGACATATTTTATATATCTCCATTTCTTAGATTAAAAGTAGATACATTCAGTACATTCACATTTCAAAGAAACATACATCCTAATTCAATAGTCCAGTGAATTGACTATTGTATTTGAAGTTTGGACGTATTTTGTTTAGACATGACGTGTTGATTTCATTGTAACTCGGGAACTATTAATCTTGTTAAAAAAATGTTTCAATAAAAAGTGCAGCTAAATACAATCTCTATAATTTGTGTAATATCTATTTTTAACCTAAAGGTGTTACAAGGTATACGAATAATATAAAGAGGCAGACTTTGTTAGTTTAAACGATCTAATCTTAGGAACTATTAATCCGATTTGAAAAATTCTCTTGAATTAGATAGCCCGTTTATGGCGGAAGGCTATAGGTTATATATCATATAATATATAGTAGGTATATATATTCCATACTAACCGTTAAAACGTAGCTAGGGACGAACCCAAATGAAACGAGGGTGAGTTGCTAGTTTTTACTATATGGTGGCTCGATTTGCGAGCGTTCAAAGTCGCAAACTTGGATTATTATTAATTAGGATACCAGAATCTAACAAATTACAAAATTAGTAGAGTATTTTGCTCAGAAATGAGACATTTTCCCGCCGTAAATAGTATCCTATATGTTGACCCGGATAACAAGCGACAAAAGCCACATAGAAACCATGTGGCTTTTGTCGCTTTTGATGGGATTCTATTGGAGTTTTTCAACAGGGATACCAAAATTCATAAAAAAACCCTCCAGTGGTTTTTCTGTGATGCGGTAGCAGACAAACAAACAAAAATTCTAAAAACTATAGATTCGGCCTGTGTATCGAAAATAATGTTTATTTCAATAAGATTTTCCAAAAAATATTTGATGTACAGATTTAGCTTAGTTACAATTTTATTATATGTATAGATATATAGATATGTATAGAGTTAACGTAAACTCTAACTTTTACTATTTTAGACCAATATTTTGTCTAACACCATGACCGTTATTATAATATGTTAGGTGTTTATACTGGTACCAATATCAAGTATTGATTATCCTGAGAGAACAGTAACATACAATTGTAGGTAGGTGATAGGAATAACTCTTTGTTTAGTAATGTCCATTTTTATAATTTAACTTCAAGATTGTGAATATTGTAAAGGAAATAATAAGTAGGTACCGTTGACATTATTTAAATTAATTTTCACAATATTAGCAAAATTTAGAAAGTTGAACCGATTTCACCAGTAACGAAATCTTCTATCAAAATGAGATACATATATCTATAAGTCACTAGAACGCGTAGCATCTCTATAATAGTTTGTGCTAGAATGTAAAAAAACATCTACCTGCTATTAGCTACATGAATGAAATTCTTAAGGTCCACTCTATACAAAACGCTATGCTGAACTTTATTTCGACAGACAGTTGAAATAAAGTCCTGCATCTTTGGTTGTTTACAACTTTATAACAATTTACAAATAAATCAAGCCGATCATATTTACTTTGGATAGTCGTGCTTCGGAAAGCGTAGAGTGCGCACGAGTTGTAAAACAAATAGGAATTCGACCCCATTAGTGACCGGTGATAGTTTTGAATATGGAGTTAAATTTTATTACAAACCTTATAAAACACGATGTGAACCATAATGTGAAACAGTGTTTTAAAAATAAAAAGCCATTTGGTAAGTTTTTTTTTATTTGTAAAGTTTTATATTATATTTGTATATTTTCTAAAATAATTACCTTTTATTAAAATTTTCTTTCGTACTAAATAGTTAAAAATATTTAGTATTTACTTAATATTAAAATTGTTATGTAAAAATAAATTAATGATAAATATATTATAATAGTAGAAGATGGCATATTTTTACATAATAAAGATTTCTCTTTAAAGTGCATGAATATTCCATAACTTTCTGTAGTTTTTTGTGTTATGTAACTTAATCAGTCATATAATAAAAATAAGGCAGAATTAAATTTTTTGTAGAAAAATATATGTCCATATGCGTATTTTTGAATAATTGTACTGCAATAGTTATCTATATAAAATAGAGTTGTTTGTGAACTCAATAAGATATCTATGCTTTTATTGAATAATATTTAATTAATACTTACCTAAATAGTTAAACATTGGTCTATAAAAATACTGACAAGCAGTAATAGTCCTACTACTTGTAAGTATTGAGTCCAGTAAAATAATAAAGTGAATATTCTGCACGTATAAATATTAAATACACGAATAATAATTATTAATAAAAGAATAAGTGATTTATGTATTTATATAGAAACTCGCGAGTCACCCTTGCTTCGCTCGGGTTCGTCCCTAAGTACGTTTTAACTGTATAGGTATAATGAGTTATTGTGGGTTATATTATAGCGTATTTTCCCGTGTGAATGAGATAATCTTTCTCTGTAAAAAGTAGCCTATGTCACCTCCAGCCACACTCTCCATACAAAAAATCACGCCAATCCGTCACTCTGTTTCGACGTGAAAGAAGGACAAACAAACAAACACATTTACACATTTATAATATTAGTATGGATACTCATATTTCTTTAATTCATATAGTATAAACATAAGTTGTTTATTTCTAAAATCTAAGACGGTTCACTGAACTTTGCGCGTATTATAATCAGTTATGAGTTACAACCAAAACTAGGATTCAATATTTGCACGCTATAATTAATTTATGTATTGTTTGTCTAATAGTTAAATGCGTTAATGTTTTGAATACGTGACTCGGGCCAAGTATTTGGTGCCTATTTGGGGAAGTTGCCCGAAAGCTTCCAGAGTATTCGTGCATCCAAAAACAGGTTTTGTTATGTAAATTTTAGAAATATGAAAGCGCAGCTACGAACTCATTCTTTAGATATGATACTATCAATAGAATAAAAACTACTACTTAAAGTTGTTTAAACGAGATCAAAAGTTATGGGTTATTTTGCCTCTCACTGCTAAATAAAAAAACCTATTTTTTTTTTAAATTTTGGTATTTGATGATTGTTTATTGTTAGAAATAAAGTCAGGGCCAGTCCATAGAAAATCATTAAAACCAAAAAACCATAAAAAGGGTGGCTGGCTCCTTATAGGACCATTTTGTTTCGTTCCTTGCTGTCTTCCTATTAAGACTTTTTAGGTAGTGTACAAAATACATGTATAACGTAATACCTATATTAAATACCAATATTCTCATTCGCTAGGTTCCATTAAAATTATATAAATTATAATTCATCAAAATCAATATATAAGTACTTCCGGTCATTTATGTTATTTACACATATAATAAAATTATATGTATAGACTAGCGACTCACCCTCGCTTCGCACGGGTTCGTCCCTAACTTGCTTCCCAATACAAATTTTCATCCCCATTTTCACTCCCTTAAGGGATGATTTCCGGGATAAAAAGTGCCCTATGTCCATCCCAGGGTCTCAAACTATCTTCTTACCAAATTTCATATAAATCGGTTCAGTACATCCAGACATTACCCCTTACAACGTCACAAACTCACAATTCACAAACTTTACCTCTTTATAATAATATAGTATAGATAACATAGTCTAAGAGTTGAATCTGTACATTAAAATTATGTTCTTAGGAAAATATTATTGAAATAGTCATTATTATCGCTACAGAGGCCTGTCTGTCTGAGAATGCATCACGAGAAAACCACTGGACAGATTTTGATGGAATTTGGTACGATGATAGTTGGATAACCGGGTCTATATATAGGATACTTTTTGCTACGGGAAAATATTTCATCTCTGAGAAATCTATACTAACTGTTAAAACGTGCTTAGGAGTGAACCCGAGCCGAACCCGGAACGGGAGTGAGTCGATAGTCAAAATATAATATATTGATCATAGCAATCTCATTGTAGTCATAAAAATCAAATAGGTACAGCGTACAGGTAGATACTGCCACAGCGCAAAACATCTTAAAGAAAGAAAATCCAAAAATCATAAATATATAGGTATAATATAAAAAAACATTTTTACCATTATTTAAGTCTCTTTCTAAAAAAAATCTAAATAAAATGGTAATATAGGCATACAAATATTAAACTTTATGATGATAGTACAAACCCTACGCTTAGAGTAGTCAATTTTCAACGTACCCGTCAAATAAACATTTTAAGTGATATTAATTGAATTTATATACCAGTCGCATTGTTTAACATAAGAACCCTTACCCTGTTTTTGTGGAGCCATACTCGTAAGGTACCCTTGTAGCAAAAAAGATTTACGAAATTAGGTCCACAGTTACATATAAAAATACAAAAACTAAAGTAATAAAAAACAGAATATACAAATTCAAATTGTATGTATAGGTAGGTATCTTCTTTATTGAGATCTTCATTAAATTGTTTTTATTTTTCCATTTTTAGTGTATAAGCAGGTAATTTCTAAGAAGAAAGTTTTTTAATAACATATTATTATTAAATAATTTATTTAAAAAATATTTATTTTAGATTTTATGTAGCTCGACCGATTTCGATAGAATTTATATGGCACCACCTGGGAAGTATACCCTTTAAAACAAAAAAAAAACAATTCAAAATCGGTTCAGGCTTCTTCGAGTAATCGGTGAATATACATAAAAAAAAGATTCCGACGAATTGAGAACATCCTCCTTTTTGGAAGTCGGTTAATAAAGTAGGGGAAAGCTTACAAAAGCATTATCACAACAAAATGTGAATCTAGAACGATTCACTGAATCAATATAATAAACTAGCATTCAGATGACCAAAGACCAAATTCTTAGGTTTTATATATTAGTATACTCTTACATTGCAGTTTTTGTATTTTTTCTCAGAAACGAGACAATTTCCTGCGGTAAAAAGTATCCTATATGTTGACCTGGTTAACCAGCTAACCCTTTTTTTTTTATGTCGGGAAATGCATTTACGCATACCACCTGATCCCCCAGGTGGTGATGTGGGGCTCACCGGCTAGAAGAGCCGGTACTACCCACTAAAACCCGACATTCCCCTTCCCTCCGCCTTAATGGGACGCCGCAGGATCGCTTGCGCATAACTACTACGGCGCCCCGGCGGCAGGTCTGCCTAAGCGCTAGGCAGACCACCAAACCAATGGGGCTGCTCCACAGTCAACTCTGCTACGCCAGAGAGGTACCCGGAGCAGCCCCATTAAACCTAACCACCGCCCACCGAAGTGGGCCACCTCCAATCGGCTGCAGAGGACAGGGAGAGCGGCAACGAAACACCGACACTCCTCTTCCCCTGCAGCCCCACCGCGTCCGCCATCAAACGGTGGCGGCCCCGTCTAGGCAGCGGAAGGTAGGGAGAACGGCGCACCGAAATACCGGCACTCCTCTCCCGCCGCGGCCTACTCCTCCGCCGGATGCGGGCCTGCGACCACAGTCCCGCAACCGGCACCCATCATCCGGTTGTGGGACCAAGCGGTCCCACCACCGGTGGCCGCAACGTCTTCGGCTCGAGTCCTAGACGAGCGGCCCCACCCAAGCCATTTGGTCCACGCCGGATTTCTCCGGTACCACCCGCCGCCCTAAGCGGGTGGCATTCCCCTATCCGCCACCTGGGGACGCGCCCGGTAGGAGTTGGCTTCTCCCCCGGGGTTAACCAGCTAACCTAACCTAACCATACCAAAATTCATGAAAATCCCTGCAGTGGTTTTTCTGTGATGCGGTAACAGACAGACAGACAAAAATTCTAAAAACTATAGATGCGGCCTCTGTATCGATAATAATGTTTATTTCAATAAGATTTCCCAAAAAATATCTGATGTACAGATTCGGCTTAGTTACAATTTTATTATAGTAAAGATGACGACGGACTAAAAATATAGGTACGAGTACGTAATGGATACAAAAATCGACATCAACAAATCATCACTACTATAAAAAAAATTTAGACCTAAGTCCTAAACCATTATCTTGATACTCTATTGTAAAATACATAGTTCGTTCAAGTACAAGGCTACCGTTGATATGTAGGCTATCGTTGGGGGGCGATTTCAATTGTCAATATCGATCTTATAACATTGAATAAAGTACCGTATTGACTTCGTATATAGAAAAATATAACAGGTAAGTATAACAAAAACCTAGTTTCTGCTCGTTTAAAACAACAAATAATGATCAAAATTATTTGGCTATTTTCTAAAACAAAATTATGTACTTCAAATTTTAAAAGCATATTTTATGTCTAATATTGTCCCACGGGAACCACTTGACGTTCTGGGACAGAAAGATAAGATAAGAAGGCTCTAATGGTAGCAACCATAAAATAGCAAAAAATGTCGTTAAAGCGTTTCTGCCTAAAGAAGGCAAAAAAAAAAGAATAAAAAAATGTAGATAGGTATATGTTTTTATGTTTTTTTTTTTGTAAAAATAATCATTTTCAAAACTTTGGGCTTACCATGGCAAACTTGTACAGTTGTACGTCATAAAGGCTTTCTTTTATTTAAGTTTATGATGATGATGTTCTCCTGACCGATTTCGGCCACGGCGGCCAATCTCATTGAAACTAGCCAACTGCGCAGGAGTTATTATAGTGCACAAGTGTACGCGCAGACACAACGTGCACTCTCTATTCCTATCACTCTCATACTCTGGTGGGTCGACCGCTCGACACGACCAGTGAGAGTTAAGGCGCAGGACCGACGGCTTTAACACCGCCAACTTCTCAACTCCGGGCTGTTACTGAGGCTTACTATACAGAAAGACTCAATAATTAAACTTGGCTCGACCCGGGACTCGAACCCAGGACCTCCGGGTGTGCAGCTGTACATATTTAAGTTTATATACGAAGTGCGTCTAACCTAATTTTATGAATAATACAGCTATGGCCACATTTAAAACTAAGCTTCAATAAGTTAGTTTCGTTCTTTTTTTTCAATATAAATAAACGCGTTTTTTTAAATTATGTTTTTGTGCTTTCTTCTACTATCGACAGAAAAGTATACCAAATCTACATATAATAATTATGTACTATTATTCTTGCAGTCAATAGAAAGGAAGAAGTGATGGCAATTAAAAAGAAATATCCTACAAAAATACCGGTACGTACAGACAGACCACTTTATTGAATTGAAAAATAAAGTTATCATACTTAACAACAAGACTAACTATAAACACTTTTCTAGCTCATCGTGGAAAGATATCAGAAAGAAAAGAATCTACCAACTTTGGAGAAAAACAAGTTTTTAGTTCCGGAAGATATTACAATGTCGCAATTCCTAGTAATTATACGTAACAGAATTAGGATAAAACCAAGTCAGGTGAGAAATAAAATTCATGCATATATTATTGTAATAGGCTTCAATATTTTGTTCTTAAAATTATGTATATCTTATTGGACTATCTTGTTTGTTAACAATCATCGCTAATTTGGCATATGTTTGAGTAATGGCTAATTACCTGGAGATCGTAGGTTTGATTTCTGAACGTGCCAAATAAGCCGATTTCTTTTAAATCAGATCCGTTCCTGAGAATACGCTCAAACAATCTGAGCAATCTCTTACATACAAATAGTATAGACGAGTAAATAAAGCGTATTCTTATCATCTTAACAGATCTGTAATTGAACCCAGTTATGCAAAAAACAGCCATGTAAGTAAAAGTACCAACAGAGTTATAAGCATTTTATTATAAAAAATAAAATAATTATAAAACATAAACAATACTTATATAAATATTGTTCAATTTTAAAATAACCAGAAAAACAAAACATAACCCAAGCGCAACTATCGACAGAAAAATGCTTATAACTCTGTTGGTAATTTTACGCACATGGCTGTTTTTTGCATAACTGGGTCCAATTATGATTATGCACAGATTTTATTTATTGGAAGTGACAGATTCATTCTAATAGCTTTATGATAAGCGGACAGTAATCAATACGTAACGGTACCTGAACGTCGGCTGATAGCTGACCCATGCGAGAAAAACATATAAACCTTATCTGTATCGTGTTTGACAACGGATTAATTTGTTCGTTGTTATTATAAACGTCAAACAAATAACAATTAAAGCTTATCACAATTCTCTATTGATATCACATGGAGTTATATAAGATATATGTATGTATAAGTATGAGACTGGAGACATAATTATATTATGTTATGCTTAATTAAGCATATATAAATATTAAAATACATAAATATGATCTTTTTAATAGAAAAAAAAAACAAATATTACCTAAATTAAAATAACATTCTTAAATAGATGCGTGCTTCTGTAAAGTATCGAAACTGATATAGGTACCTATTAGGTATACCTAATACTGCAAATAAATTTGTGGGTGATAGCTTAGGTATAGGTAATTAAAAATTAAAAAAAAACCTTACGCAAATTAATTGTCATTTAACGATTACACTGGCACGCGTGAAGCACTAAATCGAGTAATTATACGCCAAAATGCCTTACATCATTTTGGAAAAGAGCTGATACTCTTACACTGCTGGACCGATATTAACCAAACATAGCTAAGAGCCACCGCAAGGAAACTAGCTTTCAAATGAAAAAACTGCATCGAAATCGGTCCATCCGTTTGAGAGTTACGATGCCACAAACAGACACAAAAAATAGGTAATTAATATTATGCACAATTACCTGAATATATTTTAGTAGTTACACATCGATTATATGATTAAATTGACATTAGTAAAGTAGGCAACTCTTTCGAGACTTTCAATCATACTAAATATTTTATTATAAGAAACTAACAATTAGTAATAGATCAGTTAATATTGTGTTTTCAATTAATAAGTATATTTCTTTCGCAGGCACTGTATCTAATAATCAATAATAGATCAATGCTCAGCATGAGTCTCACGATGCTTCAGGCGTACGAACAATATGCAGATGAAGACGGTTTTCTTTACATCACATATGCATCTCATGAAATTTTTGGGTACCAAGATGGTAAGTACTTATAGTTTAACTAGCATTGCCCGCGGCTCCGCCAACGTTTAGATGACCAAAAACTAAATTTGTATTCAGTTTTTGTATTTTTTCTCAGAAAATCAGTTTTTGTATTTTTTCTCACAAATGAAATATTTTACAGCGGTAAAAAAGCATCCTATATGTTGACCCGGATAACCAGCTATTACCATACCAAATTTCATCAAAATCCCTCCAGTGGTTTTTCTGTGATGCGGTAACAGACAGACAGACAGACAGACAAAAATTCTAAAAACTATAGATTCGGCCTCTGTATTGATAATAATAAAGAATAATAAAGAAGGCAGTGGTAGCCCAGTGGTAACGCGCTTGCTTGGGAAACCGAGTGAAGCGGGTTCAAATCCCGGGTCTCGCACCTCTGATATTTACATGTGCGAATCATTTTTAACATGATTACCACTTGCCTTTCGGTAGAGGAAAAACATCGTGAGGAAACCTGCATGTCTAAGAGAACTTAGCAAGTTTTCGAAAGACATGTGTAGGCCGCTAACCCGCACTTGGCCGTGGTGGACTATGGCCTGATTCCCCCACGTATTGAAGGGTGGCCCGTGCCCAGCTGTGGGACTTTAAAAAGGGCTGAATACATTGATAATAATGTTTATTTAATGTATAGATTCGGCTTAGTTACAAATTTATTATATGTATAGATTGAATATGATTTAAAATCGTTAGAATAATTACTCAGATTCATTTAATTAAGATCGAGTGTTGAACTGCCATTTGAGATCGCAGATAAAAAAACTTCATGTTATAACTTGGTATGATAAGATAAAGTGGGTACTAATTGCTTTCGTTCATACAAGTGTGTAATATAAGATAATACGCAATAAAATATAATTGATTTTATCTAAGTATCCGCAATGCTCATTATCACTTAGGGATGAATTCTAATTTTTGTACATCTTTCAGATATGACCGGCTCTAATAAGGAAGTCAAAGTGATAAGAGATAGATTTCCCAATAAAATTCCGGTAAGATTATTTTAAAAATAATATTTTTATGCATATAACTAAATAATGTAGAAATATCATATATTAGTCCAGTCATATTAGGGGTTTCACTTCGGAATTGGAGATAGCCAGCTAGAAAAATGTATAAACCTTTATTTTGAGACACTAATAAAACTTGTCTTAAAATCTACTTATCGTAGGGTGTCCACAACTACAGATATCTAAGGTCAAAAGTAAAAAAAAATGATTTTTTGCACATTTTTGCATGTATCTCGTTTCCTGTGGGTTTTATGCTATTTATATTTATTATAAATATTATATATATATATATATATATATATATATATATATATATATATATATATATATATATATATATATATATATATATATATAACTTCTTTTGTTTAATTATTTAGAGTATCAATCAAATCTTCTGAAACTTGATTGTCTTGACAGAGTTTCTGATGAGACGATGGTACTCTATTATGGAGAGAGTTTTATTAACTGCCTCGCTGGTGTAGTGGCTAACATGTACGGCTGCACGCCCGGAGGGCCTGTTATTAAGTCTAGTTATTTAGTTATTGAGTCTTTCTGTATAGTAAGCCTCAGTAACAGCCCGGAATTGGAAGTTGGCGGTGTTTCACCCACTACCTCGGAGAGCACGTAAAGCCGTCGGTCCCGCGCCTTAACTCTCACTGGTCGTGTCTCGTGTCGCCCCAGTGGAGTATGAGAGTGACAGGAATAGAGAGTGCACGTTGTGTCTGCGCGTACACTTGTGTACTATAATATCTCCTGCACAGTTGGCTAGTTTCAATGAGATTGGTCGCCGTGGCCGGAATCAGTCTGGAGGACATTATTATTATTGGAGAAATTCGTATAACAAACAGCATGGTATTTAGCTTCAGCAGCAATCAAATCATATTGAAGAAGTATTCGTATTTTCACCAATTCTCCGAAAGTATCACCACGTTCTTCTGCTTTTTTTATAGCATTGTCTTTCCACTCAACAATAATCACTTTACTTATCTAGCGTCTATACTTTTCTTTTTTCTTTCTTTGCGGCCTCATCAGTTGTTTCACCACAAAATAAACATGCTTTTTAAAATCAAACACTTCACTTCGCCTTTTAAGCGGTAGAGTTGGAGAAGCTGGAGTTTTGGTCTTGTACAGCAGCTAGAATTCAATTTTTAATAATGTAAACACTTCGGACTTTTCATGCACTTAAAGAGAGATTGTGGTGCTTAAATGATTATTAAGACCATCGTTTCGTTCGATACTTGCAGTTCTTAAAGTTTTCATACCACATACTACATCCACTAATAATTCACCTTCCGAATGTGACTTCTTATATATAAAGCACAAATTATCCATATCTCTTGAAATTGTACGTCCGTAAATTACCAAGATACGATTCACAACTAATGAATAACCGAGATTCGTAGAAAGTGGTTCCCTAAAAAAAACGGTCGCCGTAAGTATACAATTGAACATTTTCCCTACTGACTATAAATAGAAAGGTTCGTACTATATAATAGGGATCCATATTGCCTACCCGTATTTCCTAAGTATATTTATTTTTTTAAAGTTTACGGATTTTATTTTTTTTATTTTATTTTAATAAAATCTACTTAATTGTTTTGTACTTAAAATGTAATTAAAGTATTTTCCTTAAAAACTTTTTAATTACATGAGTAGGTAAGTGTTATTAAATGAATAGATACTCTGTTAATGAAAAAATATATTAAATACTAGCGGACCCGACAGACGTTGTCCTGTACACACGTCTTTAATTTCATACTTTTTTTAATGAGCTGAAACAATCTGGACCGCTTTGATGAAAATTATTATTGAAAAGTTATTACTTTACTACCAATCGTGATCAATGCATGTGATGAATAATCTATTTCAGGATCATATTCAAACGCGAGACGATTAAGTGATGCTCGTGCCAATGCTCGATTATCTTGTACTCGCTGTTGGTTACGTTCTCTATGTGCGTTGGTCGCTCGTTGACGTGCCTCTCGTTGTCTTAATGTATTAGCACGAAGACGTTGAGCACGTTGCTCTAAATTTTCATTTGCACGTGTACATGCAGCTCGATCTCTTAAATTTACATTATCCATAGAATGTTCTGTTCTATTCAATCGATGATCATGAACTAATTGCGCGTGCTGAGTACGTCGACCAATATTTCTTGCTCTTCCACGAAGACGTGGCATTTTTCTACAAAAATAAAATATTGCAAAATAATATACAATGAATATGAGTTACTTATTGATAATGAATTTTTAATTAATTAACTCAAAAGATTTATTATGACAAATTTTAGATAAAGAACATGTAATTGCATTTTGTGAGTTTTTTTATTTAATATCTCCAAAAATGAATTAATTGTCAATAAAAATAATTAAAAAAATTCAATCCTCTAACTACACAAATAAACTTGAAGGTTATGTTGGTTGTTAATAAACGCACGTGTAAATTAAAAAAGATAATTTATAAAAAATATACTCACTTCGATTCCGCACTAAATTTACAAAATGTATAAGTTATTTATATACACTTCAGAACTCTTCGAAAACTAATAAATATTTTAATTAGCAACTTCACTTGAATAACACAATTATAACACAAAATAACGAAATACTTTTTCAAATTGATCGTAGCACTATCTGTCGGGACAAACTAAAATTAAAATAGAATAATATTGAATGCGATGGTAGCGCCATCCGTCGAATCTGATGTAAAACATTCCAAAATCAAAAACTCCTTACAAATAAAAATTAATTAAAAAAACATCTGAATTCACAAAATTATTTATACACACTTCAAAACTCTTTAAAAAATAATTACATTTAATATTTTAATCAGCACATGAATTGAATAACAAAATTTTTTTCAAATTAATCGTAGCACCATCTGTCGGGACAAACTAAAATTGAAATAGAATAATATTGAATGCGATGATAGCGCCGTCCGCCGGATCTAATGTAAAACATTCCAAAATCAACAACTCCTTATAAATAAGAAATTAATTAAAAAAACATCTGAATTCACAAAATTATTTATACACACTTCAAAACTCTTTAAAAAATAATTACATTTAATATTTTAATCAGCACATGAATTGAATAACAAAATTTTTTTCAAATTAATCGTAGCACCATCTGTCGGGACAAACTAAAATTGAAATAGAATAATATTGAATGCGATGATAGCGCCGTCCGCCGGATCTAATGTAAAACATTCCAAAATCAACAACTCCTTATAAATAAGAAATTAATTGAAAAAACATTTTCCAGTAGACCAAACTGTAAATCTAAACCATTCTCGAATCTCCACGAACACACACAAAAAATTTCATCAAAATTGGTCCAGTCGTTTAGGAGGAGTTCAGTCACTTACAAACGCACACAAGAAATATATATATTAAGATAATATAATAGTTAATAAAAAGTGCAAATTATTTAGAATTATATATTTATCAATAATAATTTAGATTTTACGCGGCGTGTTTTTTTTTAATCGGGACTACCGGTTGACTTCTAATAAATGAATGATACTAAATAGTTAAACACTGCGCGCTCTCTGCCCTTTATTTCGAAAACGGTTCAAGATATCTATTTTCAAAAAACATCGATTTGCAAAAAATTTGCAAAAAATCATTTTTTTGACATTTGACCGTATCCGATCTGTAGTTGCAGTCACCCTACGATAAGTAGGTTTTGAGACAAATTTTAGGGTGTCAAAATAAAAGTTTATACAATTTTATAGCTATCTCCAATTCCGATATACTTGCCCTATTTTGACATATATAACTGGACTATATGAATTATACGAACGCAACAAGTATTTTATGAATAAAATGAATATCGATCCCCTTAATGGCATTTATTTTAGATACCTACACATCACAATCAATGTAAAAACATCTGACACGAGCGTATATTCTTTATGTTATTTATTTAAGAGTGCTGATAACATTTTTTGCAAAGTTCAATTATATTCATAACAATAAATATGTCAAAGATCAATAAGTCTAAAAATATAAAATACGTAGGTATGTGATAAATGTAAAGTGTAGTTTTTTACTTAAAAGGAAGAACACATCGATCAATACTAAACCTACTTTTTCTGAATCATTCGCGACATAAAAATAGTGAGAAATAACCGATTATATTTTAAGATATAAATATCTAATATGTAAATATGTATTTTACGTATCGAAATATATTAGATGCTTTGCATCGGCTGGCACCGACTTCGAAAATATCTGATTAGGTATCTATTCTAAATGAAAACCCACGTTTAGTTATCTTTTACATTTTGGTGCCTGGAAATCGTTTTTTGTTTAAGTTTTTATTATCAATTGATTTGTATCGATATGAAACAGCAGTTGAACATATCAATCACTGTAACCAAGTGGAGGCGACCCATATGATAATGAAAGATTAAACAGTTAACAGATATAATAAGCAATCCTACAAATACCCTCTCGTGAATGTTTAACAGTGCTTAAGACCCTTAACATTAGATTGTGATTTTACTATGAACGGGATAGAGATAAAATTTTGGTGTTTTTAACACAAAGTATACCTATTAATTAATACATACATAAGTCCAGTACCGATATATGTATATAATAATAAAGTCTATATCTATACTAATATAATAAAGAGGTAAAGTTTGTGAGGTTGTAGGGGGTAATCTCTGGATCTACTGAACCGATTTAGATGAAATTTGGTAAGTAGATAGTTTTCTCCTCCTGGAGGAGAAAACTACAAAATAAATAATGGAATGGAGGAAAAATATTAAAAGTAGCCATAACTTGTAGGTAAGTCTACGAGTATTTTGTGATACTCGTAAGGACTTTGTAACATTCCTGCAACAATTTCGTTGCTACTGTCTGACTTACACGTACCGCGTAAGATCCACTCGTATTATCTATTTATGCATTTTCTCAATAAACATAGCTACACGCAAGGGTAAAAAAGCTCACGACATAATTCTTTATCATCGATATTCTATATTGGATCCTCTTTACCCCACGTGGCAGTACAGCCAAAGAAAAACTCACTGCTCAACATCTCAACTCATTTCTATTTTAATGTTACTACATTATAATATAAAATATCTACTTTAATTATTTTAACTGCATAATATAATAGTCATAGTTATGGCCAACATATTACAATAGGCAGAAATCGAACTTGCAACCTTCGTTTAGCTTTACATATAAGTATAAGCGAAAATAGTACTTAAATATAATTTATGTATTTGTAGGTTACAATCAATATGTAAATAAATCCGAGTTTCAAGTATAATTAATTATATCAGAATAAACAGACATATTTTTACATTTTATAAATAAACATGCGCAGATAAAAAAAATATAAATACATAAATCGTTCGTTTCGTTTAGTTGTACGTGGAGAGATATGCAAGAGAAAAAGAAGTTCCAATTTTGGGCAGAAACAAGTTTCTCGTGCCTCAAGAACTCACTATGTCCCAGTTCCTTTACATCATACGCACCAAGATGAAACTCAGAGATTCTCAGGTCAGTCTAGCGAATTGTAATTAGTTTAATGGAAATAAGTAAATAATAATTATATTAATATGTTAACTAAATATTTGATTGTAGATGACACATTGTTGATATAATGATTAAAATTTATGTCAAAGATATTTCTAAAATTTCAAAAGCATCACATAATATTATCGTTAACTAACATAAAATTATACTTAAATTGTAAGAAATAAATTATGTGTAAATAATATATAGTTCCGAGAAAAAAAATATTAATTTACCAATATTCACAGTTCACTATAAGTTAAAAAAATATATAAAAGAAAAACATTTGGGTTCGCATCTAGCTCACACCTTATCAATTAAACCAACACCTTGCATCCGTCTCTCTGTCTGTTCTAAACTTAAGGACTGTATCTTGGAAAGTATAAAAATTAATAGGTAGCTTAAATGAATGATATCAGATAAAAATGCTAATTTTTTTAAATAAACTTCGGATTTAATTCAGGCAGAGACAGTGACGGTCTCTCCCATGACCATGATTGCTGTAAAGCATTTGAAACGTCGGGAACTAAATATTAAAGTAATAATCCTCGGAAAAGTCCGAAAAGATAGTTTTATTTAAAATGTCCAATATTTGCAATTCGTAAATCTAAGAAAGTATAATGCTAACTAACCTTTTTGTGATTTAGTACAAAACTTTCTAACATAGTCTGAAAAATCTAATTTTATTGGTAGGTATAGGCTACGTAACATGGCTCACACTTGACTATTTTTCATTATAATATTTTCAATAGGCATTGTATCTGCTGGTAAACGACAAAGTCCTAGTGAGCCACAGCATGACGATGGCTCAAGCGTACGAGCAATTTCGGAGCTCCGATGGATTCTTACACATCACATACGCAGCACAACAGGTCTTTGGTTGAAGGAAGCAGTAAGTTTTATGTTTACTTACCTATATGATAATCTACCTACCTATTATTAATTCATGTGCATAAATTATAGTCTAAAAAAATATCGCTTAGAATCCTTTGAGAATACCATAAGCCATGAGACAAGTCCAACGTTGTCCACGTCTTTTTCTATGTATTTTTTTTTCTATTACTTGTTTAGTGCAGTAAAAAATACATTAAATACATATGTATGTAGTACATAACTAGGTTAAATATGTATAAATGATTAGGAACCTCTTTTAGTGCATGTGCCAAAAAGTAATTAAAAACTAATATATTCCCAGGTATTTTTTTAAAGTTGTTATCTTAACCAAACGGCATTGGTATTGCCACTCCAATAGTCCAAAGGCCAAAAATGAACAATCAAAGAGATTCAGAAACAAGATATTAAGTTTATTTTTTAATGATATAACCATACAATGTATATAATTTGAGAAATTATAATATTTCTATATTAGAATTTATAAAAGTAAACAGGAACAAGAACTTCCCGTTTGAAAGGAGATAGTACTTACACATATGAATTCACAATAGAGAAATACATAAATAGTTAGATATGCCTTGCAGCTGATATTTTATCTGAAGTTCCAGAACTGTCGATATTCGATATTTGATCAATAAATTAATGATTTATAACGAAATTCTAAGTTATAATTGATATGACTTAAAATATGATAAGTATCCACAATCAGATTATTGTAGTGATGCAGGGGCGAATTAATTATCTGTTTCATCGCAGGTCGTAGGTTCGATAACTGCACACTGGGCGAACATTCTAATTCCTTATACATATTAAATAATCAAAATAAATCCGCGAAATATTACGAAAAGATAGTTTTATTTAAAATGACAAATATTCCCGTAAATCTAAGAAAGTATTAACTTTATATTAATTTAGTACTATAATACCCTATTACTGAACTTGACTAACTTTAACTGACTTTGAAAATACGCAGTTTATTAAATCGCGTAAAGTGGAATAAATTAATCATAATAGAAATCTTCTTCCTTATATTCTTAAAGAGGTAAAACGTTTATTTATAACCAACTAGCAGAACCAGCGCCTTCGCTCGCGCTAAAACTACAAAAAAATCTCTAAAAAGGTAGTTTCATACAAACTTTGATCCAATATTTTATCCCCGGATGAATTTCAAAAAATGCTAAAACACCTATTTATTTAATTTTATTGAAGAGCATTAATACCAAGTTTCAAGTAATTCTGATCAAAAATATTTTTTTGGATTGTAATATAAAATATTTTCAAGTGGGAATTAGGTAAACTCCCGGTAAAAAGTAGCCTATGTCACTCACCAGCCCTCCAACTATCTCCACACAAAAAATCACGCCAATCCATTACTACGTTTCGACGTGAAAGACAAACAAACAAAGAAATAAGCACACTTTCACATTTATAATATTAGTATGGATATTGTTCCATTATTTATTGTAGGCATTAAAATTTTATATTATAATATAAAAAAAATATTATGTAAAGTATAATAGATATCTAGTTATAAGAAATGGTAGTTCGACGACCACTTAATGTCTGCATAAATCATATCACCCGTCCATAAGCAATAAACGCTACTTAATTATCAAGTATGAAATAATTAGTACCTAATTGAACTTCTCGGAGATTACTAGATGCTCTTAGATAAAACTAAAAAAAGGTAGTCGTCTGTTTATTGTGCAAAGTTCTTGACTATATACCTACCTAATATGTAAGTCTGTGTGTTTTTGTGTATGTCTATTTAATTGTGCTAATAAGCTATCTGTCGTATTCATAACAAGGTTGAGTTGAGTTGATCTAAAGACATCCGTAATCTAAAGACAGAGCTTGAGCACCAAGTTTTACGCGTATTTTTAACACGGGCATATGTATACATCTATAGATATAATAAAATTGTAACTAAGTCGAATTTGTACATTAAATATTTTTTGCAAAATCTTATTGAAGTAAACATTATTATCGATACAGAGTCCGAATCTATAGTTGTTAGAATTTTTGTCTGTCTGTCTGTTACCGCATCACAGAAAAACCACTGGAGGGATTTTGATGTAATTTGGTATGATGATAGCTGGTTATCCGGGTCAACATATAGGATACTTTTTAGCGCGGGAAAATGTCTCATTTCTGAGAAAAAATACAAAAACTGCAATCTAAGAGTATACGAATATGTAAAACCTAATAATTTGGTTTTTTGGACATCTGAACGCGGGCGGAGCCACGGGCAATGCTGTTATTTAGCTCGATGAATATTAGAATTACAAGCTCGGGCAAAGCTGCAATGACCAGAAATATACAAAATGTACTAACGATAAAATCAAAAACTGACGATAGATACGTATGTATTAAGAGATATAGAATATAGAGACTCTCAACATAAACCAAGTTGAGAGTGTCAGGGTTAATAATAAAAACTGTCAAAGACGGACATACGGATTGCTGATTTATTGTGTTATTTGTTGCTCCGATAAACAGCATACAATGTAGGCACTAGGCAGGCACGTTGGCATGGAAGAAAACACGCATGATTTACACTTGAATACGTCAAGACTTATGTGCTTATGATAAAAATTATTACATTACCGATATCTTAAACGCGATTGATTAGTAATTGTAAACATTGGTCATTAGTTCAATCCTGAATAAACAAACATCAACTAGAATATGCTTCTTAAATATATTTCATAGAAGTATTATAAATTTTAGTTTTTGCCGACATAATGCCGATTATGAAATATGTTGCCATGGTAGCTAATTTAATGAAATTTGGACATACTGTCAAAAGCAAGTTTGTTGCCACTACAGATAATTCTAAATATTGTCCAATTACCATTATCAGGAAGGGTGACTGCCCCAGCATAATCAGCATAGCAACCGGAACTATTAAGTAACACTACACTATCGTTGTAATTTTAGCACTTCTATGCCATTATTATTTAAGCGAGTTGTTGCCATATAGCGGACATTCAACTGTCAGGATAACAGATACGGGTGTAAGGGAATACTTGTTTTTATATTAGATAATACCATATATTAATTGTGTATAGTGTAGTAATCTATACTAATATTATAAACAGGTAAAGTTTGTGAGATTGTGAGTTTGTGACGTTGTAGGGGGTAATCTCTGGGTCTACTTAGATGAAATTTGGTAAGAAGATAGTTTGAGACCCTGGGAAGGAAATTTTTTATCCCGGAAATCATCCCTTAAGGGGATGAAAATGGGGATGAAAGTTTGTATGGGGAATAAAGCTAGGGAAGGACCTGAGCAAAGCAAGGATGAGTCGCTAGTGTGATTAGATAATATCATATTATCAGATCTGATCAACTCATCTATTGGTAATAAAAATGTCAAATAGATTGCTTGAACAACAAAGTCTCTACTTGCGTCAAAGTAATGTGATTCTAAATCAAATTGAGTTATCAATTGACTTGGAAGGAATTATTTATCGTAAATGATTGCTACTTACAACCTTAATTTTGCATTTAAACAGTATGTTCCAGACTTTAATCAATAATACTTTCATTTTATTGTTTAAATAAAAGCAGTGCAAATAAATGCTTTCATTTAAATCACACAAATCACATTTCTTCAACCATTCGCTATAAAAATTGCTTCCCTTTGCAATATGGTGAATTGCTTGTTGTGTGTGTTGAATAGAAGGAGTAAGTAGGTGTCTACTTAGTAGGATTGTTTTTTTAATTTATTCTTCGTTATGCTAAGCGATATCTTTGCGAATCACTGAGTTGGTTAGTCACGCCAAAGCAGTACTTTTACAAAGTCCCCCCAATTGTGCGTTCATCTTGTCGTGGTGGGGGAACTAGGAGTGGGGGGGGGAGGGCTCAGTAGTGCCCGGCAATACACCTGGGCGCGACGCCATGAAACGCATAGAGAGGTGGTCAAATTCGGTGGGCGTTGTACCATGCGGGTTACTCCTGGTACTTCTCTGATAGCAGAGTTGACTATGGAGCAACCCCATGGTTGCTGTGGTCTGCTTCGGCAGACCTGCCGTCAGGGCGTCGTAGTTGAGTGCGTAAATGATCCTGCGACGCCCCATTAAGACGGGGGAGGTTTTGTTGGGTTTTAGTGGATAGTACTGGCTTTTCTAGCCGGTGATTCCCACATAACCACCTGTACATGCTTACAGGTGGTATGCGTAAATGCATTTTAAAGTGCTCGAATGTGTGGAGCGTTGCTGAAGTTGAAAAATTCGTAGTTGAGCGTTATGCCGCATAATGCTCTTTAGTGCTGTAATTGGAAAACAGCCAATGTCTTGTATTCCATAGCTGGCTTTAGTAGGTGTGGTTATATTTCCCGGGTCCGTATTATTCCACGGCACTCGTCAATACATTATTTATGTCACAATAATAACTTTATCTCGGGTCGCGCACAAACAACGGCCCGAGGACTCGATAAGAACAATTTATGCCCTTTCTTCTATCTCGAGCCCCCCAAGGGCTGGTTATGTGATTTATTTGACATGTGCATGGTCAAGATGTAGCATAGTACCTATATTCTGAGGAATATTCCTTCGTGAATAGGAATTTTCCCGGTGAGATGATTAATTTAATAATAATATTTATATAATTACGCTAAGCAAATTTTCTCCCTATACTTAAATTCGAGATTTTCCATACATATAATAAAATTCTAATTAAGCCGAATCTGTTCTTTAAATATTATTTGGAAAATCTGACTGAAATAGTCATTATTATCGATACCGAATCTATAGTTTTTAGAATTTTTGTCTGTCTGTATGTTACGGCACTGCGAGAAAACTACTAGACAGTTTTTGATGAAATTTGGTGTGGTTATCCGGGTCAACATATAGGATACTTTTTACTGCGGGAAAATTATCTCATCGTTGAGTTTATACTAAACGTTAAAACGTAAGTAGGGGCGAACCCAAGCGGAGCGAGGGTGAGTCGCTAGATTTTAATAAAGTTGTAGTTAGTGGTGACTTGTGGTATATTCTTTTTGGCGAGCTCGCTAGGGAAACTTAATGAAGCAAGTTCAAACCTCATACCCCGGATCTCGCAAAACTGATATCATCCAATTTCTACATTTTAAACATAATTTGTGCTTGCCAATATTGCAAAGGAAAACTTTGTGAGGAAACCTGCATATTTCGGAAAACCTTTTTCGAAACATTTTCAAAAGCTTTTCAAGTCCGCCCAATCTTTGGTCAGCGTGGTGAGCTATGGCCTAATCCTCCTGCCCCTGTCTTTTAAAAATCTTTCCTTTTTTTTAATGGCTAAACACTTTCCTTACAAGTATCAAAGTTTATGGACCTGATCAGAACCAAATATAATTAAACTTTAACAAATGAATTTAAATTACTTTAACATTTTGATTTATTTAAAACATAAGAAACACATATTTTTGGAAACTGGGTGTGTATTTTTAACCTGGTCCTTAAATACGTTCGTATCATTCCTAGCTATATTATTAGCACCAGTAAACGCTCGCATAAATTGCTTAATATAGTAGGTATTGCAAAGGGAGAAGAGCTTTAGCTGTTTGTTTGGATTTTCTCATAGGTAGAAAAAATTATCTACAAACTCGGACCCAACATTTTATAGGCTTATCGATAACCACACTACAATATATATATATATATATATATATATATATATATATATATATATATATATATATAAGAAAGACGTTTTAGTTACACTATTTGTAACTCAAGAACGGCTGAACCGATTTGGCTGAAAATTGGTGGGGAGGTAGCTTAGAACCAGGAGACGGATATAAGATACTTTTTAATCTCGTTCGACGGCGTTCCCGTGTGACGTGACATAAAACGTCAAAGAGAATACAAGTCACTATAGTACATAGAACTGACATAAAACATAGAAATTGACATAGAATAACAAAACTCTAATATACATATATATGAAACAAAGTCGTGTTAGTTACACCATTTATAACGCAAGAATGGCTGGAGCAATTTTTATGATCTTTGATTTTTTTATGATGATTTTAGTCCGGAATAGGATAATAAGTATTAAAACATTAAAGGAAAAGAATTAAAATTTATATGGCTAACGCTGGCTAATAACTATTTATACCTATTTAAAACGTATCTAGCGACGAACTCGGGCGAAGCGAGGGTGAGTCGCTAGTTTATCATATTTAATGAAAAATGTAATAAGGAAATAGTAAACATATATAATAAACAATAATATTATACTACAATAATTATGCAAAATAATATTGATCAATGTTCCATAAATTGAAATAAGTGAATTTAATATAGATTACTGCTAAACATTAATAATTCGTATTTTTTCAGGTACATGTTTTAAATCTCAACCCTCAAGATATAGAAGATAGCATTTATAGAAGTGGATCCATTTGAAAGACTGATAGTATTTTGTTTTGTGATAAATTTAGTTCTAAGAATTTTAAATTATAACCATTATTTCCAATATGTAGCTATTTGTTTTTTTTTTCTTTAAGGCAGGTTCCAAAATGAATTTATAATGTAATTATTATATGTACTTCTAAATTAGTTATAGCATTTTATAAAATTGATTAAATAATGCCATATTTTTATTTATATTGTATTGTCATGTTAGAATTTAAAAAGATTTTATATTGATCTCAAGAAATAAAAAAAATATTGCCGATATCTTGCCCTGTTTAATTAAATAGTTAGCATTGACATATAATAGGTAGATACTGTAAATATATAAGATATGTCATGTCAAACATTAAAGATATAACATTTTTAATTATTAACCACTATATTTTAGAAAAATATATATTTTCGAGTATATATAGTCATGATTATTTATGAATAAAAAAATCTCATGTAATTTCTCAGTAATGCTTTATTATCTATTGTAACTTAGACTTAAGGACATAGATAATACAATAAATAAAAATCTTTCTTCCATGACAGTTTAATTTCTCTCTGGTCATTCTGCGGGGGAGATATTCTGCGCGGCGGCAACGAGAGTGTCGTGAATGTCTTTGGCATACGAAATTTGTAGACGAACTGTATTCAGGTATTGTGGATAACTAAGAGTGGTTTCCTGAAAGCAATATTAAAAAAAAACTAATTATCTTTCTAGTAAATTTACATACTATTTTATAATCTTCGATGACCTACTCGTAGATAATGAATTTTTCTAGCGTCCGGCAACCAAGCCAGGCGTAAAACCAAGATACGCATACATATATAAATAGCATAGATATATCAGTAAACAATACTTAAAATATAATTGTAATTTTTAAATACAAAATATTGTAATTGATAGTACATACGTATTATCATTCCGTAGCAACAACAAGTACCTACTCACTTTACCTTATCATATCCTTTGTGATATAGCGAAAGCGTATACTTGTCTTTCTGTTTGTAATTCGTGTATAAGTTTCGCTCACTACATATGTCGCAAAGCTAACAGACTGAATGGGAAAAGAAAAGTTTTTCAGATTCGACATTTTAGTCGATTAAAAATAAATTCTTAAATCAAACTTCCATAATTCTACCTCCTCACAACTGTTAGCAAAATGTTTCTCGAGCTCTAAATTTAATTAATTTAAATAAGATTTTTTGATTTTAAATCGAATTTAAATTATTCTGCCCAACAGATTATAATTATAAATTAAATTAAAAAAATAAAGTGGGGAATACATAGGTACATATTTGGGCGTGATTGCGGAAAAACCAATAAGTAATAAATAATAAGTGTAATAAAAAAATTATTCTGCCCAAAATTTCTAGTTTTTCTATTCACAACTGGTATTCAGTATAAAAACTTGCAAACGAAGGTGAATAAAAAAAGTTTAATAAAACGAAAAACCAAAGTACTCGTCAATGGTAAGTTAAGAAGGAAAAATCTCCGTCACGTTAAAAATTCATTAGTCCAATATGTGTACAGTGAAATACGATAATGTTAATGGAAATTGATAGTTTTTGTTTATGCTGTACTTCGCACTTTTAAGTCTATAAAGATTATAAATTACAAAATAAAAAAAAAACCCCTGAATGTGTAAAAAGCTAACTAAAAAGATAAGCACAATTTGACGAAGGAACAAAGTATTATGCAGTCGAAGATAAATAATACGCAGCTATTATAAAACATGTACAATGTAGGTATGTATGTAGTGTTGAGTTAGGTACAAGAAGTCACCTAGAGGTTAGTAGCAGTAGAATAAGTTAAAATAACACTAAACCGAACAATATTGAAAGATTCTATATATTTAAAAAACAGAAAAGATTCACTGTTTTAGTTATTTTTATGTCATGACCTTTTTATCTTTCTTTATCTTACGCGGATGAAGCCGCGCATATTTGCTACTTATTTATTTACACATTCCAGTTAATCGATTTATCTATACATATAATAGAATTGTAACTAAGTCGAATCTGTACATTAAATATTTTTTTGGAAATAAACATTATCGATGCAGAGGCCGAATCTATAGTTTTTAGAATTTTTATCTGTCTGTCTGTTACCGCATCACAGAAAAGCCACTGGAAGGAGTTTGATGAAATTTGGTATGGTGATAGCTAGTTATCCGGGTCAACATATAGGATACTTTTTACCGCGGGAAAATATCTCATTTCTGACAAAAAATAAAAAAACTGCATTGTAAGAGTATACTAATCTGTAAAACCTAAGAAATATGTTTTTGGTCATCTGAACGCGGGCGGAGCCGCGGGCAATGCTAGTAAGCAATAAACATTTGCGTTGTTTGTTCTTTGTATAAATTTGTGATTGAACGATTTCTTACACAAAGTTCTGTTAATTTCTGTAGTACATAAAAACTGATGAATGGACTCGATAACTAAACTTGGCCCGACCCGGGACTCGAACCCAGGACCTCCGGGTGAGCAGCCGTACATGCTAGCCACTAAACCACCGAGGCAGTTATAGGAGGCAGCGAGGAATTAAGGAAATATTAAAATATTAATAGGTAATGTTCAAATATCATCATCTTCGTATTGCACTAGGGCATGGATGAAGCTTCAAGACGTGCGTCATGTGACAATCATATTGCGATAGATCAAGTCTCTAAGGCCGCATCAGGGTTACGTGCAAAATTATAAATATTAATTTTACAGTTACAAGCAATACATATTAGTCTGTAACAGCAAACATTTTAGGTACATTTGTACAATGTACATATATACATATATTAAAATACTTAAGATTAATAAACTTATAAATAAAATTGAAATGTCTACACTTGAATGTGTCTCTATTAGGTACTTTTGAAAGATTATGATCCATCAACCCTATCTATGACCGAAGACTAACATCTTACGCAAATAGATCGATCGGTAGCGCCTTGGATTGGGAGATAACATTTATTACTTTATTTTATAAACATCAGACGGATATTGAGATTAGTTTTCACAGCAAAATATAGTTATTTTATTAACCAACTTAAAAAGTAAGGCGGTCCCATATTTTTTAAAGAATATTCCACCCATAGAATGTCGTAAAGTTAGAATGAAGTCCGTTATTACAACTATTAGGTTATACCTACAACATATAAAAAAAGTCAACAGATGATAGGGACAGGAATTTTTAATGGAAAAGCAATAACTCGTACTATAGCATGCTATTTAAATTAATAAAAAAATATATGAATGTCACTTTTTATAAAGTCATTATTGACTTAAAATTATGTTTGATGCATATGTTATATATACACACATTGAACATACCTGACTATTTGATCCAGAGTCCAATCTTGAAGGTATAACAGTGAGCGGGAGATAATGTGACGCGGATTGCGCTTGCTGAATACACGTTATCGCTGTTCTCTGTAATAAATCAATTTCATTTTGAATATATGTCCATTACATATTTATTTTGGACTAGCTCATCAGACTAATATTGTTATGTTCAAATTTCAATAATTTTGTTTTGTATCTTTAAATTAATACAAAAATTCTATAGAAAAAATCAGGTCCACTTTTTCTGGAATTCCTAATATAAGCAACAACTTTTCCTACTGATCACATTGCATTGCTCTGAATATAATTAATATTTTAAACGAAAATACAAAGTGGATTTTTGAGAAGGGACAGTAAGGGTAAGTACCCTAACGTAGAACTTAATGTACTCAAACTTCAGTTGGCCTCTAAAATTGATCGCAGTAAGAAATAGGACCGTTTGGCAACAAAAAATCTTTCGAGTTGATTAATCGTTTTTCCATACAAAATTTATGGGGAAAATCTTTGATGATTACTTACTGTCATATCTATTACTCTTACTTTAAATGGTCCCATAGTCTTTTGATCAGTACATGAAATAGGATCGATTGAAATAAAAAAATAGTGTTTTAGTATTTTTTCACGAACTGTAAAATTTTTCCAAAATCTGTGAATGCAGTTCAGATATCTCAAAAACTTATAGATGGTCTCCTAGGGACGTTTTTCTGTAAGTATAGCAATTATGGTATCTACCCTTACTGTTCCGCCTCAAAAATCCATCCTGTAGGTATATATCAGTCCAGTCATTCACAAAATGAAGCGCTTACCAATAAACAGCATTTGATTATATACATATGTAAAAGAACATAGGCTCCTGTGTCAAGGATCCGAATATGGATCCCACAAACAAAAAAATGATTTATAATTAAAGTAAAAAACTTAAAAAATATTTATAGTAAACAAGTCTTCCTTAAAAATACATTTATAAAATTGTACAAAATAAACTACAAATAATATAAATTGTTTATCTCAATACAGGAAATCAATTAAGTTGGGTCAATCATTTACTATAAGGAGTTTCCTGGTCTGATAAGGACCTTTGTCTTTAGCTTATAATTATATCACTTAGTAGTTTTATTATGTCAACAGACCATCTTATGGAACAATATTATAATAATTAATAAAAAATATTACATACGCAATCATACAACTCGTAACGTCAATGAGATCCAAGTATACATAAAGCTGCTAGCTAACACACTTGAGTTTTCTCTAAAGTAAAACACATAACTTTACTTTTTTTAACCCTCGACGCAAAAAGAGGGGTGTTATGAGTTTGACGTCGATGTCTGTCTGTGGCATCGTAGCTCTCAAACGGATGGACCGATTTCGATGCGGTTTCTTCATTTGAAAGCCAGTGCCCTTGCGGTGGTTCTTATGTTTTGTTAATATAGGTCCAGCAGTGTAAGAGTATCAGCTCTTTTCCAAAATGATGTAAGGCATTTTGGTGTATGATTACTATTTAAAAGAAAGGTATTTTATTTAAAAACTAATCTTTAGTCTCACTAAAATTCTTCGCTAGTTTACTTTAGGACTGAAGTATTTCCTACTACCAAGTAGTAGTAGATTCATTGACATTCTGTTAATATTTGTGAAAGATTTATACCAAATAAAAATTATGGAAGGAACTTAGATACTATATGTATATTGATTACTAGATTAGCCTATAAAACAAATTTTAGGCTCCATAATGCAAACAAAGCTTTACTATTAAAAATTTATTGTTATTATTAAGATAGCATATTCAAGATAAGATAATTCTATTGGTTGCCGTGTCAATAAGTTAATTATTGCTCTAATATAATCATATACATGTTTACTTTGACTAATACAAAGTAATTTGTAGGTATTTTAATGTTTTGTTAGTAAGAAATTTCCTAAGAGATAATTGGTTATTAAAATATGTTGTGTCTTGCTTTCACTCAATCACCTGATCTTATATCTGTAGGTCATTTGAATGACACCTTTTCTCATAATATAATATGAAAAACAACACCTTATAGGAACTATGTATACATAAACAACCTAAGTCAAAGTTTTAAATCAACAGGTGAATGGCTATTTGGTTTAAGCAGACATTTTCTTTACTTTACAGGAGAGCCAATTTAATGAATTTTTGTTCAAAAAAAAAATTAAAATGGCTCTCCTGTAAAGTTAAGAAAATGTTGCTTAAACCAAATAGCATTTCACCCGTGGAAAGTTTGCTAATAGTTGGATATATTAAAAAAACAACAGAATTAAAAAAGAATGCACATAAATATAGCATTTTTTTTAAATATATTTTTTTTGAAAAATGTGACATTTAGTGTGTAATATCTTTACTTTTGTATAAATATCATTTATAACAATCAATAGTAATAACTAATAACTATTATAAGATTACCATATTATTAAAAAAATCTAAAAAGCAGTATAATTCATAGAAAACTTTAATTTTCCATAAGTTATACAAATGTTGTTGAAGATAACAACATTGAATTTTTAACTTACCAGATGCAGTTCCATTTGATCACAGAGTGAGAAAAACTCTTCTAAATTTTTATCGAATCTAGGAACTGGATTATCCATACCTTTCCTTTGAACAATAAAAAAAATGATTGTATTTTTTAAATAAGTACTTTATTGTTCTTAAACTAGTTTCTTTTATATGAGTACTACTTACTGAGTATTTGAATCTACATTATAATTTTGATGTAGAATTTGTGCTGCAGATTTTAAAGTCACCTGGAAATAAATATATTCATGGTAATAATCTAGTACAGTAAAACTATTTTACAACCAAGCATCTATGATTTTGTTTCTGAAATAAACACCTGTTCAGTGATATTTTTATGTGAACCGTTTTAAACTGTGCCAATTATAAATAACCCGTCTTATGTATATTTTAAAGTTAACTTACAGGTAAAGATTCGCGTAAAGAACCCATTAATGTTTTCACTTTAGATATATTATCCATTTTATCTTGTTGCGGCTGTTGGGGCATTGCTGGCTGCATTTGTTGAGGTGAAGGCACTGGCATTACGTTTACAGGTACAGACATCTGCATTCCTACATTAGGATTTGCGCCAACAGAATTCATAGGCACATGCATATTCATCTGGTTCATGATAGTTTTTTTAACTCTATTTCTTATAAAATATATATAATAAATATTATGAAATATTTCACAACTTGAATTCCACTAATGCTCCTATTCGTTCGAATTCAAATATTTTATACGATATTCAGTTTAATTTTTGTAATGTGGCTTTTAACAATGCCAATTCTTTAAAAATATTTTTTTGTTTTCGATTTGAAATCTGGTAAACGCTAACAAATGACATTTGATATGACATGTCGAATGTCAATGTCTTGGTCTATGATTTTTACAATTTTTGAAGCTGGTCGTAGGTTGCCTGTCCTAATATAATTCTGATCTTAAATGTTTGTCTATGGATTATCTTTTTGTCGACCGGTATTATCTTTGTACAATGTACATGTATATTATCGATATGGTGATCGTAAGGACGATATAATAATTATGATACAAGCTTTATTCCCATAGTCTATTTTTGTATGATGCTATGTAGCTTTCCCAGTATATATCTATACTCTTTGTAGCTTCCTCTACAATTGGTCAATCAAATGTAAAAAATACGGCTGGTATTCATAGTTCCAGAAATTAGCGTATTCAGATAAAAAAAACAAACAAACTCTTCATCGGTTTTTTATAAATATATACATATATAGTGAGCTTGAAAAAATTTAGATAACTCACGGCTAAGTGTGGAAGCCGCGTTATAAAAATATTATTATAAGGCTTAATGAAAATATACATAACGTAAATGGTAGCACTGGGTCTGGGTATTGTCAGAAAGGTCAAATTTGAAATTTCAAAATATACAAAACTATCAGAAAACTTAAATCAAGTTATAATTATAATAAACAGTCAATGATTGTAACTTTTTTACCTTAATAATGAATTTTGACTTTAAAATATTTAATTCAGCAGAACTATGGCAGGTTTGTAAATTTTAACAGTTTATATAATACAGTTTTTTTAAGTAAACAAAGTTGGAAAGTTTTACCAAACAAGGGTGACGGACGAATTTATTTTTTGTAGATAGAAACAAGCTTACCTTCCATACCGACTTTTAGTCAGAATCTTGATAAAGTTCTTGGCAATGATGGAATACAACTAGGCTCTCTAACAGAGTTATTGGGCTTACCGGGATCAGGAAAAACTCAATTGTGGTTTGTTAAACATTAATTTCACATAAGGAAAAGAAATACATATTTTATGTATATCATTCATTCTTAAAGAACAATTTTCTTTGTTAAACTGATTATTAGATAATTTTAGAAATTATCATGACAAAACTACATTATTTTCATTTAGTTTACAGCTATGTGCATCAGTTCAAGTACCTAAATCCTTAGGAGGACTTTACTCAGAAGCACTTTATATTGATACCAATACAAACTTTACACTGCATAGATTCAAAGGTAGGTTCAAAAGATTTTGTATATATTATTTAAAATTATCTTATAAAATGATTAATCTTTACTCTATTTATACATTATACTACTACACTACTACATTATACATATATATTAGGTAAGAAATTTCCATTTCTGAATGTTTTATTACTCATTGACAGTAGGTTGTAGTCTAGCAAGTTCAAAAAATATATCTCTTAATGGCATTCTTTGCATGCTCTGAAGTCAATGTATTGCAAATAGTTCTACAAATACAAAAATGAACTATATCATATACCTATCTAATATTTATATTTTTGCAGTTTTTTACAATTTTTTTTATTTTAGAAATACTGTATTCAAGTTTAGAAAAATGTCAAAGGATACTGGGTACTCAAATATCAATCTCTGAAGAAGAAGTATTAAAGAAGCTTCATTATATAAAAGCAATAGGAATCGAGAAATTTTGTGCTTGCATGTATCAACTAAAAGACTTTCTTTCAGATAAGCCAAATGTAATTATTATACTACTACATTTTTTTTTAAATAATAGTATCTTATATCTTTAAATGAGCAATTCTTGTATATATATATATAATCTGAATCTCGGAAACGGCTCCAATGATTTTCATGAAATTTAGTATACAAGGGATTTCGGTGGCGATAAATCGATCTAGATTAGTCTTATGTCTGAGAAAACGCGTGTTTTCGAGTTTTCATGCAGTTTTCTTTTGAATTATTCCATGCAAAATATGGTTGTTTATTTGCTCATTTGCTTTGTCTGGTGTAAGTATCATGGTCAAGTGGCCAAATTGCGAGATCAACAATCACAGGTGTCCAGGTTCGAATCTTGGTCGCATACAAAGTTTTTACTTTGTTTCTTTTTTTATATTTATTGAAGTTTTTAGTTTAAAAAACAAAGAAAACTTTAGGCCAAAAACTCAGAGTGAAGCTCGGTAGCCCAGGTACAGATATTAAAGGAAATGAGACTACATATCCATGATATATTATTATGACTTAACACTTTTGTGACTGTACATATATTTTTTTTATAATATTATAATATAATATGTAAATTATAACACTTATTCATTATGTTGGAATAAACTATAATTTCTTCTTCTTTAAAATATTAATTTTGCAGATAAAACTCATTGTTATTGATTCCATAGCTTTTCCATTTAAAGATGGAATATCTTTAAAACAAAGAACAGGCTTGCTATTCAGAATGATGGCAGATTTGCAAAAATTATCAATTGAAAAACGAATTGCTGTAAGTCCATTTTGACTATTTAGCGTGCCCGAATAAAATTATATGAGCGAGAAAATGCCTGCTGTTTTTCTTCTCTATCTTCCACCTGTTATGCGCAATGTGTAAAATATGATGTCATGTTACATTTACACTCTACATACTTCTGTGACGTCGCTCTGTATTTCTTTGCCGTAATTAGCAAGTTGTAATCATATTGGAAATCGATTAGCACATGAAATCTAAGATGTGGGAAATTCGGATTTGAACCCACTACACTTGTAATTTCAAGCGAGCACATTATCAATTGGTTACTGTTACTTTAAATCTTATAAGGCTATTTTAAAATGCACACTATTTTAATCATCCGACTGCTGGCAAGCCCAAAGGAGGGTCATCTATTTTTTTATTTTTAAAATTAAACACTTTTTAGGTAGTATTAACAAACGAAATGACTACAAGAATAGGCTTATCTTCTGGATCGATAGTGGGGTCGCTCGGGGACGCTTGGGCACATCGTTGCAATAAACGGTTATTATTAACCGCGCCAAAACCATTGGAAAATATACGACTTGCTTTACTATTAAAAAGTAATAATGCGCCTGAATCAGTAGGGAAGTTTCAGGTACGTACACATTTTTCTTATTTTTCTGAAATTTTTATCTATACTTTAGGGATATCGGTAATTTTTCCATTCAGTAACATGCCTGATATTTAGCTATAAGATATATTTTAAAAACCGGCCACGTGCGAGTCGGACTCGCGCACAAACGGTTCCGTGCCATTATCTATAAAAACGCCAAAAAAAATCACGTTTATTGTATGGGAAAAGCAGGCGCTTTAAATATTTGTTTTATTTTAATTTAATTATTTATTTTTAAATTGAATATACATATAACTAGATACTCTGAGAATATTTCAAGCGTCTACCTGTTGCCGTTATAAATATAGAGCAAAAAATTCACGTTTGTTGTATGGGAGCTCCCTTAAATATTTATTCTTTTCTATATTCGTATATCGTATTTGTTGTTATAGCAGCAACAGAAATACATCATCTGTGAAAATTTCAACTGTCTATACTATCACGGTTCATGAGATACAGCCCGGTGACAGAAGGATGGTCTGCGGAGGCTTAGTAATAGGGTCCCGTTTTACTCTTTGGGTACGAAGCCCTAAATGTGATCAAAAGTGTCTGTTTTTTTTCATCAGTTTCTCAGATCTGAGGAAATTTCTTTCTATATCTGAAATAACTTAAGTAAAGGAAATATTTCATGATTTTTTCATTAGATTTTTATAAATAAGACAAGAATTTTAGTAGTCCACTTTTGGCAGTTCTTGTCAAATGTTTTTGACATTTAACGAAAAAAAGTAAGGCAAATTTTGACACTTCACAGACAGACATTCTACCCAGTGGCTTAATTTAATCGCAGGTTCGATTTCCGCTCGGAAGTCTGGACAAGTATTTATGATAACCATAAGTGTATACTTTGACTCTTCAGTAAACTTATCTGTCCGTTATCTAGTCGATTAGTAAAATTATTTACGCCTAGTAGGTTAACTATAACGGTCCACCATCAATCATCATCATCCATCAATCTACATCCTATATATGTATGCGTTTTGCTTGCCTTGACTGATCAACGTCTTAAACAAACTGCTGGGCCTAGAGAGCTGATATGCTTAATAATTGTCTTAAAGATGTTTGAAACAAAACAGACATAAAAATATTTTTTTGAATTTTTTTCTTTCTATTTGCGATCGTGAATTATTCGGCAATTGTTCGTTGAATAGAACTTTTACAATCGTTTTCAATTCATCTTATTCAATCGTTATTTACCACTTGACAATAATAATCTGAATTAAGAACAGCTCCAGTTCATTTCAATCAATCGGTCGAGTACATTTGAGGTCTTTATACTCGCCCCTAAATATCTAAAGCGAGGCATATGAAATGTTTTAGTTCTGAAATAAATGAAAATAAACAAACAAAATTTTTGACAATTAATTTTTTTCTTGAACTAAAAATATAAATGCACTTTTACATAAATATTATAATGGATAAGTTGTGTTTATCAATATAATATAAATATAGGAATGGTTTGACGACACATTTGGCTCAGTTTGAAGTACTTGATGTGTGAGCGGTCGCAGGTTCGAATCCCGCTGGGGTCATTCGTGTGATAAACACAAACGTTTGTACTCATAATGGATGTTTATATATTTTATAATGTGTACGTATTTAAAGTTTTATATGTGTAGTGTATCAATTATCTAAGTATCCATAAGAAGCCTCGTAGCTTACCATGGAACTATATGGTGCTGTGTATTAATGTCCCAAAATATTTATTTTATAATATTTATATAGTAATATTTTTCCTTGATATTTTAATGTTAGGCTTCCGATATGGGCAATGGGCATGTGATGATGGATAAATGCCAACGTATGACTTGTAGAACAAGTGATAACATTATCGCTTGAAACATTGCCAAAATTTTTAATCAATAAATCTTCATAACCATGACGTCCTCCATGTACTTCAGTATGTATAGATTTTAATATGTAAACTTATTTTTAACATTAATAAAAATAATATGACCTTCGATTTTCAGATAACACATGAGGGTATACGGGATGTTAATTAAAACAGAATTTAGAACATACATAGTTTTATTAATAATGTATTTTAATTATATATAATAATACATCGTAAACAAAACTACAGCACCAATAAATATCTCATTTTCACAAAAATATCAAGCTTTTATTTCTACAACAGTTCAACAATTTATAATAGGCAGTTTTATATCGGAACTTCTGTGTTTTAAACTTAAACATTCGAACATTTTTGAGGTCTTAATACGCGTTTTCTTAAGAAACAAGAGTGAGTAACACCCGTTTGTAGTCTCCTTTCGTATCATCCTGCAAAATATTACATTTATTTCTTTTATAGAACTCTATTTTCACATGCATTGCTTAAAATAGTTATATAAAAATAATTCATATATGCAAAAAAAAAATATAGTTTATTTTGCAGGATTAAGCACTTAGTGTGACTAGCACATTCCTGAAGTCACCATCTAGGTCTTCCTGTAAAGATATTGAAAACCAACACTGTAGGTAGCATCAAAATAAATTAGAAACTGGCCCATAATTTCTATTGACACATCACACTGCGTGCAAAAAATAGCATGATATTACAAATCACACGAGCTTTATTATAAACTTAAGATTAAACGCTTCAAAATGCAACAGTAAGTAAATTGTACCAATAATTATTTGTATACTTTTAATATAATATATTAGCACACCACAGACTATATTATATGGTAGTGGCGCCAATTTGTCTTTATATAATCTGTATCCTTAGTAACACATTGCAGATAGGAGATGACCAAGTGAACCGTTTATCTCCTCCTGAAAAATGGCAATAACTACTTGTAAAAAGCATTCACACTCATCATCGGCGATTACGAATAAATGACAAAATATATTTGTGACAATTAATCGATTATTTTAAAATCGAATCGATTTCTCCAATACGATAATAATTAATATTATTCATAATCGCCCGATTTATACTCTCACTGGTACCAGGCACCATGCTCAACAATAAGCAGTTAGCTACTGTGCAAAGAAAGTTACATGACAATGATAAAAATAAGCATAATATACAGATCTTTTGTAAACAAAATGTACACCCGGCATAGATAACCTAAGAAATGGCACTGAAGACAAAATATAGTCCAGGTGACAGTTGATAAATTGTGACTGCTGTGCACAATAAAAAGAAAGTTACATGACAATGAAGGTCAGGAAGTATTGAATGGCTATTGTCACCTGGACTATAGGTTATGTAATTTGTGATGATGGACATGGATGTTAAACACCCAATTTTGTATTCAGTGCTCATAAACACCTAACCTTAAGAACCTAACAATTGACAAAAAGAATTTAAAATATTAAATCTAGTTGAACTCATTCGTTGTTCTCACTCCTGACCACATTTTATTCAACAAGTGTCAGTAAAGCCTTCTTGTAATCTCCGGAAGTGTCGCCCTGTAATGAAAATATTTTACTATTCTGAACTCTGAAACATTTTATTTATTTGACTTTTCGAAAAACTAACTCAAAATATATACATATTTTTTATATTACTTGTTATGTACAATAGAACAATTTAAACAATCCGTTATAACAAATATTAATTTGAAACAATCGGTATGGACACAATTAAACATGATAACAGCTATAAAAATAATGATTTCGTGTACATAGATATGACCTACCAATTAAATTTATACATAATTAAATTAATGGGATTCAAATATTGAATACATAAACAGATCTGTATATAAATTAAAAAAAAGAAAAATGGCGAAGTCGTTATATAGAAGAGAATATTTTGATTTGCATTTGTATAACATGTATTTTCATGCTGTTTTTATTATAAAGCATATTGTTATAATATATATTTTTTAACATCATAGAAAGTATGGGTCAGCATCTTAGAAATATTCTATTTATTTTTATCTTAGGTTTTCCATGCGATTAATAACAAAAACGTTTATAGTGAGGTTAGTATACCACATTTACTAAATTACTTTACGATGATTTCGGTTGTCAGTGTTATGCGTTATTAATGATGCCACATAATAAAAAAAAAGCCAATTTGCCGTGATGATACGTTCGAATTTTCTGCTCAACCACAGCGATTATTATTTTTTTATTTATCCCATTCCAAAATGACAAATGTAACAGATTACACATCCTTTCAACCATTGTATTATACCACCACATTAAATGGATTAAAAATAGTTAACTGGCTGAGCAACTAATTCTGCAATGATCTCCTATGGAATTTGCATATTAAATACCGTGTATATAGCCCTCTAGCAGTTAAGTTACTGCATATATTAGGCACAAAATACTTACAGCAATCCAGTCTTCTAGAGGTTTGCCGTATTTCTCCAAGAATGCTTGTTTAATATCTCCAAGATCAATCTCAGAGCGGCTGACTACGATTCTGATTAAAGTCTTGTCATTAGTTCCCAAACCCTTCATCGAGTAGTACAGGCGTTCCGCGAAGAATCCGACTTTGCTCTTAACGCATTTTACTAAAAAAAATGATATTTTAATCTATACATATAATAAAATTCTGAGTCGAATCTGCACATTGAATATTTTTTGGAAAATCTTATTGAAATAGTAATTATTAGTATTCAATACAGAGGCCAAATCTATAGTTTCTCGAATTTTTGTCTGTCTATTTGTCTAGGAACGCATCACGAGAAAACCACTGGACAGATTTGGATAAAATTCGGTATAATGATAGCTGGTTATCCGTGTCAATGTTTAGGATATTTTTTACATTGCGGGAAAATATCTCATCTCTGAGAAATCTATGCTAACCGTTAAAACGTAGGGATGAACACGAGCGCTGAGTCGCTAGTATATTATAATAGGGTGCTTTGATATTCTCTTTTAAATTTTAATAGACTTTAATATTATCTTTTAAATGCCTTGTAAGTTGGATAATGTATCTACATAGGTATATAGTTTTTATTAGACTTTGTACATTAGTCACTAGTGACTCAAATTCTCAACTACATTAATATTTTTTTGCTCTAAATACTTATGTGTTTGCATCGGTTTGGGAATAACGAACCTATAATATTTCGGAGAATAACTTCATTTTAGAGTTAATTTGATTTGTCATTTTACGCATAACTTTAAATGCCAAATACGTTAACCTAAAAACTAATTCTCTAAAGTGTCTTGTGTAATCCGGATTCATTGTTATAATCAAGAAAATCTAAGTAGGTACTTTATCTGTGAGTCAGAACAAGGTCGGAGTCAACTTCCTCTAGTTACATTAGACCTTGACAGCACGTCACTATTCACTAATGATTCAACCTCGATCTATTCTATTCGTTTCCAGAAACAAAAACCAAAACATTGTACTTGTATTCCTAAATTTAATATAAAATTAAATTATTCATATTTATATAACGACCACAATTATGACAACTTTCGTTAACAACGTAAATGTCGATCACGTACTCTTGTTACTATCTAAAAAAATATATTTTTCTAATAACCATGTTCGATGTTCCGAATCTATACTAACATTATAAAGAGGTAAAGTTTGTGAGGTTGTAGGGGATAATCTCTGGATATACTGGACCGTTTTAGATGAAATTTGATAAGAAGATAGTTTGAGACCTTGAGAAGAATATAGGATACTTTTTATCCCGGAAATCATCCTTTAAGGGGGGTGAAAATGGAGATAAAAGTTTGTATGGGGAATCAAGCTAGGGAGGAACCCGAGTGAAGCGAGGGTGGGTCGCTAGTAATATATAATTTATGTAATTACTTATCACACTAGCGATTTATCGTAGCTTCGCCCGCTTTTAGGAACATAACAGTAGCCTATGTGTTACTTAAGGCTAAGTCTATCTGCGTACTAAAATTTCATCCAAATACGTCCAACCGTTTAGGTCTAGCAGTAACAAACATACACACTTTTGAAGTGAAAACTTCTATAGGCAGGTTTGAATGGGGAGTAAATTCATGAAAGTCGTCATCGACATGGTCACGTGACGTGTTAACGCTAACACTCAGAGAGCCGATAGATGTCAAAACCAGATAAATGTGAACAGTTATAATTTACAAATTTTAATTTAAGATCACAATTTGTATATCCAAAAATAACAACTATTTTTTTTGTAGTTTTAAGTTTTCATTTCTGTCGGCAGTCCTCAAGACTGCTTTTTATATATATATATCACAAAAAAAAAATATATTTTTTTTGTGAATTCTATATACATAGTATTTATGTGAGAAATTATACAAATCTTCACTTTCTTTCTTTACATTTGACTTACCAATAGCAAGCATGCCCTTTTCAACGCTTCCAGAGAATTCCTTCTTAATTGATTCTTCAATATCTTTACCAGTTAACGCCTCAAATTCAGCGAAGATCTGAAACCATAAATGTGCAGTGACGTCTTTAAATTGTATTAAATATGCATATTTCATGTCGTTCGTGTCTGAGGCCTTAATTAAATTTTTATGCATAAACGAGTGCCGCTCTGACTCATGGCGATAAGGCTTGTTCTACATTGCGTTGGGGTCTATTCAAATATGTTAGTACGTGATTATTACGTTATTGTGTGATAACTTTAGTACTCATTCAAGGGCATTGTGTATAAAAAACAATTAAACTTAATGACTTTTATATTTTTATATGTACTCGCTAATTAAAGGGGCGAGGTAAGTAATCTATCGTGTAAAGCTAACATATAAAAACTATACTTTAAAAATCAATACCCATGTTTTAGTTGAGGCGAAACGGTGACCTACTTTCAGTCAATTTAAAAGAGTGAATGTTTTGAACATAGATTCAATCGAATTTATAATGCTTTGGTTTAACTCGTTAGTCTTTACTATTAAAGTTAGTATAATACTTATAAAAAAAAGATTTTCTGGCTTATAGTACTCTGGTACAGGAAAATATGATTTAATACAATTACACAGGAAATACTCGTAAAAATATTGTTCCAAAAAGAGGAAAATATGTAAGTACCATTAAGAATCTGCCTTTATCCTTAAGTGGTGTAATAATAGGATATTACTCAGAAATGTATCTGGCATCCGACCATAATATATCCGCACTATTATAATGCAATCTATTCATTATTGTAAAAGCATTGATGATGTAGCACTAAATGATATGTCTATGAATAGTAATCCAAGTTATATTTAGTGTTGCTATTATTTTGTATTGTTTGTACTTTTCAAACATTCGGTTTAGAGACGAAGGCACTGGCAACCTTACAATGCTAACAGCCTATATCATATATTTCTTAGAAAACTATACTCCCATTTCTATCACTGTACGCTAGTTATTAAAAATGAGAGACAAAATATATTTTAAAACTATTACCTGTCTCAACTGTTGGTACGAGCGTGTGATAAGGATGGAATTGAATACAGATTCATCTGTTCCCCACTGTCCTTCCCCAGCTGCTGCCAGAGCCTCAGCATCAGCTTTGGCTGCTCCTTCATCCACACCAGAGTTTTCATCTCGGTTGGCCATACATAATGACACGCAGAGACGCTTGAAGTGACCTGATGTGTCACCTTTTAGATCGGATTCCAAGCTCTTGCCGTATACTGTACGGATAAAAAACCGAAAAAAAATGTGATTACACTGCAAACAGGCTATGTAAAAAACATTTTTTAATAAAAATGTTATGTACATAAAAATACAAAAGTAAATAAGCATTCTGAAATATCTCTTAATAATTTCGATGTGACATCAACTTCTGTTAAAGAACACCGAAAATTGTTTTATTGTATGCTAATAATAGGTGAGTAACAATCATTACATTAATATTATACAGGACCATACCATATTATATATTTGTTAACCGACTTTCTATAAGTAATCTTCGTATATTGTATGTACTCGTATATAACTGCTTCGGTGGTGTAGTGGCTAGCATGTACGGCTGCACACTCAAAGGTCCTAGGTTCGAGTCCCGGGTCGGGCCAAGTTTAGTTTTTGAGTCTTTCTGTATAGTAAGCCTCAGTAACAGCCCGGAGTTGGTAAGTTGGCGGTATTTCACCCCCGTGCCTCGGAGAGCACGTAAAGCCGTCGGTCCTGCGGCTTAACTCTCACTGGTCGTGTCGAGTGGTCGTCCCACCGGAGTATGAGAGTGACAGGAATAGAGAGTGCACGTTGTGTCTGCGCGTACACTTGTGCACTAAAATATCTCCTGCGCAGTTGGCTAGTCTCAATGAGATTGGCCGCCGTGGCCGGAATCGGTCAGGAGAACATCATCATCATCATGTATACATTTTCTTTTTATATAAAATTGAATAAATATATCGTGTTCATTAAAAAAAAAAACATTTTTTAGTACAGAATCGCCTTAACAAACTTGAATCATTGTTTGCCTAATGACCTGGCAAACAAATATGACTTTCTCATTGAAACTATGAATGCTAATGGAATATGACGTACTTTGCATGACCTAATAACTCATGGCCAAGATATGAATAAAAGAGCATGAATTTACTATAACATATTGTTCGCAGAATGTAAGTGTTCGTGCAGTAGAAGTGGATTGTATTAGAAAAAATTATATTTGGTCTAAAGAACGTTTATTTTATTATTTAACTATTACAAAATTAATTGTACATATTTTACTCACAGGAGACAGACCACAGATTAAACAAAAAAAAAACTTTTTTATAAAATTGAATGTTGCCTTATTTTAACACACCCCCTCAACAATCAATTTTTTTTTTTTTTTTTTTTTTTTTTTTTATTATATTATATTTTTTTTTTTTTTTTTTTTTTTTTCCTCATGTCACCCCCTTAATAATTACAGTTAAGAAACTTAATTTAATTATACACTCCCTAAACTTCTCAAAACATTGCTTGCCTAATGGCTTTGTAAACATGTCTGCGACATTCTCATTTGTATTGACATATGTAACATTAACTTCACCATTACAAACTTTTTCCATTATATAATGATATTTTATATCAACATGTTTTAACCTTTTATTACTGTCACTAGATGATGAAATTTTTATTACACTTAAGTTATCTTCTAAAATATTTATATTACTGTTATATCCAAAATCAATTAATAATTGCTTAAGCCAGCAGCCTTCAGTTATAGCTAAACACAATGCAATATATTCGGCTTCACAAGACGACAACAATATACATTGTTGTTTTTTTGTACCCCATGAAATAGGACAATTAAATATATAGTATATAAATCCAGAAGTTGACTTTCTATCGGCTATGTCCCCAGCCCAGTCTGCATCACTATAGCCTTGTAATGTTACATTGTTATTATTATACTTATACACTAATGACAAAGAAATAGTACCTCTTATATATCTCATAACTCTCTTTAAACACTTATATAACGCCATACTTGCACAGTTTAAATATCTACTAAGAAATCCTATTGCTAATGATAAATCAGGTCTTGTACAACATCCCCCCCAACGTGCGTTCACCTTGTCGTGGTGGGGGGGCTCAGTAGTAGTAGCGAAGCTAAGAAACGCACAGGGAGGTTGCCCACTTCGGTGGGCGTTGGGAGGTGGCCCTCTTCGGGGGGCGGTGTACCTTGCGGGTTGCTCCTGGTACTTCTCTGATAGCAGAGTGGACCTTGGAGCAACCCCATGGTTGTGGTAGTCTGCCTCGGCAGACCTGCCGTCGGGGCGTCGTAGTTGAATGCGTAAGCGATCCTGCGACGCCCCATTAAGACGGGGGAAGGTTTTGTTGGGTTTTAGTGGGTAGTACTGGCTGTATTACGCCGGTGAGTCCCACACGTCGTGCGTAAATGCATTTCCCAACGTTAAAAAAAAAAAAAAAAAAAAAAGGTCTTGTACAACATGCATATAATAAACTACCTAATATACTTCTACAATTACTTTCAATTTCTTTGCTTTCTGGTTTATCTCTCTTTAACACTTCAAAATTAAAATTTTGTTCTAGTGGTGTAGACACTGTTTTACATTTATACATATTGTACTTAATTAATAATGATTTAAGATATTTTTCTTGGTTTATTACTGTAACAAAATTTTTTGTGTCTTGTTTTATACTTATACCTAAATATTCGTTTGCTATTCCTAAATCTTTCATATTAAACTTATTACATAATGAATTTTTAAATGTTTTTATCTCTATATCATCGTTTCCAAAATAAATTAAATCGTCTACATATAACAATAAGTATATAAACTTGTCATTTTGCTTTCTAAAATATAAACATGGGTCATTTTTGGATCTAATAAAATTTTCTTGTAACATGAAATTATTAAATTTTTCATTCCAATAACGGGGCGATTTCTTTAAACCATACAAAGATTTTTTAAGTTTTACTATTTTATCATTATGAAGTTTCATATATACCTTTTCTTTAATTTCACCATGTTGGAAGGCTCCTACAACATCCATCTGGAATACAGGTAACCTCTTTTGTACTGCTACTGCCATCATAGTTCTGAAAGTTGTTAAAGTTGCTACGGGTGTATATGTATTGTTGTCGCAGTTCTTCTGTTCAAAACCTCTTGCCACTAGCCTGGCCTTGTATAATTTGTTGCCATCTATTTCTTTTATTTTAAAAACCCATTTGCTACTAATTACATCTTCCTCTTTAGGTATATTTTTCACCTCTTCCCAGGTTTCATTTTCTTCCAGTTGTATCATTTCCTTTTCTATGGCCTCAGCCCATTTTGTTTTTTCAGGACTAGCCATTGCGTCTTCATAAGATATTGGCTGTTCGCCTAGACAAAAAAGGCTTGTGTCATAATCTTTCATCCATTTCGGTTGTTGTCTTTTCCTTTTTTGTATTTGATCTTTAGTGTTATCTTCTACCTCAGGTAAGATATTATTTCCTGTTTCAGGTGAATTTATTTTATCTGTTTCTGGTATTTCATATAGTTCACACTCTGTATTTTCTTCTTCTGTTTCAGATTGGATTGAACATTCTTCATAGAATGAGTTGATATTACCATCCTCCTGTTCGTCTTCTTCGGGGTTATATATTGGTAAGTCTTCTTTTTCTTCATATATTTCTTTATTTTTATTATTATGTGTCTGATACTTACTTTTAATTACTACAATTTCTCTTTTTAATTCTACATCATTTTTCTTTGGTAAGTATACTCTATATCCTTTGCTTGTTTCTCCATAACCAACAAATTTACCAAACTCTGATTTGTAATCCCATTTTAATCTCTTTTGATCAGGTATATGAACTGCCACGTCTACTCCAAAACTATACAGGTTAGTTATATTATATTTTGATGTTTTATACCATAATTCATAAGGAGTTTTGTCTTTTATCCTACTTTTTCCTGTTCGATTCAATACATATGTTGCACTATTTACTGCTTCTGCCCAAAGTTCTTTTCCAAGACGACTTTCTGCTAACATAGACCTAGCAGATTCCACAATTGTGCGTATCTCACGTTCTGCACAACCATTTTGTTCTTGGAGATATGGAATACTTTTCTCATGTCTTATACCTTTAGAATCTAATAACTTTTCTACAATTTTATTAACAAATTCTTTCCCATTGTCACTTCGCATAATTTTAATATTGTGGCCTGTTATATTTTTACTCTCACTTATATAGTTCCTAATATGTTCTGCTGTTTCATTTTTATTTTGTAGAAAATAAATTTTTCTATATTTTGAGTAGTCATCAATTAGTAAAAGGAAATATTTTGCACCTCCCAGTGACTCACACTCCATTGGTCCACATATGTCCATGTGTATTAAATCTCCTGGTTTTTCACCTCTTGTGTTACTTTTATTAAATGGTAGCTTATGTTGTTTGCCTTGTAAACATGATGTGCATATCTCTGAATCACCTTCTTTATACTCAATATTGTTTTGTTTCAGAATGGTCTTCACATGCTCAATATTCTGGTGACCTAACTTTGAATGCCACTCAGCGAGTCCACTATTTGATTGACCAACCATAGCAATATCTGATTCATATTTAAAATTCATTAAAAACATTTTACCTTTTCTGTATGCAACTGCTTTAATTAAATTATCTTTTACAAAAGTGCATGTCTTTTGATCACACCTCATTTTATAACCTTTATCCATTGCTGCCGTAGATGAAAACAGATTTACTTTTATTTCTGGTACAAATAAAACATTGTATAAGGTTGTAGGTATCCACTGTTTTCCATCGTAAGCGCTTAAGTGTATTTCACCTTGACCAAGAGCTTTAATGATTGAACCATCACCAATCATGATATCTTTTGGCGCTGATAAAGTTTTAAAGTTTACAAACATATTTTTATTCTTGCACATATGTTCTGAGGCACCACTGTCTAACACCCAAAATGTTTTTTGAAAATTGTTTACACAGGAAAACATTATTGCTGATGTAATGAATGCATTTGTATTACCTTTTACATTGTCACCTTTTTGGTAAGAATTCTTTTTATTTCTAAACCAACAGTCTTTTTCTTTATGATTGAACTTTTTACATATTTTACACTGTTTATAATTTTTACCACTGTTAAAATTGTTCATGTTTTTCGTACAGTCTTTTTTATAATGTCCAACTTGTTGACATTTAAAACATTTTCTTTCACTGTTTCTTGATTGTGTAGATAAAGCCATTTTCTCCTCATAATCATTGTTACGTTGCTCTTCTAGCATCAGTCTGGATATTAATTCAGATAATTTTCTGTCTGCCATAGGAACTGAATCCCAAGCTGAAATGAAATGTCTAAAATTTTCTGGCAAAGAACTAATAATTTTAGTGATGAGCATAGATTCGGGTATATTTCCACCTGCTTGATTTATTCTGTTTGCCAATTCTTCTAACTTTGCTATATATAATGATATTTCCTCGTTTTTAATATATTGGCTTTCAAAAAATTTTTGTTGCAATATGTGTAATGACGTCTCTGATTTTGATTCATATATTGAACACAATTTTTCCCATATTTGTTGAGCAGTCTCACAGTTTGACACTTGTAAAATATTTTTATTGTTCAGTCTTGTTACAATTATAGATTGTGCCTTTGCGTCACGTGTCTGCCATTTTTTATCTTTTCCATCATTTAAATCGGATCCGTTTACAACTCCAAATATTCCTTGTGCTTTTAATATGACACGAATTTGAAACTTCCAAGACATCCAGTTCGATAATCCTTCCAATATCAATGAATTTTGGTTTTCCGAAGTAACCTCCATTTTATCTATTATGCCGTTTACCCGGCCCGTTCTTTTTCCGACCACGCTTTACCGCGATATTAAATCTAAAACAATCCAGTATTCTGGGCCCATAACCTGTTCGCAGAATGTAAGTGTTCGTGCAGTAGAAGTGGATTGTATTAGAAAAAATTATATTTGGTCTAAAGAACGTTTATTTTATTATTTAACTATTACAAAATTAATTGTACATATTTTACTCACAGGAGACAGACCACAGATTAAACAAAAAAAAAACTTTTTTATAAAATTGAATGTTGCCTTATTTTAACACATATCAACATTTAACATTTGTAATTGAAATAAATACCTCTACCAAAGAGAAAGCGTAAACTTTTACATCTCACGTATCAGTGCTACAAAGTTTCATTTGAATAGAATATTGTCACGTATTTAGATTACAAATGATTGAGCCTTAAAAAATCACATCACGTAGACTATTATTTAATTTTAAGAATATTGAATGTTTGAAGTTATTCCCTTAAATTTATAGATTAGAATTTAGAAAATAATAACTTCCTAAAAGTTAGGAAACCTAGGAAAATTAAATAATTAATGATTACTAGCGATCTAATCTCACTTCATCCAGTCACCAACATATGTTAAAATTACTCTTTCAAACACAATGTATATCATATAACATATACGAGTTTTTATAGTATTTATATCGTAGATTTTCGTATGTACCTATAACCACACCTTACGGCAAGCCCTCATGGACGGGGATAATAACTGCCCTATATCTTGTCATAAGGCTCGCGTGACAAGGCCAAATAAAATGACCATGTTTACTAATATAAAAGAAACGCATTTCCACATTTATAATATTAGTAAGATGAGAATAATAAAAATAAAATGTTAATTTATAACAGTATAGAGTATACACAAAATTACATATTATGTATAATGTACCATATACATACTATATATGTTATAAGTTTAGTCTCGACTGTGTATAATAATAGCTATATCAATATTGTTTTATGCACTATGACTAGAGAATAAATAATGCAACGCGCTGTGCATTTTATCGATATATAGCGTGCTGTTCACCGTTCAATTTAAAATACCGCTTGCAATTTTCCGGAAATGTATATTTTAATGGAAAAAAATTAAATCGTAAATTAAAATGAATATATATATATATACATACATATATATATATATACATACATATATATATACATATATATATATACATACATATATATATTATCTTTTTTATTTCTAGAGCTCTAAAGTAAAATCAACGAATGACGCAACTTACATTTTATTTTCTATCTTTTCCAATATTTTATTTTACCTTATATGCTTTATTTTATTTGAATATTTAAATGGTATATATATATAATATTTATTAGTAGCGCAGTTTTTACATAATATACCTACACGTTAAGAGGTAAGCGGAAGAAAATAATACTTTAAAAAAATTCTACCCCAATATAAATGAAAAAATCATAAAAATATTTTATATAGACCTGAACTATATACTATATGTACGAGTATGATAATTAATATAACTTACATTGCTCATAGAAAGCTGAGATAGTGCGGATTCCGTAGTTAGACAGAGTGCAAAGGATTTCGATGATGGCTTCTTCATCAGTGCCCATCCCGGCAACAGCGTCGTGCAATTCCTTTGCGTAGAAGTGAGGCAACGGGGTCATTAGAGCCACGATCACATTCTCTAAGTTACCGCTGAGTTCGCTCTTCAGTTCACTGATAAGGTCCTATAAAGAAAAAAATATTATAGATTTTATGACACATACATAAATATTTACAGATTTTTATTAAAACATAAGTTTCTGGTTTTAGAACCGAACGATGGAGTCGATGAAAGTTAGGTAATTTTTCAATCTTCATCATGGGAAAAACAAGTTAAAATTTTTAAACTCATAAGTTCTGGGTTTTACCTTTCAACAAAACTACTCAGTTACTGTAGCTATTTATAGGCTATAACTCGATGTTACGATAACATCTATATTTAGTCTTCTTTGAAACCGCATGTTGGGAGTAGTTTATGGTGATTGAATAAGTTCAAAGAATCTCATTCAGTAAACGTTTTAATAAATTAGATTAATGTAGCCATACTAAAATAAAAATAATATAAATATTTTAATTAAGTGTGTACCTACTAATAATTATGTGTGCATTATTATTAATAATGGCAATATAATTCACTACTTAATGATACACATTTATTTTATTAGCTTTCGACATTCAATGTAACCCAACACCACTCATTGGGCTGAGTAGTCGTTGATGTAACCCAATAAATGGAACATGTTGCCTGTGTATACCTTGTTATTCATTTTCTCAGTTTGTACTGTTTATACTTTAGGTCCTACGGATATTTATGATTATTCTTATATATTTTCTTATCGTTTCTCTGCACTTTCTCTTTCTGTCCCGCTACTTAACACTATTTCCCACATACATGGGTTGACTTGAAGAGATCTCTTATAGAGATAAGTCCACCTTTGTCCACGTCATTTTCTATGTATTTTTTTTATTACTTGTTTAGTGCAATAAAGAATATTTTTAAGGTTACTGTAAGTTTTATTAATTAACTAGCGACTCACCCTTGCTATGTTCGGGTTCGTCCCTTTTGATTCTTTAAATTGACATAACTTTTTAATTTATAAAACGATTGAAATAAAACAAATACTAATTGTTAAGTGAAGACTGAAGATTACCACAATATACTAATGAAAATTGCATCTAAATCGGTTAAGCCGTTTCCGAGATTAGCGCGCTCAAACGCACGAACAAACAGGTAAACAAATAAAAATTCTAAAAATCATTCTTTTGGGTTTTATTCCGTTAATAGGTTTTCTCAAATACTCAAATATCTTCTATGTACAGACAGCGATCAGTTACACTTTTATTATATGTATAGAGTAGCATTGCCCGCGGCTCCGCCCGCGTTCAGATGACTAAAACCAACTTCTTAGGTTTTATACCAAAGTTATTGTATACCAAATTTCATCAAAATCCCTCCAGTGGTTTTTCTGTGATGCGGTAACAGACAGACAGACAGACAGACAAAAATTGTAAAAACTATAGATTCGACCTCTGTACCGATAATAAAGTCTATTTCAATAAGATTTTCCAAAAAATATTCAATGTACAGATTCGGCTTAGTTACGATTTTCTTATATGTATAGATAAACTAGTCTACATACTTTTATTACCCTATGGACCTAAATGATGGCAAAATATTATACATAATATAATCTTAGTTAGCTTGCTTGCAAATATGCAAAACATTGATAAGATAAGGACTACAAACAAAATATCTTGAGGTGAGGAGGCACCGCCACCTGACCTAACATTTTCTTACAATGAAACGTTTTAATTGTTAATTATAAAGTTTCTTAATCAAGAGAAAGTAGTTAGATAAAAATAATAACTTAAAAAAAGTTATTTTTCTATTTTTTCATAATAGGTAATTCTTAGTTTATTTAGAGACTTTTTGCGTTTTTTTTCTGCTGAATTATTTTAACTTAAAATTAAGAAGACAATTTTTCAAATCCTATGACATAGGTATATATCATGACTGTAGAAATAACGAGAAAGCTTTTCTCTTAAAACTTTGAGTCGCATTTTATGATTTTGTTAACAGTACCTGTACCGTAATCACATTACATATACTTACTACTTACTACTTACTACTCGACATATACTTAGACTACTTTTTATAAAAATTACAGTATTTTGACCAAATTTTAAGTTCAAAACTGCTGAGTATTATAGAGAGGAATAAATCAACCTTCAAACAAACAATAGTATGTGTAAAATTGTAACTAAGTCGAATCTGTACTTTTTTTTTTGGAAAATTTAATTGAAATAGACATTATTATTGATCCAGAGTCAGAGTCTATAGTTTTTAGAATTTTTGTCTGTCTGTCTGTTACCGCATCACGAGAAAACTACTGGACAGATTTTGATGAGGTATGATGATAGCTGGTTATCCGGGTCAACATATAGGATACTTTTTACCGCGGGAAAATATCTCATTGCTGAGAAAAAATACAAAAACTGCAATGTAAGAGTATACTAATATGTAAAACCTAAGCTAACCTTATTTGGTTTTTGGTCATCTAAACGCGGGCGGAGCCGCGGGTAATGCTAGTAGTACATAAATATTAGGTACTTACTTTGAATCAGTGCTTAAAAATTTAAAGTAACACATTATTTTAGACCTATTTGAATGTAGGTATGTTAAAATTATTTAATGTTAAACACTTGCTTTTTAGTGCTATATTTTATTAAAATGCACTATATTATATAGATATGGCTCACCCTCGCTCCGCTCGGGTTCGTCCCTGGGGTGGGGTCTGGTAGGACCACCCTTATCCTTATCACTTAGGGGTATGAAAAATAGATAGTAGCCGATTCTCAGACCTACTGCATACGCATATAAAATTTGGTAAAAATCGGTAAAGCCGTTTCGGACGAGTACGGTAACAAACATTGTGACATGGAAATTTTATACATAAGATGGCTGCGAAAGCGCATCATTGACTCTATAATATAGAGTGATGAAAAATAAATATTTAAAAACATTACACACAAAAATACCTTTGAAAGGAAAAAAACGTAATTAACAAAATGTTTGTTTTCGATGCAACATAATGAAATGCACTTCAATGCAGTACAATAAAAAAAAATTTTTTTTAATTTTAAACTTGTTTTTCTTGCATTTTGTTTTTAGAAGAAAGTGTCTACACATCCACTCCGAGTATCTTTATTGACGGTAATAAACATGTCTTACTGCGATAAGAAATCAGTCTGTCTGAAGAACTTTCTTTATAAATAGGTTAGGACCTAAAAAAGTTATGTATAAATATTTTTTAACATTAATTAATTTTCAAGTCAACATTCCAAACATCTTTATAACTTCCGTTAATCTAATATATCCGGCATGTATTGCTATTTGCTATAATCTAGTAGTAGTTCTGCGAACAGTAGACCTCGCGAGCACAAATTGAATTTTGAGGAGTTATTCTGCTCATCGCGCCTAAGATCCAAATCAGATACTACCTTTTAAATTAACAAAAACCATCGAAGTCGGATTTCATAAGGCGGAGATATTCAGAAGCCCCCTTTTGACTCTTTTTTTGAAAGTACTCCTCCAATGAAAAATCCCCGACGACAAAAAAAAACTATAAAGTCGTTAAAGCTGTATACCAAGTTCGGATCGGTTGTAAAATACAACCTATAGAGGAGTACCAACAAACTGACAGGGGAAAGCAAATTTTGCCAGACTTGAAGCAGATACGCTTCGATCAGTCGTTTAATTATTATTAAAAGTAGAATAATTATTATATAAACCCGAGTCCTTTTTTAGGGTTCCGTACCCAAAGGGTAAAACGGGACTATTACTAAGACTCCGCTATCCGTCCGTCTACTTGTCTGTTCGTGTGTCACCACCAGGCTGTATCGCATGAACCGTGATAGTTAAACAGTTGAAATTTTCACAGATGATGTATGTCTGTTGCCGTTATAACAACAAATACTAAAAAACGAGAATAAAATAAATATTTAAGGGGGCTCCCATACAAACGTGATTTTTTTGCCGTTTTTATAGATAATGGTACGGAACCATTCGTGCACGAGTCCGACTCGCACTTGTTAAAAATTTAATAACATTTAAGTACATTAAATAATTTTCAAGAATGAAATAACTATAAATAACTTTATTTATTTCCACATTTTGTTAAATGGTATAGAAACTTTAAGTAAGCTATTGTAACATAATTATTCACAGTAACTGATACTGGATATGTTGCCTTCACAACCTTTATAGTGCTAGCTATAAGAAAGCTATTCGTTGTTGCACATGAATCATCAATTAGCGTTCATTTTACGACAATATAAGCTGAATTGTATTGTTATTAAGAAATATATTCTAGCAACTTCGACAAGATCTTCGTGATATCATCCTCGTTGAAGCCAAAGATCGCAAACAATTTTACATGCTTAGTTACCCCACGCACTTAACATTGATACTGAAATTTAAGAAGACAGATTGTGGCGAATTTGAATCTGTCTTATAGAGAAATCTTATATATTTTAATTAAATTACCTGTTCAAAATTGTCACACTGTTTACGCGATATGCAAGAACCGTGTGATAAACAGTTTAAATTATCAAAAAAAAACAAAACTATTAAATTGTAACACGCTCTTATTATCTTCACTTGATTAATTAAATCTGTGAAATCGATTTTAACCTACTTACTCCTCATTCTCGTATCGATGTGATACTTCATAAATATGTAAAATTTAGATGAGTGACAAGTATATTTTGTCCGATGATAGTCAGGTGTATTACGAGTATATTATGTACCTACTCTTAAATTGCTAATCTACTTTGGATTTAATTGGTCAGTTTTTACGAATCTTATACATTAAAATTTGTCAAAAGTGTGTTATTTTATTTTATAACTAGCATTGCCCGCGGCTTCGCCCGCGTTCAGATGACGAAAAAATAAATTCTTAGGTTTTACATATTAGTATTCTCTTACAATGCAGTTTTTGTATTTTTTCTCAGAAATGAGATCTCGCGGAAAAAAGTATCCTATATGTTGACCTGGATAACCAGCTATCATCATACCAAATTTCATCAAAATCTGTCCAGTGGTTTTCTCGTGATGCGGTAACAGACAGACAGACAGACAGACAAAAATTTTAGAACCTATAGATTCGAACTCTGACTTGAATAATGTCTATTTCAATAGATTTTCCAAAAAATATTTAATGTACAGATTCGACTTAGTAACAATTTTATTATATGTATAGGTATTATTTTTTTTTATTCTGTTTTAAAACGTACCGTGTATGTACGAATATGTTATCACCTCCAGGTAAATTTCTAAGAAATCTATTGTTAACTATAACGCCGGCATGTCCGCGGTCGTGGAGGGATTAAAATATTTTGCAAACTTTAAGTTATTACAAAATATTTTATGGTAATTAAGTATGTGGATTAAAAATATCGGTATTAATTTTTAAATTCAAAGAAATTAAGGTACAAGTAGAGAATAGTGTAGTGTGTAATTGTATTATGCTTTCAACCGCATTGCAGGCGTAAAATGTCCGGTTACGTTTAAATCGCCGAGAATCTAGGTTGTCCAGTTCGTTGACTTAGAATACTGCATTTATTATTTCTTATTTCGTCATGTATTGATAGATAAATCCATTCATTAAGTATAATCCCTAGCGCTTGTAAAGCGATATAGTATAGAAAAAAATAAAATTTTAAGTAAGAATATTCATAATAACAGGCTGATGTTTGTCATTGTAATTATCATTTAGGTGTTGATACACAACGCAACTCGTCGGCTTGTAAAAAACTAATCAGCTAAGTAATAAGAAAACTTTCCGACATGTATTCAGCCCTTTTTAGCGTCCCACCAGGGATTTGAACACGCTACACTCGGATTCCCAAGTGAGCACGTTACCACTGCCTTACGACTTGAGTTTATCGAATTAGGATGAAATATATACTAGATATTTATATGAATGAGGCTAACTTTACCAGCAATTATGGTAAGCTTTTAGGCCTTACAAGAGTTTATTATGCACTTAGCTGATTATTTTTGTGGTTCATTGTACACTATGATGTAAGCTATGAGCTTTTAATAAATTAAAAAAAAAAACAATCGGTAAAGAGGTTGTTACTTTTATATTGATTTGTATGCGGTTTTGTATCATATTAAAAAAAAAACATTATAATGTAGTCAGTCCATAAGTTTTAAAGCTACATTAGCACAAAACAGACAAAAAGCCTCAATTTTAATTCGATGTTTAAAACACGTGAAATTTATAGTTTAATAAACATATTTCTTACCTTTCCATAGTTAGTTTTGAAGGTTTCGGCAATTTCAAGACGCTGGACAATTCCGCGACGGCAAAGTACATCGATGATGGCCTTCTCGTCGGTTCCGAAACCCTTCATCGCCTTGCGAAGGGTTTCCGCATCTGCGGCGGGGTCAAAGGGCTCCGCGGGGTACACCGTGGGGGTGCACTATAGAAAAATGTATGTTTATATAAAGCTTATGTATAAAATAGGTAGGTATACACATCCTACTAATATTATAAACGCGAAAGTTTGTAAGAATGTATGTATGGACGTATTTTTGTTACTCTTTTACGCAAAAACTACTATATGGATTTTGATGAAACCTTACAATAAATATATCAGAATAACACATGACTACTTTTTAATATATATTTTTTAATAGATTTGTTTTTTTTTTCCAGAGGCGGAACCTGAGCGAAGTGAGGATGAGCCGCTAGTTTTGTTATAATTTTATGTAATATGAATTAAAAATATAAAGTATGCTAATTAGTGATTATTAGTCTTATATTCTCACACTTTAGTGTGTTACCTGTGAACTCATTCGTTTAGTGCCGGTTTTGCATTTCGGTACTTCTTTTCGGTTAAATCATAAATGTATTTCTGTTATGTAGGTGTAAGTAGATTAGTTGGATGTGTATGGTAAGGAATATATGGTATATATTAATAATTTAAGTTATATGAAGTAGGTAAAATCTTATTTTTTCCTTCTAAAGATTAGAATACATAAGAAAGCCTAGAGTCCGATCGTTTAAAAATATTTAATAGAAGCTTTTAAAGGTTTGGTAAAAAAATATATACTTATAACTACGATCCCGTATTGTATGAATTAATGATCAAACCCGAAAAAAAGTCTGTTCAAAAACTAATTAGAATCTTATACGAAATGTCATTCAAACAAAGCTCATTTTCCCCTCTAGGTATATTTAACCATAACTTATTGCTACAACCCGATAAACAACCTTGCCCCGAAAAGATGACATCATCTCGTGAGAATCGATACGATCATAGCTATGGATTGTACTAATGTAGGAGGAAACTTACCTTGTACGGGTAGTATTGCTGTCCACTCATGTTGGTTTCTAAAACAAAAAAAATAGTGGGTAATACAAAATCAAACACTGGAACGTCTCGTCTATTGCCGTAAACTAAAAATAAACTGTAATCACGCGAACCGGCTTTTGTAATTCACAAACAAAATGCCGCTACATAAAATGTAGTGTAAATTTGTAAATATGAAAATAGGCTGTAAAACTTTATTTTTTTTGTCGGTTATAACTAATTACAGTTGTCTAAACATATTTGATTAAGAAAAATTAATTAAAAATACGTACTTTCAATGTTATTTATGACACACCCAAACGCGACGAAGCGAAATCCGAAATAAACACGTCGATGGTCGAGTCGAGCGGCAAGCGAGCTCTTTCGGTCAGGTCGGACGGATTCGTGGCGTTTTTGTTTGCCTCTCACTCACTTCAACTGTATTGAGAGATGAGCAACCTTTGGAGTGCCTTTTATAATAATAAACGTAGAAATTATTCGTATACTATGAGTAATATGTACTATTAATATATTGTTAAACTCTCTTTATTATTATGATGAATTTATGTTTTAGAAACCCTTACTGTCCATGCTGCTAGTTTTATTCATTCTCAGTGTACAGTATATGTTATTATTTCTTTAATTACGGCCACCTTAATGCATTTTCTATTAATTTATATGTCACTCTTATTACATTCAGTGGAAAAACTGTATTTTAAATATTATCTTTTCTGATCAAATATTCGCGTTAATATACGAAAGTATTAAATAACTTTTATTTACAATTTGTTATCATATGTAAATTGTTAATATATTAAAATTGTTATTGTTCAGTAATCAGTATTGTAATTATAAAAATCGCATATCACAAAATCAAAAAATCCTATTTGTCCTTGTTTTTGGGAAATTAATTAAATCGCTCGCTTGGGAAACTGTGTGAAGCGGGTTCAAATTCCGGGTCTCGCACCTCTGATATTTTCATGTGCGAATCATTTCTAACATGATAACCACTTGCTTTACGGTGAAGGAAAACATCGTGAGGAAAGCCGCATGTCTGAGAGAACCCAGCAAGTTTTCGAAAGACATGTGAAGCCGCAACTTGGCCAGCATGGTGGACTATGGCCTGATCCCCCTCGTATTGAAGGGAGGCCCACCCCCAGCAGTGGGGTGTTAAAAAGGCCTGAATACATACATACAATTATTTAATTCTCTTTTGTATCTTAAATAATATTCCTTCAGAACAGTATTAAGTAGCGCAAAAGCTATAAGATCTATCTTTACTTAGGAGCTGATGAATGGAAAGTGCGAGAACTTATAATAAGCGCAAGATAAAAATAATTTAGGTACAAGTTTTTTGTTGCCCTATGCTAAAGTAAATAAAATATTAATAATAATTAATATGACTTAATTCAAATAAATTTGCGCAATAACCAAAGGTTTCGGTGATATGGCACGTACGTGCCACGTAATCACGATGATGTCACCGGCGTCGCCCCGGCCCGCGCTGAGGCCGCCGGCCGCGGGGAACTCTGTCTCGCATAGCAGGTTCATTACGATCTAAACCTAAAATATTATTCGTAAAATCTAGAAAATACAGCATCCTAATTATACGTCTTGAACTCAGCTAACGGAAGTTGAGTAAACTTTCATTGATAAAACTATAAATCCTAGGCATTTTTATTATTTATGCGTAAGAATGACCTTCGCAATGTTTATCGGAACGCAATGTACCTATGATTTGGGGTGTTTTTTTTACGTTTACATTTTTATTATCTATACATATATTAAAATTGTTACTAAGCCGAATCTGTACATTAAATATTTTTTGGAATATCTAATTGAAATAAACATTATTATCGATACAGAGGCCGAATCTATCTTTAGATTTTAGAATTTTTATCTCTCTGTCTGTCTGTTACTGCATCACAGAAAAACCACTGGAGGGATTTTGATGAAATTTGGCATGTTGATAGCTGGTTATCCGGGTCAACATATATAGGATAAGTACTTTTTACCGCGGGAAAATGTCTCATTTCTGAGAAAAAGTACAAAAACTGCAATATTAGAGTAACCTAATATGTAAAACCTAAGAATTTGGTTTTTGGGCATCTGAACGCGGGCAATACTAGTAGTACCTACATAATTTGACCTAACACTCTATAAAAGATATTGAAAGTTTATAGGCGAAGGTTAAAAAATAATAAACCCGTAAAATTCTCTATTTTTTTATTTTGTTTTGACATATATATTTCAATATCTGGTTAGGTTTTTTTATCACGTACAAGTTTTTGCGCTCTGCTCCGCAATCAGTTTGCATAATAAGCGGGTCGGTGACAAACATGTAGCAATATACTCTATGGTGACAAAAGGTAACCTAGGTATATGTCCGTTCCCATGATAAAATATATTTTGTATATATAGGTACTCAATTTCATAGTAATTTGTCCAGCAGATTAATCCCAAAAAGGTAACAAATAAACAAACAGACACACTGTATCTGACACAGATATTTTACTTTTACAATAATAATATGGATATATACAAGTATTAGCCCGCTGATTGGTTTGTGACTCGTGTGGTAGCCGGCGGTAGGTTGTAGTTACAAATTACAATGTGTGGATCACAGACCACTATCCAGGATTATGTGAGTTATTTTCATTATGAGTAATCTAAAATCAAAAATGTATCTAAAAAAAATTCTAATCGAGTCGAATAGATTGTACCTACATTAAATATTTTTTGGAAAATCTTATTGAAATACCTAGTCATTATTATCGATACAGAGACTGAATCTATAAGTAGTTTTTGGAATTTTTGTCTCTGTATGGGAACGCAGCACGAGAAAGGTACTGGACAGACTTTTGATGAAATTTGGTAGGTATGATAGCTGGTCCGATCCGGGTCAACATATAGGATACTTTTTACTGAGGGAAAATATCTCATCTCTGAGATTATACTAAATTAATATTTAGTATAGATTAATATTTAGTATAGATTTCTCACAATAAAAATTAAAAATAAATTAATATTTAGTATAGATTTCTCAGATTTTTTATAAACGTAACCGAAGAACCCGAGCGGAACGAGGGTGAGTCGCTAGTTTATTTAATAATTCCGTTGATCGTCACACTTTAAAGTGTTGAGAATTAACAAGCACACATCTACTCTCTCACTTACTTTCACATTTATAATATTACTAGCAGAACCCGCGGCTTCGCTCGCGTTAAAACTACTAAAAATCTCTAGAAGGGTATAAGTTTCATACAAATTTTCACTCCCTGTTTTACCCCCTTATAGGATGAATTTTGAAATATGCTAAGACAAGTATTTATTTAATTTTATTGAATATTATACTTATATACCAAGTTTCAAGTAATTCTCATAATAAATATTTTTTTGGATTGTATTTTATCGTGTTTTCCCGTGGGAATTAGATAATCTCCCGCGATAAAAAGTAGCCTATGTCACTCTCCAGCCCTCCAAATATCTGCACACAAAAAATCACGCCAATCCGTTACTTCGTTTCGATGTGAAAGAAGGACAAACAGACAAACAAACACCTATTCACATTTATAAATCAGTATGGATTATGACAGTAGTAGGTATGTTTACATCCTAATTTCTTAGTACCTACTGTAGATCCTAGAAAATGTTGTTAAATTAGAACAGAGAATTCATTTCCTCGAGAAAAAATTCAATTCAGTTGTAGGTCAAAATTATTAATCCTGTTCATTTAATAGATCATCGCCTTGACGCAATCCCGTGAATCATTCCGCGTAAAATGTTGACTCGTACGTTGACGACGCGACGCCGTCATACGTAAGAAATCATTAATAACTTGGTGACTGTTCTTGTCTTAAAACAATCTATATATATAAAGTACGTAAGAAATATTTACATATAAACATGTTTAGTGTTTAGTATTCCACAACTTATCTCATAGGATTCTGTAGCCAAAAGGTAAAAATTGAACATTTATGATTTCGTCACGTCCGTATTTCAGTCATTTTAAATCAGAAGATGGATGCCCACCAACCCATAAGCTACCACCTATGTATGGGATCCCTAACTTAAAATTCCCCTAAACTAGGCCCTAAATTAAATTTCGTTTTACCATCGTCTTTAAGCCCATATTTCGAGTACCTAAATTTAGGGGATCCCTTAAACTTAGGTGACGTTGGTGAAATCGGGCCTTTATCCTTCCCATAGTCCCTATCGATTAATTCGTTAAATAGTTATAAATTTAAAAAAACCCCTACGCAAATTCATTGTCATTTAACGATTTATACACTGGCACGCGTGAAGCACTTAATCGAGTAATGATACGCCAAAATGCCTTACATCATTTTGGAAAAGAGCTCATACTCTTACACTGCTAGACCGATATTACCTAACATAGCTAAGAACTATAGCAAGGAAACTGGCTTACAAATGAAAAAAAACCGCATTGAAATCGGTCCATCCGTTTGAGAGCTACGATGCCACAGACAGACATAGACGTCAAACTTATAACATCCCTCTTTTTGCGTCGGCGAATAAAAATGCTTCTCCTTAGTTCTACCCTCCATAGTCTACTTAAAAAACCGTATTGAATTTGAACACCAAAATTTTGTATTTTACGATATCTTAGACTATACATATGCTATAGAGCTCGCGTATCGCTCATAGTCTATTATGTGAAACGTAAGCAGATGTTCTATACACACCTATTGATATATACTTGTAGAAGAAGCGGTTGAATAGTGATGCTCCTAGTAAAACTTTTAGTACTTAATTAAAATAGAAATTTATTAACATAAACTACATTTATTCACGCACATATAGACTTTATTATCTAAAATTACAGTAAGTATTTCAAAATATCTTTCATTTGTAAATGTATGTAGTAATAGTGTTGCTTAATATTTTGTTTTTTTTTTTAAATAATAGCTAACTAAATTGTTTTTGTATTTTTTCTCAGAAATGAGATATTTTCCCGCGGTAATTTGCGGCGCCTGTGTAATTTTGTTAAAATCAGCGTTTTCTGGTCAAAATATTATTTACCGATGAAAAGAAATATCTGTTTAGTTTGCTTTCATGAATCATTTTTACTGCTTGGAACTGTACATTTCGCCATGATTACATAAATCCAAATAAATACCAACAGGAGAAATAATCAGCTATTTCGACTGTTCATACCCGTGCTTACAGTTCATACTTGCTTTCGCGAGCTCTACCTATAGCTTGTGTTATACAATTAGTCAATGGAGATGTTTCCAAATTTTTATTATATGTATTAATTATAAAAAATTAAGTAAAATACAACAAAAATATGAAAGAATTATTAAAATATCTCAACAAATGAAAAAGTTATTTAACTTTAAAGTTGCGCTTGTAAGAATAATTTGAATTAATTTGTCATTTATTGATACAAAGATTTCAAAAATTTTATCACTGATTTATTAGTTTCGGTCTATAACATAATTCCATTGCATTAAACATTGTACAATTTTCATGATTTAATATTATTAATATTTGAAGAAAAATATGTCTAGGTGCAATTATATTTTTTTGGCGAGTAGTAGTTTTGAAGTCGGTGTACCTTTATATGTAAAAACTTATTATTAATATTAATTTTCATATGACCCACTACACAGCAGGCTATAAACCCCATTACATACATCTATTGTTGTGTGAAAGAAAGACAAAGCAACAAGCCACAGTAATATATTTTAATATATTTCTTATCAACGATTTTGCATTTGAAATACTATAAGAAAAGTTTATATTTGCTGAGGTATTAAGAAATAGTACTTGTAATAAATAAAATATTTCGGCTGTAACATTTATTTTTATATATTTATTAATTAAAAAAAAATGGCTATGTAAAAACAATATCATTGAGTGAACATATTTTTAATAAACATACTGTATTAACTGTTATTGAGAATAAAATAAATAAAATAAATAAACAAAGCTGTATAAAATCGATTTATTACAGTAATACATTATTGGAAATATGCAGATGGCGGACCATCAATATTGTGACAGATATATTGGCTCTGATATACATATATGGTGTTTTACAACTGCTCTTAGTCCTCCAAGAAGAAATACTGGCCTGCCCTCTTCTGGTCTATGTCCTGTAAAATAAAATTATTTACATTATTGTATTAATATCTTATATATAAAATTTCCATGTCACAATGTTTGTTACCGTACTCCTCCGAAACGGCTTTACCGATGTTTACCAAATTTTATATGCGTATTCAGTAGGTCTGAGTATCGGCTACTATCTATTTTTCATACCCCTAAGTGATAAGGATAAAGGTGGTCCTCCCAGACCCCACCCCAGGGACGAACCGGAGCGGAGCGAGGGTGAGTCGCTAGTAATGTATAAATATCTCGTGTCACGGTGGTGTGGTCACACTCTCTCCCAAACGGCTCGACCGATTTTATTTTTTTTGTATATTTGGTAGGTATGAGAGTAGGTCGTAAAGTATTTTAAACCCTCCTTCCCCTCCCCATGTTTTAATCGCGATTTTAGTATTCTTGTATGAATTATAAAGCCAGAGTTTTTTTTATTGTTTTTGTTGCGAGCGTAGCCGCAGGTTCTGCTAGTACATTATATTATATAAATAAAAACAAAATTCAATTAACCTATTTACTCAATTAATAAAATGATTTAGGATAGAAAAACTATAATAACACCTCCAGGTAAATTTCTAATAAATTAGTTAAATTTCTAAGAAATCTATTGGTAACTGTAACGCCGGCGTGTCCGCGGTCGTGGAGGGATTAAAGGTTAGTATGAAATAGATAACCGATCTCTTGCGATGTGAAAAACAGTTTTATGAAAACCAGTTTTTTTTCAAATATCTATCTTGATATAGGTATTTAAAAAACAATAAATGTACAAAATTAAAAAAAAACAGACATAAACAATCTCCCTCGTAAAATAAAAAAAAATAAACAAAATTTACTAACATTAGAAAATAAAACAAAATGTATACCACATACCTTTACAGAAGCATGTTTGTTGATCCTAGGCCTGAAGTTGTTGGGGTCTCGTCTGAATGTAATACCAAGTAGTTCAAGGAATTTATTCATGCCGTTCAATAGTGACTGTGGGGCATGAGCCGTGGCGTTAGATGATGGTGTTCCTTCAAATACAATGACCCTATCCGCTAGGTAAGTTGCCATTATGAAATCGTGTTCTACTACGAAGCCTGTACGCTTTGCGTGGAGAATGAACCTGCAATGAATTATTTATTATTCATATTTTATTTCTTAACAAACTCTCTCTACTCTTAAACATATTGGCTGAATAAATAAATGATATTTACTTAATTTGGTTATTGTCATGATAAAAATATATTTGTAAAATTAAATGATTAGGTATTTCACTTTTTTTAATAACATTAAGTAGTAATATAAATAAATTGGGGTTTTAATTCTTGTTTTTTCATATCAGAATGAGCATTAGTAGAGTAGTTTAGTTTGACTAATGCAGAGAAGGATAAACTACTTGTAAAATAAAATATTTGACATTTTAAATAAAACTATCTATTCGGATTTTTTCACAGATTTATTTTGATTTTTCATTCCCGACATTTCAAATGCTTTACAGCAACCATTGGTCACGGGAGATACTTTTTTACTTGTATAATGTTACCGAAGTACAACTAATGTTTCTCAGTAAGTGAATTTGTATTCTTTTGAGAAATAAATAAATCTTAAGCCTCATTCATATGAGGCTTAAGATGAACTCAATTCAGATTTTATTGAACTGTTTGTTATTATATTAAATGAACTTGAAATTATAGGTGAACAACATTTAATAATAATGTCCTCCTGACCAATTTCAGTTCAATTTTAAAGATACACCAAATATTACAGTGCACAAGTATTTCTTTTAATCTCAAAGTTGAATGAAGTTACAAATTGACAAAATTTGTACAATTTAGGCACACAGCACAGGCAGCTACAGCTTTTGTTAGAAAAGCTGAATATATGCACTTGGCCAAACCGAGGACTTGAACTCTGGAACTGTAGCCACATATGTTCGTCACTAGACCAATGAGGCAGTTACTACTAACCTTTTTATAACTTTAGCCGCTACTAAACGCTGTTCAGAATCCAAATAAGCAGAAGGTTCATCAATAAGATAAACTTCAGCTGGTTTACCGAGGCAGAGCACCAATGCAACTCTTTGCAATTCACCACCAGACAGGTTTTGCACTTCTTGATCCATGATCTCTTCAATTTTCATAGGCTTCATCACATCAGTTATGAACTAAAATAACATTTTTATATTAAAGCGCATGTTTGAAAAACCAAAGGTACTAAAACTGACAAATTAACTCTTTATATAAACCATCACTATTATACCAATAAATGAGTTTTCAATATTAATTATTTTACAAAGTAAGTTTTACCTGCGGATGAGTATATGCATCTCTTATTTTGTCATGAAGTAAGTTGCGGACCATTCCCTGAGATTTAGGTGATATTTTCTGTGGCTTATAACTAATATGTAGTTGAGGCAGCTGGCTTGCACCTTTAAAAAAATTATTATGTGTGATTTTTGATGATAAAATTTGTTTAATACAAAATGTAACTTTCACTTAAAAATAATGTTAATTGTTTATTACAATTTACACTTCAAAACTCCTACCTATCATGCTTTAACTTTTTGTACATATTATTGTGTAGTATATAACTTGAATATCTTTTCCTCTTTCAATTTAAATATATATGTTTCTAATTTAGATTGAAGTTGTTCTTGAATTTAATAATAACAACACTGTTCTTCCTAATTAAGTTTACTAAGTTATTTTATTGGATTAAATTTCCCTTCCTAATCTTTTTTTTGCTTATTCCAAAAGTAGGTCATGCAAGTCATTATTAGATTAAACTTAAATTAAGCATTTTATAATAATGCTTACATATCAAGTATCGATTGGTATATAAATAAACGCATAATCACGAAATTAAATTAAGAAATTCAACTTTTGTTTTTTATTTTACCTTCCGGTGACATAGATGCCTCAGCATGTTTTAAACACTTTTGAAACACAGGGTGAAAAAATAAATCAAATAACTCAGTCCTAGCCATTATAGCGGCTATTAAATGTGTTTATATTCATCAATAAACACTTAAATTTACGATTACTCTATAACCTCAACAATATAGTTATCATCTACATTCTATTGTCTTATAAAGTATATAATTATAATAAGTTAATTTTCACGCTTGCTCATAATATCTTTATAATGAATTATAGTTTATTGTTAAACGCAATACCATCAGCAGATTTCACAAATTCTAAAAACGTTTGACAAGTTTCACGATTTTGACGGATGTGAAATTCGTGTTGCCACATTCAAATTTTGACGCAATATACGTTCGGATACTAGTAAATTAAAAAAAAATGTATACAACTTATAAATCCAATCATAATCTTTTCTTCATACTTTTGGTTTTCAAAATGTTATACATCAAGATAAATAGCTAATGGACTAAAATCCCACTGCAAGATTGCTACGTTCATAGCATATTTAATCGAAATCAGTTTTTTATATACAATAATAAAATGGACAATATGTTTTGACCGGGGTGCCTATTCAAATGTGCCCGCTAGTATGTTTAATTAACTAAATAATAGTCGACTTTTTGGAATAAAAACGATGCATTTGTTATTACAATGAATTATACTCCACTTCACAGAACTATACGTAGAGATCTTGAAAAATGATAGCTGCCGTTGCGCATTTGGCCGCAAGCTCGTCGCAGCCAGGTGTAAGCGGGTCATATTTTGGTATGTTTATGCGTTCATAGCGTACATGCATCCTTTATATATCAAATTAAAGCAATTTTTTTTCTGTACCTGGTAAACTACGTCTGCCTATGTAAAAGTGGTCGCAAAAGTGGTTGCGAGTCATTAAAAATGTTTTTGTTACATTTATACGTTTATGGCGTTTATTCATTATTTATATATCAAATTAAAGCCATTTTTTTTCTGTGAATGGTAAAATACCTCTCACCTATGTAAAAGTGGCCGCAATGGAAAAAAAAAGGAAAGAATATAATATTATATAACATTTGTCAGATAATAACAACAGTTGTCCCTTTTATTATTGTGTATAAAAAATTGATTTCGATTAAATACGCTATGAACGTAGTAATCTTGCAGCGGGATTTCGATCCATAGATATTGATACATTTTTATTATTATAAACCATTACTGCAGTTCCATGTTTAAGATAATAATATGTTACTTTTTATTCATTTATATTTATTTTCTATAATTTTTATTGAATATTTGAACAGTAATTTTTGGAAAATCTCATTTTATGAAACCACTTTTTACCTTTTTAAAATTAAATGAAAATGATATTAGAATATAAGAGTGTAAACTATATAAACATACTGTAGATCATGCAGTTTTAAAGATATAATTACCTTCATCTGGTTCCAGATTGCCAGCTAACATTCTTATGAATGTTGTTTTGCCAGTACCATTTTCACCGAGGAGTACTAAAATTTCAGAATCTGAGAACTCTCCTTGCATTACACGCAGACTAAAATCGCCCATCTTTTTGGACATTTCTGGATACTCATAGTGATTCATTCTTTTTATCTGTTCATAATACATAAGATATATTAAAAATGTAAGATTTCCATTTGAAAGTTACTTATACTTATAAAAAAATAAGCTTCGGTTAAAACTAAGGCTCTATATATTATGTACTACATTTGTAACACACTATATTTATGTCACATATTTGATATTATATTTATATTGTTTACTGAGTACACACATTTTTAGTTTTAGTAATTCAATATTTTATAATCATTAAAGATTTTATAACCAATTAATAAGTTAGAAAAATGCTTACCTCTTCCTCAGTAGCAGATTCAGCTACTTTGAATACTAAAGATTCAGTTCTGAATCTCATATTCTCAGTGGGCACAAAACCATCAAGGAAAATATTTATACCTGAGAAAAAAAAATTTGATGATTTAGTAAATTTTATATGACAAAACATTTTTCTTTATATATTTTTCTTGTATATCAGTTGCAAACTAGTGCAGTCAAAAAAAAAACCATTAAATCCATTCTTGAGAGTTAACCACTAGTAAAGTAATAATATTATAAATGCGAAAGTTTGGATGGATGTTTGTTACTCAATCACACCAGAATGGCTGAACGTATTTGGATGAAATTTGGCACAGAGATGGATTATAGTCTAGAATAGCACATAGGATTTTTTAAACTTTTTATCCAGGAAAAATGTATGGTTCCCGTGGGATAGATTTGTTTTTGTTTGACACTAGGGATGAACTCAAGCGCCAAACTAGTGAGTTGCCAATATAGTAATAAATATTAAAGTTCAACTTTATGTTTTCTTTACTTACCTTCCCGAACAGAGAAAGGCATAGTCACAACACCATAAGCACCAGGAACTCCATATAAGCAGCAAATGAAGTCAGATAAATAATCTAGCACGGATAAATCGTGCTCTACTACAATAATGAACCTGGACATATTGAAGAAAAAAACTATACAATAATTGTTTTTAATTTACAAAATTATACAAATTGTAATATTTTTTGTTTCGTATTAAAAAAGAATTATTCCTTAGTTATATAAATGTAATAAATATAAATATTATTATTTATAGAGATGCACTGAATATGGGTTCAACCAAATAAGATATTCGTATTCGGTATGTTCGACACTTGTTTGTGTTCGTAGTCGGCCGAATATTCGGTTAAAATGCCAAATAATTACTGAATATATTAATAGTATTATGTTAAGATTTATAATTATTTTAAAAATGAAAAAAGGCTTTACATTAACAAATACATATGTGAAAATACCCATGCAACTCTTAACTATTTATACTAAAAAATCAGTCATATAACTAGTAATATAGATAATATCAGGTATTGTTGAATAGTCTATTTGCAACTTAACTAGTTTTACCAGACACATAATATCCAATTAATGGCACATTAGCATTATTTAGTTAATATTATGGTACTTACTTATCAGGGTCTATAAGTGAGCGTATAGTCCTGGCAGCATTCAAACGCTGCTTCACATCCAAATAAGAAGATGGTTCATCAAACATGAAAATGTCGCCATTTTGTATGCATACCATAGCACAAGCAAAACGCTGCAATTCTCCTCCAGATAATGCCCCAATTTCACGATCACGAATATGTGAGAGATCTAATAATAGCAAAACAATTAAAATAATTATAAAAAAAAATTTACAATATAAGATATATAATTTTCAAGTATACCATTTTGTTATTTGAAATTTTATTAAAGCTAATATTTTATTATAAATTGTATTTTAAAGAAATATATATTTACCAAGCATAGCACATATCTCTGGTTGGTTTTTCCTCTCATCTTTTTTATCAAGCAGTTGCCCGACAGTTCCTTTCACAGCCTTAGGGATTTGATCTACATACTGGGGCTTAATCAGAGCCTTTAGATCATCTTCCAGGATTTTAGTAAAGTAGTTTTGCAGCTCTGAGCCACGGAAATGAGAGAGAATCTCTTGCCAGTCTGGAGGATCCTATAAATAATTTAAATTCATATTAAAAGTGTAAGATTTTGAAGTATATAGCAGAATTTTAGTAATATCTTAGGAAGATTATTAAAACCATTTTCCAAACAAAATTTTCAGTCTGAAAAATGGTAATTTTGTAAACAACAATAAACAGGCATTATATTTCAAAAAGAATATTATACTCACAGCATATCTACCTAAATTAGGCTTTTGTTTGCCAGCAAGAATCTTCAGAGCAGTAGACTTACCAATACCGTTCTGACCAACAAGTCCAAGCACTTCACCAGGTCTAGGTATTGGTAGCCGATGGAGTTTGAAAGAGTTCTTGGAATATCGGTGAGTGGTATGTTTCTCCAAGTTTGAAGGAACATTGATGATAGTTATAGCATCAAAGGGACATTTCTGAAAAAAAAGTGTTCATTTAGTATAAATTTAACGGCAAAAATAGCATTGTAATGTAGCATTAAAGTAAATTTGCTTTTAAATTTTGTTCATATCAGGATTAAAATAAGTAACATACCTTGACACAAATACCGCAACCAATGCATAACTCTTCAGATATGGTGGCAATTTTATCATTAGGGGTAACTTCGATACATAACTTGCCCATGCGCACCACTGGACAGCTCTTCTTGCATTCTTGTCTACATCTTTTAGGCTTACAACGATCGGCGTTAACGATCGCTATACGAGTAAGTTTATCAGTCTCTTCATTTTGGGCTTTTTTCCGAGACATAACTGTCAAATATAAACACTATTTATATTACGGATAAACAATATTAGTCAATAAATTTCATACAGTTTTTATTCGATATGCCACGATTAACAAGAACACAAATATAACCTCAATTAATATCATATGGAGATATATTTACTAGCTAACTAAAGAAAACCTTGATTTTTAATAGATTGGTATACAATAACACTACGTATTAGTCATAAAAATAATGAAAAAAATGATGTTATACCTATTAAAATACAGCGAACGTTGGCTTGACTTTGCCTACGTTCGCGTGTCCTATGTCTCAAAACGTCAAAAGGAACAATAGTGAAGTTAATCGCAGACAGGTGAAATGGAGAAATATATTGCCAACAACAAGCACTGAAGATAATATTTTACAAGATATAATGGTACGATAGAAAAAATATTCTGTAAATAATTTTCTATATAATATTTAAGTTCTAATATATTTTCTGAATGCTATTATAATTAATACGATTCATTGATTTTTCTAATAAAGATACAAATGAAAAAACTACGAAGTGAGGTTTTTAAGCTATTTTTCATATTATTGATTACTGAAAATGACAATTATCAATTACAGATTTACCAATATTGAAATCGATATCTTAATCTATATTTCTATATTACCGACCACAAATTTGTGATAGTTTTGTTCAAGTTCAGTTTTTTCCAACCAATCATTCAAAAATACTGCAATTTATGGCGACTTTCAATTGTTTTCAATTTTTTTTGATTTTTTTAATTTATTAATTGACGTGTGAATTAATAACTAAGATTGACTGACGTATATGAAGTCGATCACAGTAACTCTCTCACTTTGACTCAGTTTGTAACGTAATTTAGCGAAAATAATTTTCTTATTTTGGGTTGTTAAAAATATTTTAGTGAATATTTTTGAACTCCGTTATTTCTAAAATACATGTTTATTATTTGAAACAAATAAAATAAAATAAATAAAATATAACGATATCTTCTTAAAATATCGATAGTTAGATATTTACAATTAATTATCGATTTTTCAATACCGATAAATGTCGCTCATTCCTTATTATTTGTCATTTGTGATTTGTCATTGAAATTTATATTTGTCATCCATAAATCATGATTTAAATTTGAAAACTGAAAAGAAAATTAGATGTAAAGTGTAAATAAACTGTTTTGAGTTTTCATTTAAAACTAAAAAAAAAACTTTATACCTACTATTTCATAACTTAGATAATATCTTAAAAATAGATTATATGGTTTTTTATTAAAAATGAGTAAGAAATTTTATACAATAATTAATAGGGATTTAATTGCAATATAAAGCAACATTATTCATTATAGAAATGAATGACTTTTATTAAAATTACTATTATTTTTTAATTCTTATATTTCTTTGGCTTGCACTACCAAAATGTATCTATGTCTTCTCAGGAGAACTTGCAAGTTGCAGCTACCTATTAAGCTTTAGGATGTTACATATATTAAATATTAAAAATAAACTTAACATGGGCTCTAATTAGTAACCAGCTAATAGAATTAAAATATTTGTTTTAAGGAACTAAATTAGAAGTATGTATAGATAGTCTGGAATCGGCTAAGAATGCTATAATCGGGGGTGCTGATGAATTAGAAGTATGCAGTTCATTATTAGAAGGTGGTCTAACTCCTTCACCAGGACTTGTAAAGGAGATTTTCAAATTGGTATATAATATACTGTTTTCTAATTATAATGTATAAGAATGGTTGAGAGTTGAGACAATAGATATTATTTAATGACTAATATCAAAATGTATTTAAACAATATTTTTAAATATGAAAGAGATAGAGCTTATTTTTTCTTTATTTATTATTATTTAAAATTAATTAAAATTGAAAATTATTTATAATGAATTTTATACATAATTTTACTTATGACTATGTTTTAGTTTAAAATTATTATAACATACCTGTTTCTATGTTAAGTTTTCCTTGTTATAGAAACTAACTAGTACCTTCTAGAGTTACTATAACAGGAAAGCTACTATTAGCTTGTTTCAATTCTGTAGAGATAAGTTGATGAGAAAGTTGACACTTGCCCTCTTCAACTTTTTAGGACATTCTTACTATATAATATGTATCTATCCTGCACAATATTCAGAGGATTTTCTGGACTTCTAATATAACTAGTGTTCACTCAATATTCGAAATTCAACCATAATCTATACTAATCTTATAAAGAGGTAAAGTTTGTGAGTTTGTGACGTTGCAGGGGGTAATCTTTGGTTTTACAGAACTGATTTAGATGAAATTTGGTGAAAAGATAGGTTTTAGACCCTGGAAAGGACTTTTTATTCCATAAATCATCGCTTAATGGGGTGAAAGTAAGGATGAAAGTTTGTATTGGGAAGCAAGACAGGGACCTGAGCGAAGAGAGGGTGAACATTCTTTTTATTGATAATACTACAGCTTGTCAATAGCTATTAAGCAAAAAAAAAACGGTTGACAAACATAGGAGAAAAAGATACTAAACTGTTTTGTCTTTTATTATTTATATGTCTTATAATAGATATTAATTAGTTTTTTTATATTCAACTTTATTTATATTGCGAGGTTATGGAGTATATATTTTCATTTACTCTTTAAGTTCCATTAGTGTCAGTCAACAACACCTGAGGGCAGCGATGTGAGATTCAACTCGATTCTCTTTTTTGGAGTAATCAAAATATATAACAACAGATGGCTAAACGGAAAAAGATCGCTTTACGCTAATCGTTTTCTGTATACTGAAGGTGTATTATAACATAATAATTTTTCAAGTGTGTTGTTCGTGTAGGCTTATTGGTTGAATCATAATACTATATTAGTACAGATGCCTCATCCCATACAAAGAAATTATACAGCGCTAATTCTGGCTATTTTTGTTTGCTTCAATAGATAATTGAAGTCATTGATTCGCAAATAGTTAAACTATTTTATTTTATAAATATGTGCAAACTATCGTATGGTAAATATTGTAAAATTCATCCTGTATTTGAATATTTTTTTTTGTGTTTTTAACTACTTTTAACCGTGATAAACAATGTATAAAAAGTAAAAGCACCATCTGTGAACATACACCATAAACCCAGACGATGCTGGTATTTCAATAATCAGCATAATGACAAATTTGATTTACAGGCGCATTAATTATTTTCTCTTCACTTAAAATATTTTGTAAAATAATAATACATCTTTTTGGGATGTATTTTTTATCTTTTGTTAATTTAACAATACTTAAGTAACAAGTCGATAAATGTAACGCCATCTATTTATATTTATTTGAAATAATTTTTCTTTGTTCGTCATAAAGCAGAATTCCAACAACATCTGTTTTTGTTTTCTTATACGTGGGTATCTGATGATTTTATCGGGGCATATTCATCCCCCATATACTCCAGAGAATTTAGGCGAAAAGGATGTTGGCTCAAGAGTAGCTAACAAAAAGGATGTTGGCTCAAGAGTTATAGCTAACAATAATAAGTACTGAGATAAAAATAGACTTTTGATGCTTATATGCTCTCCGAAGCATAGGGGTAAGTATACTAGGTTTGACCCGCGACTCGAACCCAGGTCCTCCGGACGCAGTCAACTCACACGACACCCACAGAGTAAATAGTTAAATGATTTTTTTCACAAAATTTTCAGTAATGGGTATAGGATTCGGTATGAAATGTTTTGAAATTGTAACGTTTAATCCCAAGGAAACCATGTAATTCAAAGCAGTAAAAATGTTTATTAATTAAATAATAACACCTCCAGGTAAATTTCTAAGAAATTAATTAAATTTCTAAGAAATCTATTGTTAACTGTAACGCCGCGCCGGCGTGTCCGCTGTCGTGGAGGGATTAATATGTAATACATATATAAATAGTTTTAGCACGGTTTGTAGTGAAGCGAAGAGGGTTTCTGTAATAAAATTTTAATTTTTAAAACTATTTTCAGGAATGCTATTTATTAATGTTAGTAATCGTAAAATTTGTTACAGAAACCGGTTATTAATGTGATGATAAGATGCAGAGGTGGTTCAGATTTCTGCTACAATGAAGATGAAATGGCAACAATGCTTTCAGATATTGAATTTTACAAAAATATGGGAGTTAACAGATTTGTCTTTGGTGCCTTAACGAATACGAGACAAATAGACAGAATAAATTGTGCTAGAGTTTTAGAAAGAGCACATCCTATACCAGTTACATTTCATAGAGCCTTTGATATTTGTACAAATCCTAAAGATGGTATTATTAACATTATTGATTTAGGTTTTGATAGATTATTAACAAGTGGACTTAAAACTTCGGCTGCTGATGATAATGCATTGGAATTCCTTAAAAACTTAAAAAAATATCACGGTAATGATATTGTTATAATGCCTGGTGCTGGCATTACTCCTCAAAATGTTCATCTTTTTGTCAGTGCAGGATTTCAAATAATTCACAGTTCATGTAAAAAAGTAAAGACTATTTCCCATGGTGATGATTTACCCATGGGTCCAAATGAAATATATCTAACTGATAAAAATATAGTCGAGGAAATGATGGCGTTATTGGAATAGTGTTATATAATGATATAAGATTGGGATTTTGGACCTTTTTATTATACTAGTATTATATATAATATTTTTGAGCTTATACTGAAAATAAATATAATTTATAACTTGTATAAAATATGTTATTTATATTCCTCTTGAAACACATTTATTTAAACTGCAATGACCTTCGGTCATGTATTAAATGGCACCGACTTCGAAAATATCTGATTAGTAGAGCTGGAGTTGTATTTGTTTACCGAATAAATAGAAATACTTCGAAGATTAAGACAGGTGATATAGTGTAAAATTTGTTATTTATTTCATCCATAAAGTCGTTTATACGAAATATTTGCATTTCTCGAGACGATCCACCGTTATCGATATATATTGCGCGCCATTTTTCATAGCATATTTCGGGGGAGTATCCGAGCGCGCTTAATGATGCCATTAGTACGCCAGCCAGTTGTCGACGGAAACAATATCTAAACGACTTCTGTTTTGTGACCTTTCTTCTATATCTTTTTATATTAAGGATGATTAATTAAGTAATTATTAAAAGATTTTTATTATTATCATTTCTATTGTATTTTTTTTCTTTGCTTGTTACATTTATCAAGTTAATTAAGTATATAATATAAATTATTATATCTTTAATTATGGACGTATACATAATCTGCAGTTTTTTTAATAGAATGGGAAAATATAGAAAAAAGAAGGTTTTAAGAATAGATCATTTTGTGCCCCCTGCTCCGTCCGTAGGTACGTTAATAAAAAGTATTTGTTAATCCCTCCACAACCGCGGACACGCCGGCGAGTCAGTTAACAATAGATTTCTTAGAATTTTAATTATTTTCTTAGAAATTTACCTGGAGGTGTTAACAAAAGTTAATTAGGTAGGTTATTTATTATGCTTCCGTGTAAATTTAATTTCCTGCTCTTGCTTTTTTTCTTACTTTTAAAAGGAATCTTGTAAAACGCCCAAAAATGGCATCACAATTTGTCTTTTTAACATTTGTTTAGGATGATTGATGTTAAATTTTTCACAGCTGTGCCACGTCTCTAGTAAGGTTGCGTCACTCATCTTTCACCTTCCATCAATCCTAAAATGTATGTTTTTAACAAATTTTACATATAATATCATTCCATAAAGTACCTACCACTCTATTGAAAATTAAAATGAAACGAATGCTTATCGGAATGCTTATTGTTTATCTGAGATAAGTATAATATGACAAAATTACAGATGACTTTATTTTTTGTTTATAGACTTTCATTTCTTAGAATACAAGAAAGGAGTTTCAATTAATAATACTTAGACAAACAACTTTTGTAATTAAAATACTCTTTTATTATTATATCAAGCATAAACCCTTGATATAATAATAAAAGAGTATGCTTTAGGATAAAATGCTAAATAGTATATTCTTTTTGGATCAGTCTAAATATTTTTTTTTGGCAATTAGTTTGAAAATCTATTTACAAAATATCTCAGACCATAAAATCAGACTTCTATTTTAAAATTATAATTATTAGTTTTCTCAAACGAAAGAGCCCGTTAATTTTAAGATTATTTGAAAATACCAACTTATTTAGTTTTATGCTCTACAATAGGGGTGTCCAAAGCTCGGCCCGCGGGCCGCATGCGGCCGCCGACTAATATTTTTGCGGCCCGCGACGTGTTTCCATCCATCTACCACAATTACGCAAATTTTCCTGTCTTTACTCACAGATATGACTTACCCATTCAAGTCTCAGCCTGGCAAAAACTTTAATGTTGGTATTGAGAATTGAGAATTGTCAAAGATAAATTAATGAAGAATTACTTAGATTAAATTGAACATTATCACCGTATTTTTATTTATTCTCCAAAAAAAAAAAAATGAACAGGTATTTGTTTCTGCGCGGCCCTCCAAGCTATATTGTGATTTGTATTGGTCCGGGATTGTATCTGGCCTGGACAGCCCTGCTCTATAATTTACCCTACGGGATACTTAGTAAGGGGGCATAGCCCAGTTATTCTACAAATGGTATGGGAATAGAAATTTTAAAATTACAATGACTTAATCGTCATATCATAAGAATCATAGGCCTACTACCTATGGCCTTATCTCCCTCATATTAAAGGGAGGCCCATGCTTAGCTTTAAGACTTTTAAAAAGACGTTTATCAACGAGTAAAAAAGGGTTGAAATATAATATGTTTATTTAGATTTTCTACGATCGTAGAATGATATCTTGTGTAAGCCTCATTAAATTTAGGCTATAACCAACTTGGATTACAAAATTCAGCCATGAAATTAAAAAAAAAACAATTTCAAAAGTCTATTTTTCCCGATCAGTAACTTAGTCGTTCCGTTTTGTATGTCGCCGAATAAGCATTAAGCACAACGATTTACAATTTAAATCGGAATAAAATAGCTGCGTTTCGGGTTTCAGCGTTATCTTATTGCCTTGTTGTCTGTTTTTTCTTTATCCTATGTTATTGGAGCGCTTTGTCAAGCTAGTTGGTCGATGGTTCTACCAATTATCCAACCCACTCAACTCGCTCAATAAGTACATGCTTACCTCAACTCCACTTTTGTTATGATAAGAATACTTGGAATCGAGTACAGGTGGGTAATAAAACGAATATAATAAAGATGTTTTTTATTTAGGTGGATCCAAGTGAACATTTTCATCTAACTACAATATTATATCTAAGGTATAAAATAAGGCTGTACCGTGAAATGTGAAGACGCTTAACGTTAAGGCAGTTCTTGCTTACCGTGTTGTGCAAATATGGCTGCAACTTCAATAATTAAAAGTTGCAAAACCACCTTAAGGTAGGTACATTAATATTATATTTACATTTACAGTATGAAGCTCTAGATATCTAATATCATAGTAATTGGTCAAATTGCACAAGTTAGGGTAAAGCGTTTCATTTCCGTATGCAAGCAAAGTTATTTTTAATTTAACTTAGGTAGATAGATACCTATTTTTAATAATTATGTTAGATACTTATAGGTATTACTTAGTGCATAAACTCTCAGACACTATTTTAATTATTGTACGTATTTAATTACATTGCTATATTTATATAGCATTGATATGCTTTTATACTAAGAAATAAAAAAAAATGATAGTAGGGGTAACATTTAAATCTAATTCCTTATTAATTATTATTGGTTTTAGTTAGAATTATAAAAACTATTTTATATTCAGAATATTCATTCAATAACATTTGTTAAATTTTTGGTATAATAATGGTAATAAAAATTAATGTACGATCAAAAAAGTCCTGAAAACATAATATGTGAATATTGAGGTAAAATGTAACTACAAACCGACATAGTCTTGATGGTTTGTAGTACTGACAAATATTAGAATTGGAATAAAATTTTAAAATGCTGAACACTACATTGCTTTGTAAAGAAAATACTAAAAAAAACCGTTTTCCATTTTGTTTGATTAAAAGCACTTCAACTATTGAATTTCTTTAAATTTATTCGACCACAAGCTTTCATAGAATTCATATGCTATAAACCACATAACAAAGGACATTGAATATTGAATTCATATGTGGTCTTAGATGAAAAATATAATGTTTTGTATAAAATTAAAACTTTAAAATGAGAACTTATATAAAAATATTTAGAAACCCAGAGAGTTGAATAGCTTCCATCACTAGATTTTTCTGATGTACTTGGAGATGGAGGTACTTGATTCGGGTGTGTACTGTATAGATATATTTTATTTGCGTATCTTATGTGATATCATTACCAATAGTAAACCGATTTCCATTTTGTTTAATAAAAATATTTATGTTTTATGGGTGGTGCCATAAAAATTAAAAAAAAAAACCTATATATTTCCCTATGGGTAGTTATAACCACAACTAAAAGTGATTTTGAATACGACGTATCTTTTTTTAAAGTAATTATTGCTTAAGAACATTTGTTAATTATTACAAGATTAGTATAAAAAACAGCCCAGCTTAGAAATACTCATTTATATTTACTCTAAAATATCTGGTATTCCTTTTGATAAATCTTCTCATGTCGTTGCATTATTTTTCAAGTTATTTCTATGCTGAATAAAAATTTATCTTGACTATAAATCACTGCCATCAAGTACTTTAATCACAGTACTCTAGGAATCTTTCTAACTCTCCGAGTATATTCTGTTAGGTACTTAGGTCTATTCAGCGCTGTTTTGTTGATTATTTTAGATTCTATAGTCTAAAATGTGTACCAATTCAAATTGATTCCTTAAATTTTAAAATCTAACAAAGTATTTAATACTAAGCGGACACTGAACACGAATAAAATAATAAAAAAAAACGAAAATCGCTGTAAATTTTAAAATAAGATTAGTCCGTTAGAATAATAATGGGACTATTATATCTTTATTGGACCATAAGTACTTACATAAGAGTAGGTTCTAATACGCTTATAATATTTAAAGTAGAAATTGACTATACAATGACTGAGTGTCTATTAGTCTTTTTGTCTGGCGCGTACGGTTCTAGTTTAGCTGGTTCGGTGTTTAAAGCGCTATAGTCCACAGGGAACGGTGGTTGTGGGAGGGAGTCCTTAGGCGGTACTAGTACCCATTGTCCCGGTCCATTGGGGTTCTTCCCTATAAGCCAATTGGTGAAACAGTGCACGTATGTCCCGTAGTCGAGGATTAAGTAGCTATTCTGTAAGAGTAAAGATATAAAAACGTTATTATAGAATATAGTAGTCATTGGCCGACTTCACCAACGTCACAAGTTTAAGGGATCCCCTAAGCATAGTAAGGGGGCTGTTAGGGGACAGTTTCTGTTTCACCGACAGTTAGAGGCCACCTAAATATTGAAAGGCCCGCTAAATGTAGGTGCTCGAAATATGGGCTTAAAGACGATCGTAAAACGAAATTTAATTTAGGGGCTAGTTTATGGGACTTTTAAGCTAGAGATCCCATACGTAGGTGGTAGCTTATGGGTTGTTGGTGAAATCGGGCAATATTATAATAGGTTTGTCAGATTTGAGATACTTTTAAAAGAAATAAGTGTTATGCTACAAAAATATAGGGGCTTAGAAAAAGTAACTTAAAATTAGTATGTAGTGATATATTAACCACTACATTCAATTTTTATTTGAATCATTTTTTTTAAGTTGAGTTTCTTACACTAGTCATCCTGTCGTAGGCCGTGTCAATGATTTCTGCAACTCTGGTAGCAGGAAGACCGATGACGGAACGGTAGAAAGCAGCCAGGGCCGGTTTGTTTATTTCTCCCGTACCTGTTGGTATTTTTTTTTTAATAATTAAAACTTTACGGAAGATATTATGTAAGGGCGTGCACAAACTAGTGCCGATTATGCTTTGCTATCAATCAGATTTAACAATCATTTAACATGACCAGAGTGAGATTAGAAGCGCAGAATATTTGGTAATAATACTGTATTATTAATACTGTGTTTCTATATTTATAATTAAAATGCAATCCACTGTGCTGCGTGTGTTATACCCACTAATGTTGTGTGAGTAGCTTTTATGTCTGCCATTTCTACGCGGTTTCTTGCGGTTAATATTTTTAATGATCGTAATATGTCTATTACTCACGAGCTAAGATAATGAGCTTACTTACTTGACCACGTTTGTATTGTTTTATATACGAGAACGTAGAACGGAAGCTCGGTTAAGCTTTTTATTTCAACATAAAGCTTTGAAAGTATCCGTCCGATTATAAGTAGTATAGTAGAAAAATAGAACTCATTTTAATAGGTATAATTTACAATTACAATTTTTTACTTGTTATATCAATATCTTTTATGCTTTTTAATTACGTCATAATAAAGGTAGGCACTCGAAGAATAAAGTATTACTGGTAGGTATAACAGTATATTTTATCGCAAGGTTCTTCAGTCGAATTGCCAATTGACATATTAAGTAAAATATTGTACTGGTTTATCGTTTCAATATGTTAATTAAAGATATTATAAAAGACTAGCATTGCCCGCGGCTCCCTCCGCGTTCAGATGACCAAAAAGCAAATTCTTAGGTTTTACATATTAGTATACTCTTACAATGCAGTTTTTGTATTTTTTCTCAGAAATAAGATATTTTCCCGCGGTAAAAAGTACCCTATATGTTGACCCGGATAACCAGCTATTACCATACCAAATTTTATCAAAATCCCTCCAGTGGTTTTTCTGTGATGCGGTAACAGACAGACTGACAGACAAAAATACAAAAATTCTAAAAACTATAGATTCGGCCTCTGTATCGATAATAATGTCTATTTCAATAAGATTTTCAAAAAAAAAAAAATTATTGTACAGATTCGGCTCAGTTAGAATTTTATTATATGTATAGACTATTAGTGTATTATTTGTATTTATATTTTAGGTAGGTTAGAATACGTTTGATTAAATTTTGTTATTATAAACATTGTAAAAATTAATTTAAATATGCTATTATAAAGTAGATTAGCTAATACCAATGTTTGAGCATGCTAACCTCAGTAACATTATTTTTTTTTCGTTTCTCTTTAGTTTTAATTTGATTTCTGATTGGAGATTGTTATCCTATAGTATCCTATAGTAGAGATGTGTTGTCCTATAGTAGCAGTATCCTCGGTTTCACCGATTTTTTTTCAATTGACATCCAATAAATATTTTTTGTCTTACAAAACCTTGTCAGGTTTTGAATTTAAACAATATTTAACAATATAGGAACACGTAGCACTTTCAACATTTCAGCTTGCTAGTTTAGCGGTTAGAACTGGCAGATGATGTTTCGGTGAACACAAGTAACTTTAATATGTTAAAATTTATTGTAGTAGCTGTCAGTCTACTCTATAATACTAAGGAGTCGAATCAGAGACTTAAATCAGAGAATAAAAAAATTGTTACTATCAGTCAATTATATTAAAGATACAGATCCTTTTTCAGTCTCGGTTTTGCGTGATTTAAAAAGCAGGAGTTATAATTTGTGGTTACGAATTAAAAAGAACCCACGACGGCCCTAGTAGTAAGAATGCTTTCTACACCAGCTTTCATTGTATTTGCAATATGGAAGAAAATTTAAAAAAGTACTTGATACTATAATAATATATCTTATGACAAAGGAATGGTGGTTTTTCATATTTACGATATATGAAGTTTATACAAAACGAAGTTACCTATAATTGATCAATATTACCTATATATATATATATATATATATATATATATATATATATATTCAATATTACCTGGTATCTGAAGAATCTTTCTGACCTACTTAGTTTTATTTTCTTTTCAGAACTGAATCAAAGTAGGATTTCTTGTTCAAACGTATTCTGACTAAGTTAAATCTGTTCGAAGACAATCAAATGCTTCAGATAATTCAACAAGGAAATGTGAGTGAGGAAAGTCAAAGTTAACTGAGCGTGTATTGTTTGTTTGAGAAAATTTAGAAACTTACGAGATCGATTTTTATGTATATGAAAGAACTTAAGTTTTAGAAAGTACGTATGCTTTGGAAACTAGTAACTATTACTACTAGAATAGTATTATATGATCTGTGCTATCACCTAGGTATTAAAAATATGTGATTTAAACATATCTAGTTTGAGTCTTTGGGAAAATATTATGTAAGCCATATATAAAAGAAGGCATAATAAAAAATTGGTTTAAAAATTTATTCATCAAGATATATTTTTACATGTTGTGAGAAAATAATCATATAGTAAAGTTTCTTACATCCGCTAAGTTATTCTGTATTAAAAATAATACATAAATTAAGCAACCTATATAAGTTGCATTTGTTTATATATTATACACGATACACGTAAGTTAGGGGCCTTACATAGGATCAATAGCCTAAGTCGTAGTAGCAAGTAGTTTTAAATTTAACATATATTTTTTAAGATACATAAATTCTAATACCTATAATGAAAAGCGATTAAAATTAAAATTTTACATTTTTATGTAAACATCAAGTTCGCAGCATTCTTTTGTAAATAAGTAAAAAAAAAAACGTAAAACACGTCTAATTAAGTAGGAACAGGTTTTGTCCTAGATTTTCAAATTGAATTGGAGTAATTAATCATCCATTCCTCAGAGCGTATTTCCCGCAGGCACGTTTAATCTTTCTTTTGCCTTTTATATCGCGATAAAGCGTAGGCATGTATAATGCTTCTGTAAAGATGAAATTAGCTTGTTCTAGCTTTTCTCAAGCGCATGCCGTCGATCAAGCTTAATTATATATTTATATGTAACGATCCAATTTTAGGCTTTGTGAAAGAAAAATAAAATAAAATTTTATGCGATACAATAATGGAGCTTATAGCTTTACGTTTTTATGGTTATTGACATGAAAAATGATATTTATCATTTGTAGACACGTTTGGTTCAGTTTGTAGTGACCCTACTTGCTACGCCAGTGGTCGCGGGTACGAGTCCCGCTGGTATTCATTTGTGTGATGAGCACGAATGTTTGTACTCCAGTCATGGGCGTTTATATTTATAATATATATGTATTTGAAGTTATATATGTATAATGTATTAACTATCTGGTTTTTTATTACTTTCCGATAGTTATGTTCTATTGGAAGCTTTATAAAATGTATTAATTCAATAATAGTAAAAGTTCACAAAAATGTTGTATGATACTCACTTTCTCTATCAACAACATGGAATAGAATTTTGCAAAGATACTGCAAATATAGCGGTAGATCGACAAATCTTCGCATTTCGCTTATGTGCAGAGCCCACCGTGCTAACCAGCCTTCGAGTGTCGTTCTTCCCGGTATACCTCCAGCTTCTGGTCCGCATACCCTCCTGTAGTAAGGTAGTTCTGCCCATCTAAAAGGAATAACATTTAATGTGACATTTTGCTATACACTAATATCTTATGTATGGCATTTTCAGGCCCATAAAATTGGGTAAACCAACAAAAAAACTTTTTCAATTATTTTTATATTGTAAAAATAATTATCATAGTATTTATTATTCATTTACGAAAGTAGGACTGCGTGTTATAACAACTCAGTTTGGCCTTTATTCTAATAAAAATGATTTTCGAGATCGTTTTGTTAGTACAGCAATAGCATGGGTATTATTTTTCAATATTATTTCAGACTAGCGACTCAACCTCGCTTCGCTCGGGTTCGTCCCTTCTTACGTTTTCACGTTTAGTATAGATTTCTCAGAGATGAGATATTTTCCCGCAGTAAAAAGTATCCTATATGTTGACCCGGGTAACCATACCAAATTTCATCAAAATCCCTCCACTGGTTTTTTTGGTGATGCGGTAACAGATAGACAGACAGAAAGAAAGACAGGCAGAAAAAATTGTAAATACTATAGATTCGGCCTCCGTATTGATAATACTGTCTATTTCAATAAGATTTTCCAAAAAATATTTATTGTACGGATTCGGCTTAGTTACAATTTTATTATATGTATACTCGTAGATTTACTTAATGATAATTTATTACTTAATGATAATTTAATTATTGTTAATGTTAAACTACTTACATAAGTAATACTGGTAAAATTTTATATTTAGGTAGGTACTTTAACTTTAGTTTCGAAGTGTCTTAATATTTCAAATTTTAAACGATCCTATTCATTAACACTTTGTTAATAAATATAACATTTATAAAATTATACGATTAATAAGTATTATTGTAATAAATTGTGGTAATTCATTTTCGCATTCGCTTACCGCCGTAATCTGTAAACTAATCCACTTACTTGGTGGGCAACGGGTTGATAAAATGTTCAATAAATTCTCTCTTCACTTCCAACAGTATGTGAAATTCGGACGAGTTGGCCGACCAGTCGGCGAAGTGTGCCAGCTTCTGTAAGTTCCTTGCTAAATTAATTTAATTGCTCTAATTTCTTACTGGTAGTTGTTACAAACCATTTAGAATTGTTTTATTTTAATTATAAAGTATTATATTTTAATAAAACCTTTGAGATTACTAATGAGATCTGTCTTTCTGTGAAGACATGCGAATATGATGTTAGTGTACAATTATTTTACGTTTATTTTTTTGAAAGTTAGAAAAGTTATGTATTTGTAAAAAACTATACCTAGATTCGGTCTCTGTATCGATAATAATGTCTATTTCAATAAGATTTTCCAAAAAATATTTAATGTACAGATTTAGCTTAGTTATAATTTTATTATATGTATAGATAGATGTAAGAATATCGAGAAAAATACACACTAATAATAAACAGTTTGTAGCGCCACGTTTTCTCTTACAAATACCAGGGCAGGTCATATTTTTAATAACCGATTGCAAAAAAAGTGTAATGAATTTAAAATAAGTTTACCGATCTATTACTACAACGCACAATGGAGTACCTACATGGAAATAGAAATAATGCTATTTACGAATATCATATACGATATCATTATTCGTAGTCTATATATTATGTATTGACCTATTGCGAAGCTATCTTTACTTTAGAGCAAGTCATGTAAAAATAACACGTCGTCAGACTACTATTATAAATGTTAAATGTTTGTATGTGTAGATGTTTGTGTATGTATTTTACTTCTTCAAACTGAAAGGGCTATACGGATTTGGATAAAATTTAGTACACAGAATAGATGATGACTTGGAGTAACAAATACGCTACTTTTTGTCACCCTATTACGAGTAGTTACATAAAAGAAACTATAAGTCTAGAATATCGTAGGCGATAATAAGTAGGTAAGTACCTCAAAAAAGTTATCAAAGTCCTGATCACAGATTACATCATCACGGTCGTGGTCAAGAAGCTCGGTGAAGAACAACGTCATTTTGTCAGCCTGTACGGAACTTAGTTGTGCTAGCGGTTGTTCTTCCTCCAGGTCCAAGCATTCTAGATCTTCGCTACATCGATTCACCCATGTGGCTGTAATAATAGAATCTTTATAATCTAAGTGGACTGGAATGATCTAATGATCGGAAACTATATAAGATAGTGTATATATACATACACACACACACACACACACACACACACACACACACACACACACACACACACACACACACACACATATATATATATATTACTAATTTACTATACAAGTCAGTATGTAGTGCGTTATTTTTAAATATAAATATACTTAAAATTCTTTTTTTAACTTATTTCCTTATTACTTTGCACTTTTCTGCTCAGTTAAATGACAGTCTTTCTCACTTCCCTAGGTTGACTCTAAGAGATCTCTATGAGAATGTTTTTCTAAGTGAAAGATTGTATGTGTGTGTATGTTTTTTACTTCTTCAAACTGAAACGATTGGATAGATTTGAATGAAATTTAGTACGCAGATAGATTATGAGCTATGACCTAAAATAACACATAAGCTACTGTTATGCAACTAGGGACACATCCGAGCGAAGCGAGAGATATCCGCTAGTATTATTATCGCTAGTAAAATTTCATATTTAATATTAAAATAAAGAAGTTATTAAAATTGTTATTGGTTCTCCAATAAAATAAATAATTTTATTGCAAGATCTATATTATTTGCAGCGAAAGAAGACTTGTTCAAAATGACATAAATTTTGAACAGAAATAGCTTGCCCCGTTGAATAATTTCAAGGGCTCGGATCGTAAGAACAACGTGGATATCGCTTTGTGGACGTGAAGGTACCGAAATGGGGGTGACAACATAGCCAACGAGTAATCTCAGCTACGCTACTCTAATCAATACTGATAACTCATTAATTATAATACAAATGCATAATAATTTATTTATTGAGTCATAATGCCTACATTAGTATTATAAATAAATACACTCGAAGCACTTCGAATGCAAGATTGTATGTAATTTTCTTCCATACTTGTTTATTAAATAATCATGACTTTCAAGTGATTTTATTTGTATTTTTGAACATTTTAATCGATTTTTTAATTTAATTTGACCTCTTAACTGAAATATGTATCTACGTTAATACTAAGGCACATTATTGGCAATACGTATTTGAAAATCGATCAAGTGTCGAATTCACGCACCAATCGTTTTGTACGAATACACACTTACCATTTACCTATAAAATTCGGTTATCGAATGGTAGTCGAAACGTTCATTCGGTTCATGCTTGACCAGGTTTTATTATTTATAGTTTTATTTTAGGGTTGATTCTTGCGGAGAGTAAAAAGACCATCTGAAGATTCATTGAAATTAGATCTAGGTTTGTATTTTTATTAACACATTAACTAATACTTAATATTTAAAAGCTTTTTTTAGCTATCGTCAGAAATCTAAAAGATACATCCCTTTAAAACAACCATTTTAATTATATACAAATACTTTTAAACATTATTTTTGGGTAAATGAAGTAGCCAATGGTATAGTGTAGGTTGTGGAGGGTTATGGCACCGCACTGCGCAACCCATTGTGTTGAAGTTAAATTGGACACGCGTTTATTCGAAAATAGTTGTTTTGAGAAACGTTACCAATATATGTACAGTCAAGTTTAAGAAACAATGAAAATAGAGGCATTTTTTATTGAACCTGTTTAACCTTTCTATAAAGATAAGTCCATCTCTTCTAGGTACGAAATAAAATGAAATGGATACTTATCTGTTATTGGTTTATTTATCTAAAGTGTTCTATACTTAGGCATATTATTTAGGTATATTTTCTTGTAGTAAGTTTGCGACATCTAGAGTATTTGGGAGTGGTAGTGAAATATTTTTGCTCATTTGCCTCATTTTTATCGATTTTTAAATTAATAATAACTATTATTTATCGTGTTTGATATGTTAGGAATTAAATGACAGTAAAAACAACAACACTAAAACAGTTTTTTTTTTCACTTTAATACAACAATATTTCATTTTATATCTATTAAGACAAGTTTTTCTGGAACGCAGAAGTTAGTTTTATCGTATACACATATATTAGGAACTTTATCACCAAATTTCACATTATATGGTATTACTATCTTAAGTTCGCCATGCGTAGTATACCAATAGGCTTTCTCAAAGTTCAATATATTTGGTAGGATTCTAATATCAATAAAATCATTATGTTTGTTATGTTGAAGTATGCGTGTGTATAAAACTCTATTCTTGATGTTAACTTTAATACTCTTAAATTCTCCAATGGAATAAACAATCACGTAGCCGAAATTTTCATAAACTTCTGAAACCAATGCTCCAATTTGTACACACATGGTATGAATTAAATCGTTCGTCGTTTCAATATGCTCCATAACTTTTTTAAAGTATTTATCTTGTGACATGTGTCGTTCATGTTTATTCTCGTTGTTATTATTATATTTCAGTCTGTGGTGTCGTATCACTAAATCCGCTAATGTAGGTATCAGCATTGCCATAATTGCCATAAGAAAAAAGGACCACTTCATATTAAACTAACCACTTTTTTCTAAATCGAATACGCGTTAAATAATTGTATGAAAGTAAACTATATTTAATATTAAAATTGGTTTTTATATAAGGAAACGTTTAAATACCTATTGATATAGAAAAACTCGAAGTATGAATTATCGTGGCAGAAGCATTTATTATATAAGTTTTATTATCTTATCGCCTAGTTGGTGTAGTGGGTAGCCAATGCAGATTATGAGATCATGGGTACGATTTATTGTTTAGGCTTTAATAATTATGAAAGTTTTATATCAAAAATTTAGTTGTAACCTGGAGCTCGAATATGGGTTATCAGTTAACACACTCTCATGTCCGTTGCCCTTTCTAGTTCCTACGCCGTGTTAGGCTTGCCGTCACATCAGATTATAAGAACAAATGGATCGTCATCATTATCAGCTCATTTGCGTTCATTGCTGGAAATAGACTTCTCAATAATAAAAATATATTTGTAGTTTATAGCCTACTAGCGAATCACCCTCGCCCCGCTCTCGGGTTCGTCCCTAGCTACGTTTTAACGGTTAACCACTAACTAAATTTTAATTATTCTTTTACTAATTTAAGCTACGTAATTGTTTGAATATATATTTTTTAAGTTTTTGCCAAACGTGTTAGTTAGTCATATTTTGGTGGCCGAAACGATTTTCGATTGATGATGAAAATTTGTAAATTCTTGCTCTAATCATGAAATAAAAAAGCAGGTAAGTGAAACTTTCAGGTGCTAATACTTTGTGTGTTTATGAATAAGTTAAATGTTTCTAAGTAATTTTCTATTAGAACTCTAAAGTCGTAAACATTGTACTGTGTCCGATCCCCTCCCCTTTTTTAACCTTTTACATAATGGTGTCAAAAAATTTGAGGGAAAAGAGCTTCTAAAACACTTGCAACAGCAGAATATAGGTACTTTGTAGAGTTTATGAGATAGGGAATATTTTCAGTTATCCGCTCTGTCAGTTTAGTAACCGCAAAATTAAGTTTTTTTTCATTATAAGTTAAAAAAATATTATGTAATACGAACTTATTTTTGCGATCAATAAAATATATTGATACGGAACCCTCGATGCGCGAGTCGCAACTCGCACTTGCCCGATTTTTATAATTAGAGATTTACATAGTACTAATGACTAAACGATAGCAAAATTTTACACATATTTTCATTTAAAAATTGTTTTGGCTAGCAAAATATTATTAATATATACTAATATAAAGGCAAATAGTTTGTTCAATCATTTGAACGCACACGGAGCCGTGGTCAACGCTGGTAATTGTAGTTAAATCATAGGAAGGTCATATTTGCATATTATTTTTTTAGGAATTTAAATGACGTTTTTTAAAAGCACCATAATACCTATGGTATGGTAAACCTATTTATATATATTTTTTCAATTGAATTTACTTATTTTATTATTTTTCTTCTTATTTTGGAAGTTAACTTGATAAAAATTTATATAGTTTGGGAGTGGTTTTATTCTACACAGTTTTTCTATTTTCCTCAGAAATTATTATTTCCTACTTTTCCCCCCAGTAATCCTATACGTTGACCCGGATAATCAGTTTAATTAACCATACGAAATTTCATCAAACTCTGTCCAGTGATTTGCAGATGTAACAAACAGAGAGGTAAACAGACAAATATTTAAAAAACTATAGATTTGGCTTCTGTATCGATAAAAACAATTAAACTAAGATTTAAAAAAATATTTAATGAACAGATTCGGCTCAGTTGCAATTTTATTGTATGTTCTGTGCATATAAGTTGTGTTGAGGAACACTGGTTATTTTACAGGTACAGGTAATCTAAAATGGAGCGGAGCAAGTATAAATAAACTTGCGAGTGCAGACGAGAGTTAAAACAAAATATACCTTTAAATAATATAAATTTCATATTATTGAAAAATTGTCTTAAATATATACTTAGACGAAAATTTTATTTATATATTTTTTTATTTACATTTTATATATATTTATATATTTTTCTGTAATAGATAACAAAATAATACAAATAAGTTAACAGAATTTGCATGGATATTTCCACTGCGTCCCACGTTTATAGGCTTGCAGCATATCTACATATATGAAACCGAGATACATACATACTCGTATATGTATGTATTTGTCGACATGAACCTAACTAATTACATTAGCATACTATGTTACAGAACACGTCTTATACGAAACTGTATGTAACTACATATATGTAAGTGTTATATGTAGAATTAACCGTGTTAATGTGTACGTTAATTAAATTACCTTATCAAGTTATCGGAAATTCAGCAGGAAAATATTTTTTTGTTATATTTTTAAATATGAAATAAAATCGAAATATTTATCCTTATTTCGTTTCTGTATTGTGATTGGTGTCAATTCAAGAAATTAAAAATTCAATTATTATTAACTAATTAAAAAAAACAATACTTCGCTTCTGTGATTGGAATATAAATTTTAATTTTTTTATTAAGTAGCGACTCGATATTTACTAGATTTTATTATTATAGAGGCTTTTCAACCCTTAGTTTGTACTTTGTAGGGAGAGTCCCAGAAACACCACTTGAAACAATCTTCATTTATATCTTTTGATAAAAGCATCAATCATTGAAAATAGCGAGCACAGCGTTGTCCGTTTTAGTATCTTTCGCTATTAGTGCGGCTGACGCGGTAGCTAGAGGGCGTGCGCACACGCTATTCACAAGGTGAGTAATCAACACACGCGGAGTCCTACAGATTCCACCTTACACTTACAACGTAACAATTTATGAATTTAAGGTTTTTCGTTTTACCCCAATAACGATGTATTTTATTTTTCCAGTTCCAGTCCAGTCGTAATATAAGGACATAAATTTTTTGGATGAAAATGTGAGCTTTGTGATAACGGACTGGAAGGTGGATCTGGAAAATGGAGATAGTCTGGGCAATGACGAAGATTATTTTGCAGCCCAACAACGTGTTTTTGGACGATGAAGACGCAGCTCACATTAAATCAGATCATGATACCATTTCCGAAGAAACCTGACCTTACACGCAGTTAGCAACTGTCCGTTGGTCAATATATTGATCCGGATAACCAGCTATCACCATACAAAATTTCATCAAAATACGTCCAGTGTTTTTCTCGTGATCGATAGACAGCTGTCTGTCTGGGAACGCAAAAACGGCCTCTGTATCGTCAATAATGACTATTTCAATAAGATTTTCCAAAAAATATTTAATGTACAGATTCGGCTCAGTCACAATTTTATTATATGTATAGATAGAGAGATAAATGATTGATATTGCATAATGCTAAGCGTTAAATAATTGCTATAAATAAAGATTGGGGTACAAAAATTATTTAAGCGATTGGTTTTGCAATGACCTCCACAGCGCATGATGAGAAAAACAAGTTAGATTAGTCTCACACTAAACATATGCTCAGGAATATTCATTCCATTAATCTCAATATATAGATAAAGTTATTCTTCAGGTAAATCATACATAAAATGCGTGGATATAAAAACAAATTGCTGTTTTAATGTTTTGAAATTTTATAAATGAATCGTCTCGTCCTTTTTATTCGCCACTCAAAAAATACGATAAAAAGTATCTTTAAATTATATGAAATAAAATTTATTATTGGCCAAATGAACTTAAAAAAGTAAGAGAGAGCTTCGCTCGGCGTTTTTTTGGAAAAGACGAAAAAATTGTGTTTTTTTTTCAGGAAAACACACCTATATAGATCAACTTAACTTCAAAACACATTTTTGTATTTATAAATTAAGTAAGAATATTGTATTTTGTTATTGAAAAAAAAACATTCTACATTTATACCGTCTATAGATTCAAATAAACCTATAAAAGGAGTGCCCATAAATTCTCTCATACGGACAGGGGTTTTCAATAAAGTTTCCCGGGAGTACTTTTTATTCGTGTGCTTGATATAGGTACTTCATCTTCATAAATTTAAGCATATTTAGTATTTAATTAAGATTCTGTGCAGAAAATAATTTGGTTTAAAAGAGGTTGTGATTTTCATTAATTCCGCTAATATCCGACCTGTTTGATTTGTTTTTATTCGAACTTTCATAGAAGTGTAGAGGATTCAGGGAAGATTGACATAGGCATTATATTGGATAAGAAAAGATTGTCAGCGGAATAAGAAATAAAAGTTTTAAGTTAATAGACAATATTTTTATAACTATTTATTATGGATAGTTTTTGACATTAATCTGAGGGCTTAACTTTCTAGAAGCTTTTAAATTCAGGACTAGCACTTAGAAGGGAGAGCAGCCCAAGAGTAAAAGCTCAAACTCTAAAGTCTACAGACGTAAAACTTCTAATTGCTGACTTGGACTATCAGCAATATAAAAAGAAAAATTAAAACGAGCAGCTTCCTTTAGAAGTCTTTCGTGAGAATCCAAACAAAGGGATAATTCAGTGAGAGTATAGAGTTCCTAGAGTGTAGGGTACCTGTCGCACTTGTGCTTTATTGTGTTGAATGTGAATTTCATTTTAATGATATTAGAAATAGAAATAATTTTTCTTTAAACACATAAGATAATAAAATCTTTATTTATATATTATAAAATGAGTTATATTTAAAATACATATATATATTAAAAATATATGATGACCCTAAAATATAGGAGGCTGTGAGTAAAACGGAGTAATATGAAGTATTAAATAGCATGGATGGTAGAGTGCAGCTCATCACCTTAATAACTTTAAAAAATAGGTAATGAACTTAATGAAAAATGCGAGAAATGCAGGACTTTTATAGATCTTAGACTAGTTTATTTACTCTGCTATACTAATATTATAAATGCGAAAATGTGCCTGTCGGTCTGTTTGTTTTTCCGTCCCAATCGATGCATCGATAAACTTTGTCATTTTGCCATTTTATATCATCGTAGGTTTACACACTTTTATCATGTTACTGAACATTGCTGTAGTAATACCGATTATTTTAATTAATTCGTACTTAATTCCCAATTACATTGGGGGATATTAACATTTATGCAAATATATTTTTTTAAACAAATAACAGAACAAAGGCAGTATTCTATAATTTATAATTTATTAACAACACAAATCAAATTATACATTCAAATATTCCTTTATACTCTCAGAGTGGAGGTACAAAGAATAAAACATGGCTGCCGTATAAACTGGAGGCTCGGAATTGTGTCATATTTTACAAAAGCATTACGCGCGTGCAAGTATTTGCGGATTCCATTGCAAATAAAGCCGGTGAATTGTTTCTGCTGCTGTATTCATCTCATGCAGATCGCAAAATATTCAATGTCAATTCAACTAGAAATTGTACTGTTGAGATAACATTTTTTATGTGTTTAATATTAATCAATCACGAGGGTGGACACACCGGCGTGTCAGTTAACAATAGATTTCTTAGAATTTTTATTAGTTTCTTAGAAATTTACCTGGAGGTGTTAAAGACATGCCAACCAGCCTTTAGTACAGTTATTTACAAATACATCGTAGTAGAGGAACTTTATTATGTGATTTTATCGCTATTTCTACAATTTTAAAAGTGTACATTTTTTAACTTTACACTCTATATCGATACAGCTAGTCCGCTCCAGTTCAGAGCCTATTTTTGTATTGTGGTAACATTGGGATCCAGACCAGTAATCCAACCAGGTGCCAATCGGTAATCCAAGTAGGCGCTAGGCAAGTAACGATAGGAAAAATGATCACCTCAGTAAAAAAACTAACGCATAGTAAATTGCTTCGAAATACAAATAATTTAAAAATTAAAATCCCCTACTCAAATTGTCATTTAACGATTACACTGGCACGCGTGAAGCACTTAATCGAGTAATCATACGCCAAAATGCCTTGCATTTTGGAAAAGAGCTGATACTCTTACACTGCTGGACCGATATTAACCAAACATAGCTAAAAACCACCGCAAGGAAACTGGCTTTCAAATGAAAAAAAATCGCATCGAAATCGGTCTATTCGTTTGAGAGCTACTATGGCACAGACAGACACACACAGACAGACAGACATCGACGTCGAACTTATAACACCCCTCTTTTTGCGTCGGGGGTTAAAAAATGAGGGTCATCATTGAAAGAATATTCCCGATCCCAAAGGTTAAATTCTTAACTTAAATACCTGGGTGAAACAAAAGTTTGCGTGGGCGGGAAACAGCTGGCTCTACCTTATCTCTGGTATTGTTCTTTTATAAATCAATATTATAAAGTTATATATTACGATTGTCATTTAGTATTGACGGTGTAAGGAGTCAGTATCTCCTCTTAGTCCACCCAGTAATCTACAGGCATCGTCAGAATTCATTTAGCCACTTTCAAAATATGCACCAAGTTAAATGAACAAATTTCAATTGTAATGAAATGAAATATAATAAAAGAAATAAATAAAATATAGAAAGTATGTAAATAATTATTTATATTAAAGAAAATTTATCTTGCGTTCTGCTGCTGGCGTTTTGGCGTTGATAAGTCACTACTGCTTATAACATTTCCGGTTTCCTCGGGGGTTTTGTGCTTATTCACGTTGCAGGTTTCCGCCCTTTGAGATTTTATATTCCTACTCATCATGTTATTAAATATATAATAACCTTTTTCTTTTAAATTGCTTTTTCTAGTTATTCTCTTCAGATTCTCATCAGATTTAACATTTTTTTTTAATTTAGATTTCTTTTCTTGAATGGTTTTGTCATTCCCTGTCCTTTTTGTTTTCTTACTCATTGTTTTGTTGTTATAGTTTATTATATTGGAACAATCAAAATTTTAAATTATTCATTGTAAACCAACGAGATTTATGTCGAAAGTCTTTGTCATCGTCATTCTATAGATGTCAGTTTTTGAAAGAGTTTTTATGTAATAATTTTTACTATAAATAATAATAAATTATTTCTATAACATTATTATGTTAAGTAAAATTTTTGTGTATATTATTTTTTTTACATTTTCAAGAAAACTTGTGTATTTTACTTAATATTTAGGTTTTTACCCCAATGCAAATAAAAATTATTATGGTCAGTACTTACTCCAAACATGTACGCTCCACCCATGGTGTTTCTCTTCCTCACTTTGGCCGGCTTCCTGCATCTGGTTTCCTGCACCCTCAACTTCAGGCAACGTCCTCCACCTCTTGAGTAACTCCTTCGTCTTATCCTTAGTCTTATCGCATGCCTGTTTCCAATGTGTCAAGTATTTGCGCGGTACTTTCGGACTTGATAGCGCCGTGGATTTAGAATCTTGTCTGTAAATAAAGTAAAGACTGACATTATAATATATTACGGATATTTGTAGTATAATTCAATTCACATTGAGGTGATTATTTCATTATATTCTCAAGGTAACAATAAACAAATATTACGTATCTAGACAATGTCAACACTGTTACCACGCCCACAGTTTTCGGCATTTTGTTAAAAATATTTGTGCTAAAATGTGCCCGATATTGCTATCTCGTCATTTATTAATAAAAAAAATCTTTTGAGTTCTTTTCCCAGGCCTAGTTAGTCCAGCTAATTTACTTTTTAAAAAAGGACGAGGATTTTGGATAAATGCTATATCCATAACTAAAATGAGACACTTGAGACACTATGAAAATGTTTTTGAACAATAAAATGTATTAATTGGTGCCTGAAATCTCGTGCTACACCTTTCCTTCGTGAATCCTTTCTTTCATGTTAAGTTAGCCCCGCTCCCTAATTTCATGAAAATTGCGGAAATTGTGCTATAACATGTTAAAGTTATAAAATATTAATACTTTCTTAGATTTACGCGAATGTTTGACATTTTTAAATAAAACTATCTTTTCGGATTATTTCGCGCATTTATTTTACTTTATTTATTTATTTATTTATTTTGATTTTTGGTTCCCGACGTTTCGAATGCTTGACACCATCCATGGTCACGGGAGAGACTGAGGTGTTATACCTTCAAGACATGTAACACCTCAGTCTCTCCCGTGACCATGGATGCTGTAAAGCATTCGAAACGTCGGGAACCAAAAATCAAAATAAATCCGCGAAATAATCCGAAAAGATAGTTTTATTTATAAAGCGGGATTTAATAAATTAAATTTATATTCCACTATTTAAATTTATACTACGCAATACTAAGGTAAACAATATAATGTATCTAATAAGTAATTATAAAAAGTAAGAAGCTCACTATTGCGTATGTTCTGCGAGTTGTTCTTAGAATAAAGTATATTTTTTAATTAGTAGAAGATTCTTTGATTAGTTTTGTAAATCTGATATTCGGTAATTTATAAAAAAAACATTAAAAAAATAAAAAAAATCTGTAAATTGCAAAAAAAACAAATCGAACTATTAATTCCAGAGAATAGAGGATTCAGTAAATAATCTATACTAATAAATGGACAGCCGATTTTTTTGTTCGGTTATACTACAGAACCGATCGGAATAATACTCGTACCATAAGATGCAGCGTGTTTCGGAGAAGGTATATGATATGTTGGTGATTACTTATCCGAAACCTATATTTCTTTGACTTAGAAATAATGAATTATTATAATATTATAATTAGTTCAAATGGTTTAATTTACATCAATATACTATGCGGGCGGAGCCGCCAGAAAACGCTAGTAATAATATATTAGCGTCGACTAAAAATAACAATAATTTTTCTTTTACTGATCCCAAAGGCACACACGGCTTCGTTAGTCATAATTATTGTTTCCTAATATTATATCCCTTATCAATCAAGCTATAATTCAATTAGAGCAGTTAGCTAATCTGTCACTTTAACAATATGTAGAGTCCAATAACTTGCAATTAGTCATTGATTAAAGCTGCCCCATATACCATGTTAGTATAGTTAGGCAAAATAGGTCGAACAAATAAAGTTAAGTAGCTCTTAAGCAGAGGGACGAATTTCAATGCATTATTTATAAAAAAAATTGGCAGATACAAAATGGCCGTGATCTTCAATCTGTCAAATTCCTAAAAAAAGAGAAATTCCAGATATTACCAATCTCCTTTATGTCTTCTCCATTCTACGTGACTTTGGTGAAGTAATCTGTGCTCAACTGGCACGTTTTGAAGTCATTCAGAAGAAAATTGATTACAAATTCCAGATCAAGCTATCTAGCCATTTTCGAATTTTAAAAACTGGCTACTTGGTTTATCAACTTGCAACATCTGACTACTATTATTACTTATATGTGTGTTATGTACGTTTGTAACTGTTTCACGTTGAAACGGCTGGATGGATTTGGATGAAATTTAATATACAGACTATGAATTTTGGTTGTTTGATTATCTTTGCGAGATGCATCTAGGCATAAAACTTTCTGCATATATACAGGTATGTAGGACTGTGGGAAAAACCAGAACTTACTACGTAGGTACAGGTTAGGTTAAGTTATAAAGAAAAGTATAAATTTAACCGATAAACTGCTGGTAAGTAATGTAAAAGTATAAAAACCTTGTAACATTTTAAATATTAGACACATAAATAGTACAAAAAAATGCAAATAATATAATTATACTAACGGAGCAACAAGCACGCTTTAATTCCCAAACGGTGGATGATCGATGAGATACGAATTACTATTAAGTCGTTAATCTTTAAATATTGATGACTTGTTGAAAATTTCAGTCGACGCTTATTTATTATTCGTTTTCAGAAGTAGATAATTATAATGTATACGTGTATTATCACGTTTTACAAGTTGTTATTATACATACATATATTCTATACGTAATCTTCCAAATATATATATCGCTAGTATATGACTTTTCAATTATCGAATACGGAATAGTTATCCATACACTAAATAATAACCCGACTGAATACAAAAGTGAAACCTTTAAACTATTTTATTAACATAACTGTAATTTTTAATTTGATTATCTATGCTTTGTACAGTGAATAAATGTTATTTTATGTTTAAAAATTTACATCTGAGAAGTATAATCAGATAACACCGTTGCTAAGTATGGTAAATCTAATGTAATACTTACATATCTATATTCTATACATATAATAAAATTGTAACTAAGCCGAATCTGTACATTAAATATTTTTTGGGAAATCTTATTGAAATAAACATTATTACCGATACAGAGGTCGAATCTATAGTTTTTAGAATTTTTGTCTGTCTGTCTGTTTGTTACCGCATCACAGAAAAACCACTGGAGGGATTTTAATGAAATTTCGTATGGTGATAGCTGGTTATCCGGGTCAACACATAGGATACTTTTTACCACGGGAAAATATCTCATTTCTAGAAAAAAATGCAAAAACTGAAATGTAAGAGTATTCTAATATGTAAAACCTAAGAATTTGATTTTTGGTCATCTGAACGCGGCCGGAGCCGCGGGCAATGCTAGTTTTTAATAAAATGTAGTATATATGCGTTACATTTGAGTTAGGTACTTATTTGTTATTTGTCTTGTTTGCACTTTGCTGCAACGTAGATTGATTTTAGAAAGGCCAAATTATTCAGGTTTAAGAATTAGCCTAAACAGAATAAATTAATAATAATTAAAAAAATATATGATCCTACTCCTAGCATGAATGCAGTAAAAGGACCAAGTTAAATATTTATGTGAGTTTTGCGCTCACTTTAGGTGGAAAAAAGGATCTAAAGTTATAATTTAAATATTTATAACAAAGGTTTTTTTAAGAGATGTAAGTACCTGCCCGTGCGTATTAGTACGAGGGACGGCTTTCAGAGGATGCTATGTCACGATTTTTAAATAAACATAAACAAGATTATATTATGCGTCATATCAATTTGAACTGAATTTGGATTTCATTAATTTAGCTGGTATAAGTTTTTGTTTCACTGTTAAGATTTAAAAAGGAAAAGTTTAGTTATAAAGATTGTTTAAAAAAGATGGCAGAAATTAGTAGCTACATTTAGCTAAGTCTAAAATTGTAATGAAAATGTATTTAGCTAATAAAAGTTAATAATATTTTTATGAGAAATAAAATCTTTAAACCGAATTATAATGTACATATTACGTGCAATGTGCATAAGTGTTCAGCCCTTTTTTAACGCCCCACTGCTGTTCAGGGGCTTCCTTTCAATACGAGGAGGATCAGACTATCCACCACGCTGGCTAAGTGCGAGTTTGCGAACTCCACATGTCTTTCAAAAACTTATGAAGTTCTCTTAGACATGCAGGTTTCCTCGCTGTTTTCCTTCAGTTATGTATAAGACAAGTGGTAATCGTGATGGAAATGATTCACACATGAAAATATCGGAGGTGCGAGACTTGGGATTCGAACCCACTTCACTCGGTTTCTTAAGCGAGCGCGTTACCACTAGGCTTATACTGTCTCAAATTTCTTTTTTAAACAATAATTACAATACATTTCTTTAAATTGTCAGTCAATAGGAGATTATTAAGTATTGAAACTTACTGAAGAACTTATGCAATTACAGTACCACGAATAAAGTTTCGCAATAAAAATATTAGTAACTTTATTGTGGATGTTCCACGACTCGAGATATTCCATTGAAAAGTTAAATATGCAAACAACCTCGCAACTCAGATGCTTCTGTAAACATTTAATCTAGTTATGACTCATTCCAGTTATTAAGTTATGGATAAGTAAAATTTTAGTTTGAAAATCAAAATAAATAATATCTAATATTTGAAGGTATTTAACGATCATCATGAATATGAAATAGGTAAGTTATGTGTCTAAAACTCTTTTATTTTGTTTTGGTCAACAATAAAAGTAAAAAATTATTATATTATCGACTAAGTACTTGCGATTAAGATTTTCTACCTGACACAATCACTCATCTATTCTTCTTTCTCTTATTGCCTATTTTATACGAATCTATTAGATAGAAAATGGTGACCCATATAGGTAAATATATAAAGCTTTGGGATAATGGACGTATGAAGTAAATTCTTGATAAGATTATATCAACAGTGACATTACAAAGAAAAAGGATCATTATGAGGAATAGAAAAGATTTTTTAATAAATTTAGATTGCATGAGAATGAGGTCGTTGACCGTTTAGGATTTGGATAAAAAAACCAGAATGAACCATACATTTATGAATTATAATAAACCAGTCAGTCTTTATAGATTATTAAATAAAATATTTAGTACTCACCGTTCAAAAGTGTCTCTGGAACTTTCGCTGGTTCTTGATAGTCGTCTTTCTCTTTTTGAGCTATCTTCAATAGGAGATTTCTCTTGAGGAAACTTTAGCTCCTTCTCTGTTCTACTGCTAGATCTTGATGTTTTTCCTTCTTCGTCCTTCTTCACAGCCGGGTTTACGGGCGAGAGGCTGCCCGGCTTATCATGTCGTTTCATCTCCATATTTCAGCGTGGGTGGTCATCATCACCTATAATATTTACGAATATTTTAAATATTTTAAATATTTAATTATATATGAATTATCATATCATCTTATTTATTATCTTTTAGCAACAGATTGAGAAATTCCGCTGAAAGTTAATGTATCGGGTGTTGGTAAATAATAAAACTTGTTTATGACATACAAACAATAATAACTAGTGGACGAAATTCGACCATAACCATCATTGAAAAACATATACGAATAGAATTTACTTATCTATATAAAAATGTTTATATATAGATACTTAAGGATTGTGTTTTAGTGTTAAATTTGCTTAGAGTTAGTTGTTACCATGTCGGAGAATGCGAATAGATTTCGTTCAAAGGATGTACTGTAGAAGTAAGTTAAATTTGGATCTAATAAGTCTAGTAAATTTTATATTGTACTAGCATTGCCCGCGGCTCCGCCCGCGTTGAGATGACCAAAATCCAAATTCTTAGGTTTTACATATTAGTATATTCTTCCATTGCAGTTTTTTAAATTTTTCTAAAAAAATGAGGTATTTCCCTGCGGTAAAAAGTATCCTATATGTAGACCCGGATAACCAGCTATCACCATACCAAATTTCATCAAAATCAATCCAGTGGTTTTTCTGTGATGCGGTAACAGACGGACAGACAGACAGACAGACAGACAGACAGACAGACAGACAGACAGACAAAAATTCTAAAAAGTATAGATTCGGCCTCTGTATCGATAATAATCTTTATTTCAATAAGATTTTCCAAAAAATATTTTTTGTACAGATTTGGCTTAGTTACAATTTTATTATATGTATAAATTATATTCCTAGAAAAAAGTAAATTGAGATAGTAAGAGACGAATAGCTAGAACGAACGAAATAATGCAAACACAGCTGGAACCCTTATGCTATGACATGAATTTTTTATTTTCAACTGTCGTCCGCTTGGATTTCAGAGGAAAAGTTCAGACTTTAGTGTTTTCTCTTTACTGCTCTCCCAGGATTTAGAAATGTAAAATGTCTCTCTATATAATGTTATATAATATGTAATAATACGATTTTGTGACCATATTGATGATAATTAACAATGCTAATTCATAAATTCCAAATTTTTCTGGTAACTTAGATTTTTCTACTTATATAAAACATTTAAATTAAAATATCACTCCATTATTAAATTCCTTACAAAAGAAGGTTAATGTAACTTACCGGATGATAGATTGGATTCATCTACATCGTTTATACCCAGGAGTTACAGGAGGTATGAAATTTTATTTAAGACGATAACCTACTGTCTAAATTCATGAGTTTAACAGTCTTCTAAATTTCTTTATTCAAATAATCCCCGTTCGATGGAAATTTCCCAGCTACGGTCTGTCTTGACCACCGGGATCAATTATATATTACATAGAAATTGTTCGGTATGATAATTAAACTTGCTATCTCAACGTAGTAGAGAAGTCAGAAATAATACGTCAAGATATGAAATAATAGCTTTTTATTTTAGCTAGAAGATCCGAAGTAAGTTCGTCCCATTTGCTTATTGTATGGAAAGTATTTTGTAATAAAAATAATCTATGTATAAATATATAAAATTTGCTACCTATAGAATATAATCAAGGTTAAGTCCATTTACAAACATGAATGTAATGATTTTTGTTATTTTCTTTGGATCTTAGACTACAAACCGTTTGAAATTGAGGATATTTTCTATGTTAATAAAAAGTAAGTAAAATAATAATAAATAAATGAATGAGAAGTAGTAATAAATAAATGAGAAGTAGGTACACAAGTATGCAGTAGAGCCCAGTGGTAACGCGGTCGCTTGAAAAACTAAGTGAAGCGGGCCCATGTCCGAGTCTCGCACCTCTGATATTCTCATGTGTGAATTTTTTTCAACATGTTTACCACTTTGCACATAATGAAGGAAGACATTGTAAGAAAACCCGAATATCTGAGAGAACCTAACTATTTAGTTTAAATTAGTCAATGGTATGTAAAGTCCGCCAAGCCGCACTTTGCCAGCGTGGTGGACTATAACCTGCTTCCAGTTGTATTGAAAGGATTTGGAAGGCCCATGTCCAGCAGTGGAAGTTACAGGCTGAATACGCATGTTCTTAGATACGCTTGTATCTCCATTCCTTTCACTTACATATTACGATGAGAAGGCAAGTCGACAGATAAATTCGGTAACTATTTTTGCCTAGTCCAAGTCTCGTAACCAGGACCTCACTATCGAAACTCGAAAACCTTACATGCCACTTCGAGCCGCTAGACCAACGAGGCAGTTAGATTATGTTATAAATTCTATGATAGATAGAGATTTTAATAAGAAAGTGATGAACATTTTTCCAAACCAATTCTACCAATCTGTAAAACTTCTTAACCTGAATGTTCCAATCAATAATTTAAACTTACAAATCAAGTTTCATTAACAAACTTTGCTAAAGTTATCGTTGGGGACACAACTGGCTTAAACAGTCAGTGCTGATATATTATTATCTTGCCAAGATAAAATAAATCTTAAGTTTAAGAAAAAAAGTTTCTTATCCTAATTACTTAATATTTGGAGTTTGGATAACTTAATAGAAGCCACTTACTTGACTTTTAAGGATTTAAGATCTGAATTATTTAATTTTGATCGTAATTTTTAATTCTTTCGGATTATGAAGGTAGTTAGTTACAAGCACATACAAACAAACAGAAACTTTTGTATGTATAATAGTAGTTCAATTGTGAATAATTGCAAATGTGCATAAGAACATTTGTTTATACGAGTAATATATGAAATAAAAAAAAAAAAATTTTGCCACAAAGAAAGCACGCTACTTCGTTATAACAAGAGGCAATTTTTAACAATTCTTAATTTGACCTTTCCTCCATTTTCTGTATTCGTGACCTGAATTATTTCCAACGGTAATATTTCCATAAAGGAAGCAACATTATTCCAAGAATGTTTTACGTGCCCTAGATGGTGATAGGCTCCACCTTTCTTGTTTAGTACGGTCAGCGTCCTAATAAAACAAAGATTTGAAGAAATGTGAGATTAAAAGTACAAATACGAGTATATTTGAATACTAGCACTGCCCGCGGCTCCGCGCGCGTTCAGATGACCAAAAACCAAATAAAAGAGCGCTATTGTTATTTTTTCAAGATAAGCTATTTTTAATAGTTTTTGCTCTATTTAGTAAGTTATTCGTATCATCGTGGTTTTATTCTCACCAGTTTTTGTATTTTTTCTCAGAAATAAGATATTTTTCTGCGGTAAAAAGTAGCCATCTATGTTGACCCGGATAACCAGCTATGACCATACCAGATTTCATCAAAATTCCTCCAGTAGTTTTCTGTGATGCGGTAACAGACAGACAGACAGACAGACAAAAAATCTAAAAACTATAGATTCGGCCTGTATCGATAATAATGTCTATTTCAATAAGATTTTCCAAAACATATTTAATGTACAGATTCGACTTAGAATTTTATTATATGTATAGATTACGCTCGTATAAAGTTAAAACAAAAACGTGTATTTTTTAGTATTTTTCTTGCTCTTGATTATATTTTTCTTTTATCAATTAATTACAAAAAAAAATCAAGAGCTAAGTCTTCAGAAGGTATTTTTAATAGAAATGATTCTGCAATCGTAAGCGTTATGATGATCGATGGTTTAGTAATCTTTGTAAGTGCGCAATATTTATTATTATGAGATGTTACCATTATGTAATAGTATTCTAAGCGAACAATAAACTTAAATACGTTTTAGCTGCAAAATCTTATTACTAAGATAAGTAAGATTTAAAATTGTACACAAAGGCAAAAGTGCCTGTTATGTTTTTGTTTTGAATTCAAATTTTTTATAATAGAACAGAAAAATCTTGTAGCGACAAAATAACTTTTTATGACCTTTCGAGCTTTAGAGCTTTTAGAACTTTGTGTAACAGTATAGAATTTCTGTTAAACCAACCTATTAAAAAAATGTAACCAACTTTATCATCAAAGGCTTTGATTCATCATCATCATCATCGGTTTTCATAAAAATTTAATGCACATGTAAATAAAATAAACTAAAAATGTCGTTGAAATAAATATATTAATAATTTTACGCTGTCACTCATTATTCAATATTTACAAATCATTCAGTCTAAAATATCTCTTTAAACAATGTTAATAATTAGGGAACTGATGGTAATTTTTTGTAGAAAATAGGTACTTCTTGCTTTATACCGTGCTTTTTGTTATTTGTATCATTTAATTAATATACGGGTTGGACTATTTTTGTAATAGTAATGTATTTTATATTTTTCAATTAAAAAAGGTTTTGAAAAATTAATTTTACGATACAATTGATGGCATATAATTATTTATTAAAAATAAAAATAAACATTCCATACGATTATCTTTTGTAATAAATAATATTAAAAATGTGAAGGACAATAATTATTTTATTTTAATGACGTAAAACGATATTTACTCGTATATGATGAGACGAGAGCCGAAATGTATGAACTTTAAAATACTTACATATTTTCTATTGTATTTATGAATATATATATATATATATATATATATATATATATATATATATATATATAGATTGATTTTATTAACGAAACTCTATCTTTTCTTTATTTTACTCCATATTTCGTAATAGGTTTTTATTAATTACTACCGACTCACCCTCGCTTCGCTAGTGTTCGTCCCTAGATTAGTTCCCAATACAGACTTTCATCCCTATTTTTTCCCCTTTAAGGGGTGATTTCCGGGATAAAAATTATCCTATGTCCTTCCCAGGGTCTCAAACTATCTTCTCACAATTTTTTTTCTAAATCGGTTCAGTAGTCCAGAGACTACCCCCTACAATGTTACAAACTCACAATCTTAAAAACTTACAAACTTTACCTCTTTATATGACATTCTAAATAAGTTCGTAAGCTAAAAAATCTTATTGAACGCATACCAGCCAGACAGATTTTGATGAAATTTAGTATGAT